AAAGAGAGAAAGAGAGAAAGAGAGAAAGAGAGAAAGAGAGAAAGAGAGAAAGAGAGAAAGAGACGCACGGAAGCCATCGCGCTCGTCTACCACGGTGATCTCGACGGGAATCTTCTGGCTCGGGGCTGGGGTGTCGGGGAGGAAACGGGGGGCTTTGCCATGGCACAAGTCGAGAAGGTTGAGCGAGGCAGACAGGCCGGCGTACGAGCCGCCAACGACCAGAACCTTGTAAGGCTTGCGAGTGCCGTTCGTGATGGTGCTGGATGCCATTTTTTCTGGTCAGCGAAAAGGAGCGCGGGATTCCAGAGAGAAATCCAAACGTACCGACGGCCGCTAGATATCCTCGACGGCCTCAACAAGGATCCACTCGGGCTGCGCAGCGCTTCGGAGTGCACGCATCGCGCGTGTACCGATATCGGGTTGGAGCGGGAGAGTTGCACGGGGGCCGCTCTGCGCCACGGATGCTCGGCTGGAGTGCCAATAAAGTTATCAGATGGCGCTATGGCGGGTAATAATCTGATGGAACCCAGAGATGGAAAGAGGGTTGCGAAATTGGATCCTGTGGGGCCGCTCACCGTGCACCGGCTTCGCAACCAGCCGCCGTGCGGAAAACCTGCCCACCCTTCCCAAACTGAAGCAGCCATGTGGGGGCATCTCGTTCCGAAGTGCGAGCCAAGGATGCTGCGTTGACTGAAGAGAGTGCGATCGAGCGAAGTCCTGACTGTCCCGCACCCGGCTACCTTTATGGGCAGACACGTCCCATGTTGCACGCCGCTGTCGGAGTCCTCCCTCCCTCCGGAGATCGCTGTCGTTTTATGTAATCGACAGCAGAGTCCGGGAAGCTTTCCCTTCCTATGCCGGCTTCTTCATCCGGCTGTCCGTCCGAGTCATCTCCGAGCATCTACAGAGATCCTCTGACCAAACAAGTACCAGCCTTAGGGCTTTTGCTTTGCAGCGACGCCTGCTTCTATGGAATCCAGTGACAATGAAGTTGAAATAAGCTACAGCATTTCTCGACGGGAGATCAGCATCCAGGGTCAGCTGCAAAAGCCTCCGTCCCCTTGCTCGTCCCCTCGATCTGGATGCATTTGTGCATAAAAGTGGGACTGCATCGTCGTCTATCATGCCACGCATCGAAGCTCAGGCACAAAACTATCTTTTATTGCCAAGTATCTGCGCCATCTACGAGCTATTCCCAGAAAGTACATCCAGCCTCGCCTCCCTATCCCAAACCCTGACCCCGTCCGATCTCCGCTTGAAATAGAGGATCCGGTGCTGTGGGATAAACTCCTCGTCCGTCTGCTCCACTTTCCAGCGATCCAACGCAATTTCCCGCGTCCCCAGGAAACGGTCCACGTAGCCTACCACGTAGTCGGCGCTGTTAAGGTTCGGATCCCAGCGAAGTCGGTTAAGAATGTCAGTTGCCGGCCGGAGCTTCTTGCCAACTCTGGGCACCACCTCGGCTTGGGTCTCGGCCTCCGCGGGCGCCTCAGTCAGCTCGTCTAGCTCAGGGGCTTCGTCCATCTCATCCTCGTCCTCGTCCTCCTCGTCCTCGAATTCCCAGCTCTCTTCCAGATCACTGCCCCAGTCACTGCGATCCACGACCAACTGCTCCAGCTTGGCACGCCCGACCTGCTTGACTTCGACCCACGCCGAGGCCGGGTCGAAGAAGTTCTCGTTCCCACGGATCTGCTCGGAAAAGCGCTCTAGGACTCCGTCGAGCTTGTTCTGCGCCAGCTTCCGCTCGGCGTCGTCCTTGCCGCCCGACGACTCCGCCGCATCTTGCCGCTTCGCGAGTCCGATAAGGTAGCATCCGTACTGATCGCCGCTTTCGTTGTCCGATTCCCGCGTGAACCGCATCGGCCACATCCGGCCGTGGATTTCGGGGACTTTCCTGTTGAGGTCTGTAGAAGGCCCCATCAGCATCCTGTCGGAGCAGAAGATCGAGAAAAAAAAAAGAAAAAACAACTTACCGACAAGCATCTGAGGACAGCGGCTTTCAACCCATCCGACTAACTGTCTTCCCTTGACTGAACTCTTCCCCCAGTACTGAACGTCGATGCGGATATAGCTCTTGTAAGCGGCCAAGAACTCAGAAGCACTATCGCCTGCAATGTCTGTCCAAGCGAGAACACTGTCTTCTTCCGCACACTCCTTTACGGCCTGGTTCGCGCGTTTGAACTCCTCAGCAAGAACCGTAACGGCAGGCACTGTTGCAGCCCGCGCAATGTTCGCTCGAGGAACGTGGTATCCAAGCACGACCATGGGCTCGCCGGCATGGCGCTGATACGGCCTACCCATTCCCGGAACCGAACGCGTGAGCGGGTCCTCGACAAGGTTCTTAGCCCAGTCGAAGTCGGCGTAGTACTCGAAAAATGTACAGACCAAGTGCGCGGCCGTCACATCGTGCCCGTTGTGGTAGAGGAGCTTGGCGACACGGTCGAGCATCAAGGAAATGTGGGAGCCGCTGAGGAATCCGAACCGAGCGGCATATACGCCTCGGCTCATGGACCAGATGACCAGGAAGCGGTAGGCTACTCTGAAAGCGGGTAGGTCGGGCGTGGTCTGTAGGAGATGAGCGAGATCGCGGATCGCCTTGAGCTTGGACAGCGTCTGAAGTGGGAGCGAGAAAAGGGCGTTTGTCGGAGGGAGCGAAAGCGGAGTAGGCCAACTGGATTCGATCTCGTCAGTTACAGCACTCTTCGGTTGTTCGGGGAGACTCACCAATCTGCAATTCTCGCGGCAGCACAGTACTGAAGATCGAGTTTGATGCCTTGAATATCAAGTTCAAGCATCGTCCCTGAGTGGGCTTCGACTTTGCGGAGGATGCGAACACCTTGCGGCGCGGCTTTTCGCAGGTTCTTGACGGCCAGGGTGAAGAACGTTTTCGAGCTAACAGAGCTGATGCACAGACAGTCAATATCTGAGCCGGCATTCCAGGCACCAAGGCCGTATGAACCAACAGGTACGACAACCAAGGGGATTTTACTGCCGGCTGCAGAGATCTGCTGAAGCGTGGCCTCTAATAAGGAAAAGACTTCCCGTCGTTTCTGCGTATCTGCTGCTGTTGGAGCTGTCGAGTGATGAGTGACAAAGCTCTGGAGCGACGCAGAGTTAAGCTTTGCAGGAGGAGCGACAAGGGGAATGTTCTCAATCTCGGCGTTTGCCAAAGCAGGCGATTTGGTGACTTTGATGGTTGCTCGCACGCCCCAATGGTCACTTCCGCAACGCTGCTCCTCAGAGTCTGGGTGCCCAAACGTGTTGAAGTTGGCAACCTCCAAAGCGTCCTCTCCTTTGAGCAGAATTCTGTCGTAACGCTGAGGTCTATGGGTCAGGCCATGACCAACGATCTCAGCAGCTAGTGGATTTTTCCTCGGATCGAAGGTTGCGCCTTGCTCTCCCTCAGCGAGGTCATCATCATCGACGTCTGCGCTATCAGGACCATGATGAGACCGAGAAACGGCCCAGGCGTCTGCAAAGCCAGTTTCTGAGAGAAGCTGCTCGAATCCGCTCAGCGTGCGGACTGTCTGAGCAGAGACAGATTGGGTCTTGATGGCATCCTCAATGGTACGCGTCGAGGTCGTAACGTTGAAGTCTCCTGCGATCATCCATGGGCAATCGGCGTAGTTTCCGGAGAGGTGATTCAAAAGAGAGCGTAACTGACTCTTCTTAGCGGCCACAGAACCATCCGTAAGGCCACACGTCAGATGAACACCGGCAATGACCAGAGGAGAAAATTCTCCAGACTCAGACACCTTGCCGACGCTCTTCATTTTGACGACGACTGCGCCTTTGTGGCGCCTTTCAAACGTCACCATCTCCCAGTCGAAGCTCCAGCGTGAAAGCACAACGATGTTGCGCAGACTTAGTAATGGCCCGACGTCTCCTTGATCGGGTGGAGCATGCGATACGTACGGCCACAAGCTGCGGATCTCATCATCTCGGAGGAGGTGGCACAGAAAGTCATCGGAAACTTCTTGAAGAACGAGCACATCGGAGCGTGCGGATTCGGAAAGAATAGTGCGAACCAAGATTCCAAAGCGTTCATAGGCAGGCGGATAGATGGAGTCGACCAGAACGTTGTAACTGGATATTCTGAAGGAAGGGGGCATCATCTGAGGAGCTTCCACAGTTGTGCATGGGATCCAAGAAGCAGCGGACGGACTGAATTGGTACGTCGGCTCTTTTGAAACGTTGGAAGTCTGATTCGGCGAGGCTGAAGGGCGCGGCGAAGAGGTTTGTTGGTCCGTAGAGATGGGAATGGTTGCCCATACCCTCATCACATTGTCGTCGCCCCGAACGAGGATGGCCAGTTCCTCCAAAGGCCATTCAATGGTCGGTAATAAGCGCGCCTTAGCTCTTAGAGAATCGCGCAACTCATCATTACCAGCTTGTCCGACAGTTAGATGCGGGTTGTACTGGGGGATGGAATTTTGAGAAAACTCGGTGAACAAGGCGTGGTGGAGAGTGCGGAGGCGGTCATGCTCCGCGGGACAGATGTAAATGGTGCTGTTGTGCTTGTGGGTAAAGTAGCCAGTTTCATCCAACTTCAGTGTTGCGCTGCTCAGGTTGGAGCTGTCCAAGGCTGCGCGCAGAATGGAGGTGGCGTTATGCAGAGAATCTGGATGAACGAAAGGATAAAGAAGATTTATGTGAGCAGGCCATTTGTGATAAGCCTTATCGTAGGCTTCGCGCAAGGTGTTGACATGGTCGACGAGATGTGCAGGCGGAAGAATTGCCAAGGCGGTTTGATGGGAAGTAAGGTCGGGAGTAGTAGTGTTAGCCATGATAACGGATGAAAGGCAGACAAATGGGTTGTTGGATGGATAGACGGATCATTCTGAGGCGACAGTCGGCGGACATATAGCTGGCAGGCAGGATAACTGGGGCACAAGGCAGTGCAATGGCTTTGGTCACAAGAAGGACCATCCTCAGTTGTGGAGTCGTGAGTCAAGACAAGAGAACACGAGCGGGGTGCTGGAGTCAGGAGATGAGTCATCACGCACTTCCGAAAGAGGAATGGTCGACCCAGACACCGCGACACCGTATTACCGCAAACGGAATCCCAGGCCCCAGATGTACAAGCCTCGATGACTATTGGCTCATTTGCACCGAAGGCTCAATAAGAAACCTGCTAGTATGCCTATGAAGCATATCAACTCATGCAGATTCCCCAGCCACTTGCTGAGCCACCGCCCTTTTTGGATAATCGGCCCGGTCAAACAGAGTAGAATAGGCTTCTGCAGTTGCTATTGGCTCACGCAAAGAATGGCCTCAGGCTGTGTCAGCGCTCGGACAAACATACCATGTATGTTCATCTTGGAGGCGAAAAGAATTAGCTGAAAAGTAGGCATCAATGGCATTACTAGCTGAACCGAAACATAGTCAAAAGCTGAACTCCCTGCTTCAGGCCTCCCGAGCGTCGATATTGACTTTCAGAGTATTGCGTGTCCCCGCACAAGAGATGACCCCACGGGACCCGAATTCTCACGGCGATTCAGATCGACGACAGAGGGCTGATCCAACTACGTCCAAGTGCAAGATCAGTGGCTCCAGTAGATCTCGGATCCCCAACAAAGAAGCTATTGTTTCACCAGCACTCCCGCGATTGGGGGCTGCTGTTCGGGTGATGTGCAAGATGCGTCTTGAGATCTGACGGAAACGCTAACGCAATCCCACGTGCAGTAGTAGACGGGAGGGCTGTGCATCGCGGCTTGTGTCTGGATCTACATGCATGTCAGTGAAGTGGCTGCGGTCCGTTGACACAGCGACTGGGAAACAGCCACTTCATGTGATTGAGTCCATGTACTTACACTCTGTGTAACCAGCATTGGCATGTCGGTGATGGCAGACAATGCGCGGCTGATGCATCGGCCGTAGACGTGGCTGCAGGCTAGCAGAGGCAAACCGCCGTGGACCCCCACATCAGGACTGACGATTTTCGTGAGCACGACAGATACATGCAGTGAAAGATGTCGCAGATGTATAAGGTCTTCGTTGATGACGACGAGGACGTGGTGTAGCTGGTGTTGGTCTGACTAGAGGGTAGCTGCTGACGGTCTTACCGGGCGAAGCAGCTTATAAGTACCCCGCTTGCGCAAAGTTCCGGCCAATCTGACCATGTTTCGGAGCTTCGGAAAATGCTTTTCTTGGCCAGACACCTCCAAGCATCTGAGCTAAGCCGCCCGCCAAAGCTTGCGCGGCCGTCGCCATTGAGGCTCCGTCCCCCGCGTCATGGGGCTGACGTCCAACTTAGTCCCAGTCTGGATTCGAGATGTTCGAGACCCCAAAAATAGCTCAGGTATACCGTGGGTGGTGTTCTGCGACGTGAATACAATGTAACTCGAGCTGCTATTTAACTTTGCCCAGCGCCCTCCGAATAGCAGACACATCAACAGGCAATCTTTCAGTCCTCTAATTCCAATCCTTCAATTATCCCCCACGATGCATTCCAAATCCTCGGCTGCCGCCCTTCTGGCACTTGCAGCATCCTCTTTTGTCGCCGCCGCTCCGGCGAACACTCCCGTTGGAACTCCAGTCGGGACTCCAGTTGGCACTCCAGTCGGTACTCCAGATGATGAGACTGTGATCGAGACTGTCCACAAGACTGCGATTGTGACTGTTGTTGGCACCGCTGACTCGGAATACTATTCTACCCAGACCCAATACCAGTACTACACCACACAGACACCTGACAGCAACAACAACAACAACTACAACAGCAACAACAACGGCAATGGAGACGGCAACGGCAATGGCTACGACTCCAACCCCACGACTGGCAATGTCATCACTGTCAGCTACGATGTCTCTCCCATCCCCACCGAGGTGCATCCCGATGGCAACAAGTTCCGCTTCCCGCTCTCCAACGACTTCCCCAACCCCAACCAGAAGGAGCTCGACGACATCCAGGAGATCGCGGGCGGCACGCTTCCCAACGGAGGCGGTGGTGCGCCTCCAAGTGCCGATGCCCTCACCTCGCTGAGGTTCATTGCCTTCAACGAGCTCTTCGAGGTGGCCTTCTTCACCGACCTGCTGAAGAACATCACGCACAACGTGCCTGGCTACCAAGTCAAGGATGCCACCAAGCTCAACATCGACCTTGACGACCTGATCATCATTCTCGCCACTGTTCAGGCGCAGGAGGAGCTTCATGAGCTCAATGCCAACGGAGCGCTGGCCAAGAATAACGCCGGTCCCATCCAGCCGTGCGAGTACGTTTTCGGAGTGGACAACCTGAAGGATGCCATCGCCACGGCAGCGACCTTCACCGACGTTGTTCTCGGCACCCTGCAGGATGTCGAGAACGACTTTGGACTGAGCGGCGACATCGGGCTGATCCGTGGTGTTGCTTCGGTCATCGGGCAGGAGGGCGAGCAGAACGGCTTCTACCGGCTGTTCCAGGGCAAGCGTCCGTCGGCCGAGCCCTTCCTGACGGCAAGCACCCGCCAGTTCGCCTTCTCGGCGCTGAACCAGATGTTCGTGGTTCCGGGCACCTGCCCCAACATCGACACCATCGACCTCCCCATCTTCGAGCCGCTCAAGCTGATTGGGTCGGCGCAGCCCAAGGACAGCATCGTCACGTTCCAGATCCAGGCCAACAGCACCATCCACGAGGAAGACCTCTCCCTTGTCCTGATCAATGGCCAGAACCTGCCCATCATCGAGAAGCTGAAGAACGTCAAGAAGATGGACCACGGCGTCATCCAGTTCGACGCCGACTTCCCCTTCGATACCAACCTCCTGTTCGGCCTGACCATCGCCGTCGTCACGAACACGGACAAGGGCCTTACCGATGTCGACAAGGTTGCTGACGCAACCGTCTTTGGCCCGGCTCTGATTGAAGTCAATTAATTCTCCGCCACCACACGGCAGTTCGGGCTCGATGCGAGGGACGGCGCCGCCCTACTACAATCCTTCGTGCTAATTTGAGAAAGCCCCCACGGCACCCGCGCGCCCTGGCGTTTTTCAGGAATGCTTGCATGATACTCTCCTTTGGTACTCTGTCTTTTTGTCTGGCTTAGAATTTGTTTGCATTTCTGGTTGAAGCAGCATTATTAGCATACATGAATGAATTATCCATCCCAAGGCACGAAATACCTCCTTGACCAGGCTCGGGTGACCAAAGACGCAGTGTCGATGATGGCACGAGTGACACTGTGTACTAACCACGGTAGGCGAGGCGAAATCGGAGTGGCGGTCTGTGGCGCTAGGAGGGATTCGTAGGAGACTTTGTGCCGGCGAGGGTCTGGATCGCTGTTGCTTGGTGGGTGAGAAGTCCCAAGGGCCGGGGAGAGGTTAGGGCGCCATGGGGGAGCGGCCACGTCTTACGTCGCTGGGTCGGGTCCCCGCGACCAACTCGACCCCACCTTCTCTCCAACGAACCAGCCACATCATGGGGAACATTATCGCTATCATCCGCGAAGCCTACAAGACCATTTCCGCCGCCATCAAGGCCTTCATCGCGCTGAATGCCGACTTCCTGGAAGTGCTCGCCCGGGCCTCCAAGCCGCCCGGGCTCCCGGTCGCTGCACCCACGCAATCGTACTGGCTGGCTGACCCACCGTATCCGGAGCTGGTAGACACCAGATCGGAGAAATTGCCGGAGTTTTGTGATGTGGCTATTATTGGCAGTGGCATAACCGCCGCCGCCGTTGCGCGCACGCTGCTGGTGGAGGCTCAGCGCAAGAACGACGCCTTGGGCCGCGTCGTGGTTCTAGAAGCGCGGCAGCTAACCAGCGGCGCCACCGGCAGGAACGGCGGCCACATCAAGCCCTCATCCTACCTTGACTATGCGCTGTTGAAGAAAAAGTTCGGCGCCGCCCGCGCTGCTGCCATCGTTCGATTCCAGCGTCAGCACTTGACGCGCATTCCTGACCTCTGTCGCGCCGAGCGCTTTGATGTTGCTGAGTGCCGCGAAGTTGAGTCGGTCGACCTCTTTCTGGACACTCCCTCTTTTGAAAAGTGGACGAAGCAGGTTGATGAGCTGAAGTCTGCTGTGCCCGAGGCAGTTCACACCATCAGCAACAGTAAAGAGGCCCAAGAGGTAAGCTCCGCGCCAGAAATCCAACCCTGCTGGAAAGCTAACTCTAGCAGAAATTCGATGTCGGCGAGCAAGTTGTCGGTGCCATATCCTACACTTGCGGAGCTCTTTGGCCCTACAGATTCGTCTCGTCCGTCTGGAAGTCCCTCCTCACGCAGTTCCCAACTGTACTCTCCATCGAGACCGGGACCCCCGTCGAGTCCATCTCCTCGGCCGAGTCCGATGCGCACCCATTCCTGCTGCAAACCCCACGAGGCATCGTACGAGCACGACACGTCGTCCACGCCACCAATGCCTTCGCCAGTCACCTGATCCCGGGCCTGCGCAACAAGATGACAGGCTTGCGCGCCCACATGTCCGCCCAACGGCCCGGCCAATCTTTCAAGTCGGACTCCAAAGGCGGACGCTCATGGTCCATCATGTACGGCTCGGGCTTCGACTACATGACGCAGCGTCCCGCCGACCCGGACTCTAAGACTGGGGGCCACCTCATGATCGGCGGGGGCTTCTTCCGCTCCACGAAGCAGGGCCTCGACCAGATGGGCGTGTGGGACGACAGCAAGCTCGACGCCCTCACGGCCACCCACCTCAACGGCATCCTGCCCACCGTCTTTTCGCCGCACTGGGGCGCCGACGCGCCCGCCGGTCGCCTCAAGCAGATGTGGTCCGGCACCATCTGCTTCACCGCCGATAGCGTGCCGTTCGTCGGCATGGTCGACCCGCGTCTGACTGGCCGCAAGGTGAAATCGGCGGTGCAGTCGGAGCGGCAGCAACCGCAGCCTGGAGAGTGGATAGCCGCCGGCTACCACGGCGACGGCATGATCTACGCCTGGCTCTGCGGCTCCGCCGTCGGCCTGATGCTCGCCGGCTCCGACGAGGACGAGAACGTGCCCGAGAGACCGGGTTTGCCGGGAGGCAGGGTCGACGGGTGGCTGCCGGAAGAGTTGCGGATCAGCTACGATCGCGTCAGGAAGTTGACCCTCGCCGACCTAGCCGACGAGTTGGAGTAGCCCTCGCCGCGGAGAAAGGACTTATCTGCACCCTTCTGATGAGGGGAGGTGGCGATAATCTCAACGACTTCCTAACGCCTCTCGAGCAAGACTTCCCCGCATGAACGGCCTTATTCGCTTTCGATCCCCAAAGATGTTATCCAAGATTGCAACCGCCACCAGCCCGGCGAACGCGCTCCACGGCAGCGCGTTGCGCAGAATCTCCTCGTACGCCACCCCGACGATCAACGACGCACACACCCCCAGCAGCACCGCCACCGCGACCGTCTGATTCCTGTATCTCCACCGCCTATGCTGCCGATACCACCATATCGCTGCACCCGCGTACGCCGAGCACGCCGCCAGTATGACAGCGGGCTGCGGCCGCCAGAAACACTTGTCCTCGTCGCCGATGATGACCCAGAAGCGCGCGCAGAGGGGCAGCGGGTTGCGGTGCCAGTACGTGCTGACTGTCGACGCGGCCACCATCATGACCGCCGCCGCGAACAGGTGCGTAGCTAGTATTGAAGCACGTGATCGTGTCCGCTGCCTTGGTAGTGGAAGCAAAGGCGAATGGGGCGAGAGGTTGGCGTATGCGGATGTCCTGCGCGGCATTAGCATTAGCGTCAGAGCTAGCTTTTGTTTCATGTTTTCTTAGAATGATGATGATGATGATGATGATGACTCACATTTCGACGTCTTCGTTTATCGTTTCCAGCAGGCTTCCTCCTCCTCCTCCTCCTCCTCCTCCTCCGCCTTGCGGCTCGAGCAGGCGTGATGACGACGGACCGTGGCTCCGCTGTGAGATATTGGTGCGCGTACTGGGACGCGTCGAGCGGACCATATCCAGTATCATTCATCCACTAGCCGAACGGGAAGAAGGCGCGTGCGTGGGGTTCTATAGGCGCGATGAAGTCACCCGCGTACGATTAGGGTGGTTTTTCGACAGGGATCCGGGGTTTCCTTAGGATGGGCTTAGAACAAGAATCTTATCGCTGTACCAAGCGAGAGAGAGAAGGATAAAGTCAAAGGTCGAAGATGCTTGAAGATCTGACCAAGCGTTTGCCGCTCATTTACCAAATAACCTTAAGTGTCGAAAAGTTGCCGCGACAAGTACGTTGGTTGAGGGGATGATGTGAGATTGAAAAAGTGCAAAGCACCCCGGGAGGATTAAAACTCGGTCTTGTCTCACCTCAGCTAGCGTGTGCAGCAGAGAAAGAAGTCGCGAGAATTATTATTACTGTCGCCTAATGCTTGGCTGCCGTTGCTTGGTTGGCTGAAGAAGCGGAGAAGAGCAACGTAAGCCGGGACGATATGTGTGGCGCTTTTTTTTTCTGTTCATCATTCGTGCTTTGCGATTTTTGCCGCATATCCGATCGAGGGTCCCCACTGCCGGCAGCCACCCACCCCACAAACGCTCGCTTCCACAGAGGGTCCGTCTGCAATGTTGATCTCCTTGGCGGAAGTCCGGCAGTTCGCACAAACGTATCGTGGGATTCCAGCTCGGCCTTCAAAGGTTTTCCTTTTAGCAGATGCTGCCTTTGAAAATTGAAAGAAAGTGTTTGGGATAAAGAAGACTGGGGAGAATAGGAATAAAGAAAGCAGTTACACATTTGTGACATCATAGACACCCTGGCATCGGTACCCGACGGCGGAGGAGCCGAGTTCTTATAGAATGCGGGTAATAATACTGTACCGCCCCGGCGGGTCACACAAGAAGCTGACCTTCCCAATTCGGTTTCACCAGCCGGAGATATTGTGACCCCACGTACTCACGATTAAATTGGATCTTGTACGTGGTCATGTTTAGATATTTAAGCTTTGCATGTGGGTCCGGCTATTTGCTTCTCGCCTACCTGTTAAGGACGCGTGCAGTGTCCTTTGTAGGACACGGGGAAGGCCCCATAAATCCAATTTGCTACAGCACTCAGCATTCCTCTGGGCCAAATATTATCCGTGCAGCATCTGCAGAGGACTTTTACAGCCGAAGGCCAGCGTGAACATATTTTCGCTCATACCATGAGTAGTTGAAGCTATCAACCGGACGTAAATGTACAATTAATAATTATACAGTCACGTCCGGACGATAGCTTCAACTACCCAAACATGTTTTTTTTTCCTAAAAACAGAAATGAGAATACTTTCCCCTCATCCTATTACTAGCTTCAGCTGCAATACCCCCCATCTGTCCCATGCAGTCGGAATCTAAAAGAAGCAAACAGAAGTCGAATGCAAGTTAATGACGATAGCAAGCTGAACGGAATGGTCACAGACACCACCACAACCCAACATCCGGCAATACTTGCCAGCGCACTCAGAAAAACGCCCCCCATGACGCGCCCGTGCAAGCAAGCAGCTATCTCCGACCATAAAGAAGACCATGACGACGCCGACACCTGGCCGGCATGGAGGAACCGTTAAGGTGAAGGCCTGTCTGTGGACGCTTTCGATGAGCGCCCTACCCCAGCCCCGGCCCCAGCTCCAGCTCCAGCTCCCGTCCCCGCCGAAAGGACTTATGACTGACTACTTTCTACAGAGAACGATTCATCAAGCAGATCCAGCTGTTAAAGAAGAGCTATAATCGCGGCCCATGCGGCTCAGGTAACTCGAGCATGGAGCCCGTGGATACCCCACGACACACTTTAAAGCCGGTGTCACCCGTGGATACTCCACGACCAACTTCAAATCCTACGTTACCTTACCAACAAGCAACAACTCCCTTGACAGCTACGGCGCTTGAGAAGCTCGACTCTGAGCAAGGACTGAAGAAGGAGAGACCTGGAGTTTCCGAGACCGACAGCTTACGTAGAGCTACGTCTCAGACGGAAGAAGCAGCCTCGGACATTGACGCCATGAGTCTTGAGAATGATTCCCAGGAAGACCAAGCATCCAGCATTGCCCCGGACACTGAGGAGCCGCTACAAGATCTCAACGATACCGCCTATCTTGAGCCTCCATTCGACTCTACCTGGAACGAATTCGAGCCAAAGTATCTGGAGTGGAAGGAATGGAAAGATGAAAGAGACGCGCGGATCGCTCAGTTTCTCCAGCTTCTGGCTGTAGGAACAGACATCCAGATTGATACACCGCTCGACCCGCATGACAACGCAAAGTGAGAGCGGGAAATCAAGTCGGACACAAGCAAACTTTTAGTAGATTCCTGACAAACGTGTCAGCAATCAGTCAACCAGGTCTATAAAAGACCGGTAGATAGCAAGAATACAATCACTACGCAGTCTTTTCAACTCGCGGGCTGAGAGCCCAATAACGCCACTGGAACACGGAAAATCCGCAAGTTCTTGAAAAGCTACGTTGCAAGGGAGTAGAGCGAGGCAGCACCTGAGCACATATGCACAAGCTGCTATCTCAAAAGAACCACCAAGTAAGGAAAGAACCCATGTATTTCTCGAAAGAGTTGGGAGTTTTCGGCCAACCTGGCCACTACCGAAGTCTGCCTGCTACCAAAGCAGATCAAAAAAGGGGCACGAAGCCGGGGGTATCGGGGGAATCTTAGGGCAAGCTGCTAGTCTATATTACGGTGTGAATGGGGTGAAGGAAAAAATGGGGGGCTGGGAAATCAACCAATCAATCAAGAAAGAGGCAACAAACCATCCCCACGTTGCCAACAACAATCAACCGATGACGCTACCCATCACGCGCCATCACCAAGCCCACCAAATCTTCCACCAATATTTTTTTTGTTGCTTCTCTCTAGCATGCGCCAACAATGCGCTTAGTAGTAACCACCCTCATGCTCATCGTCATCATCGTCCTCGTCGTCGTCTTCGTCTGCTTCTTCATACTCCATCGCGTTGGAGTAGCTAGCCCTCTGTTGCTCCGCCGCCAGGGCACCTGATATCTGCTGCCAGACAAAGTAGGAAGGTACACCAGGAGCTCCGGGAGCAGGCTGCTGCAGGGCGGGAGGGGGAGCGGCCATCTGCTGGTTGAAATGCCGACCGATCTGCTGCAAGTGGCTGTGGAATGGCTGCTGCTGCGCCTGTGCATACGGCTGCTGAACCTGACCGTACGCCTGCGGGACGTGCTGGCCGTACGGATACGCAGCCTGGTTCATGCCAAGCAAGTGCTGAGCCCTCCTTTGGGCGTCAGCGTACGGATTGGCGAAGCCGTAGCCGAAGGGAACCTGCTGCTGATGCTGCGGGTGGTTGTGGTACTGCTGTTGATGCATGCCGTACGGGACCGTCTGTGGGATAGGCCGAGCAAGAACACCTGGGACGTACGGGGGTTGGTGCAGGTGCTGGAAACGGTATGCCTGGTCTAGACGTCCAAGGGCTCCTTGGTTGACTGGATGAACCGGCTGCTGCTGGTACTGCCGCTGCTGATACTCTTGCTGCTGCTGGTGTTGACGCTGCTGATTTTCTTCCTGCTTCTGTTGTTGACCGACGCGCAGCGACTTCTCCAGAATGCGCATTCCCGTCTTCGGGCTCATCCTGCCCCTATTGCACTCCCTCCGAATCGCCTCCAACCTGACCTCATCCATGTGCTTACGTGACTGGTACATCGCTTCTCTTCCTCTCAGCATGTCCTCATTGTCATCAAGCTTCTCCCTCAGCGGCTTCGCCGCCTGCAAGCGCACCATATCCTCATGGCGTCGCTTAGTCTCTGCAGCATAGCTCTGGAACATGGTGTTATCATCACGGCAGGAGCGGTCCTCATCCTGGACTTGAACTTCCTTGGACCAGTGAGAGAAGGCTTCCTGGGCGATGCGCTTCTCGCCGTGCTCGATTTCCTTCTCGCGTTCCTGGTAAGTCGCTGAACGCTCAGTCCAGCCTTGCCACACCGGGTTCTGTCCCTTGCCCAGAGCGTCTAGCATCTCCATCTGCCATCCCTTCATGAGCGGGCCGGTACGTTCGGCCGCTGCACCGACAAACTTCGGTTGGGCAACAGGAGTCTTGTTGGTAACATCGATAATAGGCTTCGCCTTTATAGTCTCCACCGAACTTCCATCTTGACGATCGCTGTGTTGCTTGGTGCAGGTGGTGGAACTGGCTTTAGGAAAAGAGGAGACGCGAGTGTGCTGGAGATGGTCCATCGGCTTGCTCAGCGAAGGCAGCTGATACAAGGACTGGTGGCGCGTCGTGTTGCGAGCCTTGGAGATGAACTGGTATGCGTTACGAGTTCCGCGCTGCTGGAAACCATTCTGCGCGCCATATGGCGTATGTTGTCTTTGCAGCAGAGGTGTCGAATCTGGTTCGTCTTCACGCTCGTCCTTGATGGCGCTCTTCATCGACTCCGGGATGGGCGTACCCCATGTACGACCACCGGAACGCAGTGCGTCCAGACGACCCTTACTAGTTCCAGTCGAATGGCGGGCATCAAGCTCCTCACCCCAAGTTGAGACGTTTCTTGCTCCAGTGCCTCTACGAAGTTGCTGCTCCCTTTCCGAAAGGATGACCGGTTCGCCGTCCACAGGACTCAATACCTCGAGTTGAACTTCTCCTTTGGCAAAGTACTCACAGAATGTGTTCCAGTAGTTCAGATCGACGTCATTTCCAGCCAGAAGCGGGTGTGCACCGCCACGTTGAAAGCGAAGGCAGGTAAGACGCTGCATTTCGTGGACAAGCACAACATTCTCATCACTCTTGTTGCCGATGCTGAGGCTGGACATGTTACCCGACAGCTGTTGCAGTTGCTGCACCCGGCCTGCGACGGCATCGACCTTGAAGTAGAAAGGAGGCTGCAGCGGGAAAGGAATCCTCTCTCGATCGGCGACAACCTGCGGGGCACCGTCACTGGCATTTTGTTGCTTCTCTGCACGCGCCTGGGCGGTCGCCATGTACTCTGCGTACGCCCGAGCATCCTTCAGGTGCACCCGCCCACTCTGTGGCTTCCCGAGGGATGGCTGCTGACGTACCTGAACAATCTTGGGAGCCAACGGCGTGCGGCCGGCCGAACTGCCCTGAGCCCTGTTCTCCGTCTGTTCATCTGACAAGTCTTTCTCGCGAACAGGTCCCAGCACCTCCATGAACCTCGACACGTGAGCCGAGGGCCAGGCAACAAGTTGCCACGAGGTTTGAACAGTCTCTTCGCCCAACACGGGTTCCTCAACGCCCTGAACCTGCGTTCCGCGCCTTCTCTTTGCCACAGGGGTCCCGACGACCCCGGTATCACCCTTCCCTAGTTTTTCTGGACCCTTGGCGCTATTTTCAGGAAAACGCGACGGCTTCTCTTGAATGTACAGGATGGTCCAGATATTGGGGTTCGCGGTAGAAGTCTCGTGGTAGGGGTGGTGACTGTTCAACAGGGCCTTTCGCATGTTGTCCGACTCTGGAAGGACTTCGACTTCGATCATCTTGACTTCGGCGGCATCGTGTTGGTCAGCGATGGTGAACAGCTTAGCTGGCTTTTCCACGATCTCGTGAGGCGAGGTCCGGGGTGGGCACGGAATCGTCCGCGCAGTGACGGAGTGAATGGGAATCTCTCGGGGCTGCAACAGGCACAGACCCTCCCAGTGCTTGCGACCGAAGCGGAACCACTGATCAAACAAGTATCCAAGGTTCGGAACAACATTGCACTGCGTGGGGGGCTGCCTGGGCGGTTGAGGCGTAGACTGAAACTGCGACGAGTTTTGCAATGTGTTACCGGTGATGGTGCGCTTTGAAGACATGTCGTGTAAAACTTTGTTGTGTACATTCGTGTTATTGTTGAATTGAGGCGCATCTTCGGTGCTAGTACTCTCTGCATCTCTGTAGATGTCGAATTCACTGCTCTGAGCGCTTGGAGGGGCGAACGGCTCGGGCGTGAAAGCGTTGCCCAGAACCTTCCTGCCTGCTGCGGGAGAATCTTGTCCAGTAAACCCACCATAAGACATAGCGTCGTTCATTTTCTGATCTCTTTTATCTTCCGGGGCAGGTGCGGCGGGAAAGGTGAATCCCAAAAGGTCCGGATGATACTTGCGTATCGCAGGCTCGACAGGCGCCTTACGGTCTAGGTGCTTTTTCGGCGATGACTGAAGCTTCGGCTTCTTCTGCGAGTCAGTAGACTGGTGAGGCAACGAGCTGTTGCTAATGGGTTGGGCTATTTGCATGGTTGCTTCCTGGCGTCCTAGCGAAGGCTGAGACTTCACGTTGCGCTGAGCAACAACATCGATAGTCGGTGACCACTTCATCCGAGCGGCGACCGATGACAGTGGCTGCAAATCTTTTGAAACGGCATGTCCAGAGGAAACGGTGGGCATTAAAACAGTTGATGCTGAGACAGTGTCGGCGGCCGGCAGCGGTGGCGGCGCGGTGAATGGCCCGTTGACTTTGGCATAGCCAAGGATACGCTGTAAGACAGCGGACCGGTCCGCCACAGTCGCTCTGCGCTCGTCGATGACTTTCTCATCGAAGGCGAGCTTCCGCGACCGATGAAGCTCGTCATGCATTGCGCCGTGGAAGGAGTGTGAGTGTCGCGGTGGTCCAAAGGAACGAAAACGCTGGCGGAGTTGAGCGATGTAAGGTTTGTAGGTTGAAGAGGAAGAAGAGCGGCGAAAGACAAGACGAAGAAGGAAGCAGAAGGAGAGTCTGGAGTACGCATGCGAAAGAGTGATGCCGCCGGGTCTACCTCGCATGCAGGGTCTTCCACCTGCAGCAAAGGCAGGCACGAGGCAGCTGCGGATGCATCAGTTAAAAAATTGTAGAAGAATGCCGCGACAAGTTGGCGCGAGCTTGTGGCGACACTGCTCGTCGTGAACGAGACCCTTATGTCTATGCGGTCCTGGGGCTCTGTCTATTTCGGCAAGTCTCTTCTGATGGCGCGACCCTGTCTACCGGACACAGTAATCTTTAGAGTGGGCCATCACTATAGCGGGCCTCGCCGTGGTTATTAATCTTTGCTGTTCCCGTGTTTATTTTGGCGCCCCAAGACGCTATTGTGTTAGAACGAGCCGCTGTTTCCACCGCAGTCTTCTACAACCAGGTCTGTCATTCACCACAGTCCTTACCTCTTAGAGAAGAGGCACGTGGCCGCTTCGCCCAACTCTGGTAATGTTGAGGTCACATGGCACCGAGAAATTGAGTAGGTCATGACGTTAAACGTCAGCATTACTATTCATGCAGAGTATTGACTAGCGACTCTGACGACGGTACTTTCCGAGAATATCTTCGTACACATCATTAACAGCCATCTCTACAACTCAGTCTTTTCGTCATTGACAGAGAACTTGTAGATAGCCTCCAAGACGTAGGGAGGATCCTCAGGACCGAAGATCTGCTTGCTGTCGCGCTGCCACTCCGGCTGGTTGATGCCGTCGATCCAGTCCTGCACTTCCAGGACGACGCAGCCATACTTTTCAACAACGCGCGGGCGGTCAGCGTCGTTAAAGAAACCTTGAGTTTCCTTAAGGGCCAGAGTTCCTGCGTGAAATGAGCATCATATATGGGTGTCTGGCGTTGGGATGGACTGCTTACCGTTCTGACCACCGCACGAATACACCTGGAACGCATCCTGGTCGGTGAAAACATCCACCTTGATACCCGAGAAATCACTCGACACACTGGCCACAGGGCCCTTGGTGCGCCAATCGTAGGGACCCTCCTGTGCGCGGTTGACAAGGAAGCAGTTGTCATAGCCGGCACAGCCAGTGCCGCAGTTGCCCTCGATCTCAGGGTCGTCGAAACTTGCGCCAACCTGCTTGGGGGCACTCCAGAAGTCGTTGACAGAACCCTTCTGGTTAGGGAGGATGGTGCCGTTGGGGATCAGCATACCATCAACCCCAACGCGCTGGCCAGAATAAGGCAACGACAGGGTATGGTTGAGGGCGGTTGCAGTGTCGTTGTTTTGGAAACCATCCAAATTCCAGTACGTCTAGAACCAAGTCAGATCATATTTTGCTGACAACAAAGTTCCTGCGGCCAGGTCATGGGGAACTCACGTGAGAACTCAGCATGATCGGCGTCTTCTTGGTCAGCGCTGTGGCGTACATCTTCAGGTGCCAAGCGTAGGGGGTCAGGGTGTAGGTGATGTAGCTCTGGACGGCTCCAGGGAAGCCTTGCTCTCCATCGGGATCGAGAAGGGAGAAGGTGATGGAGTTCTCGGTGTGAGACTCAACGGTAAAGTTGCGCTGAGGGCGGTTAGCACGACTGCATTCGAAAAGGGGAAGCAAACTTACCCAGTCCCAGCCATTGGATCCGCCGTGCAGAGTATCCAAGCCGCCGTTTTCGTTGGCATCAACCTTGTACTCCACACCGTCGATGGTGAAAGTGCTGTTCTTGATGCGGTTCGCGTAGCGCCCTGACGCACGTCAGCCACTGGCGCAGCCTCCCGAGGGGCTTGAAACTTACCAGGAACGCCGCCAAGATGCGGGTGCATCTTGTCAATGGAGTAGTAGCTCGCATTGTCGAAACCCAGCACGATGTCGCGCTCGACGCCATTGGTGTCGTTGATGAAGAGGTTCGAAATGGAGGCGCCGTAGGGAATGAACTTTGCGCGAATCCCCTCGGCGGAGATCTCGTACTTGCCGTCGGGGCCCTGTGCGCGCACGCTGGAAAGCAGCAGTGATGCCGCCGTGGCGACCAAAGTGCTGGAGGCGACCATGTTGTTGGGGAAGTGGCTCCAATGGCACGGGCGACCAAGGTTTGCGGGTGAGGTTAAGGAGGAGGCAGAGGGGAGTACGTTCCGGGGGAGCGGGCCTTATAGGCAGAAGCTACCCTGGGCAGGAAGCACGCGCATGACCGGCGAACTGGTAAGACTAGAGCGCGATTCCGGGGACAAGACGGGCTTTGCTGCGGGGGGGGACAGAATGAAGGTAGGAAGGATCATCAGGCACGCGGCGACAAAGCGGCCAACGCGCTGGGATCAAGCTTTGGTGCAACCCTGTCGGACAGGCGTGTCGGTGAGGCCAGGCCGGTGGGCGTATGCGGCGCGAAGGATCCGGCGGGCGGAGGCTGTGGCCGCACCGTCTTTCTGCGGAGCGAGATGAGGAGACGCGGCACAGTCGAAGCCGTCGATGTCATTCGTTTGCTAGGCAGGAAGCTTGACCGACGCACTTTGCGGGGGAGGCAGCGGGGGATGCGCCCCCCAGTCGCCAATTTCCGCCGCAATCCAGATGCGCCGCCAGTCAACGGCTCCCTGCATCGCGCGACTTTTTGTTAATTTCGCGTGTAGAAAATGCCGACGCGGGTCTGAAAGAGATTAATGTCATTGTTTAGTGCTACCCGGAGCCGCCGCCCACCAGCCGGGACCGCGTCCACGCTGCTCTCACCGCGGCGCAGCTTCCCCGCATCCCGGGCCTTGTCATGCAAGTCCGGCCGGCATCCTGCTGACGCCATGCCAAACGACGCTTCGGGCTCTACTGGTTTCCCTGCGTGTAACGTCACGCCGCGCATCCTTTGGCGCTGATTAACCGTTCGTCAAGTCGAGCACTTCGACCTCGCTCTGCCGCCACGCCCGCCGCTTGCCACCCCTGCCGGCCGTGTTTTTCCCGCCACTGGCATTTTGCCTAGGCCCGTCGCCAGTCATGTCCAGCACGTCTACGCTCGACGCATCGACCATCTTCCAGCTACCTTGCAGGCTCTCGCGCAACTTGATCACTTTCTTTTTGCCCGGCCTCTCTGTCGCCCTACTGAAAACCCCATCCACACCAGAGTCCTGCCTGGCTAGTCCGGCAGGTTGCCGAGACGAACTCCGAGATCCGCTTGTTTCTTGCTGCGAGACCTGCTCAGTCTCTGTCGTTTCTTTGGATGAAATGTTTGCTGGGGTGCGACGTTGACGTGGCGAACGCCGCAGTCCCAGAGACATATCCAGCGATTCAGATTCTGAATTTGTTTTGGTAGCCATTTTGTTTGTGTTGTGCACCATTCCTATCGTCTTCAGCCGCCTGTTTGTGTTCCCGGTCGTGGGCTGAAGTGCCGTCGCGCTTGGACTTAATCTCCTGCTACCACCTGCCTTGTTTGACACTTGATTACTGGATCGAGTAAGCTGCGCGGGCGGTTGAGCTGAAGTGTCAAGGTCTGGTTGGGTCGATTCCTGATGAACCGCGGGAGATGAACGGCTGAGGTCCAGCGCTTCCACTCCATCAAACGAGGACGTGACTGCCGCAACGCCCCCGTCAATTACCGGTAAAAAAGGATCTCGGTGGTGCATTGAAGTAGAGACGTCTTTCGACAGCTTGAATGATTCTTCAAGCGTTGTTTGACGCTTTGAGGGCGTCACATCGTGTGCCTCGCCTCGCTGCTGTCGCCGTTTTGACGGTGTAGTTAGGCCTTGGGCTTGTGAACTACCCGTTCTTCTAGCTCGTGCAGGTTTTTGAGTTCTGGAAACTCTTTCTTGAGTAGGCCCTCCTTCCTGGATTCGTTGATAGACAGTTGATTCGGAGCGATTTTCTGCGACTGGTTGTGTATGTGAAGTCTCGGAAGTAGCTGCGGACTGGCTTGGCTGCATATCTGCGCGACTGCCAGTCCATGCGTCGATACTTTTCAGAGTACGCACCCGCTTTGTCGCATTTGAAGACCCGTAATGCTCATCCGCAGGTTGAGGCTGGGGTTCCGCTTCCTTAGATGGCGCAGCAGGTGAAGACGACAGAATGTCGATGTAGACGGGTTCTTTGCTTGTCCGCGGCGGTGAACTTGGCGCTCTGGATGACTTCCGCGTTTGAGCCAATGGCGCCACAGGAAAGCTGCTGGGTTGGTCATCCGGCTTCTCAGAACTGCCTGACATGTCCAGTCTTTCAATTGTAGGAGATCGACGCTTTGCAGGTGGGCGGGCAGCACCAGCTTTGGTGATTTTAGCAAATCGATCCAAAGCTCCTCTTTGCATCCCACCAGCAGCCGCTGGCTTGGAGGCACGAGGCTTGGTGACTTTTGCCGGTTTCGGTGCAGCTTTCTTCCGCTGAGCCTCCTCCCAATCCTGTACTTTCAGTGGTGTACCAACTTTAACAAAGCTTTCGGGAATCCAAATCTTTTCCAATTTGGTAGGATCGTAGAGATAGGGTCCGCGCTTCTTCGGCGCTTCGCCGTCTTCGTCCACGAGTCCCTCCTCGTCCTCGTCTTCGTCTTGGTCCGGTTCATCGTCCGGCTCTTCAGCATCCAAATCAATATTTACAATGCCAATGGGCGAAAATGCGATGCGGAGTTCGGTGGTGTGGTCAGTCGAAGGGTGTTGGCGCTTGCCATGGATGCTCGTCACTAGTGCTGCTTCGTCGGCTGCTATGATCTCAGGGTCCTCAGACAGTGCGTCTTCAGCGGCGGCTTGGCCACGTAGGCATAGATTCCGAACAAGCAGTGCTGGGGCAAGGTTACGGATGAATTTCTTCGCTCCGGTGACCTTCACCCATTCGAAGGCATCCGCGGTGAAGGTTCGCAGTTCCGGAAAGTTCAATTCCTGATCCCAACGAAGGCTCCTCTTCAGCCTTTCCAAGCCATCCCGCGAAGAGATGGCTGGTTTTGTATAGTATGCAAGTATATCCGTACGAGGAAACTCGTCCGGAATGGCGAGGGCTTTGTGCTTGCATCTGAAGAACTTGCTTTCGTTGGTGCGTAACTCATGGATAAGGGATTCGCGCCAAGTCTGCAAAGCAGCAGTGTCCTTCTTTCCAATTGCACACAGCCGGCTACCGAAACCAGCTCGAGCGGCCTCGCACGCGAGCTTCGGGCCGCAGTTGGGAATTCCTTCGGGCAGGTAGTCTCCTCCGCTCATGAGTGCCACAAGGATCATGCCCTCCCGATCGAGGCCCGCAGGGCCAGACTTCGTCTTTTCCGCATCATACAAATTGACATGTGTGGGCACCTTGCTCGATTTCTGCTCGGGCGACCAATTCCGCAGGGTAACGCGGCTTCCAAACATGAGGGTGTCGACATCCTCGCTCAAGACGGCATCCACAATCCCCTCCCGTTGTAATAGAGCACACTCGGCTTCTGCCTCGCCGGGAGCGATATGAAAGGGAAAGCCGAATTGTTTCAGTAGCTGTTTGGCGAGAAACTCGGGGATCGAGGCGACGTTGGGGCCGGTGCGCTTGTTGCGCTTAAACGGAGGCTTGTTCGGGCCATCGAAGACGAAAAGCGGGTGGATTGAGTGCGAGAGAAGGCGCAATAGGCGGTAGTAGAAGGTGCGAAGCGCAGGGTTGGTGCCGCCTAAACCAATGTCAGGGAAGGGATGCTGTAGGTCGACGGCGGCGACGTACCTTTGCCGGATTGGATCTGGAACAGCCAGATAGATGTGTCAATGGCGATGCGCAGTGGACGTCCGGTCTCTTCGAACTTGTCCACAGCAAGCTTCAACAGGGCTATGCGGTCTCCGGGGCCGATCTCTTTGTAGATGCTACGAGGCGGTTAGCGGCGTCGCGTGGACTGGGGTAACATTGAAGCGGCTGACCCGTGAATACCCATCGCTGTCGCATTGTAAAATTAAAGCAGCAGAATCCAAAAGAGCCAGGTGAGCAAAGCGGCGGATGGCGAGGCAGCGAGATGCGCGCGGGCTTGCGGGCGGAGTTGCGGCGGAGAGTGGTCCGAGCTCTGTGTTTACTGCTGCGACCGAACCCAAACAACCCACACAAGCTCCGCTCCCCGCGCTGCTTTTCCCTAGCGACCACCACAACACCACCACTCTTCGCACGCAACTCTGCCCGACACTCATCCACATTGCTAACTACCAGGCGCCAAAGGCACCCGGTGCCTTGCAGAATCCATTGGGTCCTGCACCAATTCAGCGTGAGCTTCCCACCAGCTCTCCCTTCGCATATGCGCCGCATTGCCCTCTGCTTCTCTACTTCTGGTGCCCAAGCTGACCGCTGTCCGCCAGCCTCTGTCAACTATCCCTAGAGACGACAAATATCGCCCAATATGTCTTCTTCCCCGGATCCATTGACATTCGTAACAAGCTCGCCCTCTAAGAGCGCAGCCACCCGCCGCTCAGCCAAGCGAGCAGCAGCCCAGCCTTTGACACAACTCTCGCCTAATGTCCAACGGTCCGATCCTTTCCTCGATATCCCAGACCTCGCAAATGGCTCGCCCTCCAAATCCATCACCATGACGACCCCTAAGGCTGCCGGCTCGTCGCCCTGGCGCATCAAGGTTACCGTCGAGCCAGACAACGGCTTCTCGCAGGACGAGAACAATCTGGACTCGCCCACTGGCGCCCGCTCCGCCCGTGTTACCACGACGACCACTACCATTCCACTGAACGATGCCAACGGCTCGTCGCCAGTGCGAAGACGGGGCAGACCGAGGAAATCCGATACACTACCAGCCACACTAGAGGGCGTGATGTCTCCAACTAAGAAAAGAGGAAGACCAAGGAAATCAGATGCAGCCGCTGCTAGCCAATCCACCAGCATCCTGCTCAATGATGCTCGTGACTCGTCTCCAGTCAGGAAGAGTGGCAGGCCGAAGAAGGCCGAGGCTGCTCACATCTCTGGCAGGACGAGGAACGGTACACCCATCCGAAAGCCCAGGAAATCCGTCACTAGGAGCCCCGAGGCCAGCGATGTTGATTCTTCCCTGAGTGATGCTTCATATCACCCTACTAAACGCAGTACCACTAGGGGAAGGAGGAGTATGTCCCAGGACATCCACGTCCCGGAACCCATTCGCGCTGCTGCCATGTACGGCCCGAGGTCGCCGGATCAGTTCGAACAAGAGATGGCCGGAACTCAATCTGGTACCTCAGGAGCCACCCGTTCTTCTATCGGGCAAAGACGGCGGTCCATGAGAGCCGCTTCTCAGCTTGGTGAAGTTGCTTCCGGTACCATCGAGGAGGAGGATGCCGAAGAACATGAACAGACACCAAAGGCGGCATCTTCAAAAAAGGCTACTATCGACGGCGATATGTGGCAATCAATGGTTACCAACCATGAGCAAGAAGATAGTGAGCAGACAAATGAGGAGTATAACTCGTCCGACGATGATCTCGACATTGTCATGCCTGACCAGACAATCGGCGATACAACCATGCTCCACAGCGAAGAGTTCAGCATGGTCTCCCCGTACTCTTTGCCCAGCATGCAGGCCGCGCTCAAAGGCATTTCGTCTAGCTTTGCCCAGCCAGCTGCCCCTAAAATCTCTTCTTTTCGTACAGATCCGATCCCGCAAACACGCAGGCAACAACTCAGCAAGCAGGCCATATCGTTTTCGCTACCCGAAATCAACGACTCCGTCGCCTCCGTTTCGTATATGCCCTCTTCGCCGCCAGCTCAATTCACTGCAAGCACTCCTCCCAGACGCCAGAGCCCGAAGCCACCGTCAGCGCCACCGGCTATTCAACAGGTGGAGATATCTCCATCGAAAGCGGAGACTCCTAAGCTGGTAAATGTTGTCAAGGCCGGAATTGCACTTCAGGGCATTGTTAATGGTAATAATCGGGGTTCACAGGATAGGAGACCGTCGGACGATATCAGGGAAGAGGCACAGCGTGCCAGACTCGATGAAATGTTCAAGCAATTCCAATCGGGAACGAGGAGAGAGTTGCAAGCCGGCCTGCGTCTTGGTGAACAACTCGCAGAGCGCGCTAGATCCCGGACTACCTCCCGCGAGAGCAGCCACGACGAGCCTGAGCCGGATGAGCGGCCAGCAACGCCTGGCAGCAGTGCTGCTTCAGACGGCGACGTCTTCGATGGTCCGAGCGCCGGCAGAACTCCGACCCAGGATTCGAGCAACCACCGCCTCCCCACGCCCGAAGAAAACGATTATTCTCTCCCATCCCCGCCGCCGCCCCCGTCTCAACAACTGTCTCAGCAACCCGATCTTGCTGTCGCACCTGCTAAAGCTCAACTCATTAGCCCAGCGAGGAGCGACACAAGCCCTGATGCTGTGGAAATGCAAGATGACAGTCCCGAGGAAGACAGTGTAGAGAAAGCTCGAAGCCATGAGAACAGCGGCCTCCAGCGGAGATCCGAAGAAAACTACGAAAGTCATGAGACTATCAGCCAGATGGCTGATGAAGCCAATCCCAGCCAAGTGATCGTTCTCAGTTCTGATCACAGTGAAAGCAGCGAAGCCACTAGTGAATCATCTGAAAATGTCCTTGATGGTGACATCTGGGAAGAGGAGGGAAGTCGCGAGCCCGAGTCACGGTTCGCTCGGCGCGCGAAACGCGTTGCCGCAAAACGCTCTGGCGAGAAGGCGAGCGCAAGCGCCGCTCCATCCAACTCCCGCCGTGGCACTGCGAGCAGACTTTCTCAACGACAGTCTTCATCGCCGCCTTCCGACAGCACACGCGCACCTGGCGCTTCAAATGCTGCTACGAGATCTCGAAATGGTGCGGGCCGCTTGTCTTCGCGGCCGCAGAGACCAAGTAGGCAGGAGTCCCTTGAACCGGCAAGCACTTCAGACCCGGCCTCTGAAGTGGAGAGTACCGAGAATACTGGTTTGTTCTGGCAGCGCTCATCTGAGACCCCAGAACCAAGACCCATACAGCATGAAAGCAACAAGCTAGATCTATCAGTGCTGATGGCTATAGGCGACAGCCCAGCCAAAGAAATCAAGGAGCCGGTGCTGGCTACACCACCGAAACTTCAACCAATCAGAATACCCTACAACATCGGCACCGGCCTCAACTCTCCCGTCAAGGGCAGCCCGTTGAAACAGCAGGTAGTATTCTCGTCGCCTTCTGCCGTCAACAGCAGCCCCTACCAAAGAATTGAGCACACTATTGCAAGCTCAGTGCTGGAGGATGGCGACGTCATGATGATCGATGAAGACAACACGAGACAACTGGCACAGGAAGATAACACTCGCACCATCAATGGGCGATCGCGCGTTATTCCTCCTAGCCCTGCTGTCTTCGCTGAAGAGGATCAGATGGTACAGCGCCAGATTGAAAATGAGCTCACACCGCGCAGTGCGCGCATCAAGAACCTGAATCTTTCGGGCGAGCGCAAACGTTTATTCACTATAAACGAGCCGGCCGAACAATCAGAGTCTTCGATACAAGTAGACCAGTCCTCATACCTCGTCCAGAAGCAATCTGAGCAGTCGGTCAAGAAGCCTTCACGGCTCAACAAGCCTACTTCTCAGCTTTCGACTAGCAAGGTCGGACAAACACGCACGGAAGAGGAACAGCCGACCGAACCTTCGACCCACGAAACCCGCTCTCATATGACGGCTCTGAATCTCAACAAGGAACGCAGACCGCTATTTGAGCAAAGTGCAGTTGTGGAGCAGAAGAAGCCTGCACCTCTCTTTGAGCAACATGCAGTCGTGGAGCAAAAGAAGCGTGCGCCTCTCTTTGAGCAAAAGCCTCTGTTCCAGGCTTCCGGCACTGTTCCTACTCCTGCTCCTAAGCCTGCACCCCAGGAAACGACTCGGTCGGAAGAGCAACAATCAGCAGGATTATTCGGACGCCTATGGGGAGCCGTCGCTACGAGCGCTGAGCCCGAATCCCCGCAGTTGCCTCTTCATCCTCTCGCCCAGCGCTACAAGCATCTTCCACGAATCGCACCGTGGACCAAGACCCACTGGGACACGCTTGACCGCATCTACCAACGCTACAAGCGGCACCCCGACGAGTTCTCCCCCAATGACCCTCTCCACAGGGCCCTGCTTTCCCAGAAGCTCCAGTGGCAGCCCGATAGCTCCAAGAGGAAACCAGCTTCTGACTACGCCGGCGTAGAGATGCAGAACTGGAACTACACAGTCAAGGTTACGCCCGAGCTGCTCGTCTGCTGCACCATCTTCATGCAGCTCCTGACGCTCAAGGATGCTGCCGAGTACCGTCGCGCCACCGGCAAAGACATCGTGCGTGGCAACTTCATGCAGAAGGACAAGACGGGCGATCCGATCACGCTTCGCGATGTCATTGCACGCATGTTTGGCGTCGTGGGCGGCGAGATGATCCGCGCGGACGAGAAGAGGGGCATCTGCGTGAGGAGAGATTTGGATCAGTTCAAGCTGAAGTATCCGTGGGCACCTGGCTGGTGGGATGATATGGGGAATTTTCTGCATTACTGAGCAGATGGATGTAAAGGGAAGTAGTTACGATGTTCACGACGGTTCATTTCCATCATTTGTTTATTTTTCCGCTTGAGTTGATCAAGATGGCGGCGTACATTCGAGATACCAATGTGTACATGTTGGCGTTAGTTTATCAGGGATTCAATGAGTCATATGTCCCTTTTCTTTTTCCACAATCCAAGACTTCTTTCATATCTGCCTCTCTCTTATGCATATGATGCCTCGTGTGTGTGGGGTACTGCGTCCAAAGGCTAGCGTTAATTTGTGTTTCGCTCATGTCATGGGCATTTGAAGTGATCGTCAGGTACCCCGCTGTACTCTGCAACACCTCGTGAAGACATTTAAGGAGGCATCCCATTGAGTTCCATATGCGTTGCTACCATCCTCGAATGGATTGATCTGAGCTATAACGCATCGTTGTATGCTACGAGAGATAGCCTCGGAACTTCAAGAAAAATACCCTAAGGCCCGATCTTCCAAGAGCTAAACTCTTTCTCGTAACCGAGCCTCAAATCCGCACGGTCCTAACCGTCTTATTGGCCAATTTTTCTCTATCGCTTCAGCCCCGCCAAGTCCACAGAGGCGAAGCTATGCCCCGACCTTCTCGTATTTCACCCGCCCTCTCAGCTTCCATGGCAACACCCATTGGGCTTGTTCGGCCCGTTTTTCGCGGTGCGGAGAGCATCACTGTCAGAAAGAGGCCAAGCATGAGCCGAGCAGCCGGCAAATCAGGGGTCACGACAGTCCCCCGAAAGCGGCCCCAAGCCCGCGCACTTGTTGGACGATGAGACTACGTTTCGGCGAATCCATCGCCGCGTGGCGCGGCGGGGGGTAGCGGTGAACGGAGCATGAATGCACGCCACTTTTGCCATCACTTTGTCTTGCACCATCTCGTACTACCTGCTGTCTCTCTCTTTTCTCGTCGTCGCATGTCAAAGGTGACCTCTTGTCATCCGGGGGACAAGACGGCAGCACCCATATTGCGGCTGAACAGTCACGGTAGCAGGCGACACACCTACCTCCCCGAGTGACTCGTTGTTCGCCCTCCACCTTTTTTTTTTCTCCACGACTGATCTGGGACTGCTGATCCCCCGCGTTTTCCCATCTCCTCGAGATTTCCCGGGAGGGATTCTGCAACGATGCTGGATATCATCGGAGCCGGCGAGAATACCACGACCTTCTCGTGGGAAGCTCAGCCGCAGCACCGTGGCACGTTTGGCATCCTCTCGACATGCTTCGTCACGTTGGCCCTGTGCACGTGGAAGATCGTGCATCTGAACCTGCCTGGCATCTGCCCGGACGACGATCTCGACTGGTCGGACTGGTGGACGGTGGACAGGACGGTGCGGCACAAGCTTGTGCATATTTGCGGAGGCCATCAGCTCGTGCGCCAGATCGGCTGGTTGGTGATTGGCCTGTTCGCGCCGGAATTGGTATTTTACATGTCTTCCTGAACTGCTGTTGGACTGGACTAATGCTTCGATTAGATTGCGTTTGCGGCATTCAAGCAATACTGGGATGCACGGAACCTGCAAAGATATATGGAGGAGGTCTATCTGGAGCAGAATAAAGGCCCGAGCTGGTGGCCGGCTATCCTGAGACCAAGGGTATACCTTCCCCGAGAATGTTTTTGTTTACCCACGCGGCTAACACGTCAGTCATAGACCACTCCAGTCGATGTTGAGTCAAACGATGACGACAAACCCGTCTGGACCATGACGCACAGTTTCTACGCCGTCATGGGGGGCTTTACTTACACGCTCCGGGATGGCTCAAGGGTGTACCTACCTGATGATCGTAACCGCGAGCAGCTCACTCTCAGACATGAAGCCCTTCGTTTCGTTGCGAAATACGAGCCTTCCCTCATCCCAAAGCTAACCGTCAATGCCATCAGAGACAAGAGCAAGGCGAGTGCCTTTGTCAAGATCATTACTCTCTTCCAAGGTAAGAGATTTTGAAACCCTGGCATGACATGTCGGACTAACGGGTTGGATGCTCAAAGCGATCTGGTTCAGTCTTCAGTGCGTCGTGAGAATGGAGCAGGGCTTGTCGATATCTCTCCTCGAACTCACCACCTTTGCGCACTGTATTTGCGGTCTGCTGGTAGGAGCCTTCTGGCTGCAGAAGCCACTCAGCGTCCAAGAGCCGAGCCCGTTGGAGATGCCCCGGTCGATACGGCAACCGCACTGGCTTATGGCCATGCTCTACACCCTCAGCAGCTTCGACCACAGACTCTCAGACGACGACCGGTACCGCAGAACAGCCAAACCGTTCCGCAGGCCAGAGCGCACGAACGTGTACACGGAAGAAGACGGCGAGCTGCACAAGACGGCCAGCCAGCTCGACCTATCCCTCCCGCCCACCACCGAGGAGCCTTCCGAGCCAAGCAGCAGAAGCAATAGCCAACCACCTCCTTCTTCCAACAAGCGGCGCCAATCCCACAAACTGAACCCCGCCCGCGCCGTCCCCCACGGCGTCCGCGCCCAGAAACTCTCTCCCACCGCACCCACCGGCACCGCCGCCAAAGCCGTTCCCCATCACCTGCATCACGACCCCCACGACGAAACCGCCGCCGACCGCCGCTACGCCATGCGCATGCGCCTCGCGCAAAAAGGATGGAACCACTACATCCTCGCGCCGGCCTCACTCAACACCGACGCGCTCAACCCGCAAGACGGGCCGGCGCTGCAGCGGCGGCTGAAGCGCGACCTGCGCGACGCGCTGGTCGACCGCGTGCCGAACTTCCCGCGGCGCAGCCATTTGAGGGGAGTGACGCTGCGCACGCACGTCGCCGTCACGCTGACGGGCTTCGCGTACGGCGCGCTGCACCTGCTGGCGTGGTACGCGCCGTTCCGCACCGAGGCCGAGCGCGTGCTGTGGCGGGTCGCGGCGCTGAGCGTCGCGGCGAGCGGGTTGCTCGTGCCCGTCGCGCGGGTCGAGGGCGTGGTGAGCGATGCGGTTAGGCCGTTTTTGCTGGATGATCATGAGAGCGATGTTGAGGAGGCGGAGAGGCTGGCGGCGTTGGGGGTGAGGGGGTTCGTGAAGAGCTATGAGAAGCCGCATCAGGATGCGGTGAGGCCGGGGATTTTGGAGACGGTGGAGGCGGAGTTGGGGGTGGAGCGCGGCCGCAGTCGTGGTGGTGGTGGTGGTGAGAAGGCGGAGGTGAGCCAGGATGCGAGGTCGGTGGTGTCGTCGTACGACGGGTGGAGGCATTTCCGCGATCTGGTGTTGAAGGCGGGGCTGGGGTGGGCGATTGAGGTGTTGAGGGTGTGCAGGTTGGTTGTTTTGGTGGTCGTCGCGGCCGTCTACATCGGGCTGCGGGTTTTCATTTTCATCGAGTGTCTGATTAACATTGGGAGCCTGCCGTCGTCGGCGTACGATGTGGTGCAGTGGTCGCAGTACGTCCCGCACATTAGCTAGGTAGGCACGGAAATCAACACCACCCATGCGGATGCATGATCGACGTATATTTGGCGCAGGGGGATGAGCTTGCTGCCTAGACGGGCTAAAGCCAGAGCGCAGGATGACGTGTGGTCAGCACCCCGGCATTCAGCACTGTGGAGCAGCTCCATTGTTGCCTGCCCAAGCCTCATCCAGTATCCTCAACCAACATATTTCCCCACACATTTGACACTTCAGACACTCTCTTCAGGGTCTACACCGCACCGCGCGCAATGGCTCCCACGACTCGGTCGAGGAGCAAGAAAGCCCAAATAGGCAGCTTCCCGGACCCCACTCAATCCACAAATGCCCCGCGAAAGGAGAGGCCTCTGCCTCCCGACCACGAATCACCACAGCTCCAAGTACAGAATCCAGATCCGTTCGACCCAGTTCCGCCCAAATACACCATCGATCTTTCGCGCCCGCCTCGAGAGCGCTACAATGAAGTCGTGGCCGACTTCAAGCCGCAGCTGACCAAGCTGACCGGCCTCTTCGACGAGGTCCTCATCATGTCCGGCCTGCCAGTCAAATCCACCACCCGCTTCGCCCGCCTGTTCCTGCGACGCCTGCGCAGCAAAGAAGAGACGGAAGAGCTGAAGGGCATCAGCAAAGCCAGCGGCGTACCCATGTACCTGCTGGTCTCGTTCAACAGCCTGCTCGACCTCTTCATGGGCTGCACCAGCGGCGGCGCCCGCGTGCGCACCGCCGACGGCACCACCCGCATGTACCACTTCCGCACCCTGGACTGGGCCATGGACGTGCTGCGCCGCGTCGTCGTGCAGCTCGAGTTCGTCGAGAAGCCCCACGGCCCCGTCGTCGCGCGCTCCGTCACCTACGTCGGCTACGTCGGCGTCCTGACGGGCCTGAGGCAAGGGCTCAGCCTGTCCCTGAATTTCCGCCCTTACCACAACAATGACGTGTCCAATTCCGAAAACTTCAAGTTCTACTCGAATCTGCTCTTGATGCTGTTGGGCTTTCGGCCCTCGATATCTTCCCGCCTGCGAGACCTCGTGATTCCTCACGTGGGTCCGAAGGGGGGAAAGCATAAAGCTGAGCTCTGGGATCTGGAAACCATCAAGAAGAAATTTCCGTCGTTACCCTCGACTGCTGCGTATCTGATCTTCAGCGACGGCGAAGAGACCACCGTGCTCGAGAAAGACCGTGTCACTGCTACCGTGCGTTCGTCTAATTCATTCATCACAATCACAAACTGCGACGTCAACACCGTAGATAGCTCAGACAATACGACTAAGAAGCCGAAGGCGAAGCTTTGTCATATCCAAGACTTGATCCATGAGGCCGAAGACAGAAGAGAGCGCATCGAGGCGCGGTGGAACAGAGCCAGAGAACGGTCAAAAAAGAAGGGTGCCGGAGAATTGTCTGTCTCTCCGGCGGATGTCGTGAAGTGGGTTCAGAAGTACCCGACAACGAACGAAACAACGCATTACGCCGTCGTCATGGATCCGAAGGCGGGCGAAGTCGTGTGGGTGAAAAGATGGCTAGAAGGTGAGTTGACAGGGGACAGGGTCCAGGCTTGGGATCGGGGTTGGGGGGTGTGAGCCAGAGACGCTGGCCATGGTAAATCCTAATAATGTGTAATTTTTGCGCCAAGCGGATCTGTTTTCTGGCACGATCGTCTTGCAAATTTCTCTCATGTATTAATTGCTATTGTCACCCGGCACTTCGATTCACACTTCTGTTCCAGGCTTGTAACCTAGCATAGCGATCAAATTCTTATAGTATGCTAGCTGCGGAACCAAAGGACACGCGTGAAGTCCAGATAACTCCTAACTTCATACTTCAAAATCGACGAGTCCCTTCCCATGAGCTGAGTTTCTCACGGCCCGCTTTGTCGCAGAACTACTCAGCAGCATCCTCAGCCGACGCTCGGTAGTTTTCATAGGTGCCTTCAAGATGCAATCAGTTGACAGCGTCCTCATACGCAGGCTTGAGTGGATCTCACCATAGTCGCCGTAGTCTCCATAGTTGGAATATTGGGCAGCATCATTGGCCGGCGCAGGGACGGGAGTGGACCCTTGGGCTACGGCCACGGGGTCAGCGGCGGGGAGTGCCATAACACCGGTAGCGGCAAAAGCCAAAAGAAAGACGATGACGTTCCTCATGCTCATGTTGGAATGATTCAAAGGTAATGAAGTTAGGCTTTTTTCTTGTTCCGAGTGATGGGCTGGTCTGATTGCAGTAAACGTCGGAGCGGAGGGTCAAGCATTTAAATAATGAAGAATCATGTGGATGACTATGTCGACACTCAGCTCAGTGAGCATCTCGAGGCTAAGTTGGTTTGCTATTAGACATTGTGACGATGTGCTATGCAATCGGATGAAGACATTTTCGTCGTCGGCACACCGCATCCACGCTCAGCACACACAAGGCTTTGTCGGCTGATCTGCTGCTGACCACGTCTGTCCATATACCCTCCAATTGTCCCATTAATTGGTTCATTAACTGACTTCCTGTGAGGGGCAAACGCAATGAAGTTTTACTCTCCGGTGGGGTACATGATGTGCTTTTTCTCAGATGAAGATCTGGTGTGGGATCACGAGTGATAATCCTTGGACAACCAATGAGCAAAGTGGCTCAATGCAGGCTGACCACCGCAACGTGTACCAACAATGCATTGGCATCCGAGTCCTCCTAGCAGCATTGGTCAAACAGTGCAGCGTTGTACTTTTGCCAGTCCGACAGAACGTGGAAGGCCTTACATGCAGAATCTACATAAGTTGCACTGATATTGCTCAATGCTCCGTAGCATTTCTGGTTGCTTCGAAAATTACTTCCGTAGGACTATAGAAGAGTTTTTAGGCAAACCACGCTTTGCTTCTTCGGAGAAGCAAGGCCGCCCTGTGGAACGTGGCTACATGGCGGTACTGTACCTCACAAACGCGCGTTTTCCATTTTCGGCCATTGCTCATGGGGGCCATAGCCAGATTTCCGATCATTGGGTGTCGTTAATGACGATCGCAATTGACCTCTTATGTTACTAGTAAGACAATATAGGAATATTTCTCCTCTCTATCACGCAAAAATCTTGGTAGCGGGTGGGATTTCATGATTGATTCCTCGGGCCACGTTCAAGGACTGTGAATCCAGAATATGTCAAAGAGAAATCACGAGGAAGACGGTATCAAATGTGCATCGAAGCACATCATCTTTCCCCGGGATTGACCTTTGCAAAACGTCGATCAATTCCCAGTACAATGTGACGTCTCTCTATTCGCAGGGTTCTACCGATACTTTATGGTTCTGCATCACCATTATAGGTATTACGCGGCTGACAAGGCTGCATATGAGTGAGGCGTGTGCACACAATTTGTTGCCTGATGGAGTAATACAGACTGCCATCTCGGGAACCAAAGCGGGGTAGGTGACAGGGACCTCCGGCGTGGTACCCGACCCCTAACACCACTGAGGGTCGGCTGATATTCTTTGCTCCGTGCGAAACAATTTTCTTGGGAAATGGTAGCCCCCCTTCAATATCCATGACTGTGCAAACTCCAACTTCTACACTCGCCCTTTCCTTTGCCCAGAACAGACACCATGTTTGAGGACAAAAGCAGGACGAGCTCCAGCTCTGAGCCGGAAGACAGCGAGAGGCTGCTTTCAGACGACGACAATGCTATTTACGAGCGAAAAACTCCCAGGAAGACAAGATCTTGGATCGCAACGACGGTGCTGGTCACTGCGACCGCATGCATTGCTGGGTTTACAGGAGCTTGGATCGGGAGCAGCAACTGGAGACACAATCCGACCGAAATATCCTGCACGAAGCAATTGAATCAGTTCTGTAGGCCACGCTCTCAATAATTTTCATACAAATCACTAATCAGGCTTTGAAGCTCCACTGTGGGGCGAGGTAGACATCTCTTACGAGGTCATCCAATTCAATGGATCCTTATTGAAAGAAAACATCTTCCGGCAAGACGCTAGCCCGGAGGTGGATGCTGCTTGGGAATCACTTGGTGTCAATTGTTCGTGGCTGCCGAATCTCCACATTATCGTGTATCTGGACTAACTTGATGATCCCCTTCGAAGATCGAGGTGTTGCCATTCCCGCGGACAAGGCTGGGAAAGCCGGGATCGCCAAGGATCAGGTCAAGGTCTCCGAGAAATACGGCGGAGGATACCCAGCGAATGTGGAAGGACTTCATCACCTACATTGCCTGGTATGTGCATATTTTCGCAATCAAAGTGCTGCTTGGATTAGAGGTTAACACGTGAGCACTCACCGTAGAATTTGCTCCGCCAAACCTTGTACTACAACTATGATTATTACCGGAACGAGGGCAAAGGAGCTTTCTTGAATGCAGACCACATAGTCCGCAAGCACGTCTGTAAGCCAAAATCAGCTCGCACCCTAGCTTCTCCGCCCCTCCTAACTCGTCTCTTCAGCGCACTGCCTCGACATAATTCGCCAGCAGCTCATGTGCACCGTCGACACCGGCGTCCTTGGCCAGGTTTGGTACAAGCCGCATGATGCGCCACTGGAAGCTTATGTCGACTTCAACACGCACCACAAATGTCGCAACTTCGATGCCGTCCGCGCCTGGGCCGAAGAACATCAGATGCCTGCCACCGTTCCCAACGACTTCCTCCAGCCTCCCGCACCCGGTGATACCATCTACACTTCTATTCCGTAACGTCAACGGTGGGCTATGCTTCAATGCAGCGATGGGTCATACATTTATCGCAGCGTGGTCGGTTGAAGCAGAGATCTGGACGTAGATGTAGGTTTTCCAGAATATATGGAGGCACTCAGGCGTAGAATTCAACTCTCCCACATGAGAATATGCATTATATCTGCAGTGAAAAGTTAGCACAGTCCGCCGTGGTCCCGTAAGGAAGATTCACTCAGGTGAATGAGTGTGATCTAAGATTCGAAGATTGCGTCCGCATTGACGTTCCTTTTCTTCGTTCACTTTGCTGGCTCTTGCCTCGGCGGAGGTTGCATTGTCTCAGTGTGGGACAAACAGGATCTGGCCACAGAGGGGCTGTTTGCGCCATGCTGTCCCACAGGATTTCGAGAACGAGCCTGAAAGGGATGGGCTATTCAACCGTTGCGATACACTGATGAGACAGAATACCTTTTGTTTTTGATTGAGATTCCAGAGAGTGGGCACTGCAGCCGAAGGCTAGCGCCAAGAACAGCAGGGCCTTGATGAAGCTATTGTCGCCACGTGAATGTATAATTGTTAATTCCACATTTACCTCCGGACGATAGCTTCAACTGCCCGTGACATGGGCGAAAAGTATATTCACGCTGACCTTCAGCTGAAATACCCCTCTGTAAGGAAGTGGACGTGGCAGAAGACCATACTCGCAAAGGTTCCACGTAAATGACGTAACTGCAATTCGTACAACATGAGCGGGAATAATAACAGGAGGAAGCAGAGGGTGGTGCGGGGTAGATTTAGAGCTAGGGCTATGGAATGCGGCGCACTAGCTTTAGTGCCCGCAACATGCAGCTAAAAGCTCTTTGCAGCTCCTAGGCAATTAGCGCGTTGAGCTCGATGTTGGCTCCCTGAAGATTGCAACATGATCAAAAACGAGATATTTGAAACGGTCATTGAGTCGCGAGTGGGCTATGGTAGTGCTTACGGTAATTCCAAGCACCCGAGCGTGCCGCGAATACCAAGCGAATCAGAATCATGCTTGGTTCGCTTCCTGCGCCTGTGTGGCTGTGACTGCTCAAGGTGGCAGTGCACCAGGTGTCAGTGACGAAGAAGGTCCAGCTTACAAAATTATGGTACACCATGGTGATTGATGGTCCAAGCTACCACCTAGAGCTAAAGCTAAAATAACCCTACTCTGCGCTTCCATTTCCCCAAATTTTCAGTGGGGCTCCCAACACGAGCTTCCAACATTTAGAGAAGCCACTCCAAAGGAATGTGGGTATGCATGCTGATAATGCGCTTAACACCCCCGAACATCAGGGTTTGACCCGCCTTCCACTCCAGTAGCAACGTCATGCGGTCCAACGCACCAGGACGATTGCCAAGTGTTACAACCCAACCCACACCATCGATCCTCACGACGCCCGAGTGAAGCGGCGCCTTCAACGGTCGACAAAGGTTGCCGGGCTGACGCAACCAGGCGATCAGCGCGATGGCCGCATCGGAAACAGTAGGGTACGAAACAGCTGGTATGAAGATGAAAGCCTCGTCCGAGTACCTCCGCACTGTGGGGTGGTTGCGCCATGGACTCGCCCCGTACTGCCACGGAGGGTCGTTCTTGGGACCGATAGGCGGTTGGACCGGGAATGCGGGTTGAACTGGTTGGTGGATATTTTCCTTATGCTCCTCTGTGATGCTGTTAGGGGGCCTGGATGTGTTACCGGGGTGGTCAGGTACCTGCGGAGATCGGGGAGCTGGCATCCTTGGAGATATTGCTGTCTCTATCTTGAGGTGCGCGCTGGACCGTCTGACGAAGGACCTTCAAGCGGAGCGGCTCCTCGCGAGAGAAGCGCCTAGGCATTGTGTGGGAGATGGTGGTAAGATGGATACGTCGAGATGCCTACTCAGCTTGGAAGCGGATCATCGGTAGCAATATTGCGGCTCCACCAGCAATCTTCGCAACAGTCGTGGTTCAACTGTTCGGCGTATGCTTCTAGATATTGTGCGCCGACGTACGATGCTCGTTCAATGGTGTCCAGAAGTGCGTAAAATTCCGGGAGAGAACGAAGGGTGGGTTTCCCGTTTGGCTCGCTATTGCCGAATGACGGTGGGTCGCGGTAAAGATGTGATGAGGAGGAATATTCGGTTGCGGCTGGACTTTGACTTGGAACCGGTTGCGAAGATGACGGTGGACTCGGGAGCAGTGAATGTTTGTCCGCCGAAGGGTCCATATCCACCTTGGAAGCCGACTAGGAAGGCGCGCTCTGAGACACCGAATGCTCTTCCCCATTGTACAGAGTTTCCAGCATCTTCACCCACAACGCGTACGATCGTTCGGCCAAACAGTCAGCCCTTGCAATGAGTTGCAGGGCAGCTGTACAGTCAACTTCATTCTCGAACGGAAACCACCGGTTCAACCCACTGCTCCCACCACCCGCCGCCACCTGCTCGGAATCCAGCAACGTAGGCGCCTCAATTCCCAGCTGGAAGTTCACCTCCCAGGTCAGCTCTTGATTCAACTCGCGCTCGGCAGTCGGCACCGTGCCATCTTCCCAGGAGAGACGTTCTGCAACAAGAAAAAGCTTCTGCCTATGAGGAGAAGGGAACAATCGGTGCTTCCGGCAAGCGGGGCAGGCGAAGCGATGCTCGGCGGAAGCCGAGTCTCTGCGGTGGTGGAGGAGATGCCATGAGCTGTACGGCATCAGGCTGAGGGGATACGGCACGCTGTGGAAGTTCTCGCCCACGCCTGAGTCCGGGTGGTTGCGATGGCTCACGCGGGGTGTGTAGGATTTGCGCACACATGCATCCAGGGCGCGACGCGCCCTTTTCCGCGGCTGTGGGGGCGACGACGAGGCATTGGCGACTGACGCAGCATGATCCAGGGGCGCGTCAATTGTCGGGTCAGCATCGCGCCTCCTGCGAGGCATATGCGCAATAGATAACGTTGAGGAGGGTCTGGATGCGCGATGCGCGAGGTGCAGGACTGGAGTCGTGCTACGTGGGCCCGTTGGCACGCGGGGAGCGACGCGCTGCAGCTGCGGCCGCCTGCTGGCACCAGCTCCTCCCCGGCTCTCGAAAAAGTTCCCGCATCACCCATCCCTCCACTCGCTCAGACCACGACTCTCCTGCATTATCTGTCTGCATCCGCACTATGAAGCCCCTCAGCGCCTCCCTGGTTACCTGCGCTTCGTGTCGCTCCGCCCTGCTGCGCTCCCGCGTCTCCGCTGCGCGCCTTCACCAACTCGCCCCGCGCCGCCACTATGTCAGGCCATCGACAGCTCCGAAGCCGCTGCTGGACCTGAAGCACATCCGCCAGAACCCCGGTCTATACGAGCAGAACTGCATCGACCGCAATTACAGGGCCCAGAGCAAGCATTCGTGGGAAATCATCAAATTATTCGACCAGTGGAAGGAATGCCAGCTCAACGCCCGCCAGCTGCGCGAGCGCGGCAACGTCCTGCGCCGCAAGCTCTCCAATGCCGCCTCCCTCAGTGGCGACACCATCCCCGAGCCCGATATGGACATCGCCGCCTTGAAGGCCGAGGGTAAGGAGATCAAGGACAAGCTCACCAGCATCGAGGACAAGGAGAAGGAGCTTGTCGAGCGCATGGAGAGCTTGGCTCTTGAGCTGCCGAACCTGAGTAGCACCAACACCCCTGTCGGCGACCAGCCCGAGGTTGTCGGTTACATTAATAAGCACCCCGACCGTCAAGGCGAAGACGCCACCGACAGGTTATGGAAGTCACATGTTGTCATTGGCACCGAACTGGGACTGCTGGATTTTGCCGCCGCTGCACAGACGTCCGGTTGGGGCTGGTACTACCTCATCAATGAGGGAGCGTTGCTGGAGCAGGCTCTCATTCAGTATGCCCTGACTGTCGCCAGGAAGAGGGGATGGAGGCCCGTGTCTCCGCCCTCGATCGTCTATTCGCACATCGCTGCAGCTTGCGGCTTTCAGCCGCGAGACCAAAACGGCGAGCAGCAGATCTACGCACTAGAGCAAGCCGAGAAGGACAAGGCCAAGCCTTCACTCGTGCTTGCCGGTACCGCCGAGATCCCTTTGGCTGGCCTCATGGCTGGCCAAACCATTGAGGATGCAGACCTACCGTTGAAGATGGTTGGTGTCAACCGGAGCTACCGTGCCGAAGCTGGAGGCAGGGGAGTGGACACCAAAGGTCTATACCGGGTACACGAATTCACCAAGGTCGAGATGTTCGCCTGGACTCTGCCCGACACGCACGAGGGCGAAGGCTTCTTTACAGAGCGTGGCGTCGCGCACTCGGAAGCCGTGTTCGACGAGATGCTGTCGATTCAGACTGAAATCCTGAAGTCGTTGGGATTGCACTGCCGTATTCTTGAGATGCCTACAACCGATCTGGGAGCCAGCGCGGCGAGAAAGCGTGACATCGAGGCATTCTTCCCCTCTCGCCGCGACCGTGACGAAGGATGGGGTGAGGTCACGTCGACATCCATCTGCACCGACTACCAGACCCGCCGGCTCCAGACTAAGGTGCGTCTCGAGAAGGCCGGCCGCAAGCTGGACCTTCCTCACACGCTCAACGGTACGGCAATGGCAGTGCCGAGAGTGCTAGCCGCCATCCTCGAGAACAACTGGGACGAGAAGACGATGACGGTCACGGTCCCGGAGGTGCTTCGGCCATTTATGGGCGGTATGGAGGTGATTGAGAAGAAGCGGATGTCTTGAAACACGCGTGAACGGTCAGAGCCTGCCACGGAAGACGGATAACTGGGGCAGGTTGACGATCAGCGAGAGGAATCGGGCCACGGCGTTTTCCAGAAAGCGGCCTCGCGCGGCTGTACCCGCTCAGCAGTGGGGAAACGCAAGCGAGTGGATTGCTGTCTCGGTTTCGAATGTGCAACGACACCACGACTCGGAATTCCACGTGGTGGGCTGTCTCAGCACAGCGGTATCATCGTCATCTAGGGTCGGTATGCCTGGTGATGCAATGGTTGGAGGCCTCACAGCCTTACAAGGCTGGACGGAAAGAGCGCGAGATGACTCACAAGACCACCGAATGCGGTGAGGACTTCATGTTCACCTCTAGCTCGCCGTTTGCGGGTCTTATGAAAAGTGCTTACGAATGAGGAGTGCACACAGTTCTGTATCTGGCAAAATTAGTAATTGTAAGTGTACTGCAAGTGCTCTCGCCACTCGAACCATTTTGCGCGGCCGCGGCGGTTGGTGTTGACGGGTGGGGGCAGTGGGGATTGCGTGGAGTGGAAAGTTTAGCGAGGAGGGGATGCACATCGCGAAGTTCCCAGAGCGGCAATGGGATTTCCAGCACGGCGATCTTGCAGCACGGCGGTGGTCCGACAGGCGCTGTGTTGGCATGCAGGTGGCGGGCGGGCGCGAGTGGACGAGAAGTGCATGTGTGCTGCAGACGGGGAAGGGAAAAATTGCCATACACACCGCTGTGGATGAAGAAGAGTCGAGGGTGCGAGGTTTGCTTGGACCGGGCGGGCGATTGGCCGATTGGTGTTGGCCACGGAGGCGCTGCCGCAGCCGGCCAGAGCGCGAGCTTGGTGTGCCACGTCTCAAAGCTTGGCGCTGAAGCCGGCTGGCAGTGGATTGTTGTTTCGAGCCGGCCGCAGCCCGCGCGCAGCTGCTGGCCGAAACACGCCGCATTGAAAAGGGGACACGGCTGCTACGCGCCCGCTCCGACGAGCTCAGGCTGGCATTTTCCTTGCGTCGCTTGCGTCCCGTCATTCCTATCGATAAAGCCGCGCGCGGCGTTTGAGACGCCCGGGTCACGCGGGGTTCCTGGCGCGCGCAGCCGCTTGTATTCCATCAACACCACGCTTCCCAGCCTCCCAGATCGACGTCGAGCGCCTCCCCATATTGTGCCGCAAGCGCCCACCCATGGTGTAGGTGCGCGCCGCAAAATTCACCACCATGGTCTCGTACCCCGATACCGGTCCCGCCGACCGCCAGACCCTAGCAATCCGCCCGGTCTCGCGCGCTCCGTCCGTCGCCTCGACTTCCCGCGCGCCACTCATCTCTTCGCACCGTCGCCATTCGCGCCAGATCCGTTCCCACGCCGGCGGCGCGTCCTACCAGCCGCAGAACGAGTTCCCCGTCTTCACCCACACCGGAGATGTCGAGATCATCATCACCTCAAATCCGCATTCGCGAAGAGGCTCCGTCAATGCCGTCACTCCATATGGCGGGGCCACCGCGCCGAGGAGAGAAGAACGCTTTCTGCTGCACCGCCTAATCCTCGCGCAGTGCAGCGGTTTCTTCGACGAGGAAACCACCCCAGACGGCGGCGGTGGCCAGCAGCTGGACAGGACAATACCGAGCGGCAGTGCGCTGGCACGACTGCCGCCTGGTGCTCCTGCACTTGACGAGACTGGCCGGAGAAAACGATGGCGCTTTGAGTTGGACTGGGGTGAGAACGGTGACGAGATGCCAGTGCTGGTGCAAAAGGTGCGTCTGCGCATCATACCACAACTTCAATCTTTAGCAACTAACCGATTCCCCAGGAAGCACCGCCTGTCTCGTTCCCCGGCGAACATGCACCCTTACCGCCCCCCGTCCACAACAAACCTCAAGCTCCCAGCACCGGCTTCTTCCGAAGCATGGCGCAATTTTCCTCGCTGAACGTCGCTCCTCCTCCGGCGCACACCTACGATCCGGAAGATGACATCTTCCGCGACTACGCAAATCTGTTTCGCATATTCTATAACTACCCTCCCGCGCTAGACTCGGTCAACATTGCCCAGGCTTATGTCGAGTGCAAGACCCTTCTCCAACTCGCTGACTTATACGACGCGCTTGAGGTCATCGGCCCGCGCGTCGACCATCATTTGCTCCGATTCCAAGGCCGACTCTTCAAGCAGATTGCGAAATACCCGCCATCATACCTGAAACTAGGTTTTCTTGCCCGCAGCCGGGTCATTTACTCAGAAGCTCTTGTTCACGTGGTCGGCCAGTGGCCCGTCGGCGCAAATCAACTCCGCGGTCAAATCCCGCAAGCCGTGCTCGAGGTTATTGAAGACAAGGCGGATGAGATGGAGGAGCTTAAGACTAAGATCGAGACGAAACTGTTCAAGCTCACCCTCACAACCACCAGGGGCGAGAGAGTCAACCCAAGCAACGGTTTCATTGATTGGATGGCCCTCTCGTTGTTCCGCCAATGGCTTGCGGAAAACACCTCACGACCCCCTGCTCCGATTCTGAAATCAGCCAATCGCGCTCTTCCCAACAGCCGAACCGGCTCGCGTAATGGCCCTGCCGTGAACGCAAGCACCACCGCTCTCGCCACCACCGCGTCCACGGTGGGACAAACCCCCGCTGAACCGCCTCCATTCAACACGGGCCGTGTCTTCCGGCTCATTGGTACCGGCGGAGATGCATATCTCAATCGGGACGAACTCAAGCGCTTCTTGAAGCTGAACGCAGAATTCTACACCCGGGAAAATATGCGGAAATTCGAGCGCCGCATAGAAGAAATCAAGAATTTGGCTGCGGATGTAGTCAAACCGCTAATGCGCAATTATCTGGAACTGGACATGCGAGATTTGGGACATGGACTGCCGTACCTGACTTGCACCAAGGTGGACGAACAGGATTTTGTGTGGGACGAGTGAGCAAACACCAACATTCTTCTTTTACCCCAACCACGGGCCGGATTACCCAACCATCAGCGGACACGACAGGCCTTCGTTTTCTTCTTCTGATCTGAGATCGACGAGTGGAGTTTGCTGATTTCTGGGGTGTCTGCTCCGTGCTCTTTCTTGCAGTCTGGCGTTTTTGTCGAAGGCCATTGATCACGTTCTACGACTCTTTTGATGCGGCTTCTTTTTCGGTCTGGTCAAAGGCGGTATTTCGGACGACTTTTAATCTCGCGGGCTAGGGCTACTTATTTCCATGGCGGCTGCATTCTATCGCTGGGCGGGATCACGGGATTTTGGGTGTTCGATGGGTACGGTTAAGTTCTTGCCCTTGGTTGCTTTTTTTTACTCGCACTTTTCACGCGTTTCAGGTCTTATACCCCCTATAGTTTGCTCTACCACCTATCTCTCGCACATTGGAGGAATAGGTGAACTCTTCACGAATATTTCACGAGTCTGGTTGGAGGAGGCTCTTTATTTCTTAGCTTGCAACCTTCCTTCTCTCCATGTCTTCTTTACGACCGAAATGATGATTGGGAGGACTTTTGTGTTTATTTCGGTGGATATGATTGCTTTTTTTGCGCAGCGGGAGGCTTGATCGTCGTTATGAAGGGACACTGAGGATAGAAAATAGGTTGGGGGCTGGATCGTAGCATACGATTAGCAAAGTATCGTACATGCCAAAGCATGTCTCTATTAGTGCGTTCCTCCTTCGCGCATGGTATCCCACAGCGAAATTAAGCCCGGCCCTGCTAATTGGATCGAAGCAGAATTTATAAGGGCTCAGCTGTCATGTTTCACGATAGCCTTTGCCACGTGGGTTCTGCTGCGATTTGTATTTTTACTAAAATCTCTTTGCTGCGCAGTACTGCAAATTGATGAGATGTCGCGGATTGATGCTGAACGCAAGGTCCATTTAGGACTCCCGCCGGAGACGACGGCCGGGTCAGCACCAAAAAGGGCAAAGGGCCGCCGTTGCCGCGTACGCTTACTATATTGCTGTGGGCCACAAACGGCCAAGGATACCATCCACTCAAATAAGGCACGTAACCGGCTTTGCAGATGCGCGGCGTGCCATCATCTATCATCAATCTCAGACAGCGACTACACTTGGCGAGTCAGCGGAAAACGAAAATCAGGTCGTGATCACCATTGACGGCGGGAGAGTAACGGAGATCATGGAAGGAAGAGGTGCTAAGATATGCTAATAGATCTACTTTTACCAGGTAAAGACAGGTTCTTAAAATACTTCGGCGTTGGCCGTGTCGTGACCTATGTACGTCACACCTTGTGGCTCGCGTGCACAGCGTGCAGGCTCCATGCGGGTTCTCAACGGGGATCTCAAACAGCAAGGCCATCCTTGCGCCACATGTAGGCTGCGCAAGCATTCAGGTTCCAGAATAAGCTGCTAGTAGCCGCTCCAGAACAGGGCGCCACCTGAATCAGCGCATATGAAAGTGAGCCTTTGCCCAGGAGGCTTTCGGACGTGTTTGCTTCGCGCCCACAATTTTTCTTCCCCCTTCAGGGTCTCCTGCTCTGCGCTATTCCGCTCCATATGCGAGTGGAGGATAGTTCTTGTCTCTCGTTTTGAGCTCGTTCGCTTTTGATATTTTGTCCTGCAAATCTTCGCTCTTTTTTTCTGCAGCTTTCATAATGGCTGGTAGCCTGTTACCTCTGGAGGTTTTCACGATGTTAGGACTGGGTGTTTTTGTAATAATGATACGGATTGCAACGAGGATAAAGTCGGTTGGATTCAAAGGCCTTCAACTTGACGACCATCTAATGCTTGTTGCTGCGGTAAGATCTTTATGTCCCCCAAACTTACCATCCCACGAATACTGACTTGCGCATATAGGTTATTTATGGCCTAGAAACCGGCTCCGCATACATTACCATGGACTGGTGGGACGATCTCGCAAATAACGGCATGACTCCCGAGCAGCGGGGGAGCCTCGACCCAAACTCGCACGAATACTACCTCCGCGTTGGCGGTTCTAAAACGCAGCTCGTCAGCTGGAGCTTATACGTTCTCTTCCTCTGGATGTTGAAGATGTCCATATGCCTCTTCTACGCCCGCTTGACGTGCGTTACCTCCCTTTTCCTCGCCACTACCACATCAGCAGCCAACACTGACGCCCTCTCCTCCAGCGCCGGCCTCCCCGAATTCGAACTCCGCGTCAAGATCGGCTACTTCCTGATCCTGCTCACCTGGCTGGCGACGCAGCTCTGCATCCTGTTTGGCTGCCAGCCGGGGTTCCGCAGCAACTGGCAGATCCACCCGGAGCCGCCCAACCTGTGCCAGCCGGCCATCTCCAAGCTCAACCTGTACGCGACCGTGTCGCTGAACGTGGCGTCGGACGCGTACCTGATGTCCATCCCCGTGCCGATGCTGTGGCAGGCGCACCGCGTGGCGCCGTGGCGGCGGCTGTGCCTGCTGCTCGTCTTCTGCGCCGGCGTCATCGTCATGGCGTGTGGGGTTATGCGGTGCTATATAGTGCTGAAGGTAGGTTATTGAAATGCTCGATTTCCTCGGTGTTCTTTCCTTTTTCCCTAACACCCCACACCAAACCAGAACCCCACCACCGGCGCCCTCAAAGCCGGCACCTGGTCCTGCCGCGAGTCCTTCCTCGCCGTCCTAACCGCCAACGCGCCCGTCATCTACCCGGCCTTCCGCGTCACCGTCGCCCGCGTCACCTCGTCCATCTTCAGCCACCACCACGGCTCCGACTCCGGCTTCTTCCCCTGGCGGTCGACGTTGTCGCGGAGGATCAACAGGAGGAGGAGGACTGGCGAGCCGAGGAGTAGCAGTAGGAGGAGTGCGCCCGCGTCCGTGGTTATGATGGAGGGGTGGAGCGGCGGGGCGACGGGGACGACGGGGAGCTCGGTCGCGTTGGGGACATGGGCGAGTTGTGAGGCGAGTGGGAAGGGGGTGGTGGATGGGGGGACTGAGGAGTTTCGGCCGGCGGATGAGAGGGAGTTGGAGGCGGGGTGTTGGGGGAAAGGGCCGTAGGGACTGCACTGTGAGGGAGCTGGGGTGGAGTTGAAAATGGTGGAGCGCGGTGGCTACGTGGGAAACGGCACTTATGTATCGGACATGCGGGAAACTGGAAAAGATGGATAGATGGGGGGTATGGCTGTAATGCCGCCGGCGTAAGGGTGACGAGCATGGAGTTCGGGTCCTTGGCTGTCTTTTTGAGTGAATGGAAAACGTGGCAGTGGATAGGTTAACTTTTTGGAAGGCTCTGTATGTTTTTTTTCTTTACTTCTAGAAGATCATGAACAGGATTGATGGTCTTTCAATAGACAATCGTTTTTGTCAGACCCTAGGGCTGTAGCTGCGAGTTGTTCAACATATGGTTCCACAAGGAGCGACGTAGAATGCTGAAGACCAAAAGTGAAGAAAGAAAAGATCCGAACGGATGAAAGTAAAATTCGAACTGGAGACCTGCAAAAGGTAAAAATAAGCGTCAGTAGGAGTGCGATCTCGGGTTAGATTGAGAGACCTCAACACCAATCTACAGAGGGGTACTGCGGCCGATGGCTAGCGCGAAGAATAGCAGGGCCCTAGAACATAGCATAAGTATGTCTCGGTTCTATTTCTTCGTCTTTCTCCAATGAAAAAGAACATATATGGGTAATTGAAGCTATCGTCCGGACGTGAATGTATAATTCTTAATTCCACATTTACATCTGGATGATAGCTTCAACTACCCATAGCATAAGCGAAGAATAATTCGCGCTAGCCTTCGGCTGCGATACCGCTCTGTACACTCTTCTGCTGATCAAAGTTTAATGCCACCTCTCAAATCACAACACATATTTGGCTCGGGTGTGTTGAGTTATGGGTTACAACCGAAGTATACTATCACCCTATTCGTGACTGTCACAACTAGAGTTTCTCTGCCCACGCAGTGAACTTAAACCCAAAAGTCAGAAAGACGGAGATGTGTTGTTAATATGACGCGCATCGCGCGTCTTCGATTCGCTCGACCTACGTATCTATGCACAAACAAACCCACCAAAGACAGCCTCCGCTCGGTACGCCACACACAACGCCATTCAGCCCGTAAGCTCCCAAGCCTTCTAAACGCAACGATCGACATCTGCAAGAATCCACACTTCTGCGCCTCAATTTGTGCGCCCATCCCCGCGACCTCTATTCAGACCTCAATAGAACCCGAAAAGTGAATCAACCTAGATGAGCCCCCAAACATAGCTACTGACATCATACCTTCCTAATTTCGTGCGGCATTCTCTCCGAATAATCAACCTCTCCGCCTATTTCTCACCTCCGTCTTCGCGACCTCGACCGTCTTCCTGCCGTCGTCGTACAAGCCCCTCGCAATGACCGTCTCCGCCTCGCCGTTGGCGGTAGAGACAGCGGTGGCCTTGACCTCGACCTCCTCGTCCGTCTCGACGTCGATGCCCTCGACGAGGACCTTGTCCTCCTCCTTCTTGACCTTCTTCTCCTTCTCCGGCCGCTTGGTGCCGAGGGGCGGCTCGAAGCGCTTGCGCACCGTGGCGATCATCTTGTTGAACCAGAAGAAGTTGAGCGAGTTGAGCGTGACGTTGGACGCGAGGTACGTGACCGCCAGCCAGATGGGGACCTCGGTGCCCTCGGCGAAGCGCATCGTCTCGGCCTTGGCGGCCGCCGGCGGCAGGCCGGCCAGCTGCTGCTCCACCGTCAGCGTCGCGCTATCTGCGCCCTCGCCCAGGCCGGCCGGGCCGGAACCGGAGACCAGACCGCCGGCCTGGATGGCCTGGTAGATGTCGGCGAAGACGCGGAACGACTGGTAGGTGCCCCAGCAGAGGCGGGCGGTGAAGAAGGTGCCGAGCAGGATGAAGCCGTTGTAGAGCTGGATCTTGGAGCCCGTCATGTTCAGCTTGTCACAGAACCAGTGGATATTTAGGAAGGGCGAAGAGAGCTCGTAGAGGATAAAGGTCGGGGCGTAGTAGTTGACGAAGGGGCGCTGTTGCAATGTGAATGTCAGTCATCGCTGCGAGATACGTAGAGGGTACGCCGAGGGCTGCGGGATTGACGTACGAAGCCGAAGCTGTAGACGGACAGGGCGCTGACGGCGTGGGCCAGGAGACCGAGACCGAAGACCTTCACATAGCGCAGACTGATCCATAGATCCCACACAAAGTAGCCGCAGGCGAATGCCACGATCAGGCCGCTCGCGCCCGTGTATCCCCAGATGCGACCCTCCCAGTCCATCTCGGCGCGCTCATCGTCGACAAAGCTGACCCAGAGGGCCAGGGCGTTTATCAGGGTCGACTGGAGGAGAGACACAACGTGGACATCCCAGTTGATGCGGGTGCGCTTATTGAATTGCGGGTAGATGTTCGGGAACAGGCGCGCCGACAGCCAAGGCGAGATGACGGTGTTGGTGACGTGGTAGAGCAGCACGGCGAAGATCAGCTCGTGGATGTGCAGCGGCAGGGTCTTGAAGGACATGTAGTCGGCGAAGGGCTTGATGGCCTGCTGCAGGGCGGCGGGGGCCGCGAACGGGAACGGGTCGAGCATGTTGCGAGACGATGTTGGCGTAGGTTCGCGGGCCCGTGGGAGAGGTGGAAGGCGGCGGGATGGGAGGGGAATTAAAAAGTGACACGGCTAGAGAGTGGGCATGATCCGGGTGGCTCTGGTGACTTGGGTGACACAGCCGGACAGAGAAGTGCGCTTATACGGAGCACAGCTCTCGGCCGTGCTAGGTGATGGGCGGCTGGAGGCGAGGCAACAGAGACCCTGGCCCCACATCCCTGCTCAGCACAGATTGTTGGGAGGCCGCAGTCGGGAATCGGCCTGGTGACATAACCCACACCCAAGCCTCGGCTACCTCCAATAAAGTAGGCGCGGCCGCGTGGTGCCACCCGTCGTCGTGCAGCCTGAACACCAGGAGGCTCAAGTTCACCACTACTCGACCCCTGTGACCAAGCACCACCACGCGCCGCCGCGGTGAGCCCGTCTCTCAGACACGCACGATGGGTCGTGCTGTCTCACCCGGCACGCGCTCCCTTCACCGTCCGCGCTAGTCTCGGCCCGCTGTCTCTAAATTCAGGGCACATGCTCCTGGGATCACGTCGATGCCCGATACCGACTTGGTACCTCAGGCTGGAAACCTCTATTTAAATTCTGGAATGGGGCTGATCCCAGTCGTGCGGGACGGTGGGTACATGTGAATCATCCACGTAGACCGTCTCTTACATTTCCTCTGTCGAATCCGAGTCTTTTGCGACCTCCATACTCATCACCCCACTTGCATTTTCACCACGCCTCAAGACCGGTTCAGGAACCCAGATGCGAGAAACAAACGCCCCGAACCAGACAAGAATCACATCTGTTTCAGTCGCCCGCTCAACTTTACCAGTCGCCGTCTGCTCCTGAGCCTTGGCCAGCATCCTGTGCAGCAGATCTGCACCACGTGTTTGGGCAGAGCAACCTGGTAGGTACCGACAGTGACCAGAATTATCGATGGGTCTGGCCTATGCTTATACTGGTGACTATAACGCCAAGTGGCCTTTTTCGGAGAAATGTGAGTGTATGCAACTGAAGGCACTTCTGGACCAGTTCGGTAGGATCCAACACTTTGGCAGATCGTATAAGCTTCAGATGCTGCGTAGCCTATGGACGATGAAGTTATGCGTTTCTAGCCGAAGCTCAGACTCAACTCTGCTGGTAAAGCTGGCCATAGAGGTCGCTCAGCTCAGGTAAATGTTTTCACGCATCCTGTTGAGGTTGTCCAGAAAACCAATTCCCCTCTCAGGCATCCTGGAACGGCTTTCTTCCCGCTTTGGCGGCGGGGCAGGTCTCGGCTGGCGTTGATATTGAGCGTTCAACTGTCTGTGCCTGTCTTCGGCAAGCTTGACCAATCCATCAATAAAGCGTGTGCGGGCTTTCTCTTCAGCTGTGTCTTTCCACACCTGCGACAAGTCGCGTAGAGCCTGTATCCTCGCTTGGGCAGCGTCGTAACCCTCGTCAGTGCCCGTGACCAGCTCTGCAATCTCGTTACGCAGCTTCTCTGCAAACTCGCGACCCTTCTCCTCACGGCTGTGGCTATCAGAGCCAGGCTCGGGGGCGGAGACTGAGATGAGAGACGAGGCGAGAGAGACCTCAGAAGGTGGCAGGGTCCATTGCATGGCTTCGCCGAAGACCTTGATGACGCTCTCGAGGCGAGAGCGCACATGGGTAAGGGTGCGGAGACGTGTGATGTAGTCGGGCAGCTCTGGGGCATCCTGTGTCTCGGCGTCGTCGACGGGTTTCGCATCCTCTCCGGTTGTGGCGGCGCTGGCTCTCCGCTCAGCAGCGTCGGGCTGGCTGGTGGCAACCTTGACGCCTCCCGGAACGAACCTCTCAACGTCGTTGCGAAGGCCCTCTGTCAAGGCTGTAGACAGGCCGACTGTCTCTCCGCGCAATACCTCGACCTCATAGGCCAACCGTCCCCCGCTGCGCAGGATATCGTCCGTCATCTGGGTGAGCACGGTGGATAGTCGGGTGGTTTGAGCATTGAGCTGGGAGAGCAGAGTCTGCGTTTGAGCGGAGACGTCTGGGAGCGGAAGGGCGGCGGCATTGGAGGGTTTTGTTTGCGTGGAACTAATTGCCAAGGCAGGCAGCACGGAGTTGAGGTGGTCGACGGGATCGAAGTCTGGCTGGATGAAGGGCAGCAGCGCGGGGTCGGAGAGATGTGAGGACTTGGGAGCAGAGGCATCGGCGGTGGAGACGGCCATGATTGCGCGCAGGTGAGAGGTGGTAAGATTGGAGCGGTGCCTGGCTACTGCAGCGGCAGACCCATGTTTCGGCGGGCGGGCGATCGACACAGGGTGGCCCAAGCTCCACGCCATGCTCCCAGGGTTATACATCACTGCCTACAGCTGCCTGCCATTGCTTCCTCGCCTTTGTGGACCCGATCCTTCACAATTGCCCGTGGCCGAGACAGCGCATTTCTCACTGGAGCTGTACTTCATTCTTTTGCACTCACTCCGATTTTTATCACACCCAACCATCCGCACCCAGCATCGCAAAGCTGTCTGCCTACAGCCAACGCAAACCTGCCGCCCAAACACTTTGAACCGACCTGGCCAACAAAAAACCCCACGGCTTCTCGCCGCTCACTTGTCCTCCCGCCGCTCAGCTGCACCGCATCTGACGCCGATCCGTCTTTGCCTCGCCCTCAGCCCACCGCCTGCACCCCAGCCTGATGCGCTGTTGACGTGCCGCGCCTTCCTCGCCCCGCTCCTTGGTAGCACCAAGCTGATTCGCTTATTTTGCCGGTAAGTACGCGCCTACGCGTGCTGCTGCCATTTGGTCTCACCCAAACGCCATGAACTCATTGAGCTAGCAGAGCATAACCGAGCAATCTTCCGCCATGGGTAGAAAAGAGTATCGCGCTCACCTAGAGCAAGCTGCCGCAAGTCCCGAAACCTATGGAGTTCTGCAAGTCTGCAACAAGGATTCCGAGATCGAAGTCCTTGTCCAATGCCAGCATGGACCCCTCACCGTCACTGCCGTCATAGACGAGACCTGTGACTACCCTCAGTCCCACAGCTTCATATCCCTTTACGTTCAAGACTCCGCACCCAACGACATCTCTCACGCCATAGCCACGCTTGCTGAGCAACAGATTGGACCCAAGACAATCTTCACCTTGCTCAGGGAAATCTCTCAGTGCTTGTCCACCGACACTGACGGTGATACCGACATGCCTGACTCACAGCCCGACGACCTCGACGAGGATGACGATTTTGAGGACGGTGCTGAATTAAGTGACGCTTCTGACGATGACGACTTCTTCGGCATCGAGAATCGGCCCCCGTCGGCTGAAAGTACGGAAACTGAAACCTACGACGACATCATCCCACTCGCGAAACGTAACCTTGTCCGACGCGATCTGGTACGTGTGAAGGAGGCTGGCTTCCGAGTTAGTGTGTGCGGCCCGCTTGTCCAAGGCCACCCGGGATACTTGATCTCCACCTGTCGCATCGCCAAGCTGGGTATCTCTGATGAAGCCATGCAGGCTTGGCAACTGTGCCCTGCAGACTATCTTGTCCTTCTCATCCACTATCCAAATGGATATAAGCACATCGGCGACATCCAAGAATCGACTGGGTGGAAGGGTATGATGGACTTCCGCTTTGGAGTATGCTCATCCTACAAGCCTTCCCGAAGTGAAGTCATCAAGGCATTTTCTACACTGACTGCAGACTCTCCCAGTGAAGATGACAAATCAAAGCTGCAAAAGCTCTTCATATCCGGACCTTTGAAAGACCTCTTCTGTGAGAAGTTCTTACCTCTTCTCAAATGTAGAGTCAAGGAGGGAATGTCCTGGGATGGCGCCATGGCGTTTTGGCATGATCACCATGCCACCGAACAGAAGGGAAAGCTGGCACGCGACCCGAAATATCAGAAGGAAGAGACGTCAGCCACGAACCTCCCTGCACTAGTGACGGAAGACCACATATCCAGCTTCAACTCCAATCACGCACCCGGAGATCGACTATCGCTTCCCTTGGTGGCAATGCAGTTTTACGTTCGTCAACTCGTTCGCTGTACGGAATTCTGTCTCATATGCCATCGGAAGATGCCCGCAGACATTGAGGCAATCAAGCCGTATGTCTGCGAGAGCCAGCTATGCCTCTATCAATACTCGCATCTGGGTTTCGGCCCCAGTATTGAGCACGAGATCATCTCCCAACCAGCAGTTGTCGATCTACTGGTCAGCCTCTGCTGGGCAACCGTAAAATCTGGTCGACTCAAACCAAGGCATCTTCCGTTGGGTCTCGGACTGAGAGTCCCCCGGGTTGATATTCTGAAACTGGGTGGAGCTGTGACTGAACCTTACCCAGTTGTGGGCACAGCACCAGTCAGCTTACCTGCACCAAGCATGGACAACAATAATAAGCAATGGCTTCTACCTAGCGAGACGGCGCACGCCGCACGCCTGAACTTGGAGACTCGTGAGCTCCTTTTTGAGATGACGGTGACTCGCGCAAGCCTCAATCTCAAGCCAGGAGACTGGATTCAATTGAGGGTACTGGACGTCGAGGAATCTCTCCATTGCAAGGTGGAGCAGATAATGCTTCCGATTATCAAGCTCTCTAAGCCCATTCTATACTCCGCCACGGAACGCTCGAGGGCCTCTGGGCAGGACATTCCGATCTCTGTGTTCCAAGATGCCAACTTTGTTGCATACGACAAAGATCTCGACTCCTTGGATCCATCCTCCATGCAGGAAGCAATGGTTGTGCTACTGGACCTTCTGCCAACCGTCAAGGAGATGAGAGAATTCTTGCTCCAGGGAGGAGCGCATGCGGATCTGGCGAAGTGGCCGAGGATAACTTCTTCTTCCTTAGGGCTACTTCGATGGATTGTTGCCTCTAACCGTGCCTGCATCATGCAAATCGGCGATCCGAATGAAGAAAATGAACAAGATCACGTCTGGGGAATGCCGGGATGGAAACAGTTCAGGATTGCCATGGGTGCACCGGACAAGGAGCGCCGTTTCATTAACTCTGTCAGCAAGGTGGGATGTGCGATCAACCCTGACATTCCAACCATCTTCGCCTGGCACGGAAGCTCCTTGTTCAATTGGCACTCTATCATACGCGAGGGTCTAAATTTCGAGGAGACCATGAATGGTAGAGCCTTTGGTCATGGAGTGTATTTATCCAAGGACCTCACAACTAGCTTAGGCTACTCGCGGTTCGGTATCTACTCGAACACGAACACGAACACAAGCAACAATTGGCGTTCTAGCGAGTTAGCGATCCACGACGCTATTTCACTCAACGAGGTTGTAAATGCTCCCAGCAAATTCGTTTCCTCAACCCCCCACTTCGTCGTCGATCAGATAGACTGGATCCAGACAAGGTACCTCTTCGTCCACACCTCAGCTTCCAGGCCGGCGGTATACCAACCCAGAGCGGCGCCAAGGACGCCGGATGAACAACCGAGACTGTTGAATCCTATTGTTCAAGACTCTACGCATTTCCCCGTCAACATCGCGCACGAGAGGATTGAGATTCCAGCATCTGCTACAAGATCGCGCGCGAAGGCAGCAAAATCTTCGCCAAGACGTCAATCAGTCACCAAGGGATACAAGAAGTTGAAGACAGGAAGTATTCAAGATCCAATCCATGACGATGACGACGATGTCCGCAGCGAAATGACGGACCAAGATGACTGTGAGCTACTCCAGATGGAATCGGAGCAAACTGAATCCGCCACTGCTTCAAACAATTCCGCTTTGACGGACTTCGTGCCTGGCAAGCTTGACTTCAAGACGTTGGAGATTTTTCCTTCTCCGGAGGGTGATGCTGCTTCTATTTCGGCTTCAAGGCGCCTTCAGGCGGATTTCAATGCTATCAGGAAAGTCCAGGACTCCCAACCCCTTCATGAGCTTGGCTGGTACATCGATCCGGAACATACGGACAATCTCTACCAGTGGATAGTTGAGCTCCACTCCTTCGAGCCAAGTCTCCCTCTTGCTCAAGACATGAAGGAAAAGGGTGTAAAAAGCGTCGTTCTGGAGCTTACGTTCGGAAAAGACTACCCCTTCGCCCCTCCCTTCGTTCGCGTCATTCGCCCGCGCTTCCTGCCTTTCCAACAGGGCGGCGGCGGCCACGTCACGGCTGGTGGCGCGCTTTGTATGGAACTACTTACTAACGACGGATGGAATGCTGTCAATTCTATCGAGTCCGTTCTCATGCAGGTCCGCCTCGCGATGTCTTCAAGAGAGCCTCGTGACGCGAGGCTTGATCCGCGCGCTTACAACTCGGACTACCGCATCGGCGAAGCTGTAGAAGCATACATTCGTGCATGCGACACCCACGGCTGGAAGGTGCCTCCGGGCTTCATGCAGATGGTCCGGGCTGGTAGGGCTGGCAGGGCGGACTCGGGCCTACTCCTAAGGTTTGGGTGATGCTCGTCTCCACGTACATCTTGCATGCGGAACGACTTCTACTAAGGACCTTCCTCTCATACTCTTTTATTTGCTTCTTGCTCTTTTCAACCAGGCATCACAGCCCAACAACTTTCGGAGCACCTATAGGCCGGATACGACTTCCACATTACGAGATTCAACCAAGATGGAAGTCACATCTACTTTGCTGTTCTTTGCTATCTTTTCCGGCTTCCTTGTTCTTCTTCCCCCTTCCGCCGAGCGAGCCACGGGAAACAAGAGACGCGAGATATCTGCATTATGCACCTGAGCGGCCTTCGAATCGGAGAAAAAACGGATGGCGCATAACCGGGAAATGGGTCCAAATGGCGAATCGGTGAACGATGGTTATACATGGAGCGGTTTCACGGGCTTACTTTGCTTATTTCACACTTTCGCTATCCGCAAAAGTGCCGTCTAGATGGTTTTTCTGCATGAATAGGGCAGTAAATAGATCAAGATGGTAGTCTACACATGCAGAACGCGAATACAATGGCTAATTTATAAACATAAGAAATGCTCTAGATGCCGCATCCAAAAGCTCAAACCAAACACATTATAACTAGCTCGCTCGTTTGGCAGTGGTATATTAAAATCACTCGTAGGTGCTAAAAGTAATGATCCTCCCCACTGTAACGGCACTCAACTTACATGGGTTCTTGAAGCTATCATCCGGACGCAGATGAATATTTAATAATTACACATCTACGTCCGGACGGTAGCTTCAACTACCCATGCTTTCGAAGATAAGTGCGGACGTTCATTGCTTTTGGCACCTACGTGCGCCATTTGAGCTTGTCGAAGTGATCGCGATAGCTACTTCACTCGGAACTACCACTAAAGAGGTCCTACGCCGTGGTTCTCGAATTCTTGCCTGGCGACCAAAACGTTAGGAAATTCCCTAGTCTCTTTTCTGATGTCCGGGGCTTCGTTGCAAGGGGCTTCTGGTACTCCTGTAGTAATGAGAGCCCATTCTCTTTAAGAGTGATGGCAGCCCCAATGAAGATAAATCACGTCCGTCACTTGCGCGTATGATAGGTAGTCTTCGTGGTGGAGGTCTTTCTTTTCATCATATCTGCTGAACGGCTTTTCTCCCCTATGTCCCCATCATTTTCCTTCCCAAAAACCATGTATGCTAGCCATACATATTATGCTAGCTTTGTTTGCCTCAGCAGCGAAGTTTGCAATCCCAAATTTTTCCCTCCACCACGCGGGCACGCGTCCGTGGCCCGTAATATCCTGACGTCGCGCTACACAATCTGAGCGCGGCCGGAGCGAAATCTAGCGCCTGTCATACGCCCCCCTTCCACCACCTCCACCGCCTCTGCCTCCCCTCCTACCGCCACCACCGCCGCCTCCTCCACCATATCCACCACCGGGCCTGTAGCTGTCATCATGTCTTCCACCACCACCACCGCCACCAGGCCTGTAGTTATCATCTCTTCTGCCTCCGCCTCCTCCACCGCCGTATCCTCCCCTGCCACCACCACCGCCATATCCGCCATTCTGCGGCGGACCTCCGTATCCACCGTAGCCAGCCGGCATGGGCGGGAACGCGCCACCGAACTGCGGGGGCGGCGGGGGCTGCCAGCCGTTCATCTGGGCGGCGAGGTGGGGCGGGGGCGGAATGGCCGGGGGCCCACCGGCAGGGCCGCGCTGCATGAAGGCCTGGGGGTCGAAGTTGGGGTTGAGGAAGCCGGCGATGGGGTTGTTGGGGTTAGGGCCGCCCTGGTTAGGGCCGCCGCCGTTGTTGTAGCCACCGCCGCCGCCGCCGCCATTGCGGTTGTTGTGGCGAGGTGGTCCGCCCTGCCACCGGTTCTCGTTGTGCGAGTGGAAGCCGCGGTCGCGGCCTCCGCCGCCGCCGCCGTGGCGAGCGCGGTTGCGGACGCCGTGGATCTCGTCTTCGGTGAGGGCCGGAGGAGGGAATTGGACGCCGCGGAGGAGCTGGGACTTGTGGACATTCTTGGACTTGGGCATTTCGTAGTGGACGCTAGTGGAACGGTTAGTTAGGACATTATTGGCTGGGCTGAAAGGGACTGTAACTTACCTGATGGACTGGTCTTCCTCCAGGTCCGGCATACCCTTGCTCTCTAGAGGGAAAACGAGGGAGCTTTGCGGTAGGTAATCGTCATTCTTCGTGACCGTACCTGACAGACCTTCGCTGATCTCGGGGTTAAGCTTATGTTGGGGTTCTCCCTGCTTCTTCGAATACCACTGCTGAGCCACCTCTTCATAGAGAGGGTGGCGAGTAGAGAACAGAAGAACTTCTTTGCCGAATTCGTTGCGAGCAGCCTCATCCGGGGTCAGTTGAGGGTACTTCTTGGCCATGGCATCCAGTAGCCTCTTCTCATCAATGAAAGGTAGAATGGCAACACCTTGCCAAGCCATCTTCTTGCCGTTGAGATCAACACGGAAATCTTCAGGGTAGAAGTCGATAATCTCGCTGTCCGCTTCTTCCATGAGCGGCCTAAATACTGGCGGAATAGCGTGGTTGGACGCAGCAGGCAAAACGCCCATGAGCTGTTCGTAAGGGCGGAACGGTTTGCCCTTCTCGAACTTGAGTTCCATCTTGTCAAGATCAACGAAATCTTGAGCAAAAGGAGCGTAGTGGTGGGGATAGTACCAGGTCCAGGAAGCGCAACCCTGGAGATAGTACAGCAGCACCCATGCGAGACCCTCAGCATAATCACGCGCAACCTGATGGCGAAATTCAATATCCTTGGGGTCGACGTGGAATTTCTGCTCGTAGTACCGGTCCATGTAGCCTTCCTCCCACATTTTCACGGTATCCTCTGGCGGCTCGTCAGACTTGGCCGCAGGTGTGCCCGCATCCGGCGTGTTACGGCCAGGAGTGCTGGAATCATCTTCCAGAAGCTCCGCCTTTCTCTTGCCCAAGGCAGAGGGCGGAGTCGCAGTAGCATCTTCAGCGGCAGGGCCCGGAGCAGGAGCTTCCTCCGTATTGCCATTCTGACCTGCAGCAACAGAGACAGTCTCAGGCTTCTTGCCAAGCAGCCCCTCTTTCAGGGCAGCAGCTGCGCTCTTGTTTGCAACGTTCGCCTGGCCCTGGAAAATGGCCTTTCTGTTGACGAAATTCTCGTGGGTCAAAGCCCTCGCTTCCTTTGACTGGAGCTCCCCAGGGCTGAACATGGGGAGATTGGCAAAGTCTTCAGCAGTCTCGCCCTTTTTGCTGCCCTTTCGAGCGCTGGGCGAGTTGTTCTGCTGATTTCCATCTCCTCCCTGTGCGAATCTTCCACCGCCATTCCTCCTCTCTTCTTGGAGTTTCCTGCGTTTCTGCGCGGCTTCTCTTCTGTCTTCGGTCTCTTTGCGACGTTTGAAGATGCCATCTTCCAACTTCGCAAGTCCCTGCAGGATGACTTGAGCGCGGCTCATGTCGACGTGACCGTCTTTGGTAACGTAACCGCCCATTTCAGGCAGATTTTCACGCCAGATGTTGATCAATGTGTCGATACCTCCCTCTCTAATCTCAAGACTTGGGAGATGGGGCAAGAAATCGTTTCCGACGAAGAAACACATGAAAACCCAATCGTCTAGGGCACGCTCCAGGTCAAAGGCAAAACCCTGCCTGTCAACCTTGAGTTCGGCTGCAAGGTACTCACGGAGAATGGCAACATGGAGCCAAATGAACGGTTTCTTGGTAACCTTGTTCTGCTTGACATCATGCTCATCCTCTTTCTTCTTGATCTCGCCTCGACATTGGTCTGCGTAATGACCCGTCTGACCGCAGCGCCTGCATGTCCTGGGCTTGGCATCGTTCGCAAAGACATCCTCACGCAGAACGCGGAAGTGGGGCTCGTGTGTCACAAGGCCCAACATGATCAAATCGGCATCAAGGCCGTAGATAACGTGGCGAGTGTTCGGGTCATGGTGAGGAGAACGGCGCTGAGAGCGCACGAACTCCATGATCTTATGCTCACCCTCTCCAGGCACAGTGGCATCGGAGATGATGACCTTGAGCTTTTCCCAAGCAGGATCGGTATTGAGCTTGTAGGCGCACCAATAGCGGAGACTCTGGGCCAGAATATCCATAAAGGGAGTTCCTGGAGTGATAGAGTTGCTGTCCCAGGTCTTCTTCACAATCTGAGCTTCGGCGCTATCACCATTTTCGCCATCTTCACCCTTCTTCTTGTTCTGCGAGGCGAGGAGCTTCGCAAACTCAGCAGCATCTGCGTCCTTCTGCTTGGCATCCTGGGCGGCACGGAAACGACGAGAGCGCTGTTGGTTCATCTTTGCGCGTGGAGCGACACCGTCTGTGAGCTTGTTAGCATGGAAGTATCGCAAAGAATGGAAAGTGAGAGTTAGAAGAAAAGCAACCGTACCTCCCTCAGCTTTGCGTCATCCGTGGATAATGAAGCTGTCCTTAGGGAGGCACCGGAAGTGGTTGGACCATCTAGGCATTCTTGACATACCAACAGCAATCATGAGCAGCTTACGCGGGCGCACCATGTTGACAACCCTGTCGGTGTACTTGAAGATCTCGATCATCATCTGCTCCTCGTTCTCCGGCGGGTCCTTGTCCTCTGGATGCGAGCAGGGATGAACGATACCGTTCATATCGAGGTACAGGTTGTCCATTTCCTCGCCATTGGGGTTGGGCTTGGTGGTATCGACGGGCTCAACGGTACCATCGGGGTACTCGACAGGCTCGGCCTCGACGACGGGCGAGATGATCTTGGGGTACTTTTGCGAAAGCCATCGGAAGAGCGCGGGGACACCCATGGCGACGGCGGTGCTCGAGCGACGAGCGCGAACCGGATGTGGCGACGGGTGCGAGTTGCGAAGTAAGCTGAAGCCGTGAGCTTCTGCGCGGAGGCGAAACTAGGCGGCCGGTTTGTCGATATCGAGAGAAGGGACGCGTCGTGGGCGACGCCCGTAGAGTGAGATCAGGCGGAAGTGGCGCGCTGCCAGTGCATTCCGTACGAAGGGTTGTGGGCGGGCGACGGCGACTGCACAAAGAGAGGTTGTCGGCGGTGCGGAGGTCGCGTCGGAGGATGGATTGTCTTTAAGAGCGGCGCGGCGCGGCCAAAAGTGCAAGCGGCAGTTGCCGACAGGGCTGTGCTCTGCAGCACACCGGGGGCTGTCGCTTCCCCGGGACTCTGGACAGCTTGCGGCATCACCAGCTTCGCCTGTCACCGCTCAACCCGCGCGCCCCCTCGACTTCGCGTTCCCCCAATCGTGTCATGGCCCTGCGGTAACCCGACTAGCAATCCGTTCCCAACCCGACGCCTTTGCGCCTACCCCGCCGCCCAACATGTTGCGCATGCTCGAGGCGCAGGCGCCAGCCAAACAGACGGCCACCGACACCATCAATACTCTTTGCAACCGCCTCGCCAGCGCCACTCTCCTGGAAGATCGGCGCGCTGCCATCCTTGGCTTGCGCAGCTTTGCGAAGGAATACCCCGCCTCAGTAGCCTCAGGCTCGCTGCGAGGCCTGATCGCAGCTCTCACGAAGGATGCGGAGGATCTAGATACCATAAAGGTCGTGCTGGAGACGCTGTTGATGCTCTTTAACCCGGACGAGAATAGCGTACGTAGCAATCATGCATCCGCGAAGCTGTGTGCCCATATTGATGACCGTATGCAACAGCCCGAAGCCTCTGAAGACATCTCGCTGTGGCTGGCCGACGAATTTACTCAAGTAAGCTCGTTGCTTAACGCCGATTAACTTGTACTGAGCTTATGCTAGCGGCAAGATAACATCACCCTTCTCCTCGACCTTCTCGAGTCCACCGACTTCTATTCCCGTCGCTACGCCCTGAAAATCCTCAAAGCTATCTCGGAGCTCCGCCCAGAAAGGACCCAGGAATGCATCTTGTCCGCTCCCCTTGGGATACCCAGATTGGTTGCCGCATTGGACGATCCCCGTGATGCTGTACGCGATGGTACGATTTGTAGGACGTAATAAGCCGCCCCGAGCTAAACGGCTGACCTGACCCACAGTTGCCCTGGACCTTCTCATCGACCTTACCCAGTCCTCGACCGAGCTGCAGAAGATTGTCGCTTTCCAGAATGCCTTCGAAAAGATTTTCAATTTGATTGACGGCGACGGATCCATAAGACAAGGAAGCATTGTCGTCCAAGACTGCCTGACACTGACCGCGAATCTCGTTCAGTACAACCCCTCCAACCAACTGGCCTTCAGAGAATCAGGTTGCGTGCCTAAGCTGGCTGCACTTCTGAACAACGGCCTTGAGGTTCCCCGGCCCGTAAACCCCGAGGAGGAGGTATGGGAAAGTCCACACAAGGAAAAGAATTTGTTCGGCCTGCTTGCAGTTCTCCGCATGTTCCTGGTGAAGGGTAGCATGGGTACGGCCGCAAACCAAGACGCCTTTCACAAGCACGGAATCTTACAGCAGGCCCTCGAGCTTTCCTTTGACCACACAGTCTCCGTTCCCATCAGATCGCAGGCTCTGTATGTTTGCGCCGATGCTATCAGAGGAAACTCGAGGCTACAAGAGATCTTTGCTCAGACTCAAGTGGCAATTTCAGATTACGAGCACAGCAATCAACCCAACGGAGAGAAGACACAGAACGGTATCTCACAAGTGCACGTCATCGAGGCTTTGTTACATCTTATTCTTGGCGCTTCGTCTGTACAGATGTTCGATGCCCGCTTCGCTGCATGCGAATGTCTCAAGGCGTACTTCTACAACCATGACCAGACTGGCAGGCATTTCCTTAATCACGCCGTGAACGTACACCTTGCCGGGGAGGAAGACGCTGCTAATGTTGTCACCACGCTGGTCCGCGGTCCGCAGAGCTTCCAAACTGTAGACCCCTACCGCCTCTGGTTCGCAGCCGTCATTACTTTCCACCTTCTATTTGAGACACCCGACGCAAAAAGCCTGTTGATGGGCGTTGTAGAAGGCGATGCCGAGAGCGGAGAAGAAGTCGTCACGTGCATTCAGGAAATGAGTAGCAACCTCATCAGCGGTCTCCAAAATGGCGAAGATGAACGAGTGATCCTCGGCTATCTCATGGTCCTTTGTGGATGGCTGTTCGAAGATTCCGATGCAGTCAACGATTTTCTTGGAGAAGGAGCTAGCATTCAGACCCTTGTCACGACTGCTGCCAGAACAACTACGGACAAGCCGGTGATTAGAGGTCTTTGTGCCGTTCTTCTTGGCATAATCTACGAGTTCTCCACCAAGGACTCGCCCATCCCTCGCCGCGAGTTGCAGCCTGTGCTGCTCAACAGCCTCGGACGCGAAAAGTATCTGGATGCTATAACACAACTCCGGACACATCCCTTCGTACGAGAGTTCGAGGTCATGCCCCAGGGTGGTGCTGCTGCGTTTGGTGGAAACTTGCCCGATGTGTTCTTCGACAGCACATTTGTAGACTTCCTCAAGGACAACTTCAGCAGGCTTTCACGCGCAGTCGACAGGGATCCAGGAATCGAGATCCATCAAAACCCCCAGGGCGTGGACAGGGATCTGGTCGATACTCTCCGCGGGCAGCTCGAGGAGAAGAGCAAGACATTGGAGAGTGCAGAGTCGAAAATGCTGCTCCTGGAAAGGCAACTCAATGAAGAGCAGGCAAATCATAAGAAAGATTTGGACACGACAAGCACTGAAATCAACCGGATAAAGAACGTCAACGAAGCGCTGCAGCGCAACCACGAAGCTGACGTAGCACAACGTGAAGCTGCGCACGCAGCAACGCTACAAAGGCTAGAAGAGCAGCAGCGCCAGCAGCTAGCAAGTCTCAATGCCCAGATGCAACAGAAGCAAAGAGAAGCGGCTGGGCAGGCAGCCAGCGTCAAGCAACAATATGACCGGGAAATTGCACAGCTCAGACGTGAGAAAGCCGAGCTCGAAGACAGGAGCAAGAAGACCGAATCCAGTCTGCAGGCGAGATGTGCCCAGGCTGAAGCCGCGCTTGAGGAAGCAAAGAAGCAATGGGCTGAATTGCAGGCTAACTTCAGCAAGGTGCAGGCTGAGCTCACTGCTGCGCAAAATGCAAGCTCAAGCCTCGAAGAGAGGAGCAAGAAGGCCGAATCTAGTCTGGAATCTACTACTAAGCAACTGAAGGAAGTCGAGTTGAACTTCAGCCAAACTCGCACAGACCTTTCGGCTGCGCAAGGTACTGTCGCAAGCTTGGAGGAGACAGTACGCCGGAAGACGGCGCAGGTCGAGGAGCTTACACGCAAGGTGGAACAGCTCGAGAAGGCTGCGGAGGTAACGAAGACCGAACTCAGAGAGGTGAAGGCTCAGTCACAGAAGCATGAGAATGCGGCCAAGTCGACCGACTTCGCATTGAGGGAGGCTCAGGACCAACTTGGTGAGGCACAGGAGAAACTCAAGAAGGCGCAAGATGAGTTGGCGGAGAAGGAGGAGGCTAGGGCATCAGCACAAGGCGAGCTTGATGATATGCTCATGGTCCTGTCGGATTTGGAGGAAAAGCGCGCTAAGGACAAGGTAAGAGACTCTTCCGATTTGTGTATGTGGATGGGTGGCGCTAACCTGCATAGAAACGCCTCAAGGAACTGGGCGAGGAGGTTTCGGACGGAGAAGACGAGGATGACGATGAGGACGATGAAGATGAAGAGGATGAAGAAGAATAGGGCAAGGGCGGTGGTTAAGCCCGCGCGAATGCAAAAAGTCATGCATGCCATTCGATGATCTTCTACTGTGATATGTTTGTGCCTGATGATGCCTGACTCCGCGGATCGGCAGCCGTTGGTCTGACTCACCCTCACCGCCCGGAAGTGTCATCGCTGTCGGGGAAATTTGAAAGTCAAGCGCAACCCCGCCATCAACACCAACGCCCGCCCCGCAACCCCTCTTGCGCCCTTGAAGTACCCCGCTCCGCTCGGCACGCAGAAGGCCGCCCTATAGCTATGTCCATCTCCTTCCCCAAGGAAGAGGAGCGCATCCTCGCCCTCTGGAAAGAGATCGACGCCTTCCGCCGCCAGGTTGAGCTTTCTAAGGGCAAGCAGCCCTACACCTTCTACGATGGCCCGCCCTTTGCGACCGGCCTGCCGCACTACGGCCACTTGCTCGCATCGACCATCAAGGACATTATTCCGCGCTACTGGTCCATGAAGGGTCGCTATGTCGAGCGCCGCTTCGGCTGGGACACCCACGGCGTGCCCATTGAGCACGAGATCGACAAGAAGCTGGGCATGAGCGGCAAGGATGCCGTTGAGAAGCTGGGTCTGGCTCAATACAACGAGGAGTGTCGCGCTATTGTCATGCGCTTCGCCGCCGAGTGGCGTCAGACCATCGATCGTCTGGGTCGCTGGATCGACTTTGACAACGATTACAAGGTGTGTGGCAATACGTGATCCTCGAGTATCAATTGCTGATGTTCTGTGTAGACCATGAACCCTCAGTTCATGGAGTCCGAGTGGTGGGTTTTCAAACAGCTGTTCGACAAGAACTCCGTCTACCGCGGCTTTAAGGTCATGCCGTACTCGACCGCCCTCAACACCCCGCTTAGCAACTTCGAGGCTCAGCAAAACTACAAGGATGTCCAGGACCCCGCTGTCGTCATCTCATTCCCTCTTCTCGACGACCCCAACACTGCCTTCCTTGCCTGGACCACCACCCCATGGACCCTGCCTTCGCACACTGGTCTCGCTGCCAACCCCAACTTCGAGTATATCAAGATCCTCGACGAGGCTTCAGGCAAGCACTACATTCTTCTCGAGTCGCTATTGAGGACGCTCTACAAGGACCCGAAGAAGGCCAAGTTCAAGATCGTCGAGAAGATTCAGGGCAAGGCGATGGAGGGTTGGAAGTACGAGCCACCGTTTGACTACTTCAAGTCCGAGTTCAAGGACTTTGGTTTCAAGCTCTGCCTCGCGGATTACGTTACGGCCGACAGCGGTACCGGTATTGTCCACAACGCACCTGCCTTCGGTGAGGACGATTACGCCGTTTCGCTCAAGGAGGGTATTATCAACGAGACTCGCCCGCCGCCGAACCCGGTCGATGACACCGGCCGCTTCACCGCCGAGGTCCGTGACTTCGTTGGCCAGCACGTGAAGGAGGCAGACAGAGCTATTATCAAGCACCTCAAGGCTGCTGGACGTGTCGTCGTTGACAGCCAGGTTACTCACAGTTATCCTTTCTGCTGGCGTTCCGATACCCCGCTTATTTACCGCGCCGTTCCGTCGTGGTTCGTCAAGATCCCGGAGATCATTCCGGACATGCTTAAGGGCATCGAGGAGTCTCACTGGGTTCCCTCCTTTGTTAAGGAAAAGCGTTTTGCTAGCTGGATTGCCAATGCTCGTGACTGGGCTGTTTCCCGCAACCGTTACTGGGGTACTCCCATCCCGCTCTGGTGCAGTGAGGATTTCAAGGAGATTGTCTGCGTGGGCAGCATCCAGGAGCTGAAGGAGCTGAGCGGCTACGAGGGCGAGATCACCGACCTCCACCGCCACCACATCGACCACATCACCATCCCGAGCAAGCAGGGCAAGGGCGTTCTGAGGAGAATACCCGAGGTCTTCGACTGCTGGTTTGAGTCGGGCAGCATGCCTTACGCTTCTCAGCACTACCCCTTCGAGAACCAGGACCACTTCAATGCTTCTTTCCCTGGTGACTTCATCGCTGAGGGTCTGGATCAGACTCGCGGCTGGTTCTACACCATGACCGTTCTCGGTGTCCACCTCTTTGGCAAGCTTCCTTTCAAGAACTGCGTTGTTAACGGCATTGTGCTTGCAGAGGATGGCAAGAAGATGTCGAAGAGGTTGAAGAACTACCCTGATCCCTCCAAGATCATGGACGAGTATGGCTCTGACGCCCTTCGTCTCTACCTCATCAACTCTCCTGTCGTGCGTGCCGAGCCTCTGAGGTTCAAGGAGGCCGGTGTCAGGGAAATCGTCTCCAAGGTTCTGTTGCCGTTGTGGAACAGCTATAACTTCTTCGAGCAGCAGGTCGCTCTGCTGAAGAAGGTGGCAAATGTTGACTTCAAGTTCGACCCCAAGATCCAAGAGACGAACACCAATGTCATGGACCGTTGGATCCTGGCCAGCTGCCAGAGTCTGCTTAAGTTCGTCAACCAGGAGATGAATGGCTACAGGCTGTACACTGTCGTCCCGAGGTTACTGGGACTCATTGAGAACACGACCAACTGGTACATCAAGCTCAACCGTCGCCGCCTAAAGGGCGAGTATGGTATGGACGACACCATTCACGCCCTGAACACCTTGTTCGATGTTATCTTCACCTTGGTCCGTGGCCTCGCCCCTTTCACTCCTTTCCTCACCGACAACATTTATCAACGCCTTCTTCCCCTTATTCCCGATCACCTGCATGCCGAGGACTCACGCAGTGTCCACTTCCTTGCTTTCCCCGAGGTTCGTGAGGAGCTCTTCGATGAGGTTGTCGAGCGTCGCGTTGGCCGCATGCAGGCCGTCATTGACCTGGGCCGTGTTTCGCGCGAGCGCCGCAACATTGGTCTCAAGACCCCTCTGAAGACGATCGTCATCATCCACCCAGACCAGCAGTACCTCGATGACGTCAAGAGTCTCGAGGGCTACATCTGCGAGGAGATGAACGTCCGTGACCTCATTCTCTCGGCCGATGAGGACAAGTACAACGTCCAGTACTCGGTCTCTGCCGACTGGGCAGTTCTTGGCAAGAAGCTCAAGAAGGACGCCGTCAAGGTCAAGAAGGCTCTTCCGTCGTTGAGCAGCGATGATGTCAAGGGCTACCTTAAGACCGGCAGTATCACTGTCGATGGCATTCAGCTCGGCTCTGAGGATCTCCTCGTCAAGCGTGGTCTTAAGGAGGACGGCGCCTCCAAGGCACAGGAGGTCAACACTGACAATGATGTCCTCATCATCCTCGACTGCGAGACCTACCCCGAGCTCCAGCAGGAGGGTATCGCGCGTGAGATCATCAACCGCGTCCAGCGTCTGCGCAAGAAGGCCGGCCTCGTCCCTACCGACGATGTTGGCATGCAGTACCGCATTCTCGGTGACCCGGATAAGGTCGGCCTCGAGGGCGTGTTCGAGAGCCACGCCAGCCTTATGGAGAAGGCGTTGAGGAGACCACTGGACAAGCACGTCATCACGGAAGTGGAGGGCCAGGGCCCGGAGACGGTGAAGAGCAGCGAGCTCATCATGGAGGAGGAGCAGGAAGTGCAAAAGGCAACGTTCATGCTTAGATTGGTGAAGTTGTAGAGCGACTTCGTTAGATGAAAGATGGACGAAAAATCAACGCGAGAACGAAAAGAAAAGATGAAGGAAGATGTAGATAGATCTTTCTGGAATGAGAATTGAGTTTATGTCTTACGCCTCACACTTCCACAACGGGCTTGGTCTCTCTCGCGTCTTCTCGCCTCAAGGTGAGCTTCAGATCATGTATTCATATACATTATTCCTAGGAGATTTCGGCCGGACTTCTCTTATCACATGCTGTGTGGGTAGTTGTAACCGCAGTCTTCGAGGTTCTGGAGGACATCGGAACGCGGCGAGCACGCCTTTGGAAAACTCGTACTGCATTTAACTGTTCACAACGACGCCGCCATTAGCATAGATTGTCTGGCCAGAAATGGAGCTAAATCTGTGCTGGAAATGTAATTAATCCTGGGCCCCGTGGTTCATGGTGGCTGGAATCAACAACGTTCATACAGGGCCAGGTAGACATTTTCGTCCTGTTGTTGGGGTCCCCTGAGATCAGATTGAAGATCTGGCGGGTGCTGATCCCGAATGGGCACCTGGTTTCCTTTATTGCTGTCAGGTTACTGGCCAGCGTCGTCCGGCAAAAGAGCCAATCACCTTTCGGTTGTCAATTTGATCACGTTCTCGTGTCCATGCCTGTGGCTGAAGATGGAAGCAGCGGTATATTTTTGTACAGGGAAACATTACATCATCGGTGTGCATACCGGAACTACGATGCGAGTGACGAAATGGCGACGTCTAGGAAGTAGTCAACCCGAGCGCCCTGTTCTACAGAGGAGGCGACCCAATTCTTACCGCTGCGAGAATGCGCAGTCTCGGACGGAACAGACACTGTCCATCATTATTGCGCCTTGGCACAAGACACAGCTTTCCGTCTTGAAGCGCCAATAGGAGCGCAGGCAAGTGCCGTGATGCTACTCAAAACGGCCGCTACGGAACAGACCAACTTGCTGTGCGATGACGTAGCCGCACGGACCGTGTTGTTCGTCTGCCTATTCCTCCCACGCATCCTGCCGGGGAGTCTGAACGAAAGGAATCATCGAAGCACAGCTGCAGAAGAGATTAGGCTTCTAGGTCCGCTTCGTCGCAGGCGCACGGGCAGTGTTCGTAGTATAGGCGCGCGCGACGTGGACACGGTGGGACTGCTGCTGTCACAGCAAGACCGCCAGCCGCCGCAGCGCGCGCCTGCGATTGGCAGAAGCACCCGCACGAGCTTCCCTTCTCGCAACAAGAGGCGCGCACGGCGTGTCAGATAGGCAATCCGCCTGCCCTGCTTCTGGCCCTGCATGACGTCCAACCCACGTTCCTCCACAGAACCCTGTTTTACTCCACTGGATGCGTGTCTATTTAAGCCTTGTGGTTGCAACGTGCAAGCAACTCGCAATAAGCTTCCATTCCACCACCGTACCAGCAAATAACAATGCCTACCACCCGCAAGACCAGGACGAGCACTCGCAAGCCCGGCATCATGAGCAGGCTTCGTGGTCGTCGTGCTGGGACGACAACCACCACCACTACCACCACTACCAAGACCACCAAGACCACTTCGGGCCGCAAAGCTGGTCTGACCACTCATCACCACAAGCGCAAGCCTACCCTCAAGGACAAGGTCTCGGGCGCCATGCTCAAGCTCAAGGGAACCGTAACCCGCAGACCTGGCGAGAAGGTCAGTCCCTGAACAGTCAATTACAGCATAGCGTACTGACAGACACTGCCCAGGCGGCCGGCACGAGACGCATGCGCGGAACTGATGGCAGAGGTAGCCACCGCAGATATTGAGCGGGGGAAGGATATGAGTGTACGATATAGTGATACCCTTAGCGATTCATTCTTAACCACCAACATCATGGTTGAAAATGAGGACATGCATTTTCAGTAAACATTGTCAGATGTGAGATTGCTTGCTTCAAAGCAGATCGCCGAAGCCCCTCTCCGAATCTTTCTTAATCAGCTCGATCATGCCCTTCGTACTTGTTAGTCGTGCTCGGCTTGCCACGTGCCAGAATGCTCACCTCGGGCATGATTGGCTGTCTGTCTTTGTTGGTGACGTAGCGGAAGGGCATTTCCGTGCTCTCGTGCTCGTCGACTCTAATCTCGGGGTTGTCGACGAATGGAATTGCCTCCAGAGGAACTGCAGAAAAACAAGGTCAGGACGGTGGCGCCCTGCACAGGACAGATGGCTTACTCTTGTCTTGCACGACCATCCGCGTCACCCGGACGGCGGTATCCGTCGTCATTTGGACTGGGCCCAACCGACGTCCTTCAAAGCCCTTCTTCCGCAGCTCCGAAGTGCGGTCTAGGTGATTTCGTTAGCAGTTGTCGAGGGCGCTCTGCATCATCGTACCTCGTGGTGGGTCGTCACCTGTGCACAATCAGCTTGCAAACCCATACAGCTGTCTGCTCAGCCCGCTCTCATACCCAGAATGCCTCCGAACAGGAACACGTCGAAGATGTCGCCATCAGCCGGGCTCAATTCCTGCTTGGCAGCGGGATCCAGCAGGCAGACCTTTGCCTTTTCGAACAGCGTTTCCACACTGTCATGCTCGACTTCGAGGCCGTCGACATGGGCCAAGTTCTCCGGCAGCTTCAACGTCTTGGGCACGCTGGAGAGAAGGAAGCGGCACTGGGCGGCGCTCGACTCTCGGGCAATGGCGGCATACTCGAGGGACGACCACGCCTCCAGCTCGGGGTCGAGGTGCTCGACGACAAACGTCTTCGGGACCGGCGCAGCCATGTTTGGTAGTACACTGCGAGAGGGCTGTCAGGGCTTGCGCAGCCGAGCAGCAGGTGCGAATGGATGTGGGCACGTGACCGCGATCGAAGCTGGTGAAAATTGTGGGCGGCTTCCGCCGCTGTTGGATCCGGCTATCGTGCGGCTGGGAGGCGCTCTAGCGGCCCGTCTGTCGTTCCCACACATCACCTAGCCGCTATTCCTCCTCAGCCGTGGCAAGGCCAGGGGCCCTGAGGACGCAGCAGCCGGCCGATGGGGGCAATGGCAGCAATAGCGGGTTCAATGGGGAGCACACCGCGTCCGCCCGCGCGGATCCTGGCAATGGAAACTCTCTCTTTTTTTTCCCCCTCCCTGGCGCGGCCTGAACGACATTACACAAGTGACATCGCCAGGCCGGGCGGCGATTGGCGCAGCGATGCGCGTGACGTGCCCAATTGGGCGGGCGGGGCAGCTTCAAACACACGGCGCACAGCAGACTTGGACTGGACAGAGGAAGCTCACGCCGGCAGCCAGTCCTGACCCAGACGCCTCACAGCTTGCTTGCACTACTCTACCTCTTTCAAGCCACCCCACTATTAGCTGCCTTCGCTCCACCACCAAACGGCCCGCGCCAGCAGCAGCCAGCACAAGTGAAGCCCTGCACCTGGGCTCGCTCGCATCATTCTCGAAAGCGCAGGGATCGGCTCGTTGAGCGTACAATAGTGCAGTCATCGCCCAGCCCGTGCCGTGATTGGAGCCGCGATCCATACCTACCCAACCCTGCCTGAGGCCAGAAACACGGACGCCGCCCTCCCGTATTGACGTGTACCTGCGCGCGCCGCGACGACCTCCCGTCATTGAGCGCCGCCGTCCGAACTTATCACACGCGCGGACAAAGCACGTCGCGACCCATCCTGCACACTCCCCGAGCAACCCCCGCGCCCTGCGACCGTCGCCTCGAGCTCCGACCAGAAATTATCTCGGCCTGCCCACCCATCTCTGCACCACCACACCACACCACCATGAATCCCCACCAGAAGAACAAGGTCGATATCAGCGTGCGTCGTCCAACCCCGCCGTGCCTGCAGTGGCGCACGCGAGGACATGGCTAACGAGCGCTGCAGTCACTGTCGGCCGAGGAGCAGCGCCTTTTCAGGCTCTATGGCAAGCTGCCGAACCGAAAGGACCTGCTGCAGAACAAACTCAAGGTAGGTTCAGGCTGCCCTGCATCCGCTCCGCCTGCTGACACCGCTGCCGCAGGAGCGCAAGTACTTCGATAGTGGAGACTACGCCCTCTCCAAGGCCGGCAAGGCAGACGACGTCGGCGTCACGCAGATCGGCCGCGAGCACCCCGTTCCTGAGAACATCCCGCACAGCTCGTCGCCGCATGCTGGCAACGGTGGCATCAACCTGCCAGCTCCTCACCACGCCAACGGCCAAGGCACCAGTCCGGTCAAGGATAACAGCTTCATCCACCGCGAGACGAGCCTCAACCGCGAGACCAGCGTAGATGACGAGGAGATGGAGGGCGCCAAAGATGGCCTCGAGGCCAAGGCCGAGGAGGAGGGAAAGGCCGTCCCCATCCGCCAGTCGTGAGGAGCGCTGTGTTCGAATGCTTGTACAAGGTTTCCAGGGAAATTTCTCACATTGGGCTTCTGCGCAGCTTTATGACGTGATGTCCGCATGAGCTTCATTCCGACGGGCTCAGCTGCCCTGTGTATGATGCTGCCGCTGATGAAAAGCCGGCGCGCGGACAATGGGTTTGGCGTTTTATGGGATCGAGGGCCGGATGGCCGGCCTCTACTGCTTTGCTGCTACGTTTGTTTCGTGTAGCTTACTTAGGCTCCTGCAATGAGCAATACACTCTTGACACTGCACAGCGTGAAGCAGCTCGCATGCGTCGGGGCAGAAACGCCCGGGAGATCCATGTAGCAATGCCAAGATGAGCACTGCGGGCGCAAACGCGGACGTGGCGACGGAACCCGAGCCTCGTGCACGCAAGGGACATGGCAGCCGGCAGCTGCTCTCTTGAACGGGGCCCGGGAAAGGCTGCAGTCGTCGTCGCATGGCGGCCGCACGGGGATCCCAGCAGCCTCGCGGATTCTTAGCCGTGGCCCTTTGGACCCTTGGCCGGCGATCCCCTTGTCATCGCCGCCTGCAGGCCACGAGTCCTCTCTCAAAGAACAGCCGCTCCGGAACAGTGTCTCAATAGCCAGCTCCGACCCCAACTCCTGGATCTGCGCCTGGCGTGCAGCTCTGTGCCGCGCTGCTTCTGGACCTCGCCTGGCTTCGAAGCATTGGTACCCCGTTCGCGCCGCCGTCTCCCTCCGCCGCCTGGCCCGTTCCAACACATTCGTGAAATAGCACGCGCGGCCTGTCCGCTCCGACTCGCGACACCCGCCTCCCTCTCGCACTCGTTCCGCCGCTTTCCACATGCTCAATCCGCTGAGTTTACTTCCCGAGCCGCGCGCTGGTGCCTCGATGCGCGCGCTCACCTACGGCCTCCTGGCCGCCGCCGCCTGGCCGCCTGCTGCCTGGGCTGCCGACCAGGAGAAGACAGCCGCCGACTATTTTGTACATTCGCTTCCGGGCGCGCCTCCCGGCCCGCTGTTGAAGATGCATGCAGGGTAACCGCGCTCCTCTCTGTCGTGTTCCGCGCTCTTCTCGCAAAGGCTAAAGTTGAGACAGACACGTCGAAGTGAACTCCGAGCACCACGGCAACTTGTTCTTCTGGCACTACCAAAACAGACACATTGCGAACAGGCAGCGCACCGTCATCTGGCTGAACGGTGGCCCGGGATGTAGCTCCATGGATGGTGCCATGATGGAGATCGGGCCTTACAGGGTCACACCGGACCAGAAATTGGTATACAACAACGGCTCATGGGACGAGTTCGCAAACCTTTTGTTTGTCGACAACCCTGTCGGAACCGGCTTCAGCTACGTGGACACAGACAGTTACCTGCATGAGCTGGACGAAATGGCAGACCAGTTCGTCATCTTTCTGGAGAAATGGTTTGCAATGTTTCCCCAGTTCATGTACGACGATGTAGGGATGCCATTCATCTTTCGCACGAGTACGGAGGCTAATTGATGCCGCAGATCTACATAGCTGGGGAGTCGTACGCTGGTCAGCACATACCTTACATCGCCAAAGCCATGATGGAACGCAACAAAGACGCCAAGGAGAAGTGGCAGCTTAAGGGCCTTCTCATCGGCAACGGCTGGATTTCTCCTGTGGATCAGTATCTTTCATATCTCCCTTACGCCTACAAGAACAACCTGTTACGATCTGGCTCCGATGCAGCCAAGAAAGTGGAGGCAGCCCAGTCAGTGTGCGTTAAAACGTTGGATGCTGGCGGTGCAGGACACGTCGACGTTGGCGATTGCGAAGAGATCCTTTCGACACTTCTGAGCGTCACTCAGGATCGGTCGAACGACAAGGAGCACCAATGCCTTAACATGTATGACATCCGCCTGAGAGACACCAACGAAGCGTGTGGCATGAACTGGCCTCCGGACTTGGAGCAGCTCACCCCATACCTTCGTCGCGAGGATGTCAAGCAAGCGATCCACATCGACCCTGCCAAGCGCACCGGATGGCAAGAGTGCTCGGGCTCCGTTTCGCTGAACTTCAAGGCTCGCAATTCGAAGCCTTCGATCGAGATTCTTCCCGACCTCCTGAAGGAATTGCCAATCCTGCTCTTTTCCGGAGATAGGGATCTCATCTGTAACCACTTGGGTACGGAGGATCTCATCAACAACATGTTCTTCAACGGCGGAAAGGGCTTCGAGATCAGTCCTGGCGAGATTGCCCCCCGGCGCGACTGGACCTTCGAGGGTGAACCTGCCGGCGTCTACCAGGAAGCCCGCAACCTTACCTATGTGAAGTTCTTCAACAGCAGCCACATGGTGCCTTTTGATTATCCCCGTCGTACGCGCGACATGCTGGACCGGTTTATGAACGTCGATCTCTCCAGCATTGGGGGAAAGCCGGTGGATTCCAAGATCGACGGCGAGAAGGGGCCCCTCACGAGCGTTGGGAGCCACCCTAACTCGACTGCTGCTGAGGAAGAGCAGGAACAGGCCTTGGAGGATGCGACCTGGAAGGCATACTACAAGTCTGGCGAGGTCGCCCTCGTGGTTGTCGCCAGCTTAGCATGCGTTGGTGGCTACCTTGTCTGGCGCGACCGTCGGCGCAAGGCTGGATACCAGAGCATTTTCCCTTGGGCAAAAGATAATGGTAGCTCCATCATGAGTAGAGGCATGGGTCTTGAGGGCTTCAGGAGCAGGAGCAACACCGACAGGGATATGGAAGCAGCGTACGAGGAACATGAGCTTGTTGGCTCTGTAAGCTCTGAGGGAAGCGAGTCGGGCAGAGGCAAGCGCGGCCACGGCAACAGCAACGCTGAAAACGAAGCCTTTGGGTTAGTGGACAGCGACGAGGAGAGTGACACGGAGAAACCGCGGAGGTAAAGAGGCCAATTATTCTCCCTTGTATCATAGAGCATGGGCTGGCGTTGATACGGCGTCGAAATTTGAATCATACATGCTTTTATCGCTTCGTGAGAAGGTTGGTGGCCTGTCTGGGCTTCCCCCTTGTGCATGGTGGTAGCGCACGTGACCGCGCATGCTGCGTAGTGTCGCCGAAAGTCGCGCCAACGCGTCTGCCGCCTAGTCGACGCCCGAACGCGTCAACCTCACCCGCTGACAACATCCGCCACATCAACACGCGATGCCGTAACAGCCATCACGCTCTCAACGACGAAAATGCCTCGGTGCGCACCTGTCGGTCCACCTCGCTCACGTCCCCGCTAATATCATCCTGCTGCTTTCAGACCGGGCGACCAGTATCGCGGCATCACGAACCCGTTCGACGAAGAGAAACCACGCATTTCTGAATGGACAGCGCAGGAGATCGCCACACTGCAGAGCCGACTCGACAAACAGCTTGGACCCGAATTCGTCGCCTCGCGCAAGGGGCCTAATGGCCGCACCCTCCATTATCTCCCCGCGGAGAAGGCCATTAATTTGGCCAACGAGGTATTCGGATTCAATGGCTGGAGCAGCTCTATCAGAGACACAACAATCGATTTTGTAAGTCCAAGGTCCGGTATGTCGAAGGTGCCAATGTTATGTACTAACGGAAGCCGCTTTCGTAGGTTGACCAGAGTCAGAGCTCCGGCAAAGTGAGCTTGGGTCTGAGCGTCATAATCCGGGTTACCTTGAAGGATGGCACGTATCATGAGGTTTGCAGCTCACTAGACTTGGCTCCGTGTCATCAAGTGCTAAATAGACTCCAGGATATCGGCTACGGTCATATCGAAAACTGCACAGGTAAAGCGGCCGCTTTCGAAAAAGCAAAGAAAGAAGCCGCCACCGATGCGCTGAAGCGCGCGTTGCGGACTTTTGGCAATGTTCTCGGAAATTGCCTCTATGACAAGAATTACGAGAGTAGGATTTCGAAGATGAAAGTAGCCCCGACAAAGTGGAACCCAGACAACCTACACCGTCACGTCGACTATGCGCCGACCACCAAGACAGAAATGTTGCCGCTTGGGGATATGGACAAGAAGCCAGCAGCAGATCAAAAGCTACAAAGACAGCCTAGCATGCAGAAGACTATGTCGAATGGTGGTGAGCTTGAAGATGAGTTTGGTGGTAACTTGTTTGAAGGCGTAGATTTTGACCGGGAGGATGGCAACGACGACTCGGCGTATGACAGTATGCTGTTGGACATGGAACCAAAGCCCGATCAACATAATTCTGCACAGCATCAACCTCTTTCCCGCACGCAGTCTGTGCCCTCATTACGACCCGCGAATGGCGTACCATCTGGACCACAGCAGAGGTCTTCCGTTGCCGGGAGGACCATGAACCCAACGAACACGAATGCGGCTTCTCGCGCAGAAAGCATGCCACAGCGTGTTCAAACACCTAGCGCTGATCCGTCACAGCCGGGAAGAGCGAATCAAACAGTCACAGCGCCTTCACTAGCTCACACGGCACAGTTAAATCGCAAGGACGGTTTGTCCACTTCAGAAGCGGGACCAGACCTATCCAACCATGCCCAGGCACAGCAACAGCCTCCACACGATACTCCTGTTCGCTTCGTTACAGGTCGTGCTGCAGAGCTTCTTCTAAAGGCAGAGGCTGCAAATAGGGCACCGGCTCAGCCACCGCCAGCTTTCAACCCGCATACCGAGTCTCCATCGCTACGACGCACGAGCGGAATCGACCACAACACTTCTGCCCCGGTCAAGAGGATGGTTATTGCGCAAGCTGCCAACCAAAATGGAACAAACGGCAACCCAAATGGCGCCGTCCGCAGCACGACTCCCTCAGCGCCCGCAGCAAGAGCAAATTTCGTCAATCCCCAAATGGACGTAAACAGGCGGGTAGGCATGCCCAACGCTGCGCCTAGTCCTCATGCCAACCGCCAATCATACAAACCACCTGCCATGAAGCGGCCAGCAGAGGCGCAGGGTAGGCCCGCATTAGCAGACATGACAAATGTGCCTGGGGACGAACAGATGGATGGTGCAGACGTGAAGAGACCCAAGATAAACGAAGGATAGAGGTGTGATCGTGTCTTATCTACGCACTTTGATTGCCGACCTCGGTGTTGATGGTGCAAGTGGCGTCTACATGCATACCTGGCGCTTCTTTTGTTCGGAGCATTATGTACGAGCTTTGGAGGTTTCATTTCATAGGTTTCCGGTATTGGGACACGGGTAGCAGACTTGCTCAGGAGTTATTGATTTTTTTTCTCTCTTGGAGTATGCTATCTAGCAAAAGCGTTTATGTTCATCAGTTTGCTACAGTGTTCGCATCAGGCGCAACCCGTCACCACGTAGGGTCTGCGGGAGCGCATCAGTGCTTGACTCTATTGTAGGGATCATCATATGAACACGCTTGTGTTGGGTCTGGCCCGTTTGACCGAGCCCAAGCAGGCATAAAAGCCTGATGTCAGCAATCTGCAGACCCTTGAAAAGATGTGAACCCCTCGCACCAAGAATAAGCCCCATCGAGTTACCTCCACTCCGTGACGAACGGGGAAGGCAATCGCATAACTATCTTCTCGACGAACGAACCCCAACGCTGCTGCTGGCAAGCCAGCGACCACGGATGCCTGAGCGGTCTCCCAGCACCTCCCCAGCTTCAACCCAGCCCGCAACAGCCCGAACCTTGCGCCACTCGGACTCGTATCTTCATCCATGGTGAGCGGCCTGGGGCCCGGGTGCAACAGAGAGGGAGCAGTTGGGTGAGTGCGGCACAGGGCGCGCAGGGGATCCGGGAACAGCGAAGAGACGGCGCGGCTTCTATGGCGGCGCGTTGACACGGATTCCCCGATTCGGGGCTGTCCGGGGACTTTCTCCCAAAGCTTTGTGTGGAGCGAGAACACCCTCAAGGGCGTCTCCGTGCGTGAGCTTCGACTGCGATTCTTTGGGCGAGGAGTTGGAGTGGGAAAGATCGGGATGGCAGCGGCGCGAAATTTTGGGCGGGCGGCGAGCGGAAGAATTATCGGGCCGGGGCAACGCCTGGATGCGGCATGCGCGAGGCACCTAGCTCTAGGCATCTTGACGTGAAGCTGCCTGCTCGCGCCGGTGCCTTGAACAAAGCTGCCTCTTGCCCGCAAAGAAAAAGGGCCGCCTCCGGCCTTCGCGCAGCTGTCAACCATCCTTCCTTTCACGCCGACCGCCCGCTCCTCGTCGCCGCTCCCAGTTGCTTCGGTCGGAACGCGCGCCTTTCACGTCGCCGTTGCCCTGCAAAAGCTCGACCGCGTCGCAACCACGTCGCCGACCGTACCTTTCCTACCCTAAACATGGCTGGCCTCTTCGGTGCAGGCTCCACGAGCTCTGCCTCGAACCCCACCCAGGGCGACACGTCCAAGGACGTACCCGTCACCCTTCCGGGCAACATCGACTCGATCAGTGAAATCGCCTTCTCGCCTAACCACGATATTCTTGCCGCCTCGTCCTGGGACGGAGGCGTCTACGTCTGGCAGATCGACAACACTGGCCAGAGCAATCCCGCGACTTCGTTCAAGTTCGACGCGCCCGCGCTATGCTGCACCTGGGCTACGGTACGCGCGCACTTCGCAGACCTTTTGGCTTCCGCCGCCGCAATTCACGGTTTTGCTAACCATGCGCTTCACAGGACGGATCCTGCATCATTGGTGCTGGCGCTGATAAGACTGCCAAGAGGCTCGACCTCCAGGGCGGCTCTACGGCCACTGTGATCGCGCAGCATGACCAGCCGATTCGTAGCATTAGGACGACGAACATCTCCAACACCAACGTGCTTGTCACTGGTTCTTGGGACAAGACGATCAAGTACTGGGATATCCGCGCCAGCAATGTGGCGCCTGTCATCACGGTCAATGCCCAAGAGCGCGTCTACACCATGGACGTCAAGGATAAGCTGCTGGTCGTCGGCACTGCTGATCGCTACATCGACATCATCAACCTCGACAACCCGAACCAATTCTACAAGACCATGCAGAGCCCGCTCAAGTGGCAGACAAGGGTCGTCAGCTGCTTCACTGACGCGACGGGTTTTGCTGTTGGCAGTATCGAGGGCAGATGTGCCATTCAGTACGTGGAGGAGAAGGACGCTTCGTAAGTACATTTCGTTTTGTTCCGCATTCGATTGGGGGAACACATATAACTGTGGAGTTTAGCCTCTCTTCAAAGCATGACAAGGTCATGAAATACCTTGAAAAGTCTAAGTGGAGCGAGAAGGCCTCTGACACCAAACGCAGCTCCAACTTCTCGTTCAAGTGCCACCGCCAAACCGATACTACGCAACGCGATGTTGCTAAGGTCTACTCGGTCAATGCCATCTCCTTTCACCCGCAGCACGGCACCTTCAGCACTGCTGGTAGTGACGGCACTTTCCACTTCTGGGATAAGGATGCCAAGCACCGCCTCAAAGGCTACCCGGAGGTCGGCGGCCCCATTACCTCGACTGCTTTCAACTCGACCGGCACCATCTTTGCCTATGCCGTTTCGTACGACTGGAGCAAGGGCTACGCGCACAACAACCAGAGCGTCCCGACCAAGATCATGTTGCACCCCGTCCAAACTGAAGAATGCAAGCCGCGTCCTGGCAGCAAGAAGCGGTAAATGAGCGGTCGGTGCAGTACCTAGGTACCACGATGCAGGGCGACAGTATGGAAGCGATTTGGGGTCTGCTAAGCAATGATTGCACGCAGGCAGGATGTATTTCTGCTTCTTTTTCTTCTAAAAGATGATGGGCCAAACGAAGGGGTGGATCGGCCTTTGGTTCGGAGCATGCTCATTGCACGGTGTTTGAGGAGTTTCGTGCTTCATTCAAACAAGGGAAAAGGCAAGGAAAGAAAGATAATCCATGATGGCAACATGCAGCGAGTTGGAGGTAGTCTGAAACGAAGCACACTCAATGATAGTTGACCGGGCAAGATGTGCGGTCTTTTTTGGCCTAGTCAGGCCAGGCTTCAATCATGGAAGATAGACACAATAAAAGACGAAAAGACCGTTCTCAAGCGGGAATATACACCTTCGTGGCTTACAGGACGTCTAGGCTCAGACGAATGATCTCGCTTGCGGAGACGTATGGTGACGGCTCGTTCTAACATCTGCAGGGTTCGGGTGCCTTTCCACTTTTTTAATGTTTTAGTGCCCGGGGAACCCCACCAGGCACCGGCATCCTTTGCTCAGGGACACTCGCTCACCGCCTACGCGCTCCGTCGCACACCCCTCTAGCTAGCGCATCCTACTCCCTCTCGATACCCCTTCAACAGTGTGATGCGCTGCTCTCTCGCCCCGACTCGTGTCTGCGAAACCTTCTTTGCTCCATCAGCAGTCTCACCCCGACCAGCCACCGTCCTCCTTGGTCGACAACAACCACTAGTGCTTAAGCATACTTCTGCACAGCGCCAATCCTTCGCGACGACGCCGATCTCAAGCTCTTCATACGCACGTTCCTCCAGCAGCAAAATGTCCTCCAAGCCAGCGTTCGATACACGCCCCGTCATCATCTCCGGCCCCAGCGGCGCGGGCAAGAGCACCATCCTCAAGCGTCTTTTCGCCGAGTTTCCCGACCGCTTCGGGTTTTCCGTATCACGTATGTCAGCCTCCTCCTCCTTCGAACAAAGACCAATATGTACGAGGAATGGCCACTTTCTAACAAGCTCGATCAAAATCCGTATAGACACCACCCGTGCACCGCGCCCCGGCGAGCAGGATGGCCGTGAATACCACTTCACAACGCGCGAGAACTTCGAGTCCATGATCGCCGACAACCAATTCGTCGAGAACGCCATCTTCGGCGGCAACCGCTACGGAACCTCTTTCGCCGCCGTCGCCGACGTCGCTGCCAAGGGCCGCGTGTGCATCCTCGACATCGAGCTCGAGGGCGTGAAGCAGGTGGATCGTCTTTCCAACGAGGACAAGCTGCCATTCGCGCGGCCGAAGTTCTTGTTCCTGGCGCCGCCGAGTGTCGAAGTGCTGGAGCAGCGGCTCAGAGGGAGGGGCACCGATACGGAGGAGGCGATTCAGAAGAGGCTCAACCAGGCCAAGGTCGAGATGGATTTTGCGAAGACGGGAGCAATCCACGAAAAGGTAGTCGTGAATGACGACCTCGACAAGGCATACAAGGAGGTGAGGGACTTCATTGTCGGACCGGACGAATCGTGAGGCGTATTCCACGGAAGGAACCGTGAGGATGGGTTATGCGTATAGACAATGCGGTTTTGATAAGCATTCGGATGTGGAAAGTTTAGAGCTCGGGCCGTCACACGGTGAATGCAGCGCGCAGCAGATGTCCTCTTGGGCGACGAAAGACGATTATTACATACCCGCAGCTGAAAAAAGGAAACGCTTAGCTGCTTTTGACTACAAGAAAATTTGTCCCCGGAAACGGGGTTGCTACTAAAAGGCTAGAGGGGCAAAATAAGGCATGCAGAGGTAGAAAAATCGAAGAGAAGGTCAAGACACGGCAGTGTCTTAATATGGAAGAAGGTCTGAGAGTCAGCAACCGCTGCCCCCGTCCACCAACTTCAATGTGAAATGAGAACTGTGTCAAAGGAAGCGGCCCCACTGGCACGCGTTGGTATCAATCATGCTCGTCTAAGTCCCCTTAATCGCCTCCAAAGAGTCGACTTGCTCTTTCCCAGGACTCCAAGGCTCGTCCCTAGGCCGGGAAATTGCCTCTCCCGGACCTTGCCAAAGCGCACAACTCATGGCAGATCCGCTTAGTAGCCGTTCATGGTCATCCTCTGCGAATTCCTGCTCAGCTCCCGGTCGGCAGCGGGGGAGATGGGCCTCGAGCCACCGCCGTGACCAACAGCACTAGACTCCTTGAGCGCAAGCAGTTGCTTCGCACGGAAAGACTCGTAGTGGATCTGGGACGTCGTCTCGATCAGGTCCTGCAAGTGGGTGCGGGTGAGGAAGTTGCGCAGGGCGACGAATTCGCAGTGGCTCTCGTCCTCGACTGTTCGATTGAGTTAGCACAAAGCTCTCCTCGGCATCAATGGCTACCACCCACCGTTAATAACGCCCCAGCGGTTCTGGCGACCGCGAACCTGCTGGCCACCAACAACAATGGTCTTCTCAGAACCAACGACGGCGAAGGGGATTTGCTCCTGGACTGCACGTCAGCTACCGCAGCCTCAATTAGCAGTTCCTCAGCTGACCTTGATAGTGTTCTTCAGGGCAACCTCCTCCGGGTCGTCCTCGTCGTTGTCGTAGGGGTACATCTTAAGGTTGTGGAAAGCAAACTCCTCCTTGATTCTGGCCTTGAACTCGGCACGCTCCTCGAGGGTGAGGGAGTCGCTCTTGGCAATGACGGGGACGACATTGACAAATTCGCTCAGCTTCTTGAGCACGACAATGTCAATGGGCTTGAGCGCGTGGCCAGAGGGCTGGATGAAGAACAAGCAGCAGTGGATGCGCGTGTCCTTGAGGTAGCGCTCGCGCTCGGCGGTCAACTCCTTGCGGAGGTAGGCCGAGTGCTGATCCTTGATGTACTTGACAATCGGGTCCCAGCAGCGGTCGTTGTTAATCAGGTCACCGTAGCCGGGGGTGTCGACAATGTTCAGGCGCAGGCGCACGCCGTTCTCCTCGATGACGTGGGAAACGGCCTGGATCTCAGTGGTGCTGCGAACGGGCTCATCGGGCGTCAGGCGACCCTTGCTGTCGATAAGGTGCGACGCGAAGATGGTGTTGATCAGGGTGGATTTGCCCAGACCCGTCTGGCCTGCGGAGCAACACAGTCAGCGATGCGCACACGGAGATGGCAGGGGCGGCGCGACGTACCGACGCAGATGATGTTGAACTGGAAGCCGCGCTTCAACAGCTTCTTCTCAATCTGGTTGGTGATGCTGTCGAAACCGACATGGCTCTTGGGGAAAACGGAGGGAGGCTGCTGGGTCTGGGGAGAGGCGGCCATTTTTGCGGGGGCCTCGGCGAGGGCTGCGGCGGGCGGCGGACGGCGGAAGAAGGTAACGAGCGACTTTGGGGTGGGCGGCGGGTGAGAATTGAAGGCTGAGGGACCGTGGAGTATGGAGACGCCTAAAGGGTCGCTGCGTGGGCAAGCGCGAGAGGGAAAGGGGGCAGACGTGTCGGGCGACGGCCGCGCAGGGATACCGCGCACGGGCCACCCTTGTCAATCGCTCGCGCTCGCCGCCAAAAGTCCCATCACGGCCAGCCAGTCTATCGCCGTCATCTGAGCTGCCCGCAACCCGCTTCGCGCCCGCGCCCTCCACCTTCGCGCGCAGCCATGGCCGCCCTCCGCTCCATTACCGCCGGCCCGCTGGCCGCCCTCGCCCCCGCCGCCAGCGCCCCGTCGCGCATGCTACCGCCGCTGCTCCGCCGCCTGCAACAGCGCCCGCTCCTGCCGGTCGCGCTCCGTCTTCCTGCCCCCGCCATTGCTGCCATTGCTGGCGTCTCGGGGCTCCTGTCTGGCATCTGGGAGTCGATACTGCGTGCTGTGCCGAAGAAGAAGACGTCGCACATGAAGAAGCGGCACAGGCAGATGGCCGGCAAGGCATTGAAGGACGTCACCGAGGTTGTGAAATGCCCCGGCTGCGGCAGGCCGAAGCGCGCCCACATCCTGTGTCCCTACTGTGTGCAATGTACGTCCCATGCTCCTCGAATGGCGAGCCCGGAAGCTAACCTGCACCGCAGCCATCCAGCACTGGTTGAAGGGCAACGAAAACCATGTCTCCAAGGAATGAAGATGGTTTGGTCGAACGGTGTATAGCAGCCTTCGGTGCGAGGGTTGGGATGGCATTGACGGCGCTGACGGCATTGGGCTGGTGTTTTGGGATATCCCGCGCGCTTGTGTGGGCAAGAAAATCGTCTCTGGCGGATTCTGCACCGAGATGTATGTACAGTTATATGTATTGAGAGTCATCGTGACCAATTGGACGAATTGAATGCGCCGGCGCAGCGACCCGGGGGTGCGCGACCAGCTGCGTCACGTTTCGTGCTCCCCGCTATGACATCGTCACGCTCAAAACGCGTCCTCCGCCTAACGCGACACACTCTGCGCCCACGCTGACCACCAGCAGATCGCAGCCATGGTGCGCCCCGCCCTCTTCCCCATCATCGGACCGTATGAGCTGACTGTCACTCCCGCAGTCGAAACAATACCTCACTCTCCATACCGTCAACAACGGTACGGCTTTTCTTGCCCGCCTTAGCCTGCCCCGCGCTGACTTCCACAGCCCATCCTACCGACATCTTCGCTGTCGCTCCCACCAAAACCACACTACTGTCCGCCTCAGGCTCGTCGAGTATCCACGTCTATTCCACCACCGAGCCTGACTTCCCGCTCACTCAAACCCTACACGACGCTCATAAGCTGGGCTGCCACCATATAGCCACATCTGCGAACGGCCAGAAGGCTGCAAGCGCTGGGTTCGGTGGTGATGTCAAGCTTTGGGCCTTGGCTGAAGATGGTAGCTGGAAGGCGGAGGGCTCTATTGCGGGTTTGCTCCTCCTTGCCCCTCTCTGCGCATGCGCTGACACGGCTTGGACGCAGACGGAAGCAAAGCTGGTGAGGTCTGGGCGATTTCCCTAAGCGAAGACGGCAAGTACCTTGCAGGCACAACACACGACGGACGTATCAATGTGTGGGAGACGTCCTCAAAGGAAAAAATTCGAGAATTCGAGACCAAGGGCAGCTTCGGCATGTGCATTCATCTTGTACGTCTCGCGTTGCCCATTGCGCTGTATTTCGCTAACTGAATACCTGCAGAGCGTTGATGGACGTTTCACTGCATCCGGCCACGAGAACGGAAGCATATACGTCTTCAACAATGAGACTGGCCGCCTGCTGCATTCGCTACCCGGTACGCGCGACCTGTCGTGTGCGACTTGCCAATAGCATGTTACTGACCATGTGGCAGGTCTAATCAAGCCAATCAGGGCTCTGGCCTTCTCCCCGGGATGCAAGCTGTTGGCTGCTGCTGGTGATGCTCGGACAATCGCTCTGTACGATGTCGGTTCAGGAGAGCAGGTGGCCAACCTTTCAGGCCATGCTGCTTGGATCATGAGCCTTGACTGGAATGACACTGGCGAGTATTTACTCACAGGGTAATTTTCCCTCCAGCTTCGGCACTGGTTCAAATCCTAAACTCACGGTTCTGTACAGATCTTTCGATGGCAAAGCCAAAATTTGGTCGATAGAGACCAAAGCTTGCGTGGCTACTCATTCCGAATCAGACAAGACATTGTGGTCGGTCAAGTGGCTGCCCAAAACTCACCGCGCGGAGATGTTTGCCGTTGCTGGAGCGGGAAAGAGCATCTCCTTCTACAGGGAGGCCAGCGGCAGCTGAACATCCTTCACTGCAACTCTCGCATCTAGGAAGATCCAGATACAAGCAAAGCATCATACTGAAGCGTTCAGCAAGGCGTAAAGCAACAGCATCAAACACAAAGGGCATGTCAACATAATCGTGCTCGGCTAGACAAGGTATAAAATGGAACTGAGGATCAAAGTGGTTTTGGCTGGATGAAGATGGAAGAGGATCTGCCAAAATGCGTTGCTCTTCCAGCAAGATATTGAGCTCACTCTGGTCCCATTTTTTGCCTGTTGAACATAGCCCTTTCGCGACAGACCCTATTTACTACAACAAGTGACTATGAGCTACTCTTGAGTGAGATTTTCCACAAGCCAGCCAACAGAATACACGCATCGGCATCAATACCTCAACTTGACGTGTCCTTGCTCCAAAGCCCATATAATAAGATGATCTAGGTTCTTTGTATTAGATACCATTCCGCAACGAATAACGCTTCAAGGCGTTAACAAGCATACGAAATACAGATCCTGTCTCATTCCCCGGTTTGGCTACTGTCCTGACAAAATAATCCGTCTAACCTAAATATGCAGAAACGCATGTCTCATAGAAACACGTCTCGAAGCCGTTCGAGTTCCAATTGGAATCTCCCTGTAGTGGGACCATTTTCTAGCCACGAGTAAGGCACGTGGTTGTAGTTACTGGTTCGTAATCGATGGGTGCGGTCTGTTCATACCAGCTCGGATATTTCACGCCTGGCTGTGAATGTAATTTCTGTGAGAAGCCTCTTTACTAATACATAGAAGAACATTGACGACTACGAATGGTGGACTATTAGAAACGAAAGGGCCGACGTCCTCCGGTACACTGATGCCTACCAAATATAATACTTATATTCGCGTAGATGCATTTCAGTGCCTTGTATTAAAGTACGAAAAGCCGGATATAGTGTCTACCTAGAATAGAAAGCCTACCAGGGCTTAACCCAACCTCTAATGCGCACAGACTCTATTAGTTGTGAGCCCTTCAGAGGGGTAATTCATTATTGTTCTAACACCCTGTTCGCTCGGATGGCAATAGCAAAATTTCCAAAAGTAGTTAGTAGAAAAGTATTAGTAGTAGACCCTTGGCCGAACCAAGTGCTGGCCTTTCAGAGCCGTGGTACACCGCGTATAAATTATGCTTCAGGCCTATCTGACGCTTGTCAGAGTGTTTCATAAATGCCCATTCAATCAAGGTAGATTGAAGGACGGGGTGATGTATCTCGAAAGAAACCTCTTGGCCTTGATAGAATTTCCGAGGCAAGGCTTGAGAAACGAGGCACGGCTCTTAGTAGAAAGCCGAACAGAAGAGGAGCAACCGCGTCCAGCGCTTTGGGAAAACCAACAAGAAATACACAGAGAGAGTGGAGAATAGCAGCACTTCTCCGTTTGCGGGGCCAAGCACCCATCGATACCATTATCCAAGACTTTCGGTAGAGATCCGAAGCCGATGCCGGCTCCGAGACTGACCCACAGCTATGATGAAACGAAAGGCTAGACGAGCGCTGGGCAATGACTTTTCATAGGCGTGCCTTCATCCGCTCTGCGATAAGGTCGAAGGTCCCAGTTATCCTTATCAACGCGCCGGCTTCTATGGCACTCTGGATATTGTCAAAAAATATCCAGGCAGAGTTTTGGTCTTGGATAGGCTGAATCAAAGCGGCCTGTAGTTGTCGACTTCGGCATGCTAGTAAGTACGCCCATAGTCACTGTTACTGTTACCCGTGAAAACGCTCCCAACATCCGATGCAAACCTTGGCCCAAGCCTAGGGGTGAGTGGATGAACGGGTTACACCCCTGCGTCACTGGGAACATGGAAGAGGATTCCGAACCCGCTCTCTTAGCATCCCTGACCCGGAATCGGCTCGCTTCAAGTTGCAAAAGTGGGTCGAAGAAGATAAGAGAGTTACGGCATTCATGTGAACGCGCACGTATCATACAGTACAAAACTTTCAGATAGAGAAACGAAGATGTGTAGCAGTTTCAGCTTTCTCGCCGTCGCGATGATATCAAGCGAACTGGGCCCACATTGCCGTATGATTTGCATCGCTAGCATGAGGCTGGCACGTCGCACTGCAAGTCACTCCGACGAACTGTACATACAGCAAAGAAATAGCTTCATTTGTGCGAACACTCTCAGGGCCGGAATGCTCAGTCACTATGCGAAATTGCCATTAAGGTTGCCTGCGCTCCGTCCGCGTCCGCCGACTCTGCCCATGTGCCCCTGCAAGATTACAGGGATGCATACCTCGTTATCAGTGCAAGATAAGGAGTTTTATTGAGTTCGGGAGGAGCACTTGGCTATAACTTTCACAGTAACATCCGCCGTTCGATCGGCAGTATCCGTGTTAGCGTGCCCACATTGGCTTCCAGGGTCCAAAGGATATAGGAGCTTGATATGGATATCACGACTAAGGTAGGAACTGGCACGACGCGCGTAAATTGTCACAACAGGGGACGCTGCGGACTGCTGCGCCGCCTAGGCGCACGGGGCCAGCATCAGTCTCAGCGTCCTATTATCACAGCCTCCTGCACATGGTGACTCAAATGAAAGGATTTTTTTTTGTTCCTGTCCTGGTCCCACTGCTCTTCCACTTGGTGGGCCAGTACGAACACCACGCGATGCATATCATTGCATGTGGCATGGGAGATCCCCGTGGACCATACGGATGAGAGCGCTAGACTCTGGAAACACCAATGCAATGTCACGCGCATCGGAACACCTTTGCTCCAAGGTTTGCCGCACGTGGGTGTGCGGCTGACTCGTGACAGGCGCGCGTGGTAGGCATGGTGTTCGCGATTGGGCGGACATGTCGTGGCCGCAGTCCCTGATATTTTCAGGGTCGCGCTATTGCTCCACACTCCTCAATCCTTCGTGAATGAGATGAATCAACAGTGGCGATGGTTCGGGTCAGCCGGCAGCGCAGCAGAGGCGTGGATCAAGTCGAATCCGGTCTGAGGGCGTTTGCGAGGGAGAGCAAAAGAAGATTGCGGTGTGTATGAGAAAGGGACACTACGGTGCAGCGAGGCACGGGTACGCCATGTCGAGGAACGCTACAGCGCAGGAAGCGATCCACCAAGGTACATGCGGATGCGCAGGCAGGGCTGAACGCAGGGCCATCGAATCCCCCGCAAGATGTCGTGGCCGACGATGGCCCAGACTCGTCGATCGATCTGTCCGACATCGAGTCGGTTGTACATAGACACGGGCCTACAATTGTAGGCAGTCGTGCGCCAATTACGTGATGGGTGCCCTGAGAAAGCCTGGCTAGAAGGCACGCGAAGCTCCCACTGACGTGTTTGTGGAGAGATGACGATATTCAGAGGACGCATGGCGTTGGAAATTCTGGACCAGCGCACAGAGAGGGGCGCCGAGCACTGAAAAACACAAAAAGATGGAGCAGAGAGAGGGCTAGACCCGGGCAATGCGTCGTCGCTGTGAAATGAGAAAGAAAGTACTCCGAGGTGAGCCGAGACTTCTGGAAGGCAGGATCACCAGCGCCACAACGACAGTGTACCAGCCGCACGGCCCGGGGAAGGCCCTCTGGATGCCGCATACGCACAGGTGTGGTCGGGGAAGAGTTGTACAATTTTTTTTTCACAGGTGGCCAAGGCGCCCTGACCGGTCACGCCAGCACCGTCTTGGAGGCTATACGTGTACCCATTGCCTGTGCTCCGGGGAAGCGGGCGGGCGGGCAGAGCACACATGTCCCGCGAAATATGAATCAGGCACCGTGGAGTAGTGAGATTGTGGAGAGAGGACGCATTCAGCTCAGGGGGATCTCCCAGGGACCGGTGAAGGCGCTGGCTATTGTAGCGGAGGGCACGGCTGTGTGCAACTCGGCCTGCAGTCTCGTCAGCGCAGAAAGATCGATACATACGAACATACATGCGGCCAGGGGCGGGCGGAGCAGGGCAGACGTCGCGGGTCGGAGCAGGCAGGCTCCATTGCGCGGTGCTGTTCTGGAGCTGCTGTGTTTCTGAGCGTTCCCGGGGCCCTTGGGCGGTGTGTGCCTCGACGCAGAGGCCGAGAGGCAGCAGGTCCCGGCGTTGCACAAGGGTTTTGTGAAATGTGCGGTGGGGCGTGTTGGGCCTTTGTTCAGCAAGGACAGCGCGTGCTCCCGTGCCCGCCAACTTATGTAATCCCCGCAGGCATTGTAGGGCTAATGTCGGGGAAGCGGTGAGGAACGCGGCGGGCGGCAGGCCTGGTTCCAGAACAGCGGGCGCTTGCGAGGAACGCTCCACTCTGCGATGCTGGGCTGGTGTTGAGTGCTGAGCGACATCGGGGAGCTCGCTGGCGTGCCGATCCCAGATCTGCTGGGGTTTTGAGCCTCGCTCCCTTCGGCTGCTGGAGGCACCACGCACCAAACATCACGAGCTGCGCAGCATGACGTGGGCCGCACCCAGCGGGCCGGGCGCGAAGTCGCTGCAGCTGCGACGCGGGCGCTCGGGACGGCGGCGGGCTGGAAGCGCCGGCCACGGGAAGCGGGACGCCGGGCGGCGGGCTCGGAGTCGACTGGGCAGCAGCACGCGTCCCGGCGGCGGGGAGGGGCGACAGCGAGATGAAACGCGCGCCGTGGTGGATGGTGGGTGGTGGGTGGTGTGAGCTCGGGTGCTGCCAGGCCCGCCGCAGTGGAAGTTGGCCTTGTTGCTGCTGCTTGGTCGCGCCGGCCCGCATCCACCACCTTCAGCTCTGGGCCGCCCCTTTTGTGGGGTCTGCCGCGATCCTCGATGTGCGCGCGCGGTGGGGACGCGGCGGGCGCCGGCCTGACGTCGACTGCCGCGGGCAAGTCATCCGGGCTGCGAAGTCACCGGACTGCCATCCAGCTGCCCACCACCACCTCGACGACCAGCTTATCTCAGGCCAATCGCTTCGGCTCGCTTGGCGCGCAAACCCCTCGCGCGGGCGAATCCCACCACCACCACCGTGATGTGCCGGCGTGGGGGACGGGGCTTGACCCTCACCTTGGCGTCGGCCGCTACTCCGAGCGGGACTGCCCTTAGCCTGAGTCTTCCCCCGCTGGGGACTCCGCTTTCATCATACGTAGATTGTGCGGCCTCAGGCACTGTGCCGAGGTCAGATGAGTGGCTGCGACGGCTGCCAGGTACCCACCAAGGGTCACACTGCCTGCTTCACGCCACCCTCACGCTGCCGTGGCCAGAGCAAGAGCAGAGTCACCCGAAGTGCAGAGTTTGGAGAGCAGTCGTGTGTGGTTCCATCGTTTCCATTCAGCGGCCCTCGGTCCGCTGTGCGCCTACATACAGCTATGCGCTGTATAGCGCGCTCCGGCTCATCTGTGCCGGAGAAGAGGTGGAGAAGAGAAGTTTACGTACGACATGGACAAGCGCTGCAAATGATTCCCCAGACCTAGCCCGTCCCATGCATCCCAAGCACCAGTCCCAATGTTCAGCATGACACCTGCACCTTGCTAATCCCAAAGCAAACCGCCACGGCCATACCCAAGCAAACATGTGACTCCAGCCCAAACTGCATCGACAGAGTCCAGAAGCGTAGACAAAAAAAATAGGGAAAATGCTTTTTGGTCACACAGAGCGCACCCGCAACCGCTGGGCGCGCAAGAAAGGGAAAACTCCAAGAAGAAAAGGGAGGTCGAAGCGCCTTCACTGTTTCGATTTTTGCGCCGTGCCATTCCGTCGCCGAACCGGGGTTTGAATGCCAGAAGTCGAGATTATGCCGTTAAAATGCGTAAGGATGCAATGCGTTACTCCGGTTCGACGCATGCCGAGTGCGAAATGTGTTCGTAAAGGAAAATATCTCTTGGTCTTTTTTTTGTTTCGTTTTGCACGTCTGGGTAGACGTGGTAATGTTGGCGGGTATATCCTCTCATCTCAGTTCCTCAAAAGACACCACGCTAGTAGTCGCGGGTGGTATGGGTGCGAGCCAGCATTTAGGCCGACTGCTTCCGTCTCCGGATATCGCGGACTTGGTCAAAGGCATGGGCGTAACCCCTCAGCTCGTTAGCGGCCTGGGCCGAGAGGCCCTGGGTGGCAGAGGCAGCCATCGATGTCAGTGATGTCTGGGATGACGACGGCGTGAGGCTACGCTTCGACGAGTCGCTGGCGGTGGACGATGTCGAGGGCGACGACGAGTGCGAGAAGTACTGTTGCCTAGGCGAGTAGAGGTTGGGGCTGGAGGGTGCCGACGTGGCGGTCTTGTAGGCGGAGAAGTAGAAGCCGGAGCCGGAGCTGCCAGTCGAAGAGGCATACGACGAGGCAGCGGAGGTGTAGTCGGTAGCCTTGTCCAGGTCGGCGAGGCGGCAGGCCTGCGAGCAGTAGGCGCCGTGCTCGATCTGCTTGTCGCAGGTGAGGCAGAAGTCGTGGGACCACTCGGCAGCCATTGTGAAAGATGATGGTTGATGGGGAGTAGAAGGCGTGGGCGAGAGGGAGGTTAAATGATGTGACGTGTGGATGAGTCAACCGGGGTGGAGATGGTGTGCTCAGCTAGAGGCCGAAAATAAAGACTCGCGATGGCAGCGCAGGATTGCCTCATAAGAAGCGCGGGTTGAGCGGAGGGGGAGCGGCGCTCTTGTATGAGGATGGCAGGCAGCTGGCTGTGCGGCTTCGAGGCTTGGTCGACGAATCAAGGACGCGGGCACGGCGGGCGTGCCTCTTTCGCTCGCTGCAGGTGTGCACACCCATTCGGCGCTGTGCAGAAGCAGGGACTCGCAAGCAGCTAGGCGCATTAGGCCTGCATAGCGGGATAGTGGTTGTGTCTGCTGACAGGGGGGCCCGCACTACGGAAGGATTGAGCGAAAAAAGCGCTTTTGCCGCAGCGCACCCTGCTCCGCCCGGCCAGGTCGTGCCTGACGCTGGAGCCAGTCAGCGCCCGCCGTGTCACTGCGCTGCTGAGCCCGCCGACTTGGCTCTGACAGAGCTGCGACGCGCTGCGCACGCCCGCGCCCACAGCACCCTCGCTCGCCGGCCACGACTTTGTGCCCCACTCCTCCTGCTCACCTCACGGCCCAGCGTTGTTGCGTGCGCGCTGCTGACTGTACCCAGCGCCCGTCACACGCCCTCACCACCGTGAACGCAGGGGCGCTGCTCAGCCCTGCTTCAGCCCGCCAGAGGGAATGCCGCCTGGTCAGGCGCCCGTGAGACGCCTGGAATGCTGCCGCAAAACGCGCCGCACCCCATCTCCAGCCGCGCGAGCTTATCTCGAGCCTCTCTGGACGGCGAGCGGGCGCCGGGAGCCATGCCCAAGCGCCCGCGTTTGCCCTCTGCTGCGCTGCGAGGCCCGTCCGTCACGCTAGCCGGCTTCGAATAATGCGCACCCGAACTGGACGACAGAGAGGTGTTTTTTTTTTTGTCTCGCACGCAGACGGGCAATCGACTCCCCATGGCCGCCCAGCCACATCTGAACGCCGCAAGCCCACGGTGCGATAGGTCTTTTTGTCGGCCAAACCTACGCTGGATCGGCAGCGTCCAGTGGCAGAGGTGGTGAGCATGTGCAGCAATTTCGGAACATGCAGTGCAGAACAGGCCCAGGCACGTCCTGGCGCCAGCCTCTCAGGTTGACGCGCAGCTGGTGTATTGGATCATCAGCCAACAAGGTGCTGGCGCCGCGCTGGGATGGCACAGGCTCTATCCGCCTGTCGAACCCCCCCACGCTAGACCCTCATGAGGCACCGGAATGGTGGATCGCTGCAGTCTTCCACGCGCTCCACCAAAGTGAGCCTTTCGTGAGCCGTGCACTTATCGCCTTCAGCATTCTTGAGGCCGACTTCTTCAGCCCGGTGTCGTCGTTGCCCGGCGTCCTTGCATGCTCGGAGGGGGGGCCAGGTGATGACAGGCAAATCAGCACCCTGGACACGCAGTGGCTGAGTCCTGCCCCACGCAGCTGGCGGGAGGCGAGACGACGACCAGCCGCGCTGGAGCTTGAAGAATTTGCAGCGATCGCTCCTCGATACAGAGCCATTGTGGCTTCGTTGCGGCGCACCGTTATTGCGGCAAGACTCGATGTCTCAGCACCCACGCCCATCGTCATTATCATGCGTGCCAGCAGCGGAGATGGCTTCCAAGGGGCGCATGGTTGCCGGACACCAGAAGATGGTGGCCAGACGCACTGCAGCACAGGTAGGGTATAGCGGATGTTTCGATAGCAGAGCGCTTGCTATAAGAGGAGCTCGGCAGATCTCCATAATTTAATTTACTTTTTCTCAGATCTCTTAGCGCCACACGACAGCAGGTCGAGAGACTGCGGAGAGCTAAAGACGGGCGTACCCGAGGCGCCAGGTGCGCGTGCTCTGGCGCAGCAAGAATGCATAGAACAAGACGACGGTCGCGATGTGCTTTATCTCGCTTCTCTCGCCGGCCGGACGACATACTTTCTGTGTGACCCGAAGCACTGTCGCGGTCACGCCGCCGTGACGCAGAGGGCCGGGAACGCGCGGGGTCCGCTGGCGGTCGAGAACGACAAGAGGGAAAAGCTTCTGCTAGATCTGTCTGTCGCTGTCAAGGCGTTTCAGGCGCGCGCCGGCAAACGGCTGGTTGGCTGGATAGGCTCCGCGCGGATGAACAGCAGCACGGCGAGAGGGCGACACATAATCTCCGTGGCCGGGGCATGCAGCGCAGTGCGACTTCTTGGCCTTTCCATGAAATGCAAACCGCATGCGAAGCGCCCCCCATGCAGTGCGACGCCGCCAAAGCATGCTGTTCGAACGCAGCGAGCGCGTGCGTAAGTGGTGGCACAACGACGCACGGCTGCTTCTCCACACTTTCGCTCGTAGCCGCGCGTATCCGAGATGCGGAGAAGCCCTGAGCAGGTTCATCGACGCTGCCATTGACTCGAGTGCGGGCGTCCCTGCAGCAGGAACGCACCCTCCCCCTTTTCCATCCGGAGATGCGCATCGTGGCCGCCGTCGAGGCCGCTGACGCTGGAGCCCCGTCATCGTCATCGTCATATCATCACCGATGGCGCGCATGCAGCCTCGCTTGGGGTCTGCAGCATGGCCCCCTGTGCGACAAGCCTCGCCCGGTCCGTCTGCGCCCTCCGTGCTGGCAGGGGGTGCCGAGGATCGTGCTGACGGCACGAAAATATGGGGTGCATGTCGAACCAGCCTCTGGCGAGCCGCCGCCGAGCTCTCCACTCCGGTCATTCCACCGGTCGGAAGACAGCAGCGTCCGGCTGCTTGGCTCCGCCGTCCGTCCGTCGCCTGCCGGGCGTGACGAAGGCAGGGGCAGAGAGGCATATGCTCGCCACGCAACAGAGCTGGTCCCAGCTGCCGGGGCCCGTCGGACGCCAGGCTCAACGAAACGGGGCGGGCGAGCGTCCGTCGGTCGTCGGCGCCAGCAGCACCGCGTGCAGTTGCAGGAGTCAGACCACGCTTGCTCGAGCGCTCCACCCACGGAGCGCTGCGCCAATCCCCAGGCCGATCAATGGGGCGAATGTTGGGGGAACTGCGCGCGCGCTGGAAGAGGGGCAAAATGTGGAGCGAGCATCGCCCGGGTCCTTGTCGTCGATCGCATCGAGGGGACAGCCACGGTAGGGCAACCACAGCTGCTGCGCCCGCCGTCGCTTCGCCCCGCGCCGCCGACTCGTCGCGATTGTCTAGCCAACCATCCTCCGCGCTTCCGCAGACTTTTTTTTTTTCTTTCTCCGTCCTACTTGTTCCTTTCCGCAACCGTTCCCGCAAGCCACCGCCTCAACAAGTCCTTCCCCGGCACAGCCCGCGGGGGCAGCTTACGGGGCTGAGCTTGTGCGCGCCAAACCGAGGGCAAGGTCGAGGAAGAGAGGAACGGCCGAGAGCCAGTCGAGAGGCTTGCCCATACCAACAAAAGCGCCAGCCACTGCACAGCTCATTCGTCGGCAGCCGGAGTGGCAGTTGCCGGGTGTGGCTCTGGGTCGCGGGAATAGGCCGGCAGTGCATCTCGAACACGACAAGCGACGCCAGCCTGGCTTGCAGGACGACGGTGCATTGACTTTTGCCGCTTGCGTTGTCAGGTCCAGCCGCCGGTGCTGCTGTACACACATGAAAATCAAAGCCTATGGGCAGGCTGAAGAATGACAACACGAAATTTTTTTTTCTTGCGCTGTTCGTCTGGGCAGGCACGGGAGGGCAGTGATGTGATGGAGCGCCCAAAGAGGAGAGCCGTTGCGGCCTCTGTGGCTGCTATGTTCTGGACTCGTGGAGCCCACGCCTGATGAACGTCAGGCTCTGGTTTGCCTTCCACTACCGCCCGTCCCCACAATGCGGATCCTGCCCGCGGTCCTGTAACGCGGTCTGCCTGATGGTTGTGGCTCGGGCTGATTTTCCATTTTGCCTTTTTTTAATACCTCAGTTTTTCTTCTTGGTGCCCCTCGAGCTGACGTATCTTGCGGCCTTTGTTGGCGTGGCTCTGGGAAAGTGGCATGGCGGCATAACTTGCTCATGATGATTCCTGAGGCACCTAGGTTGCCACATTACCGGCTTGTCTCCTATGACGATGCGAGGCCGAGCCATTCTGCCCTTTAGCTCGGCCTGTGTCCAACTCCACTTCTCTGAAACTGGGCAACTGCATGCTCTTGTGTCAGGCTGGGACAATCGGTAGTGTGGCCGTCTCCGATTCCCAACCACGTGGACGAATAACGTCTGAATGGCGATCTATCGCATTGCCCGAGCTATAGGGGATGGGCTACGGGAAACAGAGAAGGCGAATTCTCGTCCTTCGGTGCCGAGGAAAGCCCTGGAGCACCAATGGTAGGACTCTGCGGAAAAACTCTTCCTTGCTGTCTCGTCTCCCGTTGGCTGGGTAAGGTTTCCATGCTCGCACGAACGGCTGACAGGGCGGACGTCAACGTGCAGCTAGTGGGCTGGAGATCGGCTCCTGCTCGTGCGACGTCGAGCTTCAGTTCCGGGGAAGATGGACACCATGATGTTCAATGTATGTCTATCATCACGTCCGACTCACATCACTGTGCAGTCTTTGTAGGACAGATGCGTCCACACCCAGCTACCACACGGTGGCGGGGGGCAAGGGATCTGAAGCTTGCGTGCTCCGGCGGGGCAGAGGAAAAAGCCCCTGGCTCACACATCCGTCTGACTGTGCCAAAGAGCAGGTACTGAGGGTTTGATAGAGAAGCGGAAACCTCCCACTATTGCGTGAACGTCGATCTCAACGGCCCGATTGCATCACGGCATCTCGAGTTCCAATTGTGACTCAATCGTCGTTGATGGCGTGCCGCAATCACGAGGTTTTCTGACAATGGCAAATCACGCGTTTCTCCAAGTGTTGCGTGAGGACAGCTTGGGGATGGAGCATACTGTGGGTATGCCCATTTCCATCGATCGACATAACCCACTTCTGAGAAGAATTATCAGCAGGCGAGTGGTGGAAGGTACGTGGGTCGCGGTAGGGTACCCTGTACATGAAAGACCGAGACGTGCGTCCAGTTGCCAGAGTGCAACAGGCAGGTGCCCATCACACCGGGGCGAGTGCTCGGGCTCCGAAGTTTGTGTTACGTTACCACTCCAGCGTTGAACAGAAGGACTTGTAAGAAGACAGAGATGTAGTTGCCGGCGTTGATGTTACGACAAGGCCCACAGAGACCTTGGCGTTGATGAATCCACGTAGCGGCACCAGCACGAATAAGGATTCAGCACGGACATGGGTTTCTACTATTAGCCACTACAGCGCGAAAATGACAGGGAGATTTGGTCGGGTCCACGAAAGCGTCTTTCATTGGCTTCGCGGACTTGGTAATGTTTTGCACAACCAGTCCGCAACAAGTTCGACATGTGGATCGTTCCTGCCGCTAATTTCCTGAAGCAACGGGCTCCAGTCACAAATTTCGTGGAGCTTGAGTCCATGAAGGACGCCTTGTGCAGCAGTGGATGCACGTGACGTCGGCCCAAGGGTAATGGATGCTTCGTGGATGGCCCCACCGTGGACGCTCAGGATTACGTTGGTCTAGAACATGAATTAGCGCTCATGACACTTCATCTGCCGGGGTGAAAACTGTGACAGTGGAAAAGCGGGCACAAGATGGCAGGGCTTTGGCATTGCGAATGGGAAAGCGTACCGACAGGGGAAGACCAGCAGGGAGTGCGCTCGGGGCTGCATCCGGGACTTGAATTTGGGCAGGGACAGAGAAAGTGAATTTCGGCGTTTGAAGATAGGTCCAGTCAAGAGTCTGGGCCGGTGTCAGCACAGGACAGGCATAAGTGGAGTCGCTGAAACGCACCTTCATTTCCTCGCAACCTTTCCGCAGCTCCGGAAGCTCGAGCTGCTGCTCCCCAAGTTCAATGGCTCTCGGGCCGGCGGAAGGAATGCCGTACATGCGGCTGAACTCGTGCTGGACAACACGGACAAAGTCTTGGTTCGCAATACCAATGTTGGAGACGGGTGAGCTGACGCTTTCCACGCCGAGGGCCTTGATGTAGGGCTTTGCGGGCGAACGTAGGTACTGGGGGATGATGGCAAGATTGGGCGAGGCGAGCAGGCACGTGCCGTGGTGCAGCGCTCTGCCGCGGACAAGCTTGTACGCTGAGCCTGAGACCTTCAGCGGGCGTGGGCCGGCCGGGTCATCCGTGGTGAAGGGCGTGCGGTGCGTGTTGTCGGCGGCGACGGGGTTCGCAGAGCGCGGACCTTGGTCCAGCACGAGGTCGTGACGCTCATTGACTCTGGCTCGTTCGACTCCCAGCTGCCTCAGGGCGCGCACCACCATTTCGGCATGCTTGTCGCGGGTGAAGTGGGCGGGCGGCGAGATGACGGACCAGTTGACGTTGCCCTCATCGTGGAAGACGGTGCCGCCGCCAGAGCGTCGGCGCACCAGGTCGACGGCGCCACCGCGCAGCAGGCCCAGGTTCACCTCCAGCCAAGGGTTCTGGTTGCGGCCGATGACGATGCACGGGCGGTTGGTGTACAGAAAGAGCACGACCGAGTCGTGGGCCGACTTCTGCAGCAGGTAGTGTTCGATGGACAGGTTGACGTACGGGTCGCGCGACCGAGAGACGAAAGCATGCACTTGAGCGCCCGGGCGCTGCAGCTGCTCAGCCAGCGAGCCAAAGCATCGCGTGGGCTTCGTCGGGAGCCGTGCTGCGCTGCGGCGCAGGATGGGCAGGCGCGCAACGAGCATGGAGGTGAGAAATGGGCCTGAGGTTACTGGCTGCGCGCGCGAAAAGTCGAGCCACACCACCGTCCTTCGCCTCGCTGCTGCCCGCCTCCCGCGCCCGCGCCCGCGAGAGAACCCCCAATCCTCATGTCCCGCTTCTGGGGACGCTTTTGGTAACCCTGCCGAGCCTTTGGATCGCGTGCGCCACTAAATGGCAAACAACCTTATTCGCACCTCGCGTCAACCATTCACCACAATCTCCTGCTGGTCATCCCACTGCCACTGCATTTCTTCTGTGACAGAAATAGTCTTTCATCCGTCTCTCGAAGCAAATGTGGTCGGGGTCGAGATCTCGCTTCAGCTTCTGTCAATTCTGTAGTTGAACCGCCGATTACTCGTCCTTGTCCCCTCTCGTTCCCTGACCAGCCAACCCGGCCCAAGAGGTATCCTGCATTGCGCTTCTGCTGAATTGGAAGATAATTGGATTAGAGTACTGCGGAATGCGCTCGTGGACGCCGTCACCCCGGCGTTGGTATGAACCGAGCATACCTTCTTCAACACCATGCTACTTCGGAAGTGTTGAGCAGCCAATTGACACCATCGGCATTCGCGTAGGGTGGCATGAATACATGACGTCTACTATGTTTACTAGCTTAAATTAGAATGTGATGTGCCCAGGGATCTGGCAAGATAGGCGGGCGGGCAGACATGCGATTGATCGACGAGTAGGCAATATACTCGATACTGCTTCGGGAGTGCCCAATAGGCCTCGGCAAAGAACCTAGGATCAGACGACGATCCTTGCGGGGCCACGACGTCCTGAGTGAGCAGGCGGCAGTAACCACATCATTGCCTGGAGTGGAAGTTCTTCAAAGCTTCAACAGTTCATGGTGATTGGCGTGAAACGATACCCGTAATAAATCTTGTATTCTATTAAACTAGTTTCTACAATGAAATGTAGGATGTTCGAGCCCCCGCTTTTGTGAGTAGTATAGAACCGCTGAAGTAGTACCAGCTTTTTGCACTCTATATTCAGAACACAACCACGAGATAGAGCACAGCAATAAGCAGAGGCAGTGCACCTGTTCTCGCGTTCAACCCAAGCCCTTCTTTAACAGCAGGAGCTGAGGCAGCGGACGACTGTGTCGCAGTCGAAGCTGCAGCCGTTGCAGAGCCGGAGCTGGAGGTCGACTGCGATTCTGACCCCGAGCCTTCCAAGGGAGCAATGGACGCGGTCGCAGTCGAGCTGGATGAGCTATTTGCACCCGAGCTGGTAGAAGCAGTGGATGTCGGGCTAGCTGAAGTTTCGGCCAGAGACGAGCCGGCGGTTTTCGTGCCGAATCCGATTCGGGACTTGTCGTAGTCGAAAACTGTATATACATTCTTCAGAAACACGGCACCGACCAGCCATTGCTTCTCACCGAAAGTCTGGCGACCGACAATGTTACTTTGACAGGTGCTTCCACCAACATTGCTGCCCACATAGTCCTTGGCTGAAATGTTGTAGGAATTTTTGCCAAAACTGAGTTGCAAAGGCTGGGTGGTGCTGCAAGGGAGGGTGAAAAGCTCGCCATTCTGCGACGACTGCGGGATGAGCTTGTGCAAAGCCGCAGCGTCGTCGCCAGGAACGAGTATGTAAGAAGTGCCGGTATCGATGATGGCGGTTCTGTCGGTCAAGCCAGCTGAGGTGCCGTCGAAAGCGGCGTCGGCGATCGGAATCTCCCAAAAGCCACGATTGTTGTCAATGGTGCTGGTCCATGCGAGATCGCCACTGTAGCGGTTGGGGTTAGGGGCACCAAAGTTGAGCTCCCCATCATCGAGGTCATCCGAGCTGCGCGAGAGATGGATGCCGTACAGCTTGGCTGGGATGAGAGAAGCTTTAGCGAGGGCGTCCATGATAGTGCCGTCGGTCACGTCATTGTCGGTTTTGTCGGCCCGACCCAGTCCAAGGATACCATCCATGGGATACGAGGAGAACTCAGAGGACGCGTATCCAGCAAGACCGAAAGTAAGGTCGACGGAAAAATTGGAGATGTGGGCCGTGTCGCTTGCAATGGTGCCATTGACGCTGCCAGTGCCGTAGGAAATGGAGAAGGTGTCATCAGTGACCTGGAAATGGTTGGTCAGTAACGTCGATCGGCACTGATAGATAAGAAGCTGCCCACCTTGAGCGAGCTGGAGTCGCTGGAGCCGAGCGTGTTGTGCTTGGCGCATGAATCGGTAGCACACTCGGACCCCATAACCCACGTGTTAGCAGCGCCCGAGTCCAGCAGGAGATTGTACTCGTTGTCGCTGGTGCCGAAACGCAGGGTGGAGAAATAGGAGAAGTCGTTGCCGTCCGTGTCTACGGCAACGCTGTCCGTCTGGGTGGGCTCGGTGGCGGAGACGACCTTGAATTGGCTGTCCCGCTTGGTGCGGGTGCGACGGAGGGGCAAAGCGAAGGGGAGGGCAGCATCAGCGCCGGCGGAGGGCTCGCCGCGGGCACGCAAGGGGCTCGCATCGAAGGCATACGGGTAGAAGGCGGTGGCCAGCGGCAAGGCTGAAAGGACAGCAGCCCAGCTTGCGAGGAAGCGGGACGAGAGCATGGCGGATCGCTAGCAGATCGGGAGAGAACGAGGGAGCATCGAAACCGAGTGCAACGCAGTTAAGCAGACCCGGTAGAAGAGTCGTCGCGAAAGACACAAAGGCGAGGTAGGAAGTGACTGTTTCCGGGGCAGAATGAGCGGCTGCGGGCTGTGCGTCCGGGCTCAAAGCGCAGCTTTCCGCTTTTTGAATGCTGAGAACACGCGGCGGGCGAAAAGTCTGCAGCCACTGGGGTTTAGAGGCAGGAGAAGTGGAGGATTGGACGTCACTTGGGCGTCGAGGGCCGCCTCCCGTCGAAGAGGGAGCCGGCGCGGGTTGTCTGGCGCTGCGCGACACAGCGATCTACAGGCACGCGGGCGACAGGTGCGCGCCTTGGCGGCTGACTAAGGCGCGGCGTGCACCCCCAGTGGCTGCCGGAATTTCTAGGTGTGGCCTGTTGTGCAGCAGTGAAACGCCCCAGGCCCAAGAACGCGTTCCATTCGGCCCTGACGTCGTCAGCGACGTACATACACGACGGCTGGCCGGCCCAGAGCTGTTCGCACGACATGCGTCTGGCCCGCAGCTCCAGAGTAGCGCAGCCCATGCGCAACGGCTGGCGACGATCGCACCGCGAAGAGGAAATGCCGCGCCCGCGTCCGGGGGGCCCCCTATCGCGGAGGCCTTCAGCGCGCGCGCTATCGAATCGAATATTGAGCGCACAGCCAGGGCGCGGTCGTACCTACGTCGACGCAGCTGCGACGCAGCACCCCAGACGAGGCGTTCTCGGCGGCCAGTGAGGCGCGAGGGGATCCGGCGGGCTGCCGCTACGGCGGCGCCAGCGACGACCGACGCCGGCGAGCAAAGGCGGAGCGGCAATCGCAGGGCTGGGGCTCGTGGTGAGATGTCGGGTGAGCGAAAGGTGGAGGCATGGCGCGATGCACGCGGGGAGGGTTGACCGGCGATACGGCGATTGGAGGGCGTTGGCGGGCGGTGTGGTGTGCGTCCAGAAAGCGGGGCACACGGGCCAGGGACTGTCCAGAGCTCCTGCTCCCGCCGGTCCGTGAGCTCGTGGCTCTCAACAAGACAGCTGTGCCTGGCACTTCACGTCTTGTCCTGCATTCCTTTGCCTAGATAAGCTTGTCCGGAAGTGCTTCGTGAATATAAAGTGTGCTTGCCCCCTCACGCCCCGGTGCCCCTCGCCCCGACTCCCCAACAACGCCCGTGCCGTCACCGTCTGTCTCTCAACAGCCCGCATCATCACTCGCGAGTCACTCCTCTTATTCCTACCACCTGAGCCCGTCCACTGCCAATTGTCTGTCCCCGCCAAAATGTCTGCCAGCAGAGCCTCGTCCTTGCGTGCCCTCAAATTCCTATCCGCCCACAGCCGCCAGGTCGTCCGCAGCCGCCAGGTGCGCGGCCTGCACATGACCGGCCCTGCCACCTTCCCGTCCCCTCTGCTCACCGCCGAGCGCCCGGCGGTCAGGCTTCCAAAAGATATCGCCGGCCTTCGCGCAGAGTGTGCCCGGAGGCAGCTTCCCACCGTCGGATCCAAGTCTGAGGTAAGCATCCCCTCCTCCCTCCGGTGCTACCACACCGAACCGGAGCCCCCCCTTCCATTCGGCGAATGCACACAATCCGCTAACGCCTTCGTATAGCTTACTGAGCGCCTGACCGCCGATTCGCTGCAGGCCCGTGGCTTCAGCTCTGCTGTCGAAACGAGCAAGCGCCCTACTGCCGACGCCTCCGCTTCCGCTTCCGCCCAGCCCGCCCGCCACTTCAACACCAGCCGCACCCTCAAGTCCGTCAACGACAGCTCCACAATCGACTTTGCCTATCTCCCCGAGAGCACCGCCGAGGCTGAGTCGTTCAATGTTCGCGTCCCGCTGCTTCCGGACGTCAACTTCAACTCCCCTCGCGCCCAGACTATCGAGGAGCTCGAATCCGTAAGCCCCTGCGCCTTCCGTCCGGGATTTGACTGATGCTGACGTGATTGCCTTGCAGCCCCAACCCATGCGCCCGGAGATCAGCACGGTCTCTGCTGACACGACATATTTCCATGCACCTTCTGCCCTCAGCGATGTGACCGACAATTCTGCTATCGATTTCCAGGGTCTTGCTAGTGCGGCTACTTCGGCTGCGTCCAGAAGCGTTGCCCAAACCGAAAGTACCATCAAGAGGGTCTGGAACGGTTTCCTAGACGATCTTCTTGCCCCCAAAGCGGCCGGCTTCGCTGCGAGTCGTTAGGAGGAGCAAAATGGTCGGAAAATGTTGGCATAGTACGCCCTGATATGCAGTGTCGTTCATTTCCTTAGCCAAGCGCAACCATAGAGACTGTACTGCGCCTATCCCAGCGGCTTCTTTTCTTGAGTGATGCTCGTTCTTGTGACGTGGACCCTGCTGTGAACGATTGATCCATTCGCTTTCAATGGTGGGCATGTGGCACTGAATTAACGGGAATTTCTTTGACAAAGTTCAGATTGGCACGTTACAAGCTTCAGATAAACCCCGAATTGGGCAGCGCAATTCATCGTCACGTTTTCCAATCATATATTCATCTAGGCTGACATCGTCCGGCGAGATTGACTGCTCACTTTTTCTCGCGTAGCTGTGAAGGTAAATTCGTCTGTTAGGCGCATCTCGGCCGCAACACCCGTCCTGTCAGCTTATCTCCGATCTCAGATCCACAGATCTGCTTCAGAACTGAGACTAATTGAACCTCATACGACTCAACAAAATGCGATACCCGTAGGAAGCAGACCGCCTCGCGTTCGATTTACAAGGCGGCTGCAACAGACACGAAACGATAGGAATGCCTGCGAGTGTCAAAGTGCGAAACCATGTAATTGCAAATCCAAAGTCCAGGCGTTCTTCCAGGCTGATTCTCTACGTTGATCTCCCACAATGCGACAATAAGGACTATGCCAAGAATTTTGCACAGGCGTAGAGCCAGTTTACTTAAAAACTCGTCCCCCAATCGATTGCGTTCGACCCACACATCCCCAATTTGGAAGGAGTCCCTCAACCTGTTAGAAATCAAGCCGCACACAAGCAGGCAAACTTCTGGAAGACACCAAGCAGACAACAGCCAGGTCTAAAAGACTGGTAGACAGCAAGAACAAAATCATCATGCGACTAGTTTCAACTCAACCCCTGCCATTATCCGAAGGCAAAACTGTAGTTTACCTACCGACTCAGGCTCAGAAGCCCTTCGACATACCTCCTCGCATCAATGCCCACGCCCTCAGCCAGACCACGCGGACCCCACCCAGCAGCTGCGCCCCCTGTGGCTGCCGTGTTGCTCGCGCCCCCCAACCCGAGACGCCAAAGGCTGCTTCCACTAGCGCTAACTCCGCCGCCATGCCTACTGTTACGGATATTGGGCGGGCCTGCTTCGCGTGATCGTCTTATAAGGAGCGCCTCGCGGAGTGTGGCCGTAGGCAGATTTTGCGATTCTGTCACTACAGGATGATCCAGGAGTTTCGTGGACATGACCTCCTCGTCATGGTCGTGTCTGGAACTCGACGAGGATTGCTGCTTTAAAGATGACACTGATGCTTTCTTTGATAGATCTCCTCCCTCTGAGGCAGGAAGAGCTGGTGATGTTGCCATTGCCATACTATCTGGCAAAGTTTGGGACGGCGGAAGGCGCATCCAAACGAGCCACCAACCACGACTGGTTTTGGCTGTGCGTTCAATGTCGTTGGGTGCTCGACGAGCGCTCCCAAGCGTGGCAAGAATTTGTGAATGAACATTCAATGCCTCAACGCGGGTCCACTGGGGCCCATTCGTCGAGCTGTTACCCGTACTGAGCCCTTCAGCACCTGCCGTTGCTGGCTCGGGAATATTTGGAATGCTGCTATGGACGGTCAGGTGAAGCGGATCGTAGATGAGATCGTAGATGGGTTGCACGTTTGGCCCTGCTCCACCTGCAGTAGTGGTGTAGGGATTTGAAGATGCAGCGATGCGCGCAGCGACGCGATTAGGCGAGGTACTAATGGTAAGCGGCTTGTGTAAAGGTGCCAAATAACTATGGAGGTGGCGGTAGAATGCAGGATAGGAAAGCGTTGCTGTGCGGGCTTCGAATAGCATCATTGTAATGAAGGGGCGATGCTATCGAAAGAGTTAGCCATTGCAAATGTCTGTCGTCCGTATTAACTCACAACGTAGATCACAATACGTAGCCTTTCGTGTTGAGGTTGTGGCTGCAATATTGTATCCTCTGATGACCGCTCATCATCTTGCTGCTCTTGCTGCTTATGAAGCTTGACGTGCAAAGTCCGTAGTAGCGTGCGGCTCTCCCAACCGGTATCGGGATCGCCGTCATCTTCAGCGACTGCTTCGTTATCATCGTTCATGATGACCTCTTCAAGATCCCCCTGAAGGCCGATCAGGAAGTGCCCGAGGTTTTCTCGTCTGATCTGAGCCTTTGCCGCTTCTTCAGCATGGCCAACGTCAGGCTGAGGATCTATGTGACGCATTGCTGTCTGATCTTTCTTCTCCTGATTCTCTTCGGCGTGACCTTTGATGCTCTGCCCTGATAGGCGCTGCTCGGGCTTAGGGCGCGTCCCGCCCCAGGCAGTGCTGTAACCCCACGTCAAGTACTTCATCCAAGTATCACCATCGGACCTCTCTTGCTCATCTGCAGCCCGCTCCTGTTCTTGGTTGGCGTCTGCGGCGTTGGAAGCTTGATCAAGGGATTGCTCTACGGCTGTGACGATGGGGCGCGGGATTCCAGGGGGCAGGGAGGTGGAAGTTCTCGAAGGGGCCCCTTTAATGCTTTTCTGGGAAGCATTTCGCCTGTGTGGCTCCAATCGATTGGTTGGCTTGCTCATGCGGTCGCGACGCCTTCGTTTTCGGCGATCTGAGTGCGGATTTTCCTTGACACCATAGGCATGGTCACCATATGTATACAGCCATTGCATCCAATTGGAGATGGCGCATAGCGAGGAGCGAGATACTACGCCCACGCCGGAGAAAATGACACCGTCAGCTGGCTCTGGGTTTCGACCAGCACCCATCCAGGGTTCCTCGTCATCGGCAGGCACGAGTGATTGATTGTGACGATTGGCAGGGTGCGGTTCGCCGAAGCGACAGACGACCATGTCTACCATGCCCTCGGTCCTGTTAGTGAAGTCCTCAAACACCTCTCTCTCGCCACTTCCCCATTCTTCCTCGCCCACGCCCATGCCCAGTTCTCCACCAGCAGCAAGTTTCATGGCAGGATAGATGTCAGAAGCTGGATTTCCGTGCAGCAAGACATCCCAGTCCTTCGAAAAACGCGACCAGAATCGCTCGAGCGTGCCGCAGAATTTCTGGCGGGGCAATCGGACGTATAGATCGGCAAGAGATGGACCATGATGCAGGCGAAATATGGAGTGAGCTCGCAGCAGCTGGCGCAAAAGGAGCTCAGGAGGAGCGACTTCGCGAGCCGAATACTCGATTGCCGGCTGGTCGGTGGAGGAGCTCGGGGCGGCAGGGAGCCGCGTCAGGTCGATTGACTAGCTAGGTGTTAGAGCGGAGCGCGTGTGGCCAGGGAAGGGCGCGACATTACAGCCAGGATCCACCAGTCCTTTTCGAGCTCATGCATGACGATGCGCGACTTCTCGGTGTCGACGTGGTCTACGGGTTCGCCATCGGAGAAGCTCCTGGGACAAGTCAGCCAGAGGCGCCAGGAATTGGGGGGGCACGCGTACCTGGCGAAATCAACCATGCCCTGAGCCAGGCCAATTTGGCGCAGGCGCTCGTTCTCGTCGCCCTCGTCATCATGGCGGCGGGTGGTTTTGTTGGAGTGGTAGAAGACCAGCTGGTCGCGAAAAGCGTCGTCGTTGGCGGCCAGCGCGGGGCTGAAGATAGCAAGGAAGGCCAGCTGGGCGGGAACCACCCTGGCGGCCATGAAGGGCAAGCTGGGAGGTGGAGGAAAGACGGCGGTCAAGCTTGGTGATTGCGTCACGCAGCCGAGCGCACGGAGTCCGGGGTGCGCTGCAGGCGGAAGCGGGCCCACGATAGGGTGGAGGAGGACAAAGAAGAGGGCGAGGGCGGGGCGGCGAGCTGAGCCATCGGGCAGACCAGCCGCACAGAGGCAGAGCTGGAGCAGCTCTTTGGCGGCGAGCGGAGCTGCACTGCACCTGCACGCGATTGCCGCAGATCGCCGCACGCGTAGGTAGCCGAGCCCGCTCCCTCAACACCACCACCATGCTCCGCTGCTCGTGGCGCCGCACCTTCGCCTCGGCCGCCCAGCCGCCCCGGCCGCTGCGCCTGCTCTTCTGCGGCTCCGATGACTTCAGTATCCACGCGCTGCGCGCCCTGCACGGCGAGCATGCGAGCAACCCGCGCCTCATCGACGCCCTCCATGTCGTCCACCGGCCTGGCAAGCCCACCGGCCGGGGCTTGAGGCAAATCCGCCAAGGTGTGCATCCGGATGTGCTGGACCGCAGTTGCAGAGCTCACATCCGCAGTCCCCATCAAGGCCGCAGCCGAAGAGCTTGCCCTCCCCGCCCATGAGATCGACACCTTCACAGGCTGGACTCCACCCGTGCCGTTCGATTTGGTGGTGGCCGTGTCCTTCGGGCTCCTTGTGCCGCCGCGCATCTTGAACTCAGCCACATACGGCGGCCTGAACGTCCATCCCTCGATGCTGCCCGATCTGTACGGCCCTGCGCCCATCCACCATGCTTTGCTGCGGGGAGACACGAGCACCGGCGTCAGCGTCCAAACTTTGCACCCCAAGCATTTTGATCAGGGCGTCGTGCTGTCTCAGACTCCACAGACCATTCCCGATCCCGACAACTGCACCCCCCAGCGCCTCATCGATCACTTGGGCCCCATTGGAGGCGCCATGCTGGTGCAAGTCCTCAGAGACGGCGCTTTCATTCCTCCCTTGACGAGTGCAATTGCAAGATCTGAGTCTGAGCCTCGCCATGCTTCGAAGATTACGAAAGAGCACAGCCATGTAGATTTTCGTACCTGGCCCGCCGATCGCATTGTGCGCACGTTGCGGGTACTCGGCCAATTGTGGGACACTGAAATTCACTCACAGATCTTGTCCGGACAAGGTTCTTCGAAGAGGATCGTCATCCATGCAGCGAGAGTTGGCCCCGGCTCACCACCAGAATCGTATGCTCCGGGCACATGGTGGGCCAATGATGAGCGTCAACCGGTACCTGCAATTGGCACTGTCACCTGTGATGGTAAAGTACTGTACATAGATTCTTGTACTGTTGAGGGCCACCGCAAGGGCGAAGGCACTCGACTGTTATCCCGAGCATTAGCCCACACGTCTGATTCAAACAGATAACAACATCAATGTTCTCAATTCATCGTCGTATGCCTTCAACGCTGGGGTATCTTGTGTTCAACATGCACAATGTCCACCTTCATCTATATACAGCCAGCCTCGTTAAAACCTTTAAAACCCTGTTGGGAAAAAAGGAAAGAGTGCTGGTAACCGGAGTCACACAGTATCGTCCCTCCGCTTTTCCTTCTCGATACCTCCTCATTCCTCTTCAGATTCCTCAGACTCTGAGTCATATTGGAAATCCCTAACCTCTTCTCCACTCTCATCTTGGTTGGTATCCACCGACTTCTGCTTATTCCCATCATCATCGTCGTCGTCCATCTCCAAGAGGTTGGTGCATGAGTCCACCAGTTCCTGATCCTCCTCATCATCGTCGTCCATCTCCAGGAGGTTGGTGCATGAGTCCACCAGCTCCTGGTCATCCTCCTCCTCCTCCTCCTCCCCCTCATCATCATCATTATCATTATAATCGCCACCGTCCCTTTCTTCGAATAGGGAATCGATCTCTTCTTCTGATAAGGGATCGATGTCCAAACGGGCCTTCTTTGGAGAAAAGTTCTCTTCGGATCCGGTGGCTTTGCGTTTCGCGCGTTGCGGTGCCGTGTCCCTCTCTTCCCTCCGCTCTCTGTCCTGCTGTTCACGGTCGGCCGCCGCTTTCCTCTCGGCCTCCTCTTTGCGAGCTGCTTCCTCCGCAGCCTTTTGCTGCGCCTCCGCCGTCTCTTTCCTTGTTTTCTCTTTGAGAGCTTCAGCCTTCTGTCTACGGTTGGCCTGCGCTCTCTTCCTCGATTCTTCCTTGCGAGCAGCTTTCTCCGCAGCCTTTTGCTGCGCCTCCGCCGCCGCTTTCCTCTCTGATTCTTCTTTGCGAGCAGCTTCCTCGGCCGTCTGCTGCTCCTCTCTCTGCTCCTTTTGCCTGTTCGACTCAGCATGGCCGTGCTCAAGCTCATTGAGTTTGGCCTCAAGCTGCCATGCAACTGTAGTGACGCCGTCGAGGCTTCTGGTGCAGGAGAACTTTGTGCGGTCGTCCTCGCGGACGTGCCACCTGTGCGACCGCGCCATCCTGTTGAGCTGGAAGGCCTCCTTGAATTTGTCCATCCACATCATCATAGAGTAAGCGGGGTGGATGAAGTCGTTCTCATCCGGGCATTCGCTGTACATCCTGTCTGTTATGTCGACCAACTTGGGCTTTGGAGTTGTTGCAGCAGGGACAGCACACTCTTCGATGACGATAGGCGATCCTGGACTGCAGCCTGTTGGCTGAGGGAGAGAAGTTGATACCTCCGGCGCTGGCCATGACTGAAGCGACTGTTGCGTTACCGCTGGCTGAGGGAGAGAAGTCGGCACATACGGCTCTGGCCGTGACTGGAGCGGTTGTTGTGTAATCGCTGGCTGAGAAAGGCCATTGGCCAAGTCCTTGCGGGCTCTGTAGCGGCAATATACCATGAGAGGGTCATAGTTTGGGCCTACCCCGAAAAGTTTCATGAAATGTGAAAGCTTCGATGCTTGGTCCAAGATTCTTGTTTTCTGAACCTGAGTGAGGTTATTGTAGTACACCATGGCTGTGTCAGAGACCAGGCGTTCAGAAGGTCCGATAGGCGGCTCCATGGCTAGGGGCATAGGCGTCTGAGTCGGAAAGGTCTGGTGTACTGAATTCTGATCCGCAAAGGGTTGATTCATATTGGTCTGCTCCATGAAGTTCTCGGCGAAGGGTAGATTCGGGAAGGTCTGGTCCATGAAGTTCTCGGCAGAGGGTTGATTCGAATAGGTCTGGCTCGTGAAGGGTTGATTTGGATAGGTCTGGTTCATGAGGTCCCCGGCGGAGGGCTGGTTTGGGTAGGTCTGACTCGTGAAGAGTTGGTTCGTCTGGTCCATGGGGTTCTCGGCGGAGGGTTGATTCATGTTGGTCTGGTCTGTGAAGAGTTGGTTCGGGTAGGTCTGGCACATGAGGTTCTGGTCCAAGGAGGGTTGATCCATGGAGGTCTGGTACGTGAAACGCGGGTCCATGGAAGTTGGCATGACAGCTTGATATGGCGTGAAATGCTGCTGGACTTGAGATTGCGCTGTTGCGTCAAGCGAATCGAGCGGCCAGTCGGTATTCTGAAGACTGGCTGGTAGATGGCCGAAGTTTTGGCCGTTGAAGCCGTACAGGAAGTCGGACTGTGCATGTGCTTGGCCGGCGTCCATTATGAAAGCGAAGTCTCTGTCTGTCAAAGCTGTCGCGGGTGAGGTTGTCAATGCGATCGAGTGTTGGTTCGAGTGTGCGAAGTGTTAGAGATTGGGTGGCGTTGTAAAAACGTTGGACAGGATTGAGTGTCCAGAAGACAGCAGACGCTTTCGGGCTTGCAGAAGACGGGGCAAGAAGTGATAGGCATTTTCTAGTTGAAAGTGAAGAGACGTGGACTAAGCATGCATGACTGGGCAGGTGAAACTCGAGGGCAGCGAACCATGGGTAGCGCCCCAAGCACCACGGCGCTATTACGACAGATTCAAATAGAATTTCACCTGAAGCAAGCAGGCACAATGCCATTAGATGTAAAGTCAATAGTGGATTAGTTACGTGATGGTTCTACATGGAGAGGGAATTCGGTACACTAGCTGAGTTTTCTACTGGCTGCAGGTGCTGGAGGGGCAGTGGAAGAAGCGGTACAGGTACGTTTGGAAAGCATCAAATTTTCGTGTCGTGGTGTAGCTCACAGTGATAGCTGCCAATGATTGGAGTGAGGCTCTGCGCACGGGACAGGCGCAGTACCACGGACCTACGCTTCAGGCTCACTCCCGCCGCGCCCCACCACCACAACCACCACCCATCATCGCCGCAGCCTCGTCGCTCGCCCGTTTCCGCCGGGCTCCCGCGCCCAAGCCATGAGCGTCATCCTCTGCACCGCTGGCTACGACCACACGATCCGGTGAGCCTTCCTGCTGCCCGCCGCCGCCGACCAGAATTGACCGTCCGCCGTGTAGCTTCTGGGAGGCCCTGTCCGGCATCTGCTCGCGCACCATCCCTCACCCCGACTCGCAGGTCAACCGCCTCTGCATCTCGCCCGACAAGCGCTTCCTCGCAGCCGCCGGTCACCACACGGTCAAGCTGTACGACATCAAGTCCAGCAACCCGAATGCCGTGCTGACGTTCGAGGGCCACACGGCCAACATCACCGGCGTGGCTTTCCACTGCGAGGGCAAGTGGATGGTCACTAGCTCCGAGGACGGCACCGTCAAGATCTGGGACACGCGCAGCGGCAACGTGCAGCGCAACTACAGCCACGGCGGCATCGCCGTCAACGACGTCGTTATCCACCCCAACCAGGGCGAGCTGATCAGCTGCGACCGCGGCGGCAACGTGCGCATCTGGGACCTCGGCGAGAACAAGTGCTCGCACCAGCTAATTCCCGAGGACGACGTTGCTGTCGCCTCCGTCACCGTGGCCAGCGATGGCTCGATGCTCTGCGCGGGCAACAACTCGGGCAACGTCTACGTCTGGCGCATGATCCAAGACCGCGACATCACCTCGCTGGTGCCCGTGTGCCGCTTTGTTGCCCACAACACCTACATCACCCGCGTCCTGCTGTCGCCCGACGTGCGCCACCTGGCCACCTGCTCTGCCGACCACACGGCCCGCATCTGGTCCGTCGACACTTCGCAGCCGCACAATGTCACGGGCGCCGAGCAGCTGCCGCTTGAGCGCGAGCCCGGCGCCTTTCCGCTGGAGACGACGCTGCACGGCCACCAGCGCTGGGTATGGGACTGCGCCTTCAGCGCCGACTCGGCCTATCTCGTCACCGCCTGCTCCGACCATTACGCCCGCCTGTGGGAGCTGAGCTCGCAGTCCATCATTCGTCAGTACAACGGCCACCACCGCGGCGCTGTCTGCGTGGCTCTGAACGACACCGCAATCAACTGACCTTGTGAATTCTCGTTGCTTTCTATGACTACTATACCCCGGGCTGATCGTTGCTTCATGACACGCACAGAACTTTCCTTTTTTTCTTTTTTGTCTCATGACTGCCGCGCGTTTTGTAATCACTGGTGGGAAAAGGGCATCGAGGGGCAGCATCAATGGCGTAAGGGCGAGTTGTACGACGCTTATCTCTGGCTCTCAATTTCCATGAAGAACTGTAGATCGCAAAAGCACTTTGGGTACTTGTACCGACACAAGCACCTGCAGATGTCTCCGTGTTGTTTTGATTGGTGTGGATACTTCAATTGCCGGCTATCCCGCACTATGCGGGGTAGCAAAGAAGCTGGCCGGCAATCTATAAAGCAACATCGGCTCTATCGATCCGACTGGTCGACTCAAATGTCTACCATGCATATAAGCAGGGCCGAGGGCTCGTTTTCTCAGGACGAGCATCCAGACCTCACATATCATCCACCATGGCGTCCGCGATGCCTGCCCCGAAGCCCAAGAATAGGCTTGGGCATCCTCGAATCCTTTGCCCGAGTGCAGGCGTCAGGGTTTCTCCGCTCTGCCTGGGAGCTATGAATTTTGGAGAGAGCTGGTGAGCTGTGCTCCATGTGCCGCCGCGCGCAGCAGATACTTACGCAAAGCAGGAAGGTAAACACGGGCTCAGCAGACAAGGGGGTTGCGCTAAGTCTTGTCAACGCAGGCGATGCTCGGCGAATGTAGCAAAGAAACGGCCTTTGAGATGCTGGACTTCTTCGTGGACAACGGCGGCAACTTCATCGACACTGCCAACAGCTACCAAGAGGAGGAAAGCGAGAAGTGGCTGGGCGAGTGGATGGCGCTGCGGAAAAACAGAGACGACCTAGTTCTCGCGACCAAATACACGCAGTTCTACAAGCCCGACGCTAAGATCCGGTACAACTACCAGGGCAACCACAGGAAGAGCATGTACCACTCGCTGGAGAACAGCCTCAAAAACCTCCAGACGAGCTACATCGACATTGTCAGTCAGATCATTCCCCGGGCAGACAAATGTGCTAACGCTGCGCAGTTCTACGTCCACTGGTGGGATTTCTCGACCAGTATCGAAGAGGTCATGCAGTCTCTCCACCACTTGGTCCAAGCCGGCAAGATCTTTTACCTCGGCGCCAGTGACCTGCCCGCTTGGGTCGTCAGCTCGGCCAACAGATGCAAGCTTCCAATCACCCCCGGCTTGTGAGCCATGCGTTGACTGTGAACGAACAGATGCCCGCGACCATGGACTCACTCCCTTTTGCGTCTACCAGGGCAAGTGGAGCGCCGCAGACCGCGATTTTGAGCGTGAGATACTCCCCATGGCTCGGCATGAGGGCATGGCGCTCGCACCGTTCGGTGCTCTCGGCCAGGGCAAGTTCAAGAAGGAGGCGGGAGGAGGCCAGGCCCCGGCCGCGGCTGAAGGTGACGCGCGCAAGCTGTTCGTTGAGGTGGACAAATACAAGCAAGTCTTCAAGGTGCTCGATAAGCTTGCAGCCGGGAAAGGCACCCTGCCAACGAGCGTTGTGAGTCTAACATCGCCGCTTCCCTTCTGAGCTGCGCACATCTGACCATTCCAAGGCGCTGGCGTACGTAATGAGCAAAGCCCCATATGTCTTCCCCATTGTCGGCGGCCGCAAAATCGAGCACCTCAAGGCCAATATCGATGCGCTGGACATTGTTCTCTCCGACGCTGAACTCGATGAGATTGACGCTGCAACACCTTTTGAGCACGGTTTCCCCATGGAGCTTATGTTTGAATTTCACGGGGCTCAAAAATACAACTCTCGCATGACCTCCAAGGATGTCGTTCTCCTGAAATGTGCTTCATACTTGGAAGAACCAGAACCGGTCAAGGTATGTTTAAAGACTTCCTGTCTACCTTCTGTGGCTCTTGGCTAAACGCACCTAGCCCGTCGGCAAGCCTAGGATTTGAGAATATGGGAGCCGTCATCGGCGTTTTTCATTTGAAGCGAATGACATGTGGTCGTTGGAGGTCCCTTTCCTGTAAAAACCTTTCCTGAATCCTGCCCTCTGTACGTCACTGCTTCCAAACCTTAGACACGAAGTCTTCGATATCTGCCCAGAGCAAATCCGGTACCTCGAGGGCGGCGAAATGACCTCCCTAACAATCGTCAGTACCTGTGCTTGCCGCAACTTTGGAAAAATCAACTGAATTCTACATACTTCATCATTTTCGTAAATGTGCGTCAGGTGCTTGTCAGTTCTGATGAAATCCTTTGAAAGTGCCGCGATCTCGTGGGGGAACCAGGAGAAACCCTTGGGTTTGCCGTTGGTGATGGCCTCGCCTGTAGCTTCGGCCGTGCCAGAAAGCAGCTGCGGGCAAGTAATGTCAACTGCTGGCCTTTTGACGCAGATGTGAGGATATATACTAACCGGCCGGTAGCACCAGATGGATGTAGGGAAAGTGCCGGTGAACCAGTAAATGGCCACATTCGTTAGGATGGTGTCCAGCGAAGGAACGTGCGCCGGGTCAGACCATTCAAGCATCTTCTCTCCGATCCTGTGCGCGTGTATCAGTACATGATAAGGCCGGACTTCGCGAGGCACCTACCAAGCCAGCAATGAAATCGGGCTGTTCCCGATTGTGAGCCCAGCCGTGCTCGGCCGCGTCGCATGGAGCAGGCCGTACGCCATGCCGGTTCGCATGAAGGCCTGCTGCCGCTCGAAAGCTTCTTGCTCCAACGAGCCTGGCGCCCCTCCTTCCGAGCGGACGTAGTAGATGTTGACGTGCGCAGCTGTTTTTTCCCCAGCTTTTTAGCAACCGATTGCGAATCACAAAGCGTCGCGCAAAGGTAACTACTGACCTTTCACCGGTTCGTACACTGCAGCCAGAGTCTCCGCAATCGGGCCCCCCAGGTCACCGCCCTGGGTGATGTAGCCGCGATCGCCGAAGCCGAGTGCAACCATAGCCTTGTGGAAGATGCGACAGTTGTCTCTGATTGTGAAGCCCTTGTTGAGCGGTGGCGGCGAAGAGAAGCCAAAGCCGATGATGGAGGGCACGATCACATGGTATGGTAGCTTCTCGGGAGCAGAAGCGTACTTCTCCTTGAGCTTTAAGAGGATTGGCAAAAACTCAATGAAAGACCCTAGGAAAGCATGAGCAGAGATCCATGCAGCTCGGGGGATAGGGCGCACCAGGCCAGCCATGTGAAAGGTGAATGGGGATGGCATCTTTGTTCTCTGAGAAGAGGGCAGCGAAGTGGACGCTGTACTGTTGGCCATCGTCATCCTGCACTTCAACCTTGAATTGCGGGATGCTGTTCAAGATTTCTTCTTGCTTTCGCCTTGCTCGTGCAGTCCCAAGTCAGCCAAGTTTAAGTGCAACGGGAGATTGGCCTCACCAGTCGTATTTGTTCTGCCAATAGTTGACCGACTCAACCAGCCAGTCTCTTGGAGTACCGAATGTCTGATCGTTATGCCCGTTCTCCCAATTCGGGCGCGGAATGGGGAGGAGTTTCAGGAGCGTCTTCAGTTTCTGGACCTCGTCCTCGGAGACATCGATCTTGAACTGCGACAGCGCCCCATTGGGAGAGACGGGGAAGGGAGGTCGAGCGAAGAGCGGTGGTGACATTTTCAATGAAACATCCGGCTGAGGCACTGGGCCCATGGGCGAGGAGGCTGTGTATTATATAGCCACCCTCACATGATGCAACTTGTCGGGCTCCCCGCATCCCAGGTGTTTTGAGTGGGCGTTTGCCTGCATGCCTACCGGGGGCCTGGTCCACGCCGGACCCGGAGACTTTCGTGCCCTATCCGAAAGGACTGGCGAGCATCTCACCTATTTCAGAAGTTGGATTGCTGACCGGTACACTGCCGGCTGATTTGCAGAATCCCGTCATCCACATCTTATGTCATATGCAATTGCATCCTTTCGGACGACCATGCGGACTGCGGGGCCTCCAATAACTTAACTTGGCATATTATGGCCACAAGAGATGAACTAAAGAACAATGTGATTGAGAGAAAAACAACTTGCGAACCTACGAGTACCATCTGACCCGCATCCCTATCGCCACTTAACCAATTCTTTAGATCCTTCACTGACACCTACACGCAATCCAATGCGACTAACTTAAAAGATGAGATAGCCATCAGTTCGCTCTATGCGCAATGGCTACTTGGAACAGAAAATTTATCTGCTATCGATCGTACAAGCACAGCACTAATCCGCCCACAACGCCCATGAACCCAGTGTGAATACCTGTACCCAAAACAACCATTTCAACCCGTGCATTACTCAATCAAACACCCATTTTACCATCATTTGGACAAAGAAATCAACCACTGCACATGATGCACGCCTCCTTGTTCTCGATGCTGCACTGCAGCACTGCATCCGCGTAGATATCTCCATCGCGCTCATCCGAGTCCTTCTCCTGGTCCTCATCCTGAGGATCCTTGGGATGCTGGGCCGAAGGTAGCTCCTCCTCCGTGGGGACTGAGCCATCCGGCTTGGTCGACAGTAATTTGGGGCTGTCGCCGTCTTCCACATCCGCCTTGAACTCGGGGGCCGTGATTGCATCCTTCCGTGGCGTCATGGGGTTGATCTTCCTCTCCTTGGATGGCGTTGTGGGCGCAGGAGGCGTGGAAACCGGCGGCGACATACTGTCCGGGCCTGGAGAGTCAGACTTCTGCGCATACATGGGGCGCGGGACTGAAGCGCTCTGGTAGCCGGCAGTGCCGAGGGTGCGACGCTTCTGAGTGCGAGCGACGCTGGTATCAGCAACCTTGAGAGCCTCTTGGTCGACAGTAAACTGAATGGGCGCAGCGGCAGCCTGGGTACGGAGGTAGTACATGCCGGTCTTGAGGCCGAGCTTCCATCCAGCGAAGTGCATAGAGGTAATCTTGCCCATCGTAGGGTCCTTCATGTGGATGTTGAGGGACTGCGACTGGTCAATGAAGGCACCACGGTCGGCAGCCATCTGGACGATGGTGCGCTGAGAAAGTTCCCAGACAGTCTTGTAGAGCGCCTTGATGTCGTCGGGAATGTTGGGAATGTGCTGAATGGAACCGCTAGAAGCGATGATGCGGTTCTTCATCTGGTCAGACCATAGCCCGAGGTCGACCAAGTCCTTCAGGAGCCAGGGGTTGACAACCTGGAATTCACCGGCCAGGACGCGGCGAGAGTAGATGTTCGATGTGTAAGGCTCGAAGCACTCGTTGAAACCAAGAATCTGACTCGTCGAGGCAGTAGGCATGGGTGCGACGAGCAGAGAGTTGCGGATACCGTGCTGAGCAATCTCGGCCTTCAGGCTATCCCAGTCCCAGAGATCGGTGGGAGTCTTGTTCCACATGTCGTACTGGAGGATACCCTGAGAGGCAGGGCTACCCTGGAACGTCTCATAAGGACCGTGGAGCTTGGCAAGCTCGATCGAGGCAGTGAGGGCAGCATGGTAAATGGTCTCGAAGATCTGGATGTTGAGCTGCTTGGCCTCGGGGGAGTCGAAAGGCATGCGGAGAGCCAGGAAGGCATCAGCAAGACCATTGACACCCACCGCAATGGGGCGGTGACGCATGTTGCTCTTTCTAGCCTCAGGCACCGGGTAGTGGTTGATGTCGATGATCTTGTTCAAGTTCTTCACAAGCACCTGAGTGACCTCGTGGAGCTTGTTGAAGTCGTAAACACCGTTCTCGACGTCCACGAAGGTCGGAAGAGCCAGGGAAGCCAAGTTGCAGACGGCGACTTCATCGGGGGCAGTGTACTCGACGATCTCGCAGCAAAGGTTAGAGCTGCGAATGGTGCCAAGATTCTTCTGGTTGCTCTTGCGGTTGCAGTGGTCCTTGTACAACATGAAGGGGTTGCCAGTCTCGACTTGAGCCTCGAGAATAGCGTACCACAGCTTCTGCGCCCGGACAGTCTCGCGGCCACGGCCCTCCTTCTCGTACTGCTCGTAGAGAGCCTCGAACTCCTCGCCATACACGTCTGCCAGACCCGGGCATTCGTTGGGGCACATGAGGGTCCAAGTGCCGTTCTGCTCGACACGCTTCATGAACAGGTCGGGAATCCAGAGAGCGTAGAACAGGTCACGCGCGCGGACTTCCTCCTTTCCGTGGTTCTTGCGAAGGTCGAGGAAACTGAACACATCGGCGTGCCACGGCTCAAGGTAGATGGCAAAGGCGCCCGGGCGCTTGTTACCGCCCTGGTCAACGTAGCGTGCAGTGTTGTTGTAGACGCGGAGCATGGGAATCAGACCATTGCTGGTGCCGTTGGTACCGGCAATGTAGCTGCCGGTGGCACGGATGCGGTGGACGTTGAGACCGATGCCTCCAGCGGTCTTAGAGATCATGGCGCAGGTCTTGAGCGTGTCGTAGATGCCCTCGATGCTGTCCTCCTTCATGTCGATGAGGAAGCAAGATGCCAGCTGCGGCTTGGGAGTTCCGGCGTTGAACAGAGCTGTGCCGATATTAGCCTGATGTGCAATTCCTACAGTGATCGAGTGCCATACTGGGCGAGGCGTGAGTGAAGTACTTGAGGGACATGAGGTTGTAAGTCTCGACGGCCTTCTCAATGTCCTCGCCGTGAATGCCAACAGCGACACGCATGATCATTTGTTGTGGCCTCTCAGCCACCTTCCCATCGATGCGGAGCAGGTATGACCTCTCAAGCGTCTTAAAGCCGAAGTATTGGTATTGGAAGTCGCGATCGTAAACGATGGCCGAGTTCAGTTCCTCTGCGTGCTTTTGCACAATCTCATATGTCTCCTTGGAGATCATAGGGGAATGCTTCTTGTTCTTGGGGTTGACATAATTGTAGAGATCGGCGATGACGGCAGAGAACTGCTTCTTGGTCTGCTTGTGTAGGTTCGACACGGCGATGCGGGCGGCGAGGATAGCATAGTCGGGGTGGGTGACGGTCATGTAGGCTAAGGTCTGTCAATGGCTGTGCATCGGGAAAGCTATAGGTAAAAGCGCACCAGCTGTCTCAGCGGCCTGGTTAAGCAGTTAGCGCTTGCGATCCTCAACAGATGGTAGTGGTTGTTGCTCACCAGATTATCCAGCTCGATGGTCGAGACACCCTGGTATACACCAGCTGAGAGTCGTCAGTATTGGCCTTCGATCAACTCATGAGGAGCTGCAAAGCGGGTCTCTTACAGATGACCTTCTGGGTGATGGAAGCGGGGTCGACATGCTCCGGGTCGAGGCCGTAGCACAGCCGCGACACACGGGCGGTGATCTTGTCGAATTGGACACGCTCCTTGCGTCCGTCTACAAAGCAGAGGTGTTAGATCCACATGTACTGCAAATATCAAGCCACGGGAAAGTCGACATACCGCGCTTGAAGACGAACATGGTGGCGACAAGCTGTTTCTGTTGTTTTCCCAGTAGGCCCGCTGTTCCAGGAACAAAGAAAGGAAGCCTGAAAGCGGGTGGGGGGTATCACAGAAAAGTACTGGGGTGGGAGGAGAGTGTGGTTGGGAGGAAGACGCGGCGAGCAGAGCGAGTTTTGTAGCCGGCGCGCGCGACGCGTCTGGCGTCGAGGACCGTGCTCTGTTTGTCGACGCGGGTTTAACCGACGTTCGTCCACAAAATCCATTTCAGCGCGCCCCAGGCAACGACCCCGACATCGCTGCCGCGCCTGCCCCTTGCCGCAGAAAAGCTGGGGAATCATGCTGTTCTCGCTCGTGCGTCTCCACATGGCCGTGTCCGATCCTGCAGAGAGCTACAGACCTCAAGGTATCCGGCATCGGGCATTACGTCACGCGTAGCTCCGATACGCGCTCCTCCACCGCGACTTCTTTCGAAACAGTCGCTGCTACGCCCTCTGTCAAAGTTCAGCGATGGCTAAAAAGTCGTCCAGTTGCAACCAGGAATGAACTGTAACTATCCAGCACGGATCCTTCGAATTGCCTAAAAGGGCCCTTATATTTCCTTTTTCGGAAAAGCTTCAGTCGCACCCATCCGTTCCTTGAAGAGTGGCGCTTGGACAGTCAGAACCGTGAGCATTGATTGTAACTACCTACTATCCATAGCCCTCTGCATTCTGTATACCAATACAACAACTGTCAAAGCCCACCTGACGACAGCACTCCATCGAACGCCATGGTGGTTATAGCAAACCAAACCAGCCAGACCAAGACCCTACTCAAACTGTGCTCCGAAAATCCCATTGGAAGCAAGCAAGAAGAAAAATTTCCAAGAACAAAAAAGGCAATCAGGCTCGAACCTCCGAATCTGATGAAAATATCCAAGCCAACTCAACATTACTCAAGCAGCCGCCGGCTTAGCGGATGCCGCCTTCGCTTCCATCTTCTTTTTCATCATTTTCTCCGCCCACTCCCGGCTTGCCAGCCTTCCCCTCTCCGCTGCAGCGGCACGCGCCTTCTTGGCCGCTTCCTCCTTCTCGCGCCTTTCTTGCTCCTGGCGTTCCTTTTCCAGCCTTTCCCTATTGAAGATGGCCTTGGCCTTCTGTTTCAGCGCCTGCTTATCCGCGGCCGTGACCTCGGACTTGGTGACGGGGCCAGGCCGGAAGGAAAAGCTCGAGGACGGCGGGCGCGGGCCTTGTGAGGATGCCGCGGACGGAACACGAGGTTTGGCCGTGGCGTTGGCGGCGGTGTTAAGCGCAGCAGCTGTTGTTGAGGATATGGATGAGGCAAGAGATGATTGTGAGGACGTGGTACGTTGCGGAGCACCGTTCACCGAGCTCGAAGCACTGGATGAACGTTGGATAGGAGCAGGACGAGCCGGAAGGGCAAGGTTACGCTTTGCGTCAACCGTGCTTTGTCGTTTGCCACCAGCGCCGGGCTCCACGCGGATGGAGCCGCTGCGTTTGTGTGTGCTGTCTTGCTCTGCGCTACCGTGCATCAAGCCTTCACGCGCACGGCTTGCGGCTGTCTGGCGAACCTGTGCAGACGACCCAGGCTTTCTGATGAAGCTCGGAACAGGACGAGCCTTGAACTCTCGCTTCTTCTTCTCCGCAGCCTCCTTCTCGTCCCTCTCCTTGCTCTGCTCGCCATTAGCAGCTTTCTCCGCTTCACGCTTAAGCCGCTCTTCTTTCTGAGCTTTGAGCTTAGCAGCAATCGCTTCTCCAGGCAGCTGGAACGTTGACGTGGTAGGAGCTTTCGTCGACTTGGGAGGAGGTGGCGGAGTAGGGAAAGACATGGATACTGGGCGGCGTTTCATCGCAAGATAATCAACAACTTGGCTTGCAGGCCGCTGCTTGCTACCCGCAGAGTCCTCATCTTTGGCAGGGGCAGCCCGGGTACTTGCCGAGCGTGCGTGCGAAGGCTTAGCAGTAGGAACTGGTGCCGTGGCCGATCTGGAGGGACCTTTAGAATTGGATGCAGCGGGTTTCGGAGCAGGCTTGGGCGCAGGCTTGACGGCAGGCTTTGTAGATGGTGCCGTAGATGCTCTCTTTGCTACGGGATTTATAGTTGAGGATGGCCGAGGTGCAGTCCTAGGCTTTGCGGTGGAAGTGGAAGCAACCCCTGCTTTGGGCGTAGGCTTCTTTTCTTTAGTGGCACTTGGAGCGGAGACCGGAGCCTCGGCGGCGCTCAGTGACTTTCCAACCGCCTCAAGAGCGTCCTCAAGTGCATCCATTTCCTCAAAAGAGTCCTCGAGTTTCAATGGCGGCATATCCGCGGCAGCTTCGGGGGTTACTGATCTTGTTGACTTTGCTTCTGATGTTTCTTCGACGGCCTTTTCCTTGACTGGACTCATACGGATTTCTTCCAGGATCTGTTGCTCCACAGGATCAAGCTCAGGGGAAGACAACGGTGTTTCAGTTTCCGATGGAGTTTCTGTTGCCGGAGCAGATTCAGTAGCCTGGGTGCCCACAATTTCTGTAGCCTCAATAGTCTGACTGCCAGGAGCCACAAGTTCGACTACTTCAGTGGACTGTAACTCAACCGGCCCATCGGCGATGACGAGTGGCTCCGGCTCTGGTTCAGCGGCGCTTCCTTCAAGCTCCTGGGCTTGCTGGTCAGCTTCTTTTGTGGAAGCCATGAGCTCCTCGACATGAGTCTTTGGGACTCCTGGCTCGGAGGCTTCGGTCTCCTCGGCTTGAGGCTCTGATACCTCTTCCTCGGGAGTTTCGATCTCATCCACTTGAGGATCCAGCACAGGTGTGGAAATTTCGAGCTTGGTAGCCTCCTCTGCCATGGTTTGTTCATTCTGCGCAACCTTAGGCTCAGGGACCTCATCCTCAGGCTCCTTCGCAGGCTCATCGGTCGCTTTCTCGTTCATAATCACCTCAGTTGTAGCCTGCCCGTCCGCTGCCGCCCTGCCCTCCCCATTTTCTTGGGCATCCTCCTCTCCTGCGACAGCTGCTTCCTGGAGAGTTTCATCGATGACGTCAGATTGCCGCACAGGCTCCTCTGCGACATGCACCTCGGCGACGGTGTCTGACTCCGGTTCTGGCTCGGGCTCTGGATCTTTCGCCTTTCTTGATCTCGTCGACCTCGTCCTTTTCGGAGCAGGAGTCGGCTTTGCTTCCTCTACCTGAGCCGAATCGGGCTCGGCGGCCTGCTTGTCTTGCGCCTCGGCTTGCTCCTCAGCATGCGGTTCCGGCTCTGGGGCCTTCGTCTTTCTTGCCCTGGTTGATCTGGTCCTCTTCGGCGCGGGAGTTGGCGCAGCAGCGGGCGCGCTCTCTTCTTCGTTCTGCGCAGGTTCGTCCGTGACTTCAGTCTCAGGGTCGGGCTCTTGCGCCTTCGTCTTGCGGCTCCTGGTGGACCGTGTCCTCTTTGGTGCCGGTGTGGGAGCGACCTCCTCCTCGGCTGGCGCCTCGGTTGGAATCTCTGCCTCAGGCTCAGGCTCAGGTTCCTCTTGCGCTTTCTTCTTGCGGCCACCCCTAGTAGCTCTCGGCTTTGGCTTGTCCTCGACCTCCTCCTGGTCTTCCTCAAGCGCAGCCGCAGGTGCGCTTTTGTTCACAGCGATCGGACTCAGCGGCTCGCGGGGCGTATCCTCCATTGCGACCGGAGTTTCGGGGCGTTCGGATGACTCCTCAATTGCGGCGTTATTCTCGTCTTGGTGTGCGAGCTCTTCGGCGGCTTGCTGAGCGCGCGCAGCGGCGCGGGTGTTGCGCGCCATGGTGCCTGCCCTGTTCTATTTGTTTACGGGGCGCACGAGGCTCGGGTATGTGGATTGCGGGTAGCGCGGTGCGACCTGGGCCAAAGTAGACGGCTGGGAAGAGCTACAGCAAGAAGGTGGAAAGCAAGGTTAACAAAGTCTCGCAGGCGCTGGGGATGCTGGGTATGCAGTGTGTTCCCGCCGTAGGGTGCGCTTTAGGGGGCCAGCGAGATTACAGGCGGCCGATGCGCCAATCAATCAGGCAGCGCGTCGTATTTCGCCTAGATCTCCGTGATCGGCGGATGTGGTCGGCACGGCGTTGGTGTCGCGGAGAGAGCCTGGCCAGCCTAAGGACAATCAATGGCAGCACTGGCGACACTCGGAATCGATCTCGAGAGCGATGTTGCGGCTTTGCGCGGCCCGGCGAGAGGTGGACTGTTTTTATTTTGTTGTTACCTGATCAGGTAAAGCGCCGATCACACGGACAGTGGCGCGGCGCAAATGGAAGCTCTGAGCAGCGCGCGGGTTTCGCGTGAAGCTTCTCAGCCCGGACGCGTCATTTGGGTTTGGAGCACGCGTCGATGATGAGCAACTGCTGTAAAGTGGCATTTGTGGTCTGCTACCCCGCTCCACTTTCCCCGCACTTAATGTTGGCATTAGAGCTGCAGCATGCCGCATTCTTGAGAGAGATATGCATGCACAACCACGTGGGTGGTACCGCCAGATCTACTGGTCCTAACCCCCGGTCAGGGTTTATTAGTCTCGAAGTCTCTTCATCCTCCAAGCCTATTATTGCAGACAAACTCGGGATGAGTGAGGATCCTTATCAGCTGGACATCACTGTACCGTAAGTATGTCCAATCTTGTGATTCGGGCTGGCGCTTATACTAGGTTTCCAAAGGGTTAATTAACGGCCCTCGGCAGATTAGCGATATGCATCATATGATTGGCCACCCATAGCGCTTTCTGTCAAATGCTGCGATCGACCGATGATCGAAGACTTGTCTGCATGTGCGCTTGGACTTTGTGCAGCAGGCCCACCCGGATAGCCTGCCGAGTGCGGAGGTGGCTTGTAGAACCATGCCGCGGATCCCATGCCACCTGCAGCTGGATCTCTCCTGAGGAATAGAAGCAGATAGAGAACGGCGAGCAAGATCCGACGTGGTGGAAACTTCAGCCTGCCTCATGAATGATTGGATTCCCGAGCACCTGTCCTTTTCCTTGATAACAAGCGGTGAGCGCCTTCGTTGATGTATGTTTATAACCTTTCAGCCCGATGTCTAGCATTGTTGTACAGTAAGAAAACAGCGTCCGGCGACATACTATCTAGTGATAGGCTGGGTATCGACAAGTTGCAAGTCCCTGAACACCCCCATACACCTTTTGGATGGGCCTTTGAACACCATGTCGACAATAACAAACAAGAATGCACAAGAAGCGTGAAACAATCCTGAACCCCCCACCATCATCTCAGCTCAAGAGCCAAACGAGTAGCCCACCGTCGGCTACACATACCGCAGCCACAACTGCCGCTACACACAGCCCAGTAATTAGACCCAAGCCCTGCCTTTTGCTGACTGCGCAAAGCACGCCAGTGATGGCGAAGACCAGGTTGGCAACCACACCAACTACAACCATGACATTGACTTCCCTGCGAAGCTTCTTCCGGCTCGTTGCTGCGAGTGTCCAGGTAATGAGCAGGACTATGACCGATGCAGCCAGCGAAGTCATGCAGAGTCGGAATTTGGTCGCTTCCCGCTCGGCGCGACGCTGCTCGAGGTCTGCAAGGAGTTCATTCAGGTCAGACGGATTGGCCCCCAATGTCTGTACCGGACTGGGACGGTAGCTCCAGCGCGCTTCGGTGAGGGTGTCACTTGGACGGAAGAGGTCAAGGAGGCGGCTGCGGCGATCAGACCGATTGGACTTGCCCGTGGCATTTCGGTTGTTGGGGTTATCAGACATGGTGCCGTAGTCGCGGGTCCGAGCGCGTGCGGGGGAGCTCGGCTCTCCATCGTCGCTATCTTCAACGCTGTGTGCTGTGGGTGAAGCAAGGAGCGAGTCGTGCTCTGACGGTCTGCGGCGTGACCCGATAGCGTTTTTGAGCTTGACGAAGAGCTTGCTGAGAGTTTCTTGTCCCGGAAGCTTGGGGGATTCGAACGGGTCTACGTAAATCACGTAGGCGTCTTCCTCCTCGCCGTCTTCTGGATTGTCGTACTCGTTCCAGTAACCCTGAACGCTGGGGCGGGACTCCTGTTGGTCGCCCATGGTGAAGTCTCGCAAGTTCGAGCGCCTTTGTTTCTTAGAGGCGCCCGGCGGAGAGGGTTCGATTTCATTCATGGACGTCGCAGATGATTCGCCGTGCAATGTCGTGTAGCGACTAGTCTGGCCGTCTGTTACGGAGGAATTCGATACCGATGTCTGCCGGGAGCTGCCGGTTTCGAGATGCGCAGTCGCACTTTGGCAACGGGAATGGTGCTTTGGTACGGCTGCCGGAACTTTTCTGATGTCACGCTCTAGCGTCGGAAGCTGCGCGATGTCAGTCAGCACTGTAACTGTCCACAGGGAGAGTTGAGGAAGGAGGCGCCTACCCAGTACGGAGGCTGCATAGCAGATGGCTTGCAACAAGTCCAGATGGCATGTGCCTCCAGTGAGAAGCCTCGGATGCGCTCGGTCTAAAGAAACGAGTTAATAACATAGTGCGCGAAAGGCTGAACGGTATACTCACAAGATGGCTGTGGTCGAGTGTATGGATGAGGTCGTTCGTCTGCGCTCCTTCACAACGAATCTCTAAGACGGCGAAAGGAAAGGCAGTTGCACCCTGCCTCCCTTTCTTGGGCCAGTCATTCTCGGCCAAATCAGATAAATCAGGCGACTTTAAATAAATCTCTCGATCCAACGTTGCCCAAACACCGTGATCTGGGTCGTTATCCATGCCAACGAAGCGGCTGCGCTTTGCGCAGACTCCGGCGATTGGACGAAAGTTCCTGTGAGATGAAAGCCACGAGCGAAGATCATCGGCCGGGTCACGCTCGGAAATATCGGACTGGGAGACATTTTCTTGAATGGGCGACAAGCCAGACGGCCTCCGAGAATGGAACGGTTTGTCCAGAGTGAGGAAATCACTGAGATGCTTGCGTTTAAGCTTAGCGCACACGGTTGTTCCGCTGTTCTCCGGATTGAGTTCACACGGCACACAGACAGCGGCTTCACCACCAGCATTCCAACGAGCACTTCCCAAGACGCGAGCTGCAGGCTTCCCGGGCGTTTCTTCCGTATCTTCGACGGTAGTAGCACTTCGCTGCTGGGCATATCTCTCCGAGTCATCGATGAAGATAGCACCAACGTCATCTGCCCTGTCATTGAGACTATCCAGTCTCTCAGAAGAATCCCGCCGCTTTGGGGTCTCAAAGGGAGAGGTAGGCTGAGATTTGGTGAGCTTGCCTTCGAAGAGCCGCAACGTCTGGAGAAGTAGAATTTGAATCTCGACAATCTGCTCCGAATGCACCCAATAAGTCGCCCGAGCTCCCGACGGCCCCAGCGGAAGCGTAGATAGAGCAGTGTCAAGATCCACCTCATTCGCGGATTCGGCTGCAGCATGGATTCTGGGTGGCACAGTCTTCAGATCGGCCGATACAGCGGAATCGATTGGATCCTCGTCGCTGAGGGCAATTTTGGGGGTTTTAGGGGCCTGGCCGGCTTGGTAGGCTTCTCGCACAGCATGCAGCGTGTCGCTCCAATAGTTCAGCAACGGGGCAAGGTCAGTCTGGGAGAAGGTTCCGGGCTGGCTCAGCACCTCCTGCTTGAAGCGCTGCTCCAGCAAGTCGGAATGCGTCCATTTCTTGTACTTCTTGAGCAGCTTCGCGAATGCAAGGCGCTGTGCGCCGACGAATCGGGCCAGCGACCGGATTTCCTCACCCGCCCTACATACGATTAGCCCGGGCCATCATGGTGACGCACAACCGCCAGCGCATACCTCAAGACATCACCCTCTATCCTGCCATACTTTTGCCGGCGCCTCTCGGATATGTTTCGGTCACCCGGAGAGGTGGCACGCTCACGAAGGGTGAATTGGTTGATCTGCTTCGTTACATGGTCTGCACAGGAGTTAGCAGGAGGGGCGCACAAGAGGGATTGGTGTGTCGTGGCATACGCAGACGGCGCTCGATTTCGCCCGACTTGCTGCGCACAAAAAGGTCGATGCGCTGATGCTCGCCGGAGAGGATGTCGAACAGCTGGTCCTCGAATTGGTTGCGGTTCACGTCTGGCTGGCCGGGAATGGACACGGCTTTGCCATTGCCGGGGGTGGTGTGCTCCTTGATGAGGTGCTTAATCTCGTCGTAGTCGACGTTATCTGCGCCGGGCATTAGGGCAACGACGTCATAGCAGGGAAGTGGAAGCGACCTACACGGGCCCCATTGCGGGATGGATCGCTGGCGCAGCGTCTCGCCGTACTTCATACTCCAACAGCACCGGCGGGAAGAAGAAGCAGAGTCGGGACGGGAAGGAGGGCGTGGGAAGAGAGATGGCGCAGCGGTTGGGAAGCAGCGGAGGGCATGTGGCTGGCGGCGGGAGAGGGCGGATAATAAGTGAAGGGCGCCTGGCGGACAGAAGGCGGCGGGCAGATGGCAGCAGGGCAGTCCGTGCGAGTGTCTGTAGCAACGGGAGGGCGCTGGCTGAGTCGCGATGCTGGGCTTGGCTGCAACGCGGTTGATAAAGTCCTGCCAAGGCGCGCGCAGGGCAGCGGTGACGCTGCGCAGATCGCGGCGCCCGTGAGCGCGCCGTGGCTATCGGAGATGGCGAGGAATTGGCAACCAACGGCCGCGCCTTAGCTCCAACGTCGGCGCCCAGCCGTTCCCGACGCCTGTGACTGCGACTCCAAACATAATACGACGAGCCGCGGGCATTGACAGGGACCTTGGATGCACGAGCCCTGCCTCTGCGGATCGTGGGCCGCCGCGCGCCTAGACCCTGCAGCAGCCCTCCAGCGGGCATCCATGTTGCTGGCGACGGCCGGAGACGGCTCGAGGGCGGGGCAGCGGCGTGCGTTATCGAAAAGCCTGCGAGGATCGCTTGCTTTGCGCGCCTTCCTCTCGCGCAGGCATGCATGGTCCGCTTGCGTAGTAGTAGCTGGTATTGCGATATGCTCCCCATTCCTCGCCCCGCATGTGCGTGCTTGCTGCGTTCATCAGGCCCCCGAGCCGCTGCTGATTGCCCGGGTCGCGTGTCTCGTTACTGCTTCTGCTGCACCCCTCGCAACCACTCAACCAGGGCCTCAACAGCCATAGCGCAGAGCCTAGCAGCCCCGCCAATCAGCGTCCACGGAAGCCCTTTTCTCTGCAGCCCCGGCGCTGGCCCGAGCGCTGAAGATGCTGGATACATCACCAAGTAGTTTGTGCCCGATCCCACCCGCTGCCGTTGGCCGGCCATTCCCCCAAACAATAATCACTCCATTTGGCCCACGCTCCACGACGCCCGCCCCTGTCCAAGATGCCGCTTCCAGCCCTCTGCTGCATTTTCCTGATTACGCGCCCCGCCTCGTATTCCCCGAGAATCGCGTATCCCGCAGACTTCTATGGTCCGACAAGTGACATGCCGCAGGTGGGTACGTGAACGTTTCTTTTTCCCCTCATCGCTATTCTCCAAGCATCTCCTGCTGCGCCACTTTGCACACCTCCTGCCAGCAGGAAAGAGGTGACAGTGCAAGTGGGCCCAGCGGCGCTCTGGCCGGAGACCCGGCGCGGCTCGTGTGGATAACTCGAGTTCATGGAGCCGCCGGGTGGCGGATGCACTCGAAATAGGGATGCTCCAGGAAGATCCGGTAAAGCTGCAGCAAGCTGCAGAGAAACCAGGACCCAGCGTGCCGCGCAATCGAGCAGAGGTCGATGGCAACAGGCCCACCTGTCGAACTCTCCCACCCGTCTGCCGCATGACGGTACTTTGCATGTGACAGAACACACAATGTAACCATCGTGGTCGATCGCGCTGGCCTTATTCTTGAGTCGTGTGATGGCTTGCCTCGTTGAGGGGGAACTGCACGAGACAAGCCATGCGGAGTGCGGAGATCTGGCGGCTGGGCGTCTTCATGACCGTTTCAAGTCGGACCGCACCGCTTCATATATCAAGATCCTCGCCAGAGCTCACAAGAACATGCTGCTCTGCATACGCAAAATGTGGGCTTTTTCCAGCCGACGGGCATGCAGCTAAGGAGAAGTGATGTCTCCCCCGGCCCAGCGTTTCGACCAAGCGTTCATGCACTCGCAGCAACTGCCTGGATCCCCAGACCGTCGGAGATTACGTGAGACCAACGAAGAGGACTGCTGCTGAGGGCAATACAGGACGACACTGCACCAACCTTTGTGACACACACAGTTCACCAAGATGATGCCGCTGCGGGAGCAGACATGCGCCTTTGCCCGGCCTCGAAGGATTTTTTTTTGATGGGTCTCCACTTAATTCTGCTTGCCAACAAGCCCGCAGTCTGCGTGCCGGCTACTGACCCGAGCAACGACGTGGCTGGCTGTGCTGTACGTAAGGTTGCGTACATCGGAAGTCTGGCATGAAAAGACCCCGGTCTACATCCGTGTCGCACTTGACGACTCAGGGCGTATTCTGGGCGCACGTGTGGGAGGATTGGCTCGCAGACTGCTACGCCGCATGCCTGGACGTGAGCAATCAGACAACGCGCAAATGTGGGGCCGGTTGTCGACAGCCGCATCGAAGTAGTACAATGAAGCGAGCGCGAGAGGGCCAGGGGAGGAACCGGCGGGGCGCAGGGCGGAACTCCGCTTCCGCCGGGGATGGTGACTGATATTCCGCCTAACCTGCTCAGTACCCACATGAGGTGGCAATAACGGCGCGCTTGCACGACGGCTCACAAGAAGCTGTCCCAGAGCCATGCTGCCGGCCAGTGGACTTGATTCCACTCCGTCCAGCAACCCACATGTCGGTCGTATGGTTGGGGGTCAGGCTCTGCTTATCGTGGTGATAAGAGCGTCGGGGCGGAAATCCTTGGCTCGCCGCTAAGAACCACCGAGGGCCCGACCCTAAATTTTTCTGGAGAGCACTGCGACACCTACGCCGACAGCACACATCCGCAAGCCACGCACCATGGCCAATCTTTCGTTCTCGCCGACGGGCTCAATATCGTCCCACACGCTCTCTGCCCAGTCTGTCCAGCCGCCGCCCTCGTCCTCCGCCAACTCCGCCGCGGCGCAAGCTCTCCTCGCCGCCCTCTCCGCCTCCCCGCACGACTTTCTACAGCCCCCGTCAAGCCTACACAATGCAACACTTGCACTGGCGAAGCACCTTCTCGATCCGCTGGCTTCCGGCGTGAGCGAGGCCCAAGTCAAGCGCCAGCAGGAAGCACGCAAGAAGAGGAAGCGCGGCGAGGGCGACGCTGAGGCCGGCCCGGTGTTGCAATTGAAGAAGGTCCATCTTGAGGGCTTTGGTGTTGAACAAGTCTGGGAGCAGTCCAAGAGGGTTCTGGATGCGGCGCGCGCCGAGGTTGAACGTGACCTGCCTGATGTATTCGCCGAGACCGATGGCGCTCTGGACGGCGGCTTTCCTAGCCAGAACGGCGTGAAGATGGTTCGCTTCGGCGAGGATGGCTTCGAACTCAGTGAGTCGGATGAGGAAGACGAGGAGGGAAGCGAACTGGGCGAGGAGGGTGTGGACTGGGAATATGACGGCGACGATGTCTCTGAAGAGGCAGATAGCGACGCTGAGGAGCTTGAAGAAGGATTTCACACTGAGGAGGAAGACGAGGGATCAGACATGGATGACATAGACATGGATCGCGACGATTACGACGAGGACGACGCGTCACAGGACGATGCGGCTGCCGAAGAATATGTCCCAGACCCCAATGGTCTTAACGACGGCTTCTTCTCCATCGATGACTTCAATCGCCAGTCCGAATTCTTAGAGCAGCAGGATGCAAGGGGCGACGAGGACGATGCTGCAAGCGATGAAGAGGAGATTAACTGGGCCGAAGATCCTCTCAATTCAAACTCGCTTGTGGCCAAAGGCTTGCAGAATGAGGGCGCAGATGAGGATGAAGACGAGGACGACGAAGACGGTCCCACGTTTGGCAACATGGACCTCAATGCACCGGAAGGGGCTAGCGACGACGATATGTCCGTCACTGAAGGAGAGATGGACGGTATGGGCGATATGGACAACGCGAACAACATCATGTACGCCGACTTTTTTGCACCACCGGCAAAGAAGGGCAGCAAAAAGAAGAAGGGTCGTCCTCATCCCCACAACTTCCCTTCCGCAGGCCAGAAGGCTGCTTCGGCGCCGAACGAGGAGGACGTTGAAAGAACAATGGCTGCGGTCCACCGGGACCTGTTCAACGAGTCGGACGATGACCAGGATGCCTCGGATCTCAGCGACGTCGATCCTGACGACCCTAAGGCGCGCAAGTCGACCCACGAGCGCCGCCAAGCCAAGCTTGCAGAGGAGATCCGCCGCTTGGAAGCCCAGAACGTCGCAAAGAGAGAATGGACTCTTTCTGGTGAGGCTAGAGCGGCGGATAGGCCGCAGAATTCTCTCTTGGAGGAGGACCTCGACTTCGAGCGCGCAGGCAAGCCCGTCCCTGTCATTACTGCAGAAGTCAGCGAAGACATTGAATCCTTGATTAAGCGCCGCATCATCAGCCGCGAATTCGATGAGGTCATCAAAAGACGTCCTGAAGACCTGGCCACCGGTCCCGTCCGCCGCGGAAGGTTCGAGCTCGATGATACCAAGGCGCAAAAGGGTCTCGCAGAGGAGTACGAGGAGGAGCACTTGCGCAAGACGGATCCGAACTATGTAGACGTCAAGGACGAGAAGCTTAAGAAGGAGCATCGCGAGATCGAGGCGCTGTGGCGCGACGTCGCCGGTAAGCTCGACGCCCTCAGCAGCTGGCACTACAAGCCCAAGCCCGCGAGCGCCAACCTCGAGATCCGCACCGATGCGGCGGCCATCACCATGGAAGACGCCAGGCCAACGGCCGGCGGCGATATCGGCAGCGCCAGTATGCTCGCTCCGCAGGAACTGTACGCGCCGGGCGAAGAGCGGACCAAGGGCGAGGTGGTCACGAAGGGCGGCATGCCGATCGCGAAGGAGGAGATGAGCCGCGAGGAGAAGAAGAGCCGACGTAGAAGGGCCAAGGAGCGTCTGCAGAAGACAGGTGGTCCAGAGAAGCAGGAGAGCAAGCAGACGAAGGAGAGGAAGGAGGTTGTCAGCGATCTCAAGAAGGGCGGTGTCAAGGTAATCAACAAGAAGGGCGAGGTCACAGACGTCGAGGGCAAGGCTATCAAGAGTGGGAGGGCGCAAGGTGGCGCCGGCAATTTCAAGTTGTAAAGCATTACGTTCTAGGCGTAGGTGTTTGGGGGGGAATTTGCACATAGATTCGGATACTCCTTTTTTTACGGGAAAAAGCTGGAAAAGTTCGTTTCGTCTTCAAGCTAAAGCGTTCAAACGCTACCGCCGGTCTTCCTTCTTGCAATAATAAGTCCTCGCCAGCAGCCACCACAGTCAATTTTACGCTTCGTCTTCATTCACCCCTTCAACAAGAAAATGCCTCGGATCCAACGCCTCGCAATCCGCGCTCTTCGCCTTGCCTCCCTCCTCAAACACCATCTCGCTCACCACCAACCCCGTCCCAGCCGCGTTCGACACGCCCCACTCATCGTGGCCGGTGGCCAACCAGTACCCGCGCACGCCGGGCACCGCGCCCACCATGGGGCCCACCTCCTCGCCGTCGTCGTGCCGGCGTATCTGCGGCTTGTAGCACGCCTGCTGCCGCACGACGACGCTGCCATCCTGGCCGATACGGTCGCCGGCCACGAAGCCGCGCAGCGCGGTCCACAGGTCGGCGCAGCGCCGCTCGTCGACGGCGACGGAGGCGGTGGAGGCGGGCAGCGGTACGTCGTAGTCGTCGCCGCTGGCAGAGTAGATGGTGTCGGTGGAGAAGAGGGCGTCGGCGGGGCGGGGGTAGATTTCCGGTGAGATGGATGGGTAGGAGTCGTTGTCGGGAGAGGCGTTTGGTGGCGGCGGCGGCGTGATAGTGGGGAAGAGGACGTAGGGCGAGATGGGGCCCGTGGGCTTGATGACGATGCTGTGCCCGCGGGGCGTGAGGAGCGCGGCGCGTGGGAGGAGGGTTGGCGTCCAGGGGCCGGCGGCGAGGATGGCGTCGGTCGCGGTGATGGTGGTGGTGGTGGTTTCCGACGTCGTCGAGTCCTTGGGGATAAAGGTCACGGAAGAAACGGCTTTCTGGTCGGCTGTGTAGTTGATCGCGGTAGCGCGGCCGAGGCGGATGATGGCGCCTGCTTCTTCGGCGAGCCTGGCGAGTGAGGTGGTATAGAGGTACGGATGCACTTGGGCCGAGTTGCGTGGCGTGCCAATCTCGGTGTAGGACTTGACGCTTGCCGGCTGCAGCCAGTCCAGTTCGGGAGGGTAATCGGGAGAGTCCTCAGAGGGCGGGGGCTTGTTGGCGGTGTGCTCTTGGGCTTGCAGGTCAACTTCAGCGCAGTACACACGTCGGTATCCCCAGCGCTGGTGGCCACCGTGCTTCTCAGCGAGTTCGCCGTGCAGCTTGAAACTTAACGGGGCGAGGCATTGCGGGGTGGCCCAGTCGGCAACCAAGCCGCCTGCTTTTCCTGATGCACCGCCCGCGATCGAGGATGCTTCGAGGATGACGACGGAATGGATTTGAGGGTTGAAATGAGGGTGGCGAGTTAGGAAATAGCCCACGGAACAGCCAATTGCACCACCACCTGTGGGAGATGTTAGCACACAGGAGTCATATTGCCATTGAGACTAGATACTCGCCGATGATGACGATCTCCCTTGGGTCTGTTGGCGAGAATGCGAAAGACATTTGGTAGAGATGGCTCCGAGCGCACGATCGGAATCCGAATGACGTCAGACTGTATAGAGTATCAACGAGGACGAGATTGGTAGCCGTGGGCAAGGAAAAGTCCTCGTGGTCTTTACTAGCTTGTCAGATGAACGGAAACGGACTCGAGAAAGATTTGGTAGTGGCTGTTTGAATGTGGTGCGGCACGTCCCGCGCCCTGGCAAGTGGGGCATCGACATCAGCCGAGAAGATTGCACGTCCTCCATTAGTTGGCGGTACGCAAAAAGTAACTTTTGGTTGACAAGATGGACTTTGATAATAGCCGCGTTGACCATTAGAGTCATAACAGTGTCCGGAACATTCGCATGTTTTGTAACCTTTCTGCTCTCTATAGATTCAGTAGTCTCATAGAGATCTAGATTAAAATATACAATGAATATGTGGACTTCAGTCTCACTTCTGGAGTTCTCTGTTCCATCTGGATAAAAGTAAATCCTCTGCTCATCAATAGACCTAGTAATGCTATGAAACTTATACAGAGGGGTGCTGCAGCCGATGGCTAGCGCGAAGAATAGCAGGGCTCTAGAACATAGCGTAACTATGCCCCAGCTCTGCCTTGGAAAAATTAACATATGTAAGTAGTTAAAGCTATCGTCCGGACGTGTATGTAGACTTTTTAATTCGACATTTCCGTCCGGACGATAGCTTCAGCTACCCATGACATGAGTAAAAAGCAAATTCACGCTAGCCATCGGCCGCGAGAGTGGACTGTATCGACCATGGATGGCATCTCATTTCGAACGCCTTAGGTGAAAAAAGTAAAAAAAAAACAAAAAAAAACTTAATTCTCCAAAACCATCACTCCGGGGTATTCCAAGACTTCCAATTCAGCAATCCATTCCTAGGATGCCTCATCCCGTGCATCTCTCCTCTGGCCTAATCCATTTCAGTCCTAATCCTTCAAACACCCTCTTTTCCGCGTCTTCCCAGCCCAGGCCTTCCTCCACACCATCGGGGCCTTCCAGCACGACAACCTCCCCAGTTTGCCTATCTCTGACCCCACTGCTATCAAACTTCCACCCTTTCACATTCTTGGCATACCGCCTCAAATCGCGCTGGAAAGTGGTACCGCTGCTCCACCCGGCGACGGCGCAGCCGATCGTTCGCCAAGGAGAGATGATGATATCGACGCGGCGATGGATGTTGGGGTTCTTTGCCTTGGGATCTCTGGCTAGGTCTGCCTCCTTTGATGGCCATTCCGGATCCTGCCACACGACAAGAGCCTTGTCAAGAGTATCGAATCCCGAGCCTTTTGGGCCTACCATGGTGCTCGACGCACGGTAGGGCAAGACGGACTGGCCGCGCTGCGTGTTGTGGAGGGACAGGAGAAGCGTGTGTGTGATCCAGCTCTCCCGCTCGAGGCTGGCCACAAGATCCGTCACAAGGTTTTCGGTGGCGCCGAAGTCGCGATGCGACACTATGAGGTCGACGTCGCCGGGGGCGTCCTTGCCACGGCGGTACCCGCCGACGACGATGACTTCGACACGCTCGTCGCGCACGCGGATGGCATGGTCCCGCACGACGGCGGCAATGCGCTCGACCTCGGGCCGCGGGATCCCCTGTTGGAACTCGTCGTAGTACTTGACGCCGATCTGTTGGACGCGTGACAGCGTGCTCCATCCGTACTCGACTACATCGTCGAGATCGCGCCAGCCACGCTCAAACAGGAACTCGCGCGCGGTATGGGCACCGACGCCCCAAATGTCGTAGAAGGTGCGGAGGATCTTCAGCGTCTCGTCCTTTTCAGCATCTGCGACGGCGGATATGACCCCTTCATCGGAGTTCTTCCATTCGATCCAGAGGTTGGCAATCTTCGCGTCGCAACCGGGGAGACCGAGGATCTCTTTGGGGTGGATGATGCGATGGGGATATGCGGCTATAGCGGCGATAGAGGTGCTGTATGCGCGTACGCCAACCTCATCGCCGTTCAAAGTCCGCGTCAGACGGATGGACTTGAGCTGCTGGATGAAGGCAGCATTGGGCGAATTGGCAGGAGTAGAGCGTTGGCAAGCGTACTTGATGCCCCTGACAGCCCATTCCGGGGGCGGAGGAACGTCGCTCGCGGGCTCTCCTTCGTATTCGCTGGTGTTTTGCTGGAGCAGTGCGGTTTTGCTGTGTGCCCAGCGCGTTTTTTCTGAAGTGCTCGCTGTGCCAGGATAGGCATCGGCTTTGGCGCGCTCGAGGATACTCTGACCCGAAGTCTGGCGTGACTTGGGACCAGAGGAAGGATCATCTGGGACCGGTTTCCCTTCATAGACAAGGTGATTCCACAGAGGTAGCAGCCTGCCAGCATTCGAGGACTCGTCGAGCCACTCCATTTTAATGACCTTGATGGTATCGCGCTGAAGACCGGCTACAGAGAAACTTTCGTTCTCCATCTTGCGCCTTTTGGCTGGTGGTTCCGACTCGGGTGTTACGTCATCGGTGTGAAAGCTGCGGGAACGCAGCTCCATGATAGCCCGTCGCTTAGTGCCAACCTTGCCGATGACCAAGCTGGCCTCGGAGACGTTGTAGGTTATCTGCCCGCCATGCTCGGTGATTTTGTCCTCCAGCTCATGCAGGTCATCGACCGCGAGGTGAGCTGGTAAGACAAAAATCGGCGGAAGGGCGCTTAAGTCCAGCGCAGAAGCTAATTGTGGAGGAGGAGAGCTATGTGTGAGGGCAGATGGAGGGGCGGATGTCATGCTGGGGGAAAGAAGGCCGGGCGGACGAGACGAAGACGGCGGCGGGGCACGACGGGAAGAGCAAGGCTTATAAACAAGGAAATACACGTGGGCTGCATGAGAGACAAGGGCATGATGGACGACAAGATGGGATGAAGTGGTGAGTGGCGGCGCCTCGGCTGACGTGAATTTGACGGAGGCCACGACTTAATTTTGCTATCTACCACACTCTCAGGCGCACGCTGTTCCGTGCCAAAAACCCGCCGGCAACAGCAAGCATGCTCAACGCACTCAAAGCAATTGTTGTGTTGCTCACCCGAGTCTCCTCGACTACGCGGCCAACGCGCGTGTCCTTCTGGCCTACAACGTCCGCTCCAGACCCCTCGACGATGAAGTCATCCCAGTGCACCTTTTCCAGTCTGTGTTGGTAGTCGACCACCGTCTGGCTCCAGTTGTTCGTGATCCTGCCGTCTGCATTCTTGTACCAGCTCTGGCACTTCGGATCCGCGAACGAGCTGCTCCCCAGTTCTTGCTGCAGCTCGTCGTTGAACTTGCGCACTACCTCGGGCTTCGGCAGCAGCGTCAGCTGCTTGCCCTGCTTGCGCGCCTCCAGCACCTTGGCAACCATGGCGTTGAGGTACCGCGACTGCGACTCGATCATCAGCACGATGGAATTGTGCCCGAGATTGGTGTTGGGCCCATAGAAGATGCCGAAGTTAGGCAGGCTTTCGACCACGACGCCCAGGTACGCGCTTGCGCCCTGCTTCCACACATCCGCCAGCTGCCGTCCGCCCGCCCCGCTCATCTCGATCGGGTGCATGAACTCGACGGTGCGGAAGCCCGTTGCCAGCACGATGAGGTCGAACTCGTCCGCGCCAGCCTCTTCATCCACCACAATCCCAGTGTCGGTGATGCGTTTGATCGGCCTCGTTTCGAGCGAGACGTTGTCGCGCGCTAGAGCCGGGTAGAAGTCGTCCGAGATGATGACGCGCTTGCAGCCTGGGCTGTAGTTGGGCGTAAGCTTCTCCCACATGTGCGGCTGGTCCGGAAAGTGCTGCCGCATCGACCCAAGGCACCATTGCCGGACCTGCTCGGCGAAGGACGACTCGGGATCAAAGACGGCCGAGTGGAACGACTCGCGGTAGTCCATCATCGACGCCCGTCTGCGCCACCGCAGCGGCGGCACGTAGCGATACGCCATTCGCGTCGCTATCGACACTGGCCTGTCAAGACGTGGTACTACCCAATTGGCCTGTCGCTGATAGACCGTAACCTTCGAAGCTACCTTTGCTATTTCCGGGATGATCTGCACCGCCGATGCGCCTGTCCGGCGTTAGCAGTGACCGCAAGTGCTGTTGCAAGCTTACCGTTTCCGATGACCGCAATGCGCTTCCCCTCCAGTCCATAGCTCCAGTCCCACCGTGCCGAGTGCATCTTCTTTCCCTTGAAGTCTTCGAGTCCTGGAATCTTCGGGTATTGCGGCATATTCAACTGACCGACCGCAGAGACCAAGAAGTCGGAAGTGATCGTGTAGCCTTCCGCAAACTCTGCGTCTTTGTCGCCGGAGACGCGCACTGAAGTCTTCCATTTCTTCTCTTCTTCATCCCAGCGGGCCTTTTCCACGGTACTGTTGAAGCGAATATGCTTGTAGAGATTGTACTTCCGCGCCACGCCTTGAAGATACTCCTGCCAGACGATAAGCAAAATACAAGAATGCCAACGTTGAGTCTTACGAGAATCTCTTCCTGTCCTGGGTACAGGCGTGTCCAGTCGGGATTTTGCTCGAATGAATACGAGTACAGCAAGCTGAAGACTAACCGGTCACCATTAACCAACATGATCGAAGTTGGTACATCATTGCAATCACTCACTGTCGCAGCAACACCCAGGATACTTATTGTCTAGCCTTCAACAACCAACAAGTCAGCTTCCGGGCCGTTCGAACGCTCACAGACGATGCACCGCTTACCAGGTCCCTGTAGAATCATCTTAGTACCAGTATTATTGATGTATAAAAGAAGACTGCATACCTCCAACTCCACTGGACTTTTCTAAGATGACAAAATTTTGGCATTTGTTCCGCTTGAGCAGGTCAATAGCCATGCACATCCCTGAGAAGCCGGCGCCAATGATGACGACCGCAGCTTGCGTGTGGTCTGCATTGCCCACCGGAACTTGCGGCCAAGGTTTCGAATCGGGCATCGTGTCTGAAGCTTTCACTCTGTGCTCTATTGTCAGACATATCCGACTGAAGAAGCAGACAGAAGTACATGGAAAGAATCTCGTCTTGGATTTCCAGCGGCCGGTGAAGCGGAGAGGGGTAGGCTGTTGCAAGTGGACGCGAACTCCTGTGTGATCTTATAACGGTGCAGATCACGTCAGCAAAACCGCCTCTCGTCCGAAGCCACTCGCGTATTGCGACGGAAGATAAGAAAAAATGTGCCGAGAAGAGAAATTCCAGGAAACGGAAGCGCCGGGTCCCTGTCTCTGCTGCAGAGTGACCAGCTCGTATCCCAGCATTTCCTCCCCCGGCAAGCCGACCATCCGCTATCTCTGTATTGAGTAATCAGATAACCGCGAAATGCGGATCACCTTTCCCTCGGTTGTTCCAGCAAGCGTAAAATGCGGAGACGGATGTACGGTGCTACCTGTTTTTGGATACTATGGTCTTGTAGAAGGTGGCCATCTTACGTCCTGCGCTTCCGCATCGCGGAGGCGCAACCCAATGGGGTGAAGGATCAAGCGTCCAGACCAAGCGACTATGATTCCAATTGATGTGTGGAATGCATGCATGCATCAAAGTGGATACCTCGCTCAACAACATTTTCTTGACCTCAGCGGTGATAACAATAGCAAGTAATTGGAGTGTACAGAAAGTCTTCTTCTTTGCCAGGAAAATTAGGAAGAAGAAGAAGTAAAACACTCCGATGTCTACATGCTCGGTCGAGGTGAAATAATATTGGTCTGGTTGTTGCACAGCTTCCTAATGTGGTAAGGATCGTAGGTCAACCCCACAATCAGAGCGGAACGGGAGGGGCTCCGCTGATGACGCGCGTGTGGGGACGATGGTGGCAGAGCTGGCGGGGTCGAGCATAACCGACGGTTTGCCGCGGGAGCAAAGGGCGGAGTCGCACAATGACGTGAGCTCGATGGAAGAAGGTGGGGCGACGTCATATTCGGTGAGCTCAAGGCACACGATAAATGAGGAGAAATTCGCTTAACATTTCTGAGCATCTTTTGGGTATGTTGCTGCGCGTGCTTTCAGGAGTAACTTAATAAGAGAAGAACAGTGCAGTGGCTAGCAATCATATGCCACATATATGCCATCGTCAGGCGCAACAAATGCTAAAACGAAGAAAAAAGTGGAAACAATGTCACGCTAGAAAGAATCAGAAACCTTGCTCGCGATGCCACTTCTCCTCCCAACCAGGGAACAGCGGGTATTCATCAATCGTGTGCTCCTCCCAATCCTTCGGGATCAACCCCTTCTCTTCCTGCTCTTTGCGGAACGCCTCCATGGCGGGCAGGACGACGTGCTCGGTGTGCCAGGTGTTCTTGTACTCCATCAGGTTCTTCTTGCCGTCTCTGCAGATCTTGAGCACGAGGCTTGGGATGTACGGCTCATCACGGAAGGTTGCGACAGGGGTGAAGAGGGCCTTGAAGTTGAAGACGATGGCGCCAGACAACGGCAGCCGCCGCAGCGTCTGCCAGTCGACGCGCAGATTCATGCGTGACAAGTCAAGGCTAGGGTCCTGGACGTCGCGGTACTTCTCGTGCGGGTCGCCGGCCGGCATGTACAGCGGCTGGTCGACCTCGAGGCCCCAGGAACCGCGTTGGATGGCCTTGTCTGTGGGTTTCTTGGCGAAGTAGCTGTGGAAAAGACACTTGGGTCAGTCTGGGGACTCTCCTAGGGGTCATTGGCCGTGCTTACCGGTCCATTGAGAAGCGCATCTTCTCCTTGTAGTCTGGGATAGGCTGGTGAATCTCGTCTAGGCGCATGCCCATCTTGGTACCCAGATCCCAACCGAGCGAGCTGCACACGACACCGCCGCGGAGGTAATAGTAGCCAGTCTTGTCATCCCGCAGCGTGATGGCGAAGTCCTCTGGGATGTTGTTCATGATGACCTCGAGCGGGGGCTCGCTCTTCAGGTCGGACGTCGTCTTGAGGATGCCGTTGTGAAAGACCATCTCCTTCTCGTCCAATCGGAAGTAGTGCGGGTACCGTGCAACCAGAAATTGGAGGCACATCTCCATCAATTCCTTGCATGCGAGCTCACAACCTGGCAGGCAGTCCAGCACCCTCTTGCCGACACGCTTGTAGATCTCCTGGCGCTGCTTGATGCGTGAGGCGTAGGTGCTCTCGAGCTCCAGCCACCAGTCTGAGTCCAACTTGCTGAATGCTACACAATTCAAAACGTTAATTATGAGTGCCAAGAGATGTCGTACCAGGCTCACTTACACATGGTCTGATGGTAAGCCCAACGGAAAGGACGGTATGGTTTGGCCTTGGCCTTGTTGATATCAAACTCGGGATACGCCTTGGGGAGAGGAACGCCGCTGAGAGTAGCATAGTCTGGAAAGTCACCAAGCGCCTTGATCTCGTCACTCGAAAACTCGGTAGCAGTGTAGACGGTGCGCGTGGTGGTGAGGATGTTCTCGTCAAGTGCTTGGGAGCGCTTCTTCTCCGGCGACTGGGCCAGCTGACTCAGAGGCTTCTTGAACTTTTTCGTGGCATCCTTGATTTGGGCGAGGGTGAAGCGGCGCGACGGCGGGAATGTATCGGAGTAGTCAGGCTGGCCGGTGTTGCTGCCCTTCTTGTCTGGAGAGAGTGAGCGCGGGGGTGTGCTCGCGCCGGAATCCCTGCTTCTTCCCTGGAATCCCAGGCGGGAGAGAAGGACATTTCTTTGGCTCTTGTTCGACGCCAGATAGGTGACAGTGCTCAGCAGGAATGCCAGCGCAAGCGCCAGCGGTAGAAGGGCGGCCATGAGGTCTGCGGGCCGGACCAAACAGTATCAGGGACCACAAAGAGCTGATGTCCGGCGGGGACGGGGATGCGGATCTCGTCGTTCAAAGGGCTGCAGTGGCACGAAGTAGCGGCCCGGAGGATTATATAGCGCCAGACTTCTAGAGAGACATTGATAAGAGGCTTATCATGCTGGGCGAGCGGGGTGGCTAAAGAGCAGACATTCTGGCGGGGCCGGGACCAGCGAGCAAAGAGGCAAGACCAGCTTCGGTGTCAGGCATGGGAGTGGACTTGCTATCCGCAAGAGGGACCGCGTGCGACCAGTGACGGGCCGCTCCCCAGCTGTTGCCCAGCGGCTCGATTGCGCCTAGCGCGTCTGCCAGGGCGCTATACCGCCTTCGGTATACATTTCCCTCGCAGCCGCCTTACTCCACAACCACAAGCTCCCGCTGATCTTGTTCTTTATCGCGTCCTGTACATGCCCCTCGACTCGCTATCGCCGCAATCGGCCAAATTTCCCGCCGTTCAACCCCAATCCTTCGTCCGCCTTGGCAAGAGATAAGCATTCTGGACCGTGTAAATATAGCCTACTCCGCCAAACTATGTCGAAATGTCAGGCGACGCCAGTTACATCGACCCCAACACCTCTTCTCAAGCCTGGCTGTCTTCTTGCTGATAAGACGTCCCAGGTATCATGACGCACTGGCCAATCATGCATCAATCAGATCGATAGCTGCTGGACTCATCTACGTCTTTACAGGCTCACCACAACCTTCTTTGCTGAAACGCCAGCGTGCTGCTTGTCCACCGCTTCTTGGATCTTTTCCAGCCCCTTGCCAACCACCAATGGATCCGGCTTGGCTTTGAACTGCCCGCTCGCCAATGCCTCTGGGACAAACTTGCGCCAGACGCCATCGGCGATCTCCTTGTATTGCGTTGCGATTGTCGGTGCGACGACTGAACCAGGACACGTCAATAAGCTGACTGCTGCATGCTGTTGGATCACTTACCCTGCTTCGCCTCTGCCGTCTTCGTCAGGCCCTCCGGCGGCGGCAGTACAGTCGCCACTGGCAGGACTCCAACTTTGTCCGTGAGAGCGCCAATGTGCTGCAGTGAGCTGGGCTCAGAAATGGCGTCGTAGGCACCAACAAGGCTGCCGCCCTGCTGGTCGATCGCTGCTAAAAGCTCTTCGACAACGTTCGGTGACTTGTAATCTACTACCGCCACGGCACCTAGCGACTTCACGAATTCATGGTTCTTGCGCGACGCCGTCGCTACAACCTTTACGCCCGATGCAACGGCCAGCTGGATCGCCGTGGCGCCCACGCTCGACGAACCGCCCCAGACGAGCAGTGTCTTGCCCGTGGGCTGTGGGTTCGTCGACGGAAACGGCAGTGCCAGAAGTGACTTCTGGTACAGGCCCGCTGCAGCGGTTGAGATGGCGAGTGGGAGCACCGTGGCTTCTTCGAAGCTGAGCGAGTCTGGGATCGGGGAGACCATGATCTCGACCGTCTTGCTATAGAGCTGGAAGGCCGCACTTGTCGGATCGCCAGTCAACAGTCCGACCAGGTGGCTGTGGTGTAATCAAGTGCGGTCAGCAAATCAGCTTGCTTATGATTGGGCGCGGTTGGTGATCATATCAAAGAGGGGTCTTACGCACCCAATGACTCGTTGGCCCTTGGTGAAACGGGTGACCCCCTCGCCAACTTCCTCTATGACGCCCGCAACATCAGTGCCCAGGATGTTGGGATACTGCTTCACAAAGCCGCCTGCACAAATGTCAGTAATCCAACACATCCATCGCCCATCTGCAGGCTCGCCATTGGTAATGCAAGCGAGACGAAGTGCTTTAAACACATGGGAGCGCTGTTGTCTGCTGACGTGTGACGCAGGAACGATCACAGCCACTCAGACCGCAATCTGCACTTGCTCGGCGGCGTATCTGATATCGCAGCAGGACGTACCATACTCTTGGATTTTCCAATCTACAGGCTACTCGGAAAGTCAGTAAACGCGAACAAAGTCAACCTCCTCCCCGCAGGTCTTAGAATGCGGCGCTGAGGCTTCCATCGGCATCCGTAATGCACATGCCTTTACATTGAGACCGATACTGGAAGTTGCCATGCAATAAGAAAGTCACCGAGAACACATGGCGATGTAGGAGTGACTTACATTGATGGCAATGGCGGCGTTCTTGATGACGACTTCGCCCGGACCGGCTTTGGGGTTAGGAGCCTCTTGCACCTTGAAGGGTTTGCCCTTGGCCTCCGTGATCCATGCCGCTTGATTCTTCGCCATTGAGTCCTCCGATCAGGTGTTATGGGTTGTTGAATTGTTTCGCTAGTTGTGCGACGTGCGATGTTTGGAGGGATAGCTTGTGAAGTGGGGCATCACCCAAGCTCGAGGGCGGGGCACCTTTAAAATGACGAACATCAAGGGCTGGCGCTATCGAGGTGCATAATGGTGCGATTTAACATTTTCTTTCTTCTTCTCCCGCTTATACATCCATCACCATATGAGTGGCCTGCCTTGTGATGGCATGACTGCTTGTCTCGGTCTTTGTTAAACGCGAAGTTGTGATGTGATGACGAAATGTGGTGGGTATGCCTTCAGGCTCGGAAGAGGCGCAGATTCGGCCCCGCTACCCTTAGTAATGGCGCATTATCTCCGTGCTTATCCCCTCCACCCGTCCACCATTGCAGCTGCAAGGCGCTTACATATACGAGGTTGATTATTGCATTAGGTCTGAAGGATGTGGGCGTGTGAGTTGATGTGCCATATGGATGAAATGCCGAATATAAGGTGTCTTCTCCGCCTTTCCGCTGATTTTTCTTTTTCTCTCTCTTTCTTTTGGGGAGTTATTGCGCTGCTTGAAGCATTTCCAGGGCCTGTGCCACAGGCCTTCGTGTAACTTTGTTGATCTTGTACTGCACTGTTGGTGTGTCAAAAATGCTGTCTTTTTATAGCATCCGCCTTAGTAGCAAGCCCCGTAAGACGGAAAGTACTGTACAGGCGGGAATATTGAAGGCGTTGCTAGGCTCCGTGTTCGTAGCGGTTCGGCTTGCTCAACCAAGGTTGAAGACTATGAATCGTTAGCAAATCCAGGCATCACCACGGATGTCCTCGTACCCGTTACTCTTGAGCATAAATGATGTCATGATACAACAAGAGCACAATAGAAAGAGACAAATTCCGAATAAAGACTGGCGGCAGGGAATTTCACGTAAAGTCTGAACATATTCCCTTGCACAACGCTTTGTCAATCATGACTTGAAGTCTTTCATGCGGAACGAGACATGCCGGTTCTGCCACGGTTGGCCATCGTCAAACGCTGATGGTAAGCTGGACGAGCGACTATGTTCCAATGGGTTGGAGCGTAAGGGATGAGGGTGATCATAAGGCCAAGCGGGGATGATGGTTTTTTGACATGCCAATGACTTTGGCGGGTGGACTTCGTTGCACCGTGCGCAGTCTACAGCAACCCAGACGGGCGAGGAAGCTGCTGAATCGTCTTGCTCAGCCTTGTATGGCTGCAAAGCTGGACCAATGCTTGGGTGCTCTTCTAGGTAGTCCGATTGTCCTAATGTTGGTGATGACGAAAGCATTCCGGAGGGTTGCATATGCGCGAAGTTGAATGGCGTAGAGATGAGTGGTGGGCGGGATGTAGTAAGATGTGCTGAAACGCGGTTTAGAAAGTCGCTGGAATGTGCTCGCCTCATCAGCGAGTAGACAGCCGACTGGCGCCGCAGACGAGCAGCCTTTGGCTTAGGTGGTAGGCTTGCGTAGTCAACATGATCAGCAGGCTGCTCGTCAGACTCGAGGTTCACGCTCTTCTCGTCCCGGTCCTGAGGACCTTTGGGCTTGTTTGGAACCAATGTATCGAGAGAGCGGCAGGTGCGTGAGAATTTGTGATACATGGACTCTGGCCCACTTTGCACAGCCCGATTTCTTGGGCGGGGATCGACGGTGAAGCTCATTTTAGAGAATAAGATTTGATGAAGTCATTCGACAGCCGGAAAAGCCGCACTTTATGAGCTTGAAGAGCTTCAAAGAAGGGTGAACCCCGCTCAACGGCCGCTAGAGCCTGCCGCATCCGAAAGGATATCGAGAGATCTCAGACGTGGCTTGGAAATTTATTCAGGAAGCAGAGACACGGACGTTGGACTCACAGGCAGCGCAGCAACGACAAAGAATCCTGTCTGAGATGTCGAAGCCACAGCTGAGGTATGATGCGGAACTGAGCCCGGCACGAAATACAGTCGGCGTGGAGGAGTAGATGGGAGCCACAGGCGGCAATCTCCGTCGAGAGTTAAAGTTCGAAAGATTCTGCGCCGGCTAAAGTGACGAACCAAGCAAACACACGTACGTGCCCGGAGCGGTACATGACTGCTGGAATGAGCAGAGCACATCGCGGGTCGGGCTGGAATTCAATAGCCTGGAGAGCAGGTATGGATGACAAACAGCGTCGTGGCACGGGTGAGACTAGGCGCCTGGTTGTGAGAAAGAGCCCGGGCCCGCTTTGTGGGAGTGTTGGTCCCTGTCGTTGACGGCAGCGCGAAACAGGAGCCGTGACACAGTCGCTGCAGTCAGCCATGCAGCTGGCGCTGCAATAGGCCAGGCCTCGACATGGCAGGTCGTTTCCGCGACAGGGCGCTCGGGCAGGACACGGCCGCCAGCTGGAGAACAACAAGCAGACAAGCTTCGCCCCCAGGGCGCCTTTGGCCCCGAGCGACACTGACGATCTCTGTGAGCAGTTGCGGGCGGTGACTGGGCCTGTGTTGCGCGGTGTTATTCTCCGGCAAGAGCTGGTGGAGCCGTGCGGCGCGCCACCGGGAACGGTACGGCCAGGCGCTGATCCGCGGCAGCGACGACCCGGGGCGGCCAGGGGGGTGTTCCAGTTCGCGATGCAGCGGGCCAAGCGAGCAACGCCGTGGGCGAAGCAGCGGCGGGAGCAAGGCCGGTGGGCGTGGAGGAATGAAAGTATCGGTGGAATTCCAATGCCCCCGCGCCTCTGGGGCGCAGGGGCGGGCTCCTAAAGATAGCCTGCGCACTGGACCAGGAATGCGAGAGGCACGCGGGCCGGCTTTGGCAGTCGCTAATGACTGACTTGCAGCCGAAGCGGCAGTCCCATAAACGCGCTGCTCCCCAGCCCCAGCCGTTTCATCATGCTCTCGGTTTCATGTGCGAGCACCACCGCCGACCTTGCGCCCCCTCCATTCCTATACCGCAGCGTTTCGTTTCCCGCGCGTGCTCCTGGCCGCGGCCGAGCACTATCGCACTGCACTGCATCACCACACTCCACGCATCACCGCACTGCCCGGCGCAATGAAGCGCAAGTTTTCGCTCAACCTCGCGCCCATTGTGAGCATGCCCATCGCCCCGCGCGGCCCCCGAGCTGGCTGACCATGTCCGCGCAGAAGGTGCCCACCAGGCAGGAAACCAGGGCACTCAAGGAGTCGCTGGCCACGCGCGACATTGCCACGCCCTCGTCGCCCTACGTCAACCGCCGCATTCTTTCGCCCAGCCTCGAGTCCGAACTGCGCGCTGCCTGCGAGGCCGTGCTCAACGAAGATGGCAACTCGTACGGCGCTGCCGCCGCCCTGCAGGCCCAGGAGTCGAAGCTGGATTTCCAGGCCCTCCAGCGATCAATGAAGGCCATGGAGCAGGCTCAGCAGCAGTCCGGTCACCGGCGCACCGGAAGCCACCCGCCTTCGAATCCCTTGCCGCGCCGCGACCACCACTCCCACGAGACGACTGCTCGATTACCCGCCAATGCTTTCGCCTATAAACCCGATGCCGCCTTGCGAGACCTGTTTCCCGACCAAGGCCCGTACCCTGTGCAAGCGAACACGAGCCGTAGGAGGGAAGCCCACGGGACTGCCTACGACAAGTCCGGGCGCAGTGTGTCTGGCAGGTATCGCGAGCAGCAGCACGATCACACCACGGGCCGGCCGGCAGGATACGACAGGCCAAGCACTGCTCCCATTGGCCGAGGGCTGGACTCTCCCGATACTAACTATTCAACGCCGATGAGTGCTTCCACGATGGAAAACCACCGTAATTACGCTTCTACCGCCATGACGTCGGCTGAGCCGTCGCGGGCATCCAAGCGCAATTCACACCATATGTTTAGCGATGAAGAGGCGGCCTCGCGTGCTGATGCCGCTGCCTCGTCTTGGATGAGGCAGGAGTACGAGCGCCGCAGGGAGAGCGACGTGGATCGTCGCCCCTCGACGAGAACGAGTAGAGCCGGGAGTGTGACTAGGAGCATCAAATCGGAGATCAAAGAGTACTTCCGTCCTGGGTCGTCAGGGATAAGCAGGACGACATCAAGGGAATCCCTTCGCAGCCGGAGCTCAGACGCAACAGCGGCACAGGCGCCAGCAGCACACGGATGGCGCAGCTGGAGCTTGCAACGACGGCCAAGTGACCGGAGCCTCAACAGCCGATCGTCCAGCGTCAGGGGCAGCGGTGACGTCAGGAACAAGGAGGGCAAGAAGGAAATCAACCTCAACCGAGAGCTACCCCCTTTGCCAAGCCTGGACCAGTGGAAAGAGCCGGAGGAAGAGGAGGATGCGCCCGCTCATTTCGTACCCGTACACAAGCCGACCAGCCCGACGCACATTGCGAATCTGATGCAAACGCCTCCGAAGGTTCGCCCGCGGCGAGAACACATCGCTCATCAGCACTCGGTGGAGAGGAGGCAGAGACGGCCTGAAGCTGCATCCCGTAAACCTCAAGTGCAGACTCAAACGCGTCCGGGCGTTCGAACTGTCAGCTCTGATCCCGACGTTCCTGTGCACTTTCGGCCGCGGACAGATGATTCGCTTGCGCGAGACCTTGCTCAATCGCATGAGCTCATGTCGATAAGCCACGGGTCTAGCAACGAGGCTATCAACAGGAGCAGCCCGTCACTGGTCGATAGCGGACACAGCCCGGACGAAGGCTGCGCGGGCCACAAGCCAAGCATGAAGATCAGCATAGACCACTTTCACGGGGAGCCACCCAACTTCAGCAAGAAGATGATGGGCTCGGATAGGCCTGGACAGCAAGGTGGGCAAGAACAACGGTACAAGTACAAGGCGGAAATCAAGGCAAACAACACGCTGGCGAGCGGGTCCTCGGGCAACGTCAAGGGATTGAAGAAGATGTTCAGCCACTTCGGGCTAGGCGGCAAACGGGAGAAGAAAGAGACGTGGATGGATAAATTCGAGAAGGACGGCGTTAAGGGCGGGATTCTGATTCATGATGAAGCGGCGGGCGCGCCAGTCGTCCGGTACTGAAAAGCGTTTTGTTCGTTTCTACACAATGTTTTGCACGGAGCATTGCATGACACTGCGTCAATATTTTCTTCTTTCTGCTGCATTTTTTGGGTCGGGTCGGGGCCGCCTAGGACAGGCCGTTGGAGTTGTGTAGATACCCTTATCAATTGTTGGGAGCCTGGGGAATCCAGACAAATATCAGTTCATTATGAAAGCGTTGAAGAAAGCTAGTGTACCCCTTATCTCGAAGATTGAACGTGGACGGAGGCCCTTGCGGCCATGGCTCGGTCAGTACTGAGGTTGTCGTGGACGGGTCAGGGTGCGGGACCGGGTGCCAGTCACGATCGCCGGACTGGCTTCCGCCGGATCGCAAATCGAGCCAGTGAGCAGATGCGGCATGGTGGCACGGCAGCGCAGTGGCTGACGACTGCAGTCGTCGACGACTTCAAGAATCACCGCCGTAGGGCGCAGCTGCGGCGTCGTAGCCACCACTCACCCATACCAGCAATGCTCCGCACGGCTGTGGTGGATCGCACCCGCGGCCGCGTCGCTCTTGGCTTTCATCACCGCTTGCGCATTCAAGAGAAGGACACATCTGAGGTCAGAGGAGCGCGCATCATGCTCCATGAGGAACGCTCGTCCTTGTTCCGCACCAGCACATTGCGAGATGACCGAGCTGCTTTGCCTCCGTTGCTATGCTTTTGGCAAAGACGCATCTAGATCCTTTCGTCCATGGCCCTTCTCACCTCGCCACACTGCACTCAGCCTGACAGCTTTCCTTCGCCATCTTCTGCCAACGTCTGCTCGCCTCACACCCTCACTCGCCGATCCGCAACCCTACATTCACTCTGCTCACCGGTTCGGATCTGACAACGCATCCATCCATACCCCACCAACATCGCTCTCCCACCTGCCGAGATGTGCAAAATCCACGGCTACCACTATGCCTGTGGTCATTTTGTCCGCTATCGGCTCTCCCGCTGCCGCGGCACCTTTACGAAAGCCCGCAGGCGGCGGCTGAAGGGCACCAACATCGATGACGCTCCCAAGCTTCCTGCCTGCGTCGCCGAATGCTACATCATCATCGCATCCCACTCGCTATGTGGCTCGTGCTTGTACGAGCAATTTACCGCCCATTGGAAAGTGCGCATCTCCGAGGCTGAAGGCGCTTACCGCGACGCGCTCGATCAAGGCATGAAGACCGGCTTAGGTCTCTGGGGCTGGGGCGCAGTCGGCTGGGGCGGCAACGGCATAGATGACGACAGCTTCGACGACGGCTGCGACGACGACGGCGACGACGGCAGCGCGGACGGCGGCACCGGTGGCCCGACAGATGACGGCGTCGGGCCAACCGCGAACAAGAAGAAAAGCCAGAAGATATGCCTGAAGGACGAGATCGAACGCCGCCGGCGCACCCTTGAGACCCTGCGTGCCGAGTTCAGTGCCGAATCCTGGTCCGTCCGCAACCGCCTTCCGATCATCGACCGTAGACCATACTCCCTCCCTAGAATTCAACCGCGCCTCTCCAACGTCCCTTCTCCTCTGCGGCACGAGGTATTCCCCGAAGATGTTGTTGTCAAAGAGGAACGCAATGGCAGGGTCGAGGGCGATGAAGGATGGTGCCACTATCCAACCTTTCAGGCTTTCTTTGTGGACACATACGGTGGTGGCTCTGGGGACGCATGGGAAGGTGACACCGCAGACTTAACACAGACAGGCGCGTGGGATGCCGCCCTTGTAGCAAACATTAATTTCTCGAACTCATTGGCCGACGACACACAAGAACCCACAGGCGACGAAAGCTACTACACGGAATACAATCGTTTCGACACATCTCCCATTGAAGAAGACGGCACAGAGGAGGAGGACGAAGAGGTTCCAGTGATGGCATATGGTCCGGAGACACGTTTTCCACCTCTAATGCGCCAGAATGAGGGTTTTGCCCCAGGACCGGATGCCGCGCCGCCCTGAAGGCAGGCGTACTGCATAATAATGGAATTAACGACATATCTTCGAATTACACATAAAGGCTTGAAGCCGACTTGGATCGAAACACGGTTATGACACCTATGACCCTTTCGAACTCACCACGTACATCGACTGCACTTGGTCTGGTGGCTTCTCATCAGGTAAACGCGTCAGCTCGTTTCGCTTAATCTCAACTAACTTCTACAACCTAACTAGACATGCCCACTCAAGAATCCAATATGACCAACGCAACGACAGGACCATTCCAGCAGCATTGCACGCTTCAACACAAGCCAACAGGAAAGCCCACTTCGCTTCACCCCAGACCTTACGAGCATCAATGGCGAAGCATCCTTCACGCCGTCGATCTCACTTCAGCCAACGCCAATGCAAAGGGGTTTTAAAAAAAAAAATACTATGACTACATTATGCTATAATTAACAATTGCCCCGCCTTTTTTTAAATGAAAAAAGAACATGCCATGGATAGTTGAAGCTATCATCCGGATGTAAATGTAGAGTTGATAATCATACATTCGCGTCCGGACGATAACCCTAACCACCCACGGCAAGAGCAAAAAAATAAATTCACGCTAGCCGTCGGCTGCAATTCCCCCCTTTCGTTCTTCCTTTTCATTCTCGTGAACCTTATTCCGATCTCGCACCACTGAAATATCAAATGACCGTTGTCCCATTTGCCTAAGCGAATCTCTAGCGCAGTGTCCTGAAATTGGTCCTATTCCCGTTAGCCTATTCTCCCCCTTTTCTTTTCGCCATTCCCATTTCGCGTACATCTGTCTACCAATTTATTGGTCAATGGCAGGCAAATTTAGAACAACATAGACATTCGAACCCGTGAGGAATAGAATATTCGGCGAAAAGCCACGCTTGCGTGTTTAAATCAACCAAATAGACGTATGTATCACTGTGCACCAGATAGTCAGTCAAAGTGAGAATTGCTCTCAGGTGCTACACTCAGTTGGGCGCCCATATGCTCGGCGGTAATAATAAATCAGGTGCACGGCACGCCGTTGTGGATACGGAAAGAAATTTGGGCCACGAACAGGTCCGCGCCATCATCTCACCCACCCTTTTAGCTTCTTCCATGAGGCGGTTATCAGAAGATACGCTAGTCTCGTCTCTCAAGCATGCAAGAGATCAACGGTGTTCGTGCAAATCTTCCTCTGCCAAGCTTTCGAGCTCCAGATTGGGCACCATCAACCCTCGGCTTACTCAACTTCACACTTCCAGGCGAATCTCCAAGTACTCATCACTGCTTCAAATGAATTTTTGATAAGACCATCCCCTTAGGGAAACTTCAGCAACTCTGGTTGCGCGAGTCCCTGTTGCCGAAAAAAAGCATGCACTTGCTACCTCTCTTGTAAACGCCATATCCATGCCCGTATTCCAAGCAACCACTGCGCCTCATCGCCCATCATCGACTGCCCTTTCCACTTTCGCATTGGTCATAGCTCGCTTTAGATATCTCAACTGAAGAAAAATCAAAAGGAGAAATGGGTACTGGAAGCAAGGGAGAAGGTCGACATAGCTCCGCCTCTACATGCTGGAGCAATCCGCCTGCTGAATCTTTTCCAAGGCGTGCTTCAGCTCAGCCTTCGTCTTGCTCGCCCCTCTCTTATAACTCGAAAGAGAGGCACCTTTCTTCCACCCACGGGCTCGACGACTACAGACAGAAGAGAAATTAGTAGCATCGTTGACCTCAAAATAATTGATAGGCCCATGTTTCTCCATGCGCGTCTCTCAGCGATGCCTGCCCGGAAACACTCTTCCCTCGCCAGGACTCACATACGCTCCACTGACACCGCCCATCGGGTTATCGAAGAATCCGCCTCCGGGGTTGCCGTCAATGTCGAAAGGCGGACGGCCACCCATGCCAAATGGTCCGCCCATACCGCCAGCACTCCGACGGCTGTTGCGCGCCGAGTCGACAATAGCAAACTTTTTGCCGAGCTCGCTAGCAGCTCCGAGCGATCCTGTGATGCTAGCGAGCAGGTTTGTCAGTTCCACATCGGCGCGCTGCTCAATTGCCTCGCGCGCGAAGGTCGCGCGATCCGGAGGAGCAAGGAGCGGAAGGCGAGAGAGAAGAGCCTGGATGGCGCGGAGGATCTCGTGGTTTGGCTGCTCAGTGGGGTTCTTCGTCTGCGGAATCTGAGCATCGGTGAGATAGGAGGGCGGAAGTTCAGATAGGTAGGCTTGAAGTAGATTGATGCGGGCGCGGAGCATCTTGATTGCATTCGACTTTGCGGTGAGGGAAGCGAGTACTGCAAACGGTTAATGAGACGCTTGTGAAGCAGGTGAGAATAGGGTGAACTTACACTCTTCGTCCTCAGCAGTCAAGGGAACAGAGTCGTCGCTAAGCTCTGCGCTCTCCACATCGGCCTTCGCCTTTCCCTTGCTCTTGGCCTTGTTGGTGCCATTCCCTGCGGCAATGCTGCCCTTCCTAGCCTGGTCGACATCTGTTGCATTACCACCGCCCTTTGCCACGAAATCTACGGCAATCATCTCGGCCTCTCCAGTCTCAACCGAGTACGTCAGCTCCCGGAACTTTTGCTGCTTGCCCTGGCCGGCGGCACCGCTGTCAATCTCCATGCTTGTAGCCTTGTCATTGCCGACACCGCCCTCCCACAGACTCTCGTAAATAGTAAGCGGAAGTTTGCCGCCAGTTGCGTTGCCCTCAAGGACAGATTCTGGGTGGAATAAGAGGAGCAATGCAGCCTCATTATGCACGTTCTGAATGTACTCGTGGATGGCAAGATGGTGAGGTGCGGGGCCGGCAGGAGCGCCCAGCGTGAACCAGCCGACAAGATCCAACGGCGGGGACTTGAATACGGTTTTGTCTGCGCCGGACGTTAGCCTTGTATGCCGCCGACGCAGCATGAGGCATGTCTCGACTCACATTGCTCCAGGCGCTCGCCAAACCATGCGTCATCAATCCTGACCTCGCCATCGTCACCGGCGATCAGCTTAGCCTCAAACGCTACTTCCATGGTGATCTCGCGGCCATTCTGGCGGCCTATTATGGCGCCGACAACCGGGCCGGACTGCTGGCGGAGGGTGTGGCGCGTGATGTAGTCGGACACGGTGAGCAGCACGAGCGGGTGAAGCTGGACCTGCGGGCTCGTGTCGGAAGCTCTGGTGCTGGAGATGAGCGGGTTTTCCTCCGCGTCCGCCATGATTACGAGCTTGCGCGGCGGTGCTTGACGGGCTGAAGAGAGGGTCGATGCGAAGGCAAGCTGTGGCGTCTGAACACGACCGTCGAGCTTGGAAGAGCGGGGCAGATGCTGGTGTTGAGGCGGTGGTGGAGCAGTGGTTGTGCCGGAGGACAGAGCTCCAGGCCGCAGTGCGCACGGGCCATGGAGCGTCATCGCCGAAGCGACACTCCCTCGTACCTTCCATCCGTAGACTCAATCCAACGGCCGATTTTGCACTGAAACTATCACACCTGTATTTTACTTCATCTTGTCCGCATTTGCCGTCTTCTCTGCAATCCGCTTTGGCGACCTGAGGCATGATTGCTGGAGCGTAGCCTCAAGCAGGTTCTGCACTCCTCGACCTGACTGAGCAGGCAAGTAATGCTAGAAGGTACGTGGAGCGCAGAACGGCATAGCCAAACACAGATTTCATTGGTGGCTTTCTATCGTGTCTATCATAAACCGAACGATACGAACCGAAAGTGGGTATCTCAAATCCCCCTCAACACTCAATCAGCACTTTCAGGACAAGCTTACCGTCGTCGTCCACCGTCCTCCCTGCGAGCTCAAAGGCCTGCTTAGCAGAGTCCAGTCCTCTGAAGCGGTGTGTAATCATCATATCTAAGTTGGGCAGAACGCCGGACGAGATGATCTTCATGCCCGTCGGATAAGTGTTGGCATAGCGAAAGATGCCAATGATGTCGACTTCTTTCAGATGCGAGGCGGACATGGGAAGTGTCTGAATGGGCGTCCCCATGCCGACCATGATCAGTTTTCCGCCCGGTCTCGTGGCCTTTGTGAAATCAGTATGTATGTCCTTGCGACTCATGTTGCACGAGGAAGTGACTTACAAAGAGACCAGCTTGCATACACACTTCTTTGCCTGTGCAGTCGAAAGAAACATCTGCCCCTTCAGCGTCTGGGTCGCCAGCACAAGCAATCTCGACGATCTCATTTGCGAGAGACTTGGCGGCTGCGAGTTTTTTGCTCGTTTCCTGCGGCTGAGGACCGGTCGACACGACATACCCCCGGGTAGCAAAGCCATTCCGGAGAGCGTACTCAACCCGACCGATGTCGACGTCAGCGATAAGTACAGTCGTGGCTCCAGACATCTTGGCCATTGCGGCGGTCAGCAGTCCCACAGTGCCAGCACCAAAGACCACGGCAGTGTCACCTTGCTCCACCGTTGCCCTTCTCGACGCATGAATTGCTACGGACAACGGCTCCAGCAGGGCAGCAGACTCCAGGGACACGTGATCCGGGATCCTGGGTGAAAGTCAGCACACTCCCAAACCCAATTAGCTGTGCTCACTCACTTGTGGCACCACTTCGCGGGGTGGTTGATGCGCTCCTGCAGTGTCCCCTGGAAGTGCGGGACACTCTTTGCGCTGCTCCTGAACCTCATCTTGGGACACAGATTATATCTGCCACGCTGGCATGACCTGCAGGCGTCACACGGCACGCCGACCTCGAGCGCGACCCTATCGCCGACCCGGAACGCGTCGGCGGGCACCTGGTCGCCCACGGCCACAACCACACCAGCAGACTCATGGCCTAGAGACAGCGGCGCCACGGCGCACAGGTCGCCATTGCGGAACTTGCTATAGTACGAAACGTCACTCCCGCAGATCCCGGTGGCGCGGACGGCAATTTGCAGCTCGTGCGGGAGCGGATCGGCCAGAAGCCTTATTTCCTGCAGAAGAAGGGCAAAAATAAGCACTCGGGCGTGGGGTGGATCGCAGATCACGATGTCGTGCAGATGTCTAGCAGTTTGTGCCTGACTAACCCCCACGCTGCTGCCAAATGAGGCAGGTGTGGGGGCAGCTGGTGCTTCTGTGGGGGCAGCTGGTGCTTCTGTGGGGGAACTACATGGAATGAGAGGGAAGATCACATACGACGCGAAGATCGCGTGGCCCATGCAGGACGGAAGCCTGAATGGTACAGTTGCCACTATTGTTGGCCTCCAATGGAAACTCGTCCACGATTGCTGAAGGAGCCATGGGTGGGAAAATATTGAAGAGAAAAGAGCAGAGTGAAGATGGATGGCTTTTGGGTTGTCCGACTCGCGCCGCTCAGGGCCACCGCTGGCTGAGGTATAAATACTTTCTGGCAGCACACAGCTCGGACGAGGCTTGCTTTACTGGTCTGAATGGGATTGCACAAATGGAGTGCACGGGGCTCGCACCGCCTGAGAAGATGGCGATCTTGTGCAGCTGGGGTCAGAGATAGCGGACGGGCAGGTCCGCATCGGCAGGTTTCCCGCATGCCAACGGCACCGCTTTCAATCGGCGACATAAATAACCACGTCAGTTCCTGTTAACATGCATGTTTGTGCTGCAGAATCACCGGGTGGCTCCCCCTGGTCACCACTAGCGTACTGGCGCCGAGTCAGCGCCTGGGGAACTGCTGCAACACGGTAGCTACTAACCGCCATATCATTCCAATTTATGTTCACTACACTGGCGACTTCGTTCTCTCAACGGCAGCGCCTCCAGGAGCCACTTTGAGACATTCAAGAAAGCATTTTACAGCAATATGGCCGCCCATAAAACAAGTGTATATCTATGAAAGTAGGATGATGGCACACTTGTCATGCCAAAAAAAAAAAAAAAACGAAGGCATCCATCCCGGTAGCGCGGCAGCTTGTCCGCTCTCCACCGCTCTTCGCTAAGCATGCCCCATACGCGCCTGCATTATCTGTGGCAACGTAACGATGTATATATACGCTTACGTATCTCCTTCTTGGTCATGGTTGTCTGACCAGTCAATTCCGCATGCGCAATCTGCATGCAGCCTAGGAGAAGCCTGGGACGGCCCGCAGGTTTTGAAGGCGAGCTGCATGTCGGATAAGATGCCTCATCAGCGCACGCCTATCTTCACCATTCCCGACGCACGGAGCATTGTACTACTCCTAGTGTGCTTCGGAGTAAACTAAGTTCGTCCTTGGCGGGTTAGCTGCAGAGCATGACTTGATGGTACTGTTCTAACAAGCCGGTTGATATGGCGGGGTAGCAGCTAACAGAAGAGTAAGTATGTACCATGACTCGGCTCCGCCTCGTTGATTCATCGAAATGCAGCAACAATAATAGAATTCTGAACCGATTGACCAATAGTCGAGATATCAGGTTCCATGGGCGGGCTAATGAGCAAAAAGATATGACAGCATTAAAGCCAACAATCTGGCCGCTTGGTACCTGGGTACATGGCGTACTGATAAGAAAAAGGACTATCGGCGGCTTCTGCCAGCCACTCAAAAATGCCGGGGCAGCCTCTTGCGTGTTTGCCCATGCATGCCGCTCCTGTGAGATCGACGGTGCATCGTGCATCGCATTGCATTTGCAGCAAACTGCACATGGCATTGAAAGGCGAATAAGAGGAGGAGAGGTGGATAATGAGCTAAAGGCGAGAGCTAACTACGGAATGGCATGATTGCGGACTGAATTGCGCCGTCGCTGCAGCACAGTGCCGCGCCGGATGTAAAGCACTCTGCTTCGAGCTGGTGATCTGCTGAAGGCTAGACCATTGCCAGACGAGCGAGAGTGACAGTTTGCCTTCCACGTCAAGCTCAATCAGCAATGACACGAGCTTTTTTTTTTTTTTTATCGTAGAACGTAAGCTGTGGTAGTATCGATGTACTGTATTCTCAAGGTGCCATAGCTGCGAACACAGTGAGCTTGCTCCTGCTTTCACGTTCATGACTATAGAAGTCGACACCTGCAATGCGAGTCAGTGCCAAAGCATGCTGGCCTGCATGACGCTGTTCGGAAACCAAATGCCTTCCATACCACCGCCCTGGAATTCCCTTCCAAGCTCTAGAGGGCTAAATTGCAATAATAAGTACTGGTGTTTATCCTGTCCGTTCTCGCTATGCATCATGGCCTGAGTAACTAGACTTTTCAGTCTTGCGGAAGACCTACGCCGTGTCCATCCTGTTGCTGTCGGCTTGGCGTAGGTATTCTGGCTAAGTAAATCGGAGGCCGGACAATTGACTAAGATGTCGGCGTGCGTCTTTTATAACGCTAGCTCGCCTATTATAATAAGTAGACAAAGTAGTAAATCTGCAGACGCTTCTACTGCTCAGGTCAAAGAGACAGGCATGATGGTAGTTCACAGAAAGGGGTATGGGCCCGGGATCAAGAGTCTTTAATTAGTTCATTTAATTCGCTATCATATTGGGCATGCGTAAGTGTTTAGAGAACGCTCTTTCCACCGAATACAACGGCATCAACCCACTGTTTGATGATGTCGTTCAGCTCGGCGGGCTTCTCCCATTGGCCGAAGTGGTGCGTGTCGATGGCGGCTCTGCTAAGGTTGGGGATGAGTTTCTCCATGCCAGCCGACATCTCGGGCTTCAGGACGGTGTCCTTATTGGTGGCGATGTAGAGAATAGGCTGCTTGATGGTGCCGTCGCCGGGGAGGTTGAGTTCCTCCTCATAGTTGACCTTGCGGGTGCGGTACCAGTTGCAAGGGCCGTGCAAGCCGTTGCGGGCGTACTGCTCGGCGTAGTAGTCGAGCTCTTCCTCAGTCATCCACGGGCCTCTCGGGACCTTGCCCAGATTCTCCAGAATGATGCCATCATAGGGGTTAAACAGGAGCTCGTCGTTGGGGCCCTTGCCGCCCGTGATGAAAACGAGCAGCTTCTTGAAGTCCTCCTTCGTCTTGACGCCCTCCTCGGGCTTACCGCTGGCCAAGTTTAGCTGGTACTTGAACTGCGGAAGCGGGCCAGCAACCAGCTGCTCGACGGAGAAGTACTCCTTCGAGGGGGGCGCGTAAGGCGTGCTGATGGCGAAGACGTGCGAGATGAGGTCGGGCTTCCAGAGGGCGACACGGTAGACGACAGCTCCACCCCTGTTTGGCGGGTTAGCTTTTTATACTTTCTACTCCGGTCAAGCTTGCATACCAGTCGTGGCCGCCCAGCACGATCTTCGGTGCGCCGAGCTGGCGAGCGAGCTCCTCGATGTCGTCGGCGGCGCGTTTGAAGCCGTACAGCGAGATCGACTCCGGCGGCACTCTCGGCGCATCCTGCAAGGTGAATTGTAAGTCACACGCACCGATAGTCTATTTTCTGGTAGGATACTCACGGTGCCGCCGTAGCCCATCATATCAGGCGCCACGACACGGAAGCCCATCTCAATGAGGGCGGGAATCTGGTAGCGCCATCCAAATGCCAGATCAGGCCATCCGTGGACCTACGGATCGGACTGTCAGAAGAGCATCAAAGAGGATGAGGGGTAAGGATGACGAACGAGGACGATGGTGGCCTTGAATTGACCATCCTTGGGAACACCAAGAATGTAGCCTGCACGGCGCTGAATCAGCCATCACGGTTATTAAATAGCAGCATGGAGAGTGTCCCTACGGTATGTGCGGCCGTTGAGCACCGCTGTCTCGTAGGAGACGCGCGGGTCGGAGCCGGGGCTGAGCTTCGTGACGGTGTCGGCCATCTTTGATGCGGAGAAGAACTTCGTCGGCATCGTTGCGGAAGGGATATTTGCCAACTGTTATATACCAGCGATGTCGTCTCTCTCACTGTCACCCCTGTGTCGTGGTCCGGAGCGACTGCGTGATCTCAAAGCGCTTTACGGACGTACGTACGAAGGTTATGGCCGCTTGCTGAGACGATTGCTCCACTTTCTTGGGCCGAGGTATCTCTGCCTACTCTAGTTATGCGTCGCGACTTCTTGTCCCTTTAAAGGCTATACGCCCTATTTGAGAAAGAGCAAACGACACAGTAAACATCGGCATACAGCAGAGTGGGACCCTTATCGTGGCTTTATCGCTCCACGACTGCGCGCTCAAACTACCCAGCAGTGAGTACATACGCCCGTATTGTACGCACGCTTCGGAACTGGAACGTGCTCTACCACTCGGAGCTATCACCGGTTGCGGATTATAATCAACAACGTCCGAAGTCTTAAAGCCGCGGATTTTGTAATCACCAAAGTCTTCCATACTTTCGGATGACGCGGATGTCACTCCGAATACTCCAGTCGGGCACGCGAAATCCCAGCATTGCGGTAAGACAGGCGGTTGCTCCACCATTGGCGGTTAGGGTAAATTGCACACGTCAGATGTTCACTGGACAATCCGTCTGATTCATAGCCGAAGCACTGCTGGCTGCATCCAATGTCCAGCTTGGTCCTATCATGATCCAGAAGCATGCAAGAGCTATGTTGCAAAACCCCAGCCCAAATTCCGCCTTTTTTGAATCATTACTGTAGGAATGGTATCATCAACACGAAGCAATTTCTCCAAAGACGCTGGGTTAAGACTGTGCTGAGGGAATGATATAGCGCACCGTCCTGCCAGAGGTCGTTAGGGTTAGTATATTACAGTATCCTCCTCTGCTTCGAGCACCTCCTCTCCGTGGTCGTCGTGGTGCTCCTTGGCCTTGTTGTCGTGGTCCTTGGCGGCATGTCCGTTTTCCTGGCTGTCCGGGTGCGAGACGGGGTCGACCTGGTCATCACTAGTAGCAGCGTTATCTTGCTCTTGAGGAGATTTGGGAGGTTCATTGGCTTGCTCTGAACCCACCATGTCCTCAGTCTTGTGAGCCTCTGCATCAGCTTCCTTCTCGGGTGTCGCTTCCTCCTCGGCTTGCTTTCGTCTCTCGAACTCTGCGAGCTCCCTCTCAATGCTGGCTTCTGCCTCTTCAACCTGGGCCTTGATGATATCCTCTTCTTCCGGGCGCAGCTCCCATGGCTTGTAGAACTGTGCTGGTCAGCAGCCCAACCTGGCCAAAGAAGGGAGAGTCTAGGTACCAGCTTGGGTTCTGTCTTGGTCTGGAGGAAATGCGCCTGGGCGAGTATGTTGGAGTGGCGGATCCGCATCTGGCCAAGCAATTAACACAACGACCGAGGCAGGGCAGGGCAGTGGACGCGAACCGTTTGCTCATCGAACTTCTTTTGCTCGCGCCGCCTGACAACCATGAGCTCCTCCAGACGCTGCTTCTTCCGCTGGTCGAATTCTTGTGCTTGCAGCTTCAGCTTCTCCTGCTGCTTCTTGTCGATGTCCGCCCGACGGCGCTGGGCCGCAGTCGACGAGCTCTGGGAGAGGGTGCCGAGTAGCGCGCCGAATAGACGCTGGCCGCGCTTGCGCTCCTCAACAGCACCGCTCCGGCGGCGGTCGGCGCGGCGGTCCGTGGGCGAGTCATTCTGGTGGCGGGGACCGTCCTGAGAGTCATTGTTGGTGTCGTCTATGCTCAGGCGAGGGCGCTTGCTACCGGCTTCGGAGACGGAGGATTGCCTGCGCTTCTGCGGGTTGTCGCGCGGCGAGGCTGGCGCGGAGCTCTCTGGCACGACGACGGCCGAGGCGATGACTCTGCGGCGGCGGGGTCAGTGGGCGCGGGCGCACGATGGGGAGCTAGCTGGCTCACGGTTCATCGTCCGCCATGACTGTTGGCTCGCGGCGAGGACTCGGGTGCGGGTGGTGGAGGAGTGGGATGGCGTGTGATGGAGCAGCGATTAGCGGCGCGTCGGCGATTGCGAAGCTGTTGCTTGCGATTCGCGGTGCGGCCCGGAATGGCCGATCATCTAATCTTATCTAATCGTCTGCGCGCCTCGAAATCCGTCGAAGCTCTGCTGGTAAGCATAACAACCACCGCCACATCGCAGCTATATAACTCTATCGCAACCTCTCTCCACACGTGCGATACACCCCAGGATCCTCGTGCTCACAGACATCCTCCACCACAAGCACCATGTCGCGTCATCACCCGTAAGTCCCGTATGCCCCGCGCCAATAACAGCAGCATTGCTAACCCGCCGCAGCGATTTGGTTATGTGCCGGAAGCAGCCCGGAATCGCCATCGGTCGTCTTTGCGACAAGTGCGACGGCAAGTGCCCCGTCTGCGACAGCTACGTCCGCCCGACCACTCTCGTCCGCATCTGCGATGAATGCTCCTTCGGAAACTACCAGAACAAGTGTGTCGTGTGCGGCGGCGAGGTGAGGATCCATTGCCACGGAGCTACAAGAAGCGCACGCTGACGGATTTTGGCAGGGCATCTCTGACGCCTTCTACTGCTTTGAATGCACGCGCCTGGAGAAAGACCGCGACGGTTGTCCCAAGATCATCAACCTAGGAAGTTCAAGGACCGACCTGTTCTACCAGAAGAAGAATTTCCGGAATCATTAAGGATGCCGTATTCCACAGCATTACCGGCGCTATCGGAGTTCGGGCTTAGGACTGGGCGGCTAAGTGGGGTTCAATGTGTTTGAGACGATGAAGCAAGTGGTAGGCCTTTGAAAGCAGATGAATTTGTAGCCTTAATTAACGCCTCTCAGGAGCCTTCCTCTTGTCCACCGTGACACTTTACTACGTGAAGATATCGTCAATTTGAAGCCATCTTTTGCCATGCAGGATCCCCTAGAAAATCGGTCTTGTACGGTGAAAACTCAACGAGCTCTGCGTAAACGCTAAAACGATGTCGCCGACTAATTGGGAGTGCAGGCATCGCATCTTCTGTTGACCGAGCCATTCCCAATCAATGCGTAGTAGCGGCGAACCCTCCATAAACATCCATGCCAAGTAAATACGGCCCGAGGACTGATGGCCAACTTTCCGGTGGCTTGGTTCTCCATCACTCGTTCCAGTCCGGTGACATCTCTTTTTGGATATTAAAACGGCGCGCCCATACTTCCTCCGCCGAACACAGTCTGAACGTGGCCACATGCCTCAATCAAACTACCAAGCGCGCGGAGAAGAAGGATGCACGGCCTTTTAAAGCACCACTGGGGTCCGAGTCAAGCGAGGAATACTTCTCAGAAGCAACCGTCAATGTCATACCCAGATCAAGCAACCACCGGAAATCAAGCCTTATGATAGATGGTCGGAGCAATCCATTTCTGATTCGATTCGTCTATGGGCTATGGAAGATCCGGATACATAAATCATCAAGTGCCGTCACTATTTGTACAAAAGTCGAAGAACTACAGTTCTAGACGCCCCTCTCACTGGGCGTTCGCCACCTTGAAACCACCCGGCATCTGCTTGGTAAAGACCATGTCCGGATCGTACTTGTCTCTGATCATCTTCAATAGCTGAACGCTGCTCTTGGGGTAGCCAGCAAACACGTCCTGCGCTTGGTTGACATCATTCAGATACAAGTAGTTGTGGAGCACGCCGAGCGGTTCGAGTTGGGCAGTGATGTTCTTGTTCACAGCCTCGTAGAAAGCCTGAACCGTAGCGTCGTCCTCGGCGTGGGTCCAGGTCATGCTCTCCTCGACCCAAAAGTAGGGCGCAGCGTTCGGGTCGAGGCCCATGGGGTCGCCACCGTTGGTGATGCCAGCGACGACGAACTCCTTGGAAATAATGTTGTACGCCAAACCGGTGATCCAGCCCTCGACGTCGGCAAAGTACTCGGCAGCCACGGCGAAATAGGTGTCATGGATGATCTGCATGGCCTCGCGGTTGGCGACGATGGACACAACCCACCAGCCCTCGCGCAAGCCTTCAACCTGGTCCGTTCCCTCGCTCATGGCCTTGCTCGCGGCGCCCATGCCGGACATCACGGCGTACGTATCCTGCTCGGGGGTCAGGACGGGCTCGGAGAAGTTGGCGAAGAAATCAGGCGTGGTGTTGTTGCCGTTGTAGTAGAACATGGCGTTGTATGTCGTTCCGTTGATCGAGTCGCCGGCGCGGGCGATGGGCGTCAAGGCGCCTTTGACGTCGGGCGTCGGGTTGATGGTCATCTCGTAGACGCTGTCGAGAAAGGCGCGCCCAACGGTATCTCCGGAGCCGTAGGCGCGCTGGCCCGCTGTCATGACAGGGACTTCGATGGTGCGCATCTGAAAGCTGGTGATCAGGCAGAACGAGTTGCCGCCGCCGCGCAACGCCCAGAAGAGGTCGGCGTATTCGTTGGTCGCATTGGCCACGACGACGTCACCGTCGCTGAGGACACACTGATTGCTGTCAGTCTTTGGGGTCTCCCGAGAGGACAGGGAATTCGTACGGTGTAGGCATCAATGTTGGACGACGCCCAGCCGAACTCGTTGCCGAAGTTGGAAATGCCACCGCCCATCAGGAGGCCAGGCACGCCGACGATGCTCATCCGCCCTCCAACTACAGCCAAACCGTGCGGCTCCAAGTATTCGAAAACGTCCCCCCATCTGTTTCCAGGACCCACGGCAACACTGGACTTGTCTTCGGAGAGCTCGAGCTGGTTCAAGTTTGAGCTGGATAGGAGTACGCCGGACGAATCGATGTTGGCTGCGCCAGCGATCGCCATGTGCCCACCGCCCTTGATCGCGAACGGAGCGTTGAACTTAACCAGCGCCTTGACCGCAGCGCTCATGAGATCGGACGAGGTGGGAGAGAAGATACAAGCTGGACCAAGTGCGGCTGCAGCGGACCAGTAGGCTAGCGTTCCGAATCATTAGTACCCAGCGTTCACTGGGGGTCATGCTGTAGCGTGCTCACCCTCATTGATATCGTTGTATGTCGTCTGGTTCGGGAACGAAGTTATATTGGGGTAGTTCTGGCTGAAGAACTGGCATGCCGCTGCTGGAGAGGAGAAGTTCTGAGCAACAGCAGCACCGGCGTTGGCTGCCAGGAGGAAGAGGAGGGAGTTTTTCAACGCAGCCATGATGATGAATGAGTGTTGGGTGATGGAGCATCCAGATACACGGCGAGAGATGCCTTAAATACTAAAGATTCTCGCTGCTAAGTGGTTCTTCAAACAATCTACAGGAGTACTGCTCAAGATGGTGTGGACCTACTACACCTTCCCATTCAGAAAATCCGAGTACGAGCCCGAGGGCAGCACTTGATTGGTCAATTGCAGGGAAACGTCGTCATACCCCCAGGTTACAGACCTAAAGTGTTTAATGATCTGTGCTTGACTCGTGTTTCGGATTCCGTTGTAGGCCTCGACGCAGGGGCCAACGTTTCTACAGGCAACAAGAATTTGTCCTGCGTACTATGCATCAGTCGCTTTCCAGACCCAAATCAGTCGAAACAAACAAGGAATCCCTTCAGTGAACGTTCCTGCGAAGCCCGAAATGTATTGAAAGCTATTAATAGAGTATTCACCAATCACAGTTCAGTGTCCGTTCTCGGCCTCGCTCTGTCCTTCTTCTCCTCATTCGGCGGTCGCCAGTTGTTGGGACCTTGCTAAGCTGCATCATCCCGAATCACGAGAACACAGGTCAAAGCACAGTGAACCATGCAGCTTTTCTGCCAGCACTGCCGCTTTGGCTCCCCGAGGAGCCGTGAGGCAACAGCAACACCAGCCTCCTGGGATGACGACTCACTCGGCCACCGTTCACCGCCACGAACTCAGCCCCTCACCTCCCGGAATTCCGACACGCATCTTTCCCTTTGAAAGTATGCCACTTTTTCTTTTCCGGATCTCTCGCTTCCGCCACCGGAAGACAACGGGAAGACCTCACAGTGGATTGCAGAAAACCCCTTCCAGGCCGCACAAAATATAGTGTAGGCTTTGGATTCGTGCAAGACATCTAAATATAAACCTGCATTACCCATGGGGGCAGAAGATAAATATCTCCTGTAAACCAGGCTCAAACAAAAGTCACCACATCCTGTGGCAACCTACTATGACTTCTCCTTGTTCAAACACTTCTCCACCCTCAGCTCCAGACTTGGTGGTTCAGAAATTCCCGAAGATTCGGCAGGGCAACGGCTCACGGGAATGTCTGGGTTGGCCAATCTGCTGCCTGAGCTTAAAACTAAGCACTTAAGTAGTCGATATCTACGCCCTACGCTAAAAGCTTCCCATGCCTAGTCCAACCCTTGTCAAACACCGACTCTCAGGAAGTGTTGTCTCCAATAAATTCAGCACTAAGTCATTTTCAATGTAGCACGCCCCTGAAGACTTCACACTCTCAAATATAACATGCAACTTTCAACCCGCCCTTCCGGTAATCAGTCACGCTTCGGATGGGTGTTAAAGCCGAAGACCGAGGAAAGGAGAGCACGGCCTTGGAACAGGGGGGTACTTATGCCTCCGCACCACAGTAGGCTAGAACTAATAATCCTTCGCAATTTTATTTGGGGGAATTCATGCCCATCTTCTACGGGTAGTGGAAGCTATCTTCGAATGTGAGTGTGTGATTAATTCTACTTTTACGTTCACCCATGACAAGAACTTTAGCAGGCATCCGATACATAGAAAATTAGTAACTGCGCATCAAATGCCTATGCAACCGATAAGCAGCTGAATAAATTCGAGACATAAATGTAGAATGATTCATCATATATTCACGCCCGAAAGATAGCTTCAATTGGCCATGTAGGGAGGGTAGTTCGTGTCGCGAGAGTAAGCTTTTCTGCAGAACACCGGCTGCCGACTCTGTGGCTTGACCGCCACCGCCATGAAAGTGATCCATTCCCTTTGGAGGATCCCTGACACCCTTATCTGCTCAGTCTGGAAACTAGCTTTGCGCCCACGTTTTTCACATCCATAGATGTCTCTATTTCGACCCGCCTTGGTTAATGTATCTATTTAGAGTGTAGTGTTCAAAGTGGTATATTCCTTCTGATAGCCTTCTACAAACATCTCATTTTACCTGTATTTCTGAAACACCTCTTCCTCACTCAACCTCTGCTCCACCAAGCGCAGAACCTCAGGATCATACAGATCCTCGGGCCGCTTGTCGCCCTTCAGCACTTCCTTCTCATGCCTCTGAGCCTCCTCCTTGGTCATGAGGACCAGATCTGTCAGCTTCAGCAACGAGCTCTTCTGGCCCTCGAACCTCCTGTCCAAGAAGCTCTCGTCCGCAGGCGCCCTCCACCTGACCAGCGCCAGGCGTGTCGACAAGCCCGTCACCGCGCTCTTTCCGCGCCACACCTCCTCGATCAAGTAGCCGACATCATCCTGAGTGACGGGGATGCGCAGGCCCACGGCGTCGAAGCCGCGATGGCGCGCCAGGCGCTCCTCGGCGCCCTGCAGCGCGCCCAGCACGCCGTCGTAGAGCTTGTCGCGGCTCTTGCTCGGCAGGTACTCGTGCGGGTAGCCCGTGATTTCGAGGATGACGTGGTTGGCGACGCTCAGCCCGAAGATGGCCGGCATGGTGCCCAGCACGGGGAGGATCCTGACGCGGAAGTCGGGCAGCACGCCCAGCTCGCCCACGCTGCCCTTCTGGTACTCTTCCTCGGGCAGCGGCAGCAGCTGCGCCTTCCCGGGCGCCGTCTTCTCCGACGAGAAGACGACCGGAATGCCCTGCTTGATGCCCAGCGCGCGCAGCCGGCGGCGCGTCGAGCGCGAGAGCGGGTCCTCGGCGGAGGCCGAGATGTCGCCCACGAAGACGCGGGTGGGGTCGCTCTTGCAGCCGGCACCCATAGACGACACGACGGGGATGCCGTTGCGGTGGCAATACGCCAGCAGCGCGACCTTGCTGTCGATGTTGTCGATGGCGTCGATGACGAAGTCGGGCTTCTGGCCGTTCGCGTCGGGCGCCAGCTGGCGGTCGGCGGAGGCCTCGTTGAACAGCTCGTTGCGGCAGTCGAAGTGCGTCCATGGGCACACCTGCTCCAGGCGCTTGCGGATCGCGTGCACCTTGGGCGTGCCTACGTCGGCCAGCGTCGCCACGGCGTGCCGGTTCAGCGACGACAGCGTCACCTGGTCGAAGTCGATCAGCCGCAACTTTGACACGCCCGAGCGCGTCAGCGTCGCCACGGCATGCGAGCCCACGCCGCCGCAGCCGACCACGATCACGAAGGCGTTGCGCAGCTTCGCCAGCCCGTCGTCGGTGAGAAAGACGCGATTGCGCGCCAGTTGTTCGAGTATGAGGTCTGAGGGCGCGTCAGTTGAAGGCTGACCACGGCCCGCACAAGAGCTAAATGAGCGTACCGTCGTCGTAGTCGCCGGATCGTGCGCGAATGGCTAGGGCGAGGCTACGTTCGTCCTCTTTGCTCGGAGCGAAGACATGGTCTGATGCGGCGCCGTACTCTGTCAGCTTTGCTTGGTCAGTCAACCTGTTCGCGAAAGGCACGGGCAACGTCCATACCCTCGTTGTTGGGTGGTCCTGCCCCGGCTCTGGGATGTGTGCCTTCACGCTCTCGACCTTGTTTTTCCTCCGCGCGGCCTGGTATCCGAGTACAAGACTTGCGGCGAGTGCGCCCGACGCGACGGCGGTGACAGCGAGCTGCGAATTGTGCGAGTATGAGCTTCTCGATATCCAGGAAGACATCCTGCGCGCGCAGCGGGGGGGCCGCAGGAGACAATGGAGCAGAATCCGGGGAGCGGGAGGGTGTTGACGGTAGTGGTGCCGAGCACCAAAAAAATGCCGTCATCTCGCCGCACGATCCATCTCCGCGAGATCGCCGCATGTATGTAAATCACGAATGAACAAACTTTGGCACGTGCTTATCAACATGTGAGTTGAATTGGATCCATTCATTTCGCAATTCAATTACTTTTCTTTAACCGCCTCCGAGCCGTGCAAGGACAAGCCTTACGCCATCCAACCTACGTTCTGTACCGATCCTAACCGTTGCCGCTGCAAGCACTTGCCTACCATCAGGCCTTGTTGCCAATTTGAGCGACCCTTAAAAACTATTATTCCCGCCGAGGTCCTTGCCGGTCTTGCCCGATTTGTCCGTGCCCTCCCCAAATTATGTACGTTGCTGGATCCAGCAAGAGAGAGAAGAAGAAGAGAAGTCTATGGTACAGAATGATAGTTTACCAAGTCGTCCCGGTGTAGGAAGCCGGGAACTTGGCCTGGTCGGTGTTTTTTGACATCCGAGAAGTCGGGATTCGTGTCGTTGCGTTGCTGACTAAAAGGAAAACTAATACACCGAAACGCCAATGCTAATGAGTCGTCAAAACAATCGGAGGGAGGGTATCGAGGCGCAAGAGAAAACGGGCCGCCAACTGGAAGAGCCGTGGGAGTAGGCCTCGTCTACCACGAATCGCGTGAGTTGCGCTCCGGAGGATCTGGATTACGGACCTGCATGACATCTGTGTTAGTATCCGACGCAAAGTACGGTTTGGGTGGACAACTCACGTTCAACGTCCTTGTGTAGTCACGGTTGTCCTCGATTGAAACGATACTGGCGTGGCTGCCATTGTCCAAGTTCATGAACGGCTGAGGGTTCAACCGCTGATCGTGGAACAAAGGCCGACTGTTGCGCCGCTCCGAGCTAGGCGTAATCGTGTCCGACGGGTCAGAGCTCTGGCGGGTGGTATTGATTGGCGGCAGCGTAGCAGTGTAATCCTTTTCTCCAGATCTGAGGAGCCCGGTTCTGCTGAGCGTGCTAACATTCCTTTGCGGAGTACTAGGGGATCCATTCTCGGCATCATGAGATGCTTGATCTTGCTTGCGTCTCATGCGCATGAGGAAGAAGACAATGCCCCCCGCAATTAGAGCGAGTCCTGCGAGGCCTCCAACAACTGCGCCAGCGATTTGGCCTCCAGATACGCGTGAACCACCGGATGCGGATGAAGATGAATCCTCGGAAGATGGTGCGGAGGTCACGGTCTGGGTCACAACAGATCCACCAACGGTGACAACAGTGACTTGGGTGACTTGGCTGGAAGTTCGAGTAGACGAGGAGCTTGACTCCTCTGAGGAGCTCGACGAGCTTGACGACGTAGTAGCGGCGGAAGAGCTGGTGGACGACTCGGACTTCGATGTGGATGAGGTCTTCTGGCGAAGAATCGTTAGCTCATGTCGGCAGCCGGAGAGGAGTGCTACGGTAAGGGGGCACAAGATTCCTCATACGGGCAAAACTGTCGAAACAACCACCGATGCCGACTGGGTTACCGTCTGGACGACAGTTTCCGTATCGGGCACTCGAATGGTCGTTTCCACAGAGCTCGGCGCAGGAGCGGAACTCTGCACCAAAAGAAAGTTAAAAATGACGTTCTTAAGGAAGCGTCAAACTTCAAAAGAAGCGAAGAAGTAGAAGATAAAATGCAAGTTCTGCGAAGAGTGCAGAAGAGGGAGGCAGGATTAAAAAAAAAGCGTAGGCCACGTCTTATCGTGGCCTATAACAGCAGTGGAAGTGCCGATCAACGCGCGCACGCTGCAAGACTTACCGTCGAAGTCGAAGCCTTTGTGGATGTGCTCGCGGCAGACGACGCGCCTTGAGTTCCGGACGCGGCCAAGTCCAGCTTTATGTAACCATACAGGTCGTCGTCCGTGTTACCGCAGTCTTCATAGCCATAACCAGGACAAGTAGTGTCACAGTTGCTGACGTCCTGCTGATCGGAGGGTGCATAGTTGGAGCACCAGCACTGCTTCCCTTGGACAATAGCAAATGCATAGTCGTCTACGCACTCGTCATGGCAATGACCATTTGATTGGTAGATGTATGTATCTTTGGATCAAGTCAGAACGAAGTCCCCAAGCAGCAACAGGTACCTCCAGGGCATACCTTGTAAATTGCCCGAGCCTGTGTTTTGGCTCGAGCAGTAGGTTTGCGTGAGGGCGTTCACGCGATTGATAAGAGTTAGAGTGGTGAGGAGCAACAGCAGCTGCTGTGTGCTGAAGAGTCGATGAGCAATCATTTTGAGTGGTGGCTGACAGCGACTACAGGCGGAAGCGAGCGTGTTTTGACAGCGACAGCCTCAGACGTCCGGATGGACCCGCTTGCGCTGCCACTGACAGATAATCAGGGCAGGTGACTAGAACGTTCGTGCGTCCGTGCCGCGGTGGTGATACTTCGGGCGGATCGGCGCGGTGGCTGGGAATCGGCAGCTGGGCCGGCGCTTGCTTGCGACGATGCTCAAAGAAGCGATTGGCGATGGGTGCTCCTGTCCGGTGATGCGGTCGCCAACGGGGGTGCCGCGCGGAAAGCGAGGGTAAAGTGGGCGAGGCGATCGACACGTACGCGAAGGAGCTCCGACTCAATGAAGAGATAGAGCTGCTCGGGCCGTTAGCATTGTCGACCGGCGCGTCGCGGCGGGCGGGGGAGTGATGGAGAGGCGCGGGGGAGGGTGCGCGGGCAGGGCACGAATTTGAGGATCCGGCGTTGAGGTGGAAGTGGAGGAGTGGTGTTTGGGACGAGGGCCGGCGGGAGGGCGTTTCCATGGGCCGCAGCTCGGGCCACCCGCATGCAGTACTTGGCCGGAAGCGAGGCTAGCAGGCACAGATGCACCAGGCCTGTAACGGAAGCGCACCAGCCCGCGGCGAGCGGAAGAAGAAAAAATACGAATTACGCACCGGCGAAACGCTAAGTTGCTCTCTTGGGATCCGACGATTCCGCAGCAGAGGGTCCCAGTGCACACCGACGAGGTTTGTGAGGGCGCGGTGAGGGCGGCGCTGGCGTGCCGCAGTGCTGACTGCGAGGCTTGAGGAGGGGCGTGTGTCAAAGCGAATCGAGGGTGCCGCGGCGCAATGCTGATATCATGACACGAGGAAGGGAGGCTTCTGCAGCGGGGCGAGGGCAGCGCGCGGTCGTGAGCGAGGGCGGCGGCTGCAGCGATAGCGGCGGCGATACGCTCACCGAGTGGAACTGGGTTGAAACGAGCGTCGTCAAAAACAAACAAAACGATCAACGAGGGTGGAGAAGGCGCAAGTGCGCTTCGAGAACGGCGGTAGCTGGTGTGGTTTGTGTGAAGATTGGGACTTCTCGCAGCAGGAAGGGGGCCGCGGGAGAGTAGTCAGCACTCACGTAGCAATAATCGACTCGCCGGGCAGCACTCGTCAAGATGCTGGCAGCAGCGGGCTGCCGATCATGCTGCGCGATCTGCCACTTGCGCGAAGGATGGCCCGCCCACCGCACGCGTAGGCGCTCTAACCACAATCGCCCTGCGACTCATATGGAAGGCGTGCAGCAGTGCCGGCCCTCGCCCACCCAAACAGCACGCAGCTCCGCCGCACCGCAACCCCATCACGAGCTGCTCGACAACGGCCCTCGGCATGGGTGCCGTGGTCAGGCCTCCCCTACCGCCCGCGGTGGCAAACCGACCCGCTGTCCCCGATGCAGCAGTCACTTCTCCTGATGCACCCGTATTGGGCTCCCAGCAAGCCACGCATATGCAGCGACCGAGCCGCTCCCAGCTCGCCCGGGACACCCCTCGCAACGGCCAGCCTATCGTCGAAGGCGGTCGGGCTCTGCTTTCCGCAGCCACGGCCTGTCTTGCCCTAGCCAAACGGCGGCGGTGGCGCCGCGAGCGCTCGGTGCGGCTCTGGTGTCCGCTTTGCCAAGCCGACTCAGCTGCGTTACGACATCACAGCCCTCGACCGACACCGTGCAAGAGGCCCAGCAGACCGCTGCCGTCGCTGCGCATCCCGCCTCCGCTTCGGCAGTATCGTACGACCGACCGCGCACGCGCGCACTGGCCCCCGCCGTGAAAATGCTGCGGGCGACGTGTATCTCCTGCCAATGTCTCGGAGGTCGCGCTGCAATTATTGCTGGCCAGGTGCACGGATACCTGCAATGGCGTTCTCTCCGTGGCTTATGCGTGGCTCGCGATGACCTCAGGCCCTCGAGGGCTCAGCCTCTCACAGCACGGCCGCGAAATGACGATTGACTGATTTTCAGGGGATTGCAGGGCCCGGCGCCTCATCCAAAGACACCAAAACCCACAACGTGCGACCTGGCAACCAGTGAGGGCGCCGTCTCCAGCTGTAGCGCCCGCTAGCAGCGCCAGCGACGTGGTTTTTCGTGCTTCGAGATCCTCTGGGGATCAGTGCGCTGCGGAGGCAGGATGCTGGCTCTCATCAGCCTTCCAAATTTCGTAGCCCAGCGGTGCGTGCCACACGCGCCGTCGGGTCGTCATCTAAGATCCACCTTCCTTCTGCCAGCTGTGCTAGGATGTTGCAAGTGGAGGGTGTGGCTGGTTCTGTGTTCCAGATTTCTTGGTTTGTTTCTTCATTCTTGCTTGCTTTGTGCTCCGTTCCTCCGCCTTTGCTTGTTCGCCAGCCAGCGCTATCGAGGAGTTTCATCCACTCGCCCTGTCCGCCGCCCGGCGACGATCCGTTCTTGCCAATGCGTCGCTGCGCGCAGGCTCAACACCACTGGTTGGCTCTGGTGACGGCAACGAGAGGGATCTGCATGCGCAGGTCCTTGCATCGTCCGGTGTTGATCACGGTTGCACGCGGGTGAGCTGCAAAGCGGCCATGCGACGTTCCCCGCTTTCTGTCCCACCCCGGCGGCAACCAAGCTGTCCCATCCAGCATCGTGGGACGCCGGCAGGATCTTCTCAACGCTGGCCACTGCAGCTCGAAGATAAGTAGGCAGGTGTCTTCCCACGGTTCGACGCATTCCCCTCGCAGCAGAGCAATGCACTCGCCAGTCGGTGTGGCCACGCGGCCGCTGTCTGGTGACGCGCTGCATCAACAACCGAAATGCAGGGGGGCAGGTACAGCCCTCTGTGTACCCATCTTTACATATTACTTCGGCCGAAGGCATCTTCCGTTGACGTTGTCGAGGGCCTTATCTGCGCTTTCCTTTTGGAAAACAATCAACTTATATGCGCAGCTATAGCATCGAGATTCCAGGTTGTGCTGGTTGTTTCTATTTTTCGAAGCGCAATTTCGGGGATTGATCAGCATAAACCTCGGTGAGGCCTTCAATGGCAAGACGAATCGACCAATGAAATTGTCTAACCACTTCGACTATATTTGGTCAAGGGCCAAGGAACATGACACATCTTGCGCAATCGCATCGCTTCCATCTCGTGGTCATGGCAGATTCCGCCGGCTGCTTCACAACTTCGATTTCTTCATACCTTTGACTCCGGTTACCTCCTCTCCGTTAATGAGGAAGTCGGGGTACTGAAACTCCTGGCCGGGATTAGTGCCAGGCATGCGCCACGCACCGCCATCGACCACGATCACGTCGCCATTAACATAGTTGGCCGCGTCACTGAATAAGAAGACGGTAGCATCCGCGATCTCCTTGACGGTGCCCCATCGGCCGCTGGGAATGCCCTTTCCTGGATTTGTGGCCGAATCGAGCTTCGACAGGCGTTGCATGCCTTCAGTGCCAGCGATGGGGCCCGGGGCGATGACATTCGAAGTCACGCCGAGCGGGCCCTGTTCGATGCACATGGCGGCCGAGAGGGCGTCGACGCCGGCCTTTGCGACTGAGGCGTGGGCCTGCAGCGGCGTGCCGGAGTAATGAAGGGTGGCCGAGACAAAAATGATGCGACCGCCAGTGCCGTTTGCCGGAGCTGTGCAAGTTGAGAAAAAGGATGCGAGTTAGTCTCGGGTTTTCACAATGGGCCGCGGGCGTTGGACGGGCCGAAAGATGCATGCCTTGCAACAGGCCAGCGTCGTCCTGGGCCAATTTCGCACGCGGCGGTACTTACGAGTCTTGCCGTCTGTCCTATGTTTCGCCGCTGACTCAAGTAGATAGGGAAGCGTGGCTTTGACGGTGTTGTAGGAGCCCAGAACGTCAATGTCGATGACCGACTTCATGGCGTTCGGACTCAGCTGCGAGATCTAGAACGGTGGCTGTTAGGGGGGTCCACTTCGACCACAGATGATGGGGAAGATCTCACGGGTGCCAGAAAGTTTCCTGCGGCTCCGGCACTGCAGGTGGTGCATTAGCGGCGACTCGTGCAAATCTGGAGAACAGTCTGGAGCTGCCGTGCCCCTGAAACAGCGCTGAACTTACATGACGAAGTCGATGCTGCCGAGCTGCTTCGCGGTCTTGTCGGCGGCGGCCTGCAGATCCTCAGGCTTCCTCACGTCAACGCCTCCCAGGGCCAGCACCTTCGCGCCGGGGCGGCAGGTAGCGATATCGGCGGCGGCATTCTGCGTCTTCTCGACGTTGCGGCCGACGATGGCGGCGTTGGCCCCGAGATGCACCAGAGCGCGGACTTGAGCGCTGCAAATGGTGCCGGCACCTCCGGTACAGAAGACGACCTTGTTTGCTACACCGAATAAGTCCCACTGCGGCGTGCGGAGGAATGCGGGGAAGTGCTACCGAAGATGCCGTCTCTCCAGACGTCGCTCACGTACTCGTGTTTGGGGATAGGCATTTTGGTAGGTTGCTGCGTGGAGAACAGGAGCCTGGGTGGGAAAGAAGAAAGGAAGCTTGAAGCTAGAGGTGTCGTGCTGCAGCGCGGCGCATGAACCGACGGCCGAGGCACGCAGCTGCCGCGGCGCCTATTACTATACAGTCTGGCGTATTGGCTGGACTGCAGCCCAGTGAGACTCTTCCGATATGCAGTACGAAAGCTGGCTCTGTGCATTCTGACCAGAGGATGTTTATGTTCTGAAGCAATTCGTTTCTGCTGCTGTGCTGCGGAGCACCCCGCGTTACTGAAGGGAAGCTGTTTCTTGGCGGGGCTAGCGGTAAAGTCGTCGAACAAGCCGCCGCCAACAACAGCAACCTCACCCCATCCCCACACTCTAGCTGTCTGTCTCCCAACTGTAGAGGACCTGCTCCTCCTAGCCATCATGGCGCGCACCATTGCACTCTGCAAGTTCGTCGGCACCATCAGCCTCGGCCTGCTGACGGTGAGTAATCTTTCGACGCCCGCCGCTCGTCCGTCGTCAATGCTGATAGAAGAATCCAGGGCGTCTCGTACACGCTCAGCACCTCGGCCTTACCCGCTCTGCTCGAGCTTCCCACCGCCGTCCACGGCTACACCACCTTTCTGTCCATGCAGTACGCTGCGAAGCGCCACGTCCGCCTGCTCACCGCCACCGCCGTCTCGACCCTGTCGCTCGCTTTCATCCTGTCACCCCCGCGCGCCCGCCACCCCTATCTGCTCTGGACCTCGCTCGTCGCGGCTGCCGGCGGCGCTGGCGTCGACTACGCCATGCGTCGGCAGAACGGCGACAGCGAGAACGGTGCGCACGACGACAACGGCAGTGCCAATGCGGAGCGTAGCTGGGTCGACCTGGAGAAGGGCGAGGACGTCAATGGCGAGATGGTGCGGAATGGCGTCGAGAAGTTCCGCATCGCTGAGGGTGCCCGGGCTGCTATCAACGGTCTTGCCTTCACCTTGGGCGTCATCGGCATCTGGGGCGATGGTGCTTGAACGGTGGCGACCAGGCGATTCGGAATGGAACTTGAATAATGGGATCAATGATGATGGACACGGCATGGCAAGAATTACGGCATGTCACAGTGTATGAGGCTGCATCTGGATGTAGGCGCGAGGGCGTTTTTTTCTCTTGGTTACGGTTTCAAATCTCTTCTGGAGATACTTCCTGGCAGATGCTCTCTGCTCATTAGCTGCATGTATACAGTAGCAATAAAGAACTCCACGTACAGGCCACGTCCCCCCTAATATGTCTGCTTGGGCTCAGCTTGTTATCATCTCTCGAGAAATCCCACGTCGTTGGCCCGCCCTTTTCCTAATACTCTCCACTGCTTACTAGTGACTGAACAATTCTGCCTTACGGCAATCAGATGATGGTCAATGTTTAGACCAACGTCCCCACAGCTCTGCGTTGCTATAGCGATTAATGCTCTGCCTAAGATTCCGACAACGTATATTCTGCTGTACTAAGCAGCAGACTTGCGACAAAGCAGGAGCTTTTAGATGTCATTGCTAGTCTTGCAGATGTGCCGCTTCAATTCCAAACAGCCTTCGCCGCAACTGAGAAACTCTGTTAAAAATCGTCAGTGGTGCTCCAATTGCTGCACTACTCCCATTTTACGAATTTCTCCAATTGAGCTCTGCGGCATTACAAATTCAGTCTCTCGTGACCTAGGCAATGATTTGGCCAGTGGCTTCTTAGAAAGGAAAAACAAAGGGTTTCTTCGCTGGTTTATCCGCGAAGAATTGTAGGCGGCCAAACTCCCACGGCCGGTCCAGTTGGCCGCCTTTCAATCATTATCTCCTAGCCAGCATTGGCCCAATGATAATCTGTACAATGGAGCTTGGAATTTGTCCGGGGCCCTCTTATGCTCTGCTCGAGATTTATCATTCCGCAGACCCTCACATCTAACCTGGTGTGTTAAGACTATTTGGTGGCAACTTTATTCGAAACCACTTTCCTTCGTTTGTTGATAAACGATGATTTATCTCGTTGCTTCGTAGATCATGTTTCAATAACACGTCAGTCATAAGGCATGCGGGGACGGATTATGAGTATGTAGCCTCATACCTAACATTTAGACTTTTTTAAGGAAGCTACAGGAATATGAGCTTATATGATGACAGAAGCCTTAAACTGAGACAAGCTCAGTACTTCTTTGCTACAAGTTTCCCTTCTTGGCATTACTCCGGGCAGCGTCGATCTGACGTGCTTTCTTAAAAGGTGAAATCCTCTAGAATTGTCATGTGCGCCTTCGAAAAGGGTCTACACCTGCAGTCTGGTCGCTATTTTAGATCAACACCTCTTCGTCCGAGGACTCCCGTCACCCACCATCCAGCCTGCCTCACCACACACGATATAGACAGCTACATATTTCTAGAGAGATTGCGACGACTGCATACAGCGTCATCCCATCCCTCACACCATGCCACCAGGACTATCTGCTAGGCAGATGGATCCTGCTTCACCTCAACCACTTCAGCGCACCTCAGGCAGTGATGAGTCGACAGCTGATCCTAAGCGCGGAGGATCGCACGCCAAAGACTCTTCACTGGATGAAGTCCCTAAGTCGATGTTCATCGTCACACCGGTGGGTCTGAGCAAAGCCCAAGAGCTACCGACAGTCATGCTGGTTGCAGATGCCGGGATTTTCGATAACGGCAAGGTATTGTACAAGTCGGGTTCAGATCAACTGAGTGAGTGGGCATCAAGGACAGCACGCTTTGTATTCGCTTACGCCATACAGAAATTCACATCAAACTTCGTCGGCACCTGCTATATCTGGTCAGTCATCACTTGGCAGCAAAGGATATCGACGTCATTACATCGCTTGCTCCCGGAAATGCCAGCGTGAAAAAGCGGCTCAGCGATGTCGAAAGTAGAGCAGCGTCTTCATTGAACGGCTCCATTCTCACAAAGTTCATTCTACCCAAAGCTAGCAAGATCTACGAAGCCAAGCTTGCCGAAGACCCTCCGGTCGATTTGCTCGACCTTGGAGCCAAAGAGCGACGAGACATTTGGCAAAAGGAATGGGAGAGTGACCCCAAGGCCTTGGTGTCAGACATGTGGAAGCATGTGGTTGAGTACGTCGATCTGGACGCTATCTTCGACTGCCCAGACAATGCCCCGACGGCGATCAAGAGTAAGATGCAAGCATGGTGGGAGTATTTCAAGGAATGCTTTTGCACAGCCATGGACCAAGCTCTCTGCCACCGTATCCGGGCCCGTAGACGTCCCGCCCAAGGCACCTCGGAAAGAACGGCGGACATGGTGGCGTTCGATCTATGGAGGAATATGAAAAACATGCAGAGCAAGCCCAGCGTACTGGACTACCATCAACTACCCGTCACGGCTTATGTCAGTTCGAGGAGCCTGTATGAAAGAGTTACGGAGAAGAAGCAGGAAGAGAGCAGAAAGAGGCAGGCCAGTGAAGAGCCCGCTGGCACAAAGCGACTAAAGACCGAATAAGAGCAGCTTCTCTCTACAATATCCAGCATTCCAGCACCATATCACGGCACCAAGGGCTTACTATTCCATTCAGCAATGCATCCTCTACATAGCTATGAGCTTCAGCAATTTAGCGCCACACGTCAGCTTCTCCATTGCTAGCACACTTTCCGGGATTTTCCTCCTTATTACTACCTATTATTATTCTTGCTCCTCGAACAAAAGATGAGATAAGGCATCTTAAGCTTTAGTTCTTAGCGAGCTTTGGTGTGGGAGGTTTCTGCCCACAGAAATGGGTCTCTTGCGATTTTCCGACAAAAAGTTAAGCATGATTTAGATTCAAAGTTACAAGGCTCGATTTTTGACAACTGGGGCCATTATTAAAGGAGTGGATGGCTGGAGAGCAGGATTTGACGATACAATAACTTTCCCATCCATGAAACTTCGGCAAGCGACTTCTTTATTTGGGTGGGTAGTTTAGTTGATTTCGATGCATTTCTGCTTGGATTCCAGACCCTCATCTTCGGTGGGCTACTGTGCGTTTAGGAAGAAAAGCGATAATGAAGTACCTGTGAAGTGATACCACTTACGGCAATTCCGGCAGCGTGAATCAGGACGGGTTCGTATTCATTGGTGGAATAGATTGTCGGCTCCGTTCAGTGCCCCGCAGCGGGGCGCGGGCCGTGTCATGGCAGCCGGGGGCCCTGCTTATCGTTTAAAAAGGACCGCCGCCCGGGCCGTCCGAGAGAGCTGTCAGCCCTGCCGAGCCAAGATGTCGTGTGGCACAGCTCTCCAGCTTTTGGGCAACCTCCGAAATTTCGACCATGTAGTTGCCCCTGCATCGGCGCCCATTGATTGCAGGTTAAGCTCGGGCTAAATTGCCATTGACTTACTTCTCGCACGCCTTGCCGCCTTTTGTTGCTGCTGCTCCATCTTTCCCACTGTTTCACTTCTCAGACAAGGAAAAGGCAAAATGGCAGTGCGTTTCGTTGCCAGCTCGCTGGGCCTGCTCGCCTCCCTCGTGGCTGCAGCGACCAACGTCACGGATCCCTTTCAGCAGTCGTGTCTCTCGTTCCAGCCGCAGAAGCACGTCTACAACGCTACCCTAACCGCGAGAGAGTTCGTGCCGGCCGGTACCACCCTCACGTTCCCGGACAACGACGCAACATGCAACCGGGCCAGCCAGCTGGTGTCGTCGGACATCTGCCGCATTGCTCTGTCCATCCCGACGTCGGATAAATCCAGCCTCACCTATGAGATGTGGCTCCCCCGCGAATGGACCGGCAGGTTCCTGGCCACCGGCAACGGCGGTATCGACGGATGCGTCAAGTATGAGGATCTTGCTTACACGTCGCTGAACGGCTTCGCGGCTGTTGGCTCCAACAATGGCCACAACGGCACGTATGGCAATGCCTTCTACCAGAACGACGAAGTGAAGAGAGACTTCGCATACAGATCGCTCCACACCATCACCGATGTCGGCAAGAAGCTCACCAAGCTCTTCTACGACGGTGACATCAGCAAGTCGTACTACCTGGGCTGCTCGCTGGGCGGCCGCATGGGCATCAAGGCGGCCGAGAAGTTCCCCGACGACTACGATGGCATTGTTGCCGGCGCCCCAGCCGTCGACTTCAACAACCTGATCTCGTGGAGGGCCAGCTTCTTCCCCATCACCGGCGCCAAGGGCTCCGAGAACTTCATCTCTGCCGATATGTGGAAGACGACGATCCACAATGAGGTCCTGAACCGTAAGTTCGCCGCCCCCCGGCGCCTGATCCCCGACTCACGCGTGCTCCAGAATGCGACGGCATCGACGGCGCCGAAGACGGCATCATCGAAGACCCAACTCTGTGCCATTTCAACCCCGAGACGCTCCTCTGCGCCGCAGACACGACCAACAGCACCACTTGCCTGAACGCCATCCAAGTCGGCATCGTGCGCCAGATCTTCTCGCCCTTCTTCGGGCTGGACGGCGGGCTCATCTTCCCCGGCATGCAGCCCGGCTCCGAGGAGCTGGCCGTGTCCAAGCTGTACGCGGGCGCGCCCTTCTCGTACTCGGAGGACTGGTTCAAGTACGTCATCTACGACCCGTCGTGGGACGCGTCAACCTTCACTGTGCTGGACGCGGCCTACGCCGAGCTGCGCAACCCGGCCAACATCCGCACCTGGCCCGACTCGCTGGCGCGCTTCCAGCGCCGCGGCGGCAAGCTGCTGTCGTACCACGGCCAGCAGGACAACCAGATCACCTCGTTCAACACGCCGCGCTTCTACCACCACTTGATGCGCGGCATGGGCTACGGCTACGACCAGATGGACGACTTCTTCCGCTTCTTCCGCGTCAGCGGCATGAACCATTGCAACAGCGGGCCCGGCGCCTGGGTGCTCGGCCAGGGCGGCGGCGCCCCCGCCACCGGCATCCCCTTCGACGCCGAGCACAGCGTCCTGGCCGCCATCGTCGACTGGGTCGAGAAGGACGACGCGCCCGAGACCATCACCGGCACCAAGTTCGTCGACGACGACGTCGAGAGCGGCGTCGCCTTCGAGCGCAGACACTGCTTGTTCCCGCGCCGCAACACGCTCGTCGGCACCGACCCGACCGATCCCGACAGCTGGGAGTGCAAGTGGTCCAACTGGTGGGACGGCCTGGATGGCGGCGCTTCGTCAGGCTTCGACAATCCGTGGGTGAACGGGCCCCCGGGTCATGGACAGTGGCCCGGCCACGCATGAGCTTTGCAACTTCTCTTGTTCTAATGTAAATATTTTCACTCCACGCAGTAGATGTATTTTAGTTTCTACATAGATCTTTCTCTTGCTGTTTATCAAAAAACGTAGGGAGGAAAGCATTTCTGAATACCAATTAGCCGACGAGACCCGGCCAATATCTCCACGCAGCCACCAAGGGATAAAAAAGCAATATGGACAGCCCACGGCAACACCCGTTGGTGAAACGACGGGCAGACCGCACACGAGTCGTCCCGGGCCGCCCCCTGGGCGATTCGCAACGGTCGGAGCTGGTGGGGCCTCTGCAAGGCCCTGACTCGATCGATGTGCAGCACATCCCCGGCCAGCCGATGAGACACACGAGACGAGCAGCAAACCACGCACGTGCCCTAATCGATCTCCTTTACTGTCGTAGCTTTTAGCTACAACGGCCATGAAACGTCTGTGAGCTGCTTTCCTCGGTCCGTGACGTGAGGAGACTTACCAGCTTATAAGCGAGATGGGAGGTTTAGTATAATAACCCACGCGCGGCTGAAAGAACAGCCTACCTGTTTCTATCAGAGAGCCAAGCCGGCTAGAGCGGTCGCCCCCCCAATCAATCCCAGATCTCGCCTATACCGGATCCACTACCGATGCGGCGCAGCGGGCTACCCGGATCCATACCGGAAAGTGGAATGTCTCGGCAGGCGCCGTAGTAGCTGCTGCCTCTTCGTATCAAGACTATCTTCCGATCGTGGACCGGAGCCCCGGAGCCTAGATGCGGCGCGCGCAAAGAATGACTCTCTCTCTCAGATAGTAAGCGACAAACCACCCCCCCTGAAGGAGCCCGGCAATCTTCCGGCACATCGGTGGCGGGGCTGATGATTGTCCTGCAGCCCTGTTGCTCGAGCTCGAGTATCTTGTGCACGCGAGGGCTGATGTACGGGCGTCTGTGTGTATCTTGCATGCGTGGAAGACAAGGGGGTTGCTTTGCTTACAGCCATGCTTCCAGAGTTTGCACGAGGAGCAAGAAAGAGCTAATAGCATGTTAGTTATTTTCTGCCTCTATCTCTGAGTCTGGCACACAATTGTGTTTGTATATCATTATCGTAAAGAAACAAAGTAAATGCAGTGAATGCGTACGTTTTTTCTTTTCTCTTTTTCCCTCTCACTTCTTCCAATAGAAGCGCTCACCGCATCCTCCCCTTCTGTCCAGCTTCCCAAGCCTCATACTCCACCGCCACTCCCACAAAGCTATCCCTCACATCCCCAACATCCCTCACATACCCATTTCCACTCCCGCCATCCGCCACACTACCCCCCCTACTCTCCTCCTCAACCAACCTGCTCTCCATCTCAATATCCACAGCCTTACTCATCTTCCTCTCCCGCCTCAGCGCGCTGGACATAGTACCACCTCCCCCAAAACTACTCAACTTGGACCCGCTGTACCCGCCGCCGGTGCGCGTCGTCGACTGGAGCAAGTCGGCGTTGGAGCGGCCGGTGGCGACGTTGTACAGGAACTGGAAGCACGGCCGCATGACGACGAGCGACGCCGCGATGATGCCGACGTCCATCTCGACCATCGAGATGGTGTTGGGTATCGTGTTGGCCCACTGCGGGTCCGTCTTGGATGCTGGGTTGGGGAAGAATTGGAGGACGAGGCGGGTGATGGCGCAGGAGGTGTGGCTGATAGGGATCATCGTCAGCAACAGAGATAGAGCTTGGGTGTGGAGAATTAAGGCACACGTACACGAATCCGAGCAGGATGAGGAAGAGCAGCTGTTTGATTTCCGGCCGCTTGTCCTTCATCTTGAAGAGGGCGGGCAGCGGGATGCAGATGACCATGATGCTGGTGATGATGTTGACGGCGTGGCCGCTGAAGCGGAACTGCGTCAGGTCGATGCAGGTGCCCGACGTTTTGGAGAGGTAGGATTTGCGGATCGGGTTGCACTGGAAGATGCTGATGATGGTCGCGGACCCGTAGTAGCCCACGACGACGAAGGTGGTGAAGTAGACGAGCATGCGCGTGATGCGCACAGTCTTGGAGTCGGCGCGCTTGAAGAGCTGCGCGTAGACGAGGCAGAGGGAGAGTTTAGTGAAGAGGTAGGTCGGCTTGAAGACGATCATGTTCGCGAAGAAGAGCTGCAGATGGTGGGTCAGCGTGTATGTTTATGGGTAATTGGAATGGTATGCGCACCTGCTTTGGAACCACTGAGTTCTTCATTGACGGCGGCAGATCTGCTGCATGTCTGCCATAGCCATACGAGACGACGGCTGGCACGGATTAGCTACTGATGCCGAACAGTTGAGCGCTGAGGGAAGTCACCTATCAGGTTGAAGCATTCTTGTGCAATAGAGCATAGCTGAGACAATTGTTAGCAAGATAGGAGCACCCAGGGCTGAGGATACTTACGAGGGCAATGAAGATACAGTAATCCGAGAGGTCCAATCGCCTGCGATAGCCTCGAAAGCCAAGACGCAGGGCCACGAGTAGGATGGCCAGCGATCCAAATACGCAAGTGTTCCAGATCAAGATGGGGCCCTGGTCCTCCCCGGCCATGGCGATCTCTTGTGTTGGTGATCAGAACCCAGAGAAGAAAGATTGGCGGCGGAAAGGCGGTTCTCAAACATGGCGGCAGCAGTGCTCTTGAAATGTTTTTAAAATTTACTATGATTTCCTATGTGCGGGGCGCAGTCGGAGAAGATGAAGGTCGGGGCTCGCTTGGGCGGCGAGCGCATGCGTATGCAGGAGTTCGCAGGGACTTTTCGGTGGGCTGACTGAATTTGCTTTTTGCCGACACATGAGTCCTGCTGAATGCCTCGCCTTCCTCCTGGGGAAACAGCTGGTGTGCGTTGCTGAGCAGGGGGTCGACTCGCGCAGACCAAGCCAAGACGGACGTGCAAGGCTTTGATGCTGCGTGATCGCCGACATGGAACACGCGGTTGGAAATTTACGGGGACACGGAAGAACATGCCGCACAAACTAGTTTGGGGGGAAATTCAAGACTCCGTGTATTATTTCACGGTAGAAAGAGCCTCTGGTAAATCGTATGTCCAACTATAGCATTGATTTGCATCAGTCAGCATCGAGTATAAGAAATGACAATTCAGCCGACCCGTTGTTTTATACAAGTACCTAGTTTATCTCATGTAAGTGCGAGATTTGCCGGGAGCATGCCGGCTAAACGGCCTAAATATGTGGCGGAGCGGCGTGCGGGTACGGCCGGTAGACAAGCTTCATCCTGGCCGTTGCGTTTCGTGAACTGTTAGCAACAATTTCCCGAGCGTATACGGTGGTTCGCACTACATAAGCGGGTTTCTCCGCAATAGCTGGACAGCCTTACAAGGCGTGGGCAGAGCTTCACCTAACGGAGTCATGGGCGATGAAAGAGGCTTGAGCAATTGGTGACCTAGTACTTCCTCTTTTTTTAGACCCTTCCGTGTTCGGGCCGAGTCCGAAGAGCGGCCCAAAAACTTCTTGAGTCTAGGACTCTACCAAGCGTGTCAGGGTTTCGCGGAAGAGCCCTAACATTAGATTCCTCCATCAACTCAACGACCCATTTCCTGTACTCGAGCTTCGCGGCCTCATCAGCACCAAGCATTTCGTTTGCCTTCTCTTCAGCAACAGGAGCCCAGGTATACGTCACGTCCCACCAGTCGTAGACATGCAGGTCAGTGACAAGCCAGCGCCTAGCCGGGGTAAAGTGGAGATGGACAGCAACGATGGCCCTGGCAACATCTTCGCCATGGACAATGTGAAGAGCAGATTTGGCCTTGAGCTGTTCTTTGGTCTTTGCGACACGAGCGATCCAATTGCTGGGGTGACGGGTCCCACCATAGAGTCCAGACAAGTTGAGGACGCAGCCTTGGGCACATTGGCGGAGCTCGTCCTCGGCAATGGCGCGGGGATTCTCGGTGTCGTAGGACGAGTCGCTGTCGTTCCAATGCAAGTCAGCGAAGATGGCGGAAGAGCCGAGCTGGATCCAGTTGTTCTCATCGCCGTGGGCCTTGCGGTACATGGACGTCAGGTGGCGGGACTGGCCGGTGCCCTTGAGCGGGAAGGTGATGAGGACGGTCTTCGCGGACGGTAATTTGTCGTACTGGGCCTGATCCGACGAGAGCGGGTCGAATTTGAACGGGATGGTGCCATCGCGGCCGGTCGTGGTGGTTGCCGCCCAGGAGATGGCAGCGCCGTCGAGCTGCGGGAGCAGAAACGTCGAGGTCCACCCTGCACCGAGGATCAACAGGTCGACCGAGGCTGGAGACATTCTTAACATGTTGTATGGCAGCTGAGTGGTGATCTCATCCGTGCGACTCTTGGAGATCGACACTAGCACCGATCGGGCAAAGCGTGGTCTCTTCCTTTCACAGCTCCCATCTTAACCGCTCACCATCAAACCCGCACCTCGCCATTGCATTATCTGCCCGATATTTCCATTTTGAACCCGGCCAGACCAAGTGCCACGCTAACCTCTACACCGCTCTAGATCCAACGTCTATGCACCAGCCCTCTCGCGAGCTGATGGCCAGCCAACTGGTACCATTGATCGTTACTAACAGCACGTTTCCAACCTGGGACAATAGGATATAATTGCAACAAACCTCCCGGCCTTTCACGTACGACCATAGGTCGCAGAATATAGGGCTTCCCGTCCGCTCAGCCGTTACTCAAGCTGCGAACCGGCCGATTAGTACTCAAGTGGGTGACCATTGGGGAATCCCGGCTGTTGTACGTTTTGCAATTTCACTTTATGCTTTTTTTTTGTTCATGTCTATGATTATGCACATATACAGGAAATCCGCATATTCCGGAGAGGGAGGCCCTGCGTCTTGGCCCCCCATGTTATTCGACGTTGATCCCGCCTTACTGTCTGTTTTATACGCTCCAGACCTTCGACATACGACCACTACCACTACCGACCGCTATGCGTCGTGAGCTACAACCCTCTTTTGTTACACACACCGCACTGTTTAACATCGTCAATGGCTGCTTGCCACCAGGATCAAGGTATTCTCCTCGCTCGGCATGAATCCTCTGGTTCCTCCACCCAGGAATATTGGCAACTGAAGCTTTGACTTTCTTATCTGATGTTTTGCCGTCGCCCTGATTCTTTTTGCCGTATGCTACCGTAGGTCGAAAAGAGCTTATACGTTTACCCGAGCAGACCATCCAACCTAAGGTACTACTCCAATATCAACATCCCTGCAACTTTATCAACTTACAATCCCATGACATTCAAAGGGAGATTATACCTCTATAAAGAGCTAGGGACTCCCATTCTCAACGGAATGATCAACACAACAGTACTCGATTCCTACGTGAGAGACCGACTGAACCGGGCAATGGCCAACAGCACCCGGTAAATATATGAGAGCAAGGCAGGAATGGCGGGACTGCGCGCTTGGCTGGACAAACTGGCAATTAGCATGCCAAAAGCGTAAGTGACTAATTTTCACGAGCTAATGTGTATTTTTCACAAGTACTTCGAATTCTCCGCGATTCTGGCCACTTGGATTGGAATATCGCCTTTTCAAGAGAAATAAACCTACATGAATTTCCACTGGATGATTGTGCCAAATCTTCCGCATTTCATAATTCTGCACCATTGGCTGCAATAGCTCTGATCCTACGAAATCGGACAAATCCCCCGTAGAAGTCATCACAACTTGCTGTTTCGCACATCCATCATGGTAAGAGACGATGGAAAATCACTCAAAAAAAAAAAACGATAAGTACGACGTGAGCGTATTCAGAGTGGCAGTTGAACGCTGATGGAATCAAAAATATAGGGCTCTGCCAGAAGTAATGCCTTAAGCTGATTGTTCTAAAAGGAACAAAGATTATGGTAATAATCATAAGAGCAGTTCTCACGTCGGGCGCAATTAGAAGCTACGCTGATAACAAGCCTCAATTAGCCGGTACAAAACCGCACGTCTCTGTCAACAAGTTTGGCAACACTGCCACGTTGTTCTGGAGGCCTGAAATGATTTTCAATCGGAAAGACGCAAGACGTCTGGGTCCGAGGTGTCTGCAAGACGCAATCGCATGGCTCGATCACACAATCAGCCGACCACGCCAAGAGCAACAACACCACCACCCTCCAACGAATAACGTCAAGGCAATACCCAATTTAATCCCCCGCTCTTGCGTCGCAAATCGCCATTCGAGCGAGCTTAGCACAGCCCCCCAAGCCCCTCGGTAGATGCGTGTCATAGGCTGATCTAATGTTTATCAGTTCTCCTTCACGATACCTCTTTCCCCGCTTTCCCAATTGCCGCAATGTGCGCGGCCCCAGACGCGGATAGGCTTCCTGACTTGCCAATTCGTGCCTTGTGTCAACCAGCCCCATTTGTCGTCATGGCACGTGAGATGCCGTCTTTTCCATGCTGATGGGATTGCAAGCTGCTAAAGAAATCCCATGGCGTTTGTTTGAACGTCAAGTATATATTCTTGGTCTGCTGCAGCTGCCACCTACCTTTTTAGCAGACTTACTCCCCAAGCCTCTTCTTCCTCCAACCCTCGAACAGTCCCCACCTGTCTGAATATGGCTCCTGCTGCTGTTGAACACGAGGTCGTCGTGCCTCCGTCCAAGGCCGACGTCTCCCACAAGGCGCCTCTGAAGCCTTCGGGTGCCCTCGACAAGTACGAGTCATTCGAGGTTACTCCCATTATTGGAACTGAATTCAAGGACGTGAACCTGGTGGACTGGATCAACGCCCCCAACGCCGACGAGCTGTTGAGGGAACTAGCCATCACCAGTAAGTGACCCACACTTTGCAAACTGGCACTGCTAACCAATACACGCAGTCTCCCGCCGCGGTGTTGTCTTCTTCCGTGCCCAGGATGATCTCACCAACGACCTGCAGAAGAAGCTGATCCACCGCCTGGGCGAACTGACGGGCAAGCCCTCAACCTCGACTCTGCACATCCACCCCGTGCTCAACGATGACCGCGAGCTGGGCGGCAACGATCCCGAGATCAGCACCATTTCCTCGGAGCAGCGCCGCAAGTACTACGACCCGGTCAAGTCGGCAGCGCTCTCGGGCAAGACGCAAGAATCGGCGCAATGGCACTCCGATATCCAATTCGAGCCCGTCCCGGCCGACTACACCTCGCTGCGTCTGGTCGAGCTGCCACGCACGGGCGGCGACACGCTCTGGGCCAGCGGCTACGACCTCTACGACCGCCTCTCGGCGCCGTACCAGAAGTTCGTCGAGACGCTGACGGCCAACTTCGAGGCGCCCTTCTTCAACGACGTCGCGGCCAACGGCGGCTTCGGCGTCTACGAGAAGCCGCGCGGCTCGCCCGAGAACGTCGGCGCCGTGCTGCGCGCCACCCACCCCGTCGTGCGCACCAACCCCGTCAGCGGCTGGAAGTCCATCTTCCCCGTCGGCGTCTTCCCCAAGAGCATCAACGGCCTCACCAAGCAGGAAGGAGACCACCTGCTGCACTGGTTCCTCGACCTGCTCTACAAGAACCACGAGCTGCAGGTCCGCTTCCGCTGGCAGAACAAGAACGACATCGCCATCTGGGACAACCGCAGCGTCTTCCACACGGCCACCTTCGACTACGACCACATCGGCCCCCGCTTCGGCAACAGGGCCGTTGGCATCGGCGAGAGGCCTTACTTCGACCCCAAGAGCTCCTCCAGGCGCGAGGCTCTGGCGAGGGAGGCCGAGGAGGCAAATGCTAAGGCTTGAGTTCTTGAAGGAGGAAATACCCTGAACGGACAGTATTCTTATTTTAGAGTTGAAGATGAAATTAAAAAGTTCGATACCATATAATGTATCTTTTCATGCTCAAGCACACGTCCTGACTACGTTATATGTAACCATTTACTGGACGAGCACACGTATTCCGAACTTTGACTTTCCACTGAAGTAGCATGTAGTGTTCCTGATGAAAGAGGTCTGGGAAAGGTGGCTATCTTTCGTAACCTACTGTGTTGCGTGAGAAGTTGAAGTCTACAGGAATATCCGAGCTTATTAAAAGGCTTATTACGACAGTGACTTGTCAAGGGCTTGTATTAATTGCACACCGTTGTCTTCTTCAGAGTGTCAAAAAGAATGAGCACACCGAAATCTCACGACTTCAAGGAAAACCAAAGTCGAGCGATGAAAAGCCATCGGATGCATTATCCCACACTTCTCCGAGTTCAATCCCGAAGGAGTAGCGAGAGTGCTTCATAAAGTATCCTGCCCATCAGTAGACCTCCAGTTTTCCACCATAACATGTAAATAAAACCCCTGCCTCTCTTTCCCCCGCTCAGCCCTATCAGCGGGACGAGCCCGAATTCCGCCAAAGGAATAAATCGAAAGCGACGGGATAATATGATGCTAAGCAATGATAGAAGGATGACCGACCAACGGGAAGAACATGGATTGGAGAGTAAAAAAAGAAACGCCTGGTATCCAGCCCGTGTGACCGAGCAATCCGGCTCCGCAAAATCCGATAACACGGGTCCACGCCCACGCCCCCAGTCCCACCCGTACATCCCTTTTCCTCAATAACGGACATGTTCATTTCCCCCATTTCATCCTTCCGAGAGGGTAAAGCCGTGCAAATGCTTCAATATGCAAGTGCCAAAATATTTGTAGCAATTAGCAGCCAATTCGCCTCCCCATCCAGTCCGGGAAAAGAAAAGCAGATGTCAGGAGGCGAAAATGGCCATCGAGCCTGCGCCGTGCGCCCGAAAAGAACTGTGTATGAATTCGAAAAGGCATCCATTCAAAAACAGATTCTCGAAGAACTCCTTGATCCCTCCCACCAGTCCCGAGAATATAACAGCGGGTTTCCCCGCTTGCGCCGTGGAAATGCATCAACAATAATCTTTTGGCGCGAGCTTTTGACAATGTGCTGAAGTTTGGTATCGGACATAGGGCCTGGCCGTCAATCCGCAATGTAATAGCAACGGGCCAACGGTCAAGGAGCCCGGTAGAAGTAGAGCCGTCGTTCTGGAACATATCATTCGCCCGAATTGCCCTTGCCATCGCCCGCACTGCTCTTGACGGCATGCGCAAGTTTGATGGCCATCTTTTGCGGTCCGTCCTTCCCATTATTGGCGCTCTTTTTCCTCCTTAGCCCTGTGTTTGCACCCGTAGTGCTGTTGTTGCTGCCCACACTGCTGATCGAAGCGCTGCGCCGCTTACTGCTCGCCGAGAGCTTTCCGAGTTCATCTTCATCATCTTCCTCTCTACGACGTTTCTCCGAAAGCCGTTCCGGAGGCGGCGTCGACGGTACTTGCACCTGCTCACTTGGCGGCGATCCTTGAGGCGATGTCGACGTTGGCGGCGTCGGCGGATTTGTTGACGCTGCGTCTTGCGGTGCTTGCTCAACTGAAGGCGTTGCGTTGACAACACCTTCTTGAAGCACATCCATCGAGTCTTCGTCATCCTCGGGATAGTCAACGAGAGGTCGAGCACCATTGGACATAGGCTTTCCTTCGTGCGAGGGCAAAGTCGTTTCCTCTTCATCGTCCGAGCCATTGAAGTATGCTTCCTCCTCAGCATCCATGTCGCGGAGACCTTGCATACGACCTCCGTTCATGGGTATACGGCCAGGCTCCGTGTCGTCGCTAGCGAATGAGTTCTGCGCAGTGACATCTGATTTTTCGTGCATTTGCTCATAGCGCAATATGAGATTCTGGAATGTAGGAACGTAAGTGATCCCTTCCAGCTTCTCTCTGTAGTTCTCGACGAGATGGTTGATGATGACCTTGATGTTCTCGCGCTTGATAAACTCGAAAAGCTCGAGGCAGGCAGAGTTGAGAAGGTTGTCCCGCGGCATCGTTTCGTAAACTATGTTCAGTATAGGGTCGAAGAGGCGGTTGTTGATGATCTGACGGTTGTGGAACTCGTCGTGCAGTCCGATACAGGTCCGGAAGTATTTCAAAGCGGTGAGTTTGAGATGCTTTTCGGGACAAGCCATAAGCTGAGCCACGCGGGATGCAAGACCTTCAGAGAGAATGAAGTACTTGCTCCTGAAGTTGTGCTGTCGGATGAAGAAGCAGAGAACTTCGACGAGATGTGAATATAATGACACCTCTTGGATGGTGAGGTCCTCCACTGCGCAAGCTTAGCATTTGAAAAAAAAAAAAAAATTAGCTGAGTCACTTACTGGATTCACGTCCATCCAAATCCTTGAGTGGCTGGAATAGCTTCTTCGCAGACTCGTCATAGAAATTCTGTATGAAGGACTCGGTCTGCGGCGATGGGGCGTTCCGGCTGACCTTGGCAAGAAATTCGCTGTTGGCACGACCAAGTGTCTCCATTGTGGCCGAGTTTGCGTTAGGGTCCAGAAGAACCTTGATAGCATCGGCCATCTGTGCCTTGACGCCCAGATCCGTCTCAACGAGAAGAAGCTCGATGAGCGTGTCCGTTAGTGGTTTAGTCTTGTCATTGATGGCCTTGAAGATCTGACTGCGCATCATGATAGCGTCGTGGTCGATGAGGGCGACCAATATGTCAGTTCCGGCAACACGTACGGCCGCGTCGGTATGCCTGAGCGCGAATGTGATGACGTTGAAGAGCCCTCCGCTGAGGAAGTTCGAGTATAGCTGCGCGCGTGCCTGTGCCTGCAGGCTCTTCGCAATGGTGCAACATTGCTGGATGAAAAGGACAGCGTCCTTTTTTCTCTGGCCGCTGCTTTCCTGTGGCGTGAAAATGCTGAACAACTCCTTGAGAAATGCTTGGTTTTGCTGCAGATGCTGGACGATGTCAACCTGATGGAAGAAGATCAGAGAATTCAGAACCGAAAAAGTTGGGTCGTCGAGAATGCGCGCTAGCACGACGTCTTTGAGGTATTGCAGCCGATATGTATAGTGAATCTTCTTCTTGATGAGCGGGTCCTCAATCTTCACAACCTCCTTGAACCTTGACTCGTCAGCCAGATACTGTCTGTGGTTTGCCTTGTGACTTGGGAAGTCGGGGTCGTATTCGAGCGCCCCAACCACGCCGATTATGACCTCGTCGGTCACGGCATACTCGATGATGGCTGTGTCGTTGAGCAGGATGAGCGTCTTCATGATGTTGCACAGGCGATGCAAATCTTCCAAGCTTTCCAAGTCCTCAGCCACTCCCACGAGCGGGACGAGCTTCGTTATGTACCCTGCTTGGACGATGAACTTGGCCAACGCGTCGCGGCCTTGGGGAGTATTGTTCGCCACGCGCATGACTTGCTCGATTTCGGGTAGGTTGCCGAGTTCGGGATCGGGGAGCATGATTGGGTTCATGTCCATAACGTCGTCTGAGAGTCCATCGTCTGGCAAATACAGGTCAGTATGGCTTGGCGGTGCTCCAGTTGCGCAATTCGACTCACCAGCTCCTGATAGCGAAGTAAGGTGTGATTGCACCTCACTGACGAAGTCCCTGGCAGAGTGGTCAGCCATCTCCTTCAAAAATGGCATACAGCGCCCCAGCGTACCATATTGCTCCACAGCCTTCAGCTTCCTGGAAGCTGAGCGCCATGTCGGTGCCATTCGGCTCCGTCCATACGATGAGCGTGTCTGCGTTATCATCAGCATGCCCCCTCCGCCAGCCGGTGCTACGACGTTCAGTTTCACCTTGTTGCTTCTGGTATCCATCGTCCTTGGTCACGCGGGTCTCAAGCAGAGTACGTATGGGCTCGTCTTCAGATTGGACGTAGATGCGCGCTTCATCCTACAAGTGGCGATGGCGTCAGCACGTTGCGCACTGGCGAGGGACGCGCGCGCAGGCAGACATACATTCACCATGGTCCCGGTGCAGAAACCGGTGCCTCGATCGAACCAGTCGCCATTCTTGAGCTCGTAGACCTTGACGCGCTTGCGATCGTTCGCCGGCTGCGCAGCCAGAGCCATCGTGGGCGCGAGGCTGGCGTCGTCCCGTCGCTCGGGCTACGAGCCGAGGCGGTCGGCTGCGCGAGGCTGATGCGCCTGCTGTGCGGTGGGTGGTTGATGGCGGCGGTCGGGGTGTCGCGAAGGGCGTGGTACGTCGCGGTCGGGCGAGCTGGCGCACAACACGACGAGGTGCGGCTGGGGTCGACAACGCGCGCGCGCGCACAAACGGATCCGGACAGGGACCTGGGCGCTTCGGCGTGACAGGGAAGCTTGCGGCGGGTCAAATGATGACGGGCGCTTGAGACGAGATCGACGGAAGGGCGACGGTGGGCGCGTCGTGTCTTGCAGAGGGCCGCGCTCCGGTCGGGGAGGCTTTTGCGTGCTTAGGGGCTGCGGCTGCGGCTAATTGCGAGGCTCGATAACCAGCGATAAGCGGGCGGCGGAAGCGGGAGCCCAGTCCAGGCCAACGCGTCGGCGGGCGAGGGCGACCAGGTGGGGAGAAAGCCGGTGGTGAGAGCAATGACGTCGCGGCGACGGACAGATGGAGGCGTTCGGGGTGCAGGGCGGAGGGGCAGCGCGGCGGAAGGGTGACGGCGCGCAGGTGTTGGTCCGCTGGCAGGCTGCTGCTTGTGGCCTTGGCCTTGGCCCGTCGCCAGCGTGCGAGTGGTGACGAAGCTCGGCCTAGCGCTGGCCGCCACCCCCGGCGCCCGAAATAGCCCGGCCCGTCCGCACGCGCTGCCTCAGGCCGCCGATCTGCTGCAGCTCCCGCCCAAGGGTCGACGCCGGCGTTTGCAGTCAAATCCAAATCTTATCTGCACCGATCTTGCGCTGCCGGGGACGAGACCCAGCCCAACGGCGGCCAAAGCCGAACGCCTCGCCGCACGACCGCACGCGAGCCCTTAGGGCTGCACCCTGGCCCGGCTGACAAGCGGTAGCTGCCTTTTCGGGCGGCGAAACGCACCGTTGGACGTCCCTGTCGTGCCCCGGTCCTGGGAGCTTCCTGGCAGGCTGGGGACGCTGCTGGCACATTCCGCCGCTGCAGAGGCCATTGACTCCAGCCTGCCGTCCGCACGTGGCCGACCCGGCGACTGCACGCTCGGGGCCCTGCCAATGCCGCCCCCACGCTTGCCAGCGCGCGCTGTGGAGCGCGGAGGAACCCATCTACCTACGCTTGGACTCTGCTCGACTCGCCGGCCAGCCCCACGATGCGAAGCCACGAGCACCACCGCGGCTGAGGCTTGCATTGTCTCGACCGCGAGGGAAGGACCCTGCCCAGCACGGCCTTTCCAGGACGCCAGAAGCCCAGAACGACCATCCAAGCGTCCGAATCTGGCCATTGTTGCACGATAGGCGCAGTCCGGTCTCCATCTGTCGGCATGTTATCGCCATGCGGTGTTCAGCTGCTGCAGCCTGGTGGAGCATCTCCCGACAGGCTGCAGTATCTATCGGTTTGCTCAGTCAGACTGTGCATCTCGAGTCTGACGAGCAACCTCGCGCCCGCTTAGAAGCAATATTGGATGCGGGTATGGGCGAGATTAGGACGGCACTCGAACCACCGCAGTCACGAAGGCGGTCGAGAGGCAATGGACGTTCCTTGGAGCTAGTCACTCCCAAGCCACATTTACATCCGTGACTACAAACGTCCCAGCCGCCTCTCAACCTGCGACGGCTCCGAATGCAGCAGCGACGGAGAAAGGCCCCGAATCGTTGTCGAGCGAGGCCAAATGATTCGCCGCCGTCCGATCAGCTTAGCCGGCCGAGCCGCGGGCTTGGAGGGATGAAGTACGAGCTCGTCAAGCGACTAAGAAAAGCTTAGGAGCCACTGGCCGCTAAAGATACGGCCCCTGCACCTGCGAGGCGCCAATGTGCCGGTAAGCCTGTCGCTGACCCGCTTCAATAATCCTGGGTGAATCCCACGTATGTAAACGACGCGGTTCCCCTCGTAAGATGAGCCTTCTCCGCCCCTCTCATCTTCACAGCACCTTGACGACGAAGCAAACTCAGATTGACTTGTCTCTCACTCACTGAAACGCCCCTTGCATCTTCGACCCCCATTGAGCACCGGAACATTGCTGCTTTCGCTTAATTGGTCTATTGCACCTGCCCTACCCTTTCCAGCTTATCCGATTCGACACCCAGACTTTGGCCATTCCACAGCTTGGTCGAGCCGCATCCGGCAAGTCGACTGCCAGAGAGTGCGCACTAGTACAAATCACGCTCGCTCGCGGTTGCGGGGTTTAACACATCCCTTCCATTAATAAATCACCGTCTTCCACTGGGGTCTCGACATAACTCCTTCTCCACCATCCTTCAAGATGCCCATCTTTGCAAGGACGAAAAAGTCTACCAAAGGTTCCGATGAGAAGCAAAGGGAACCAAAAGCATCAACTGCACCTCCGACATCCATCTCGGCATCAACTACAGCTCGCCCCAATCCATCTCGCGCAAGTCACACGTACGCTCCGCAGCGGCCCAGCAACTTAAGGACATCAAGCAGCTCCTCGGTAAGATCATTGCCAGCAATGCCTCTTATGACCAGGAGCGCCGCTAGCGAGCCCAACCTGTCTTCACGTGGCCGCAAAGACCTCTCAATCGATTCGGTCATGATGTCTCGCAGCCAGGATCCAAGTCCCAATGGCCGTATGATGCTTCACACAAGGCAGCCAGACTTCAAACCCACCATGTACACCTATGATCCCAGCAAAGCTCCAAGCTTGTCCGGCCGCAAGAGACAGTATCGTTCACATAATTCTAAGCCGCCTACAAGAGCATCCTCGTTCGTCATGAGCCCGCACATCGTCACCATGGTCGAGGAGCAAGAAGAAGTGGAAGAACAAGCTGGTAGCTCGTCTTCATCCACCAAGTCACACGAAAGCGAGTCTTCCACGCAGTCCCGTAAGTTCAAATGGCTCGCAGTCGTGCACACGAAGCTCAACTGACCATTCCGCCCAGAATACCTCGAGATGGCAAGAACGACTAGCAACCGCATGCAACAGCAACAGGATGAAGTGCTGGGTGAAGTGGGTACCCCCGCACCGGAGATCCCGGCCCGCAATCCCGCAAGGAACAGCATCTCCTCTCGACGAACGTCCGTGGCGAGCAACACCGAGCCCAAGACGGATTCGGCCATCGCTACGCACCCCAGCATCTCCAGCGAGCCGAAAGCCCCGGGGACTCTTGCCACAGCGGACAGGCCGGAATCGCCCGGCCCCAAGTCCAAGAGGCGGACTTGGTTCAGCAGCAAGAAGCGACAGTCTGCTCCTGTTGAGGCGCATTGAACTGTTTGAGGACTCGTTTGCCTCATGGTCATTATTGCAATATCGTTCTCTGAGCGAGGTGGAAAACAGTGTATGCAAGGACGGGGCCAATGCCGCTGCAACACATGATTCGATAAGGAGTGTTTTTCCTACGAATATTTGCTGGACACTTTCAAAATATACGTTAACAGGTCTGATTCGTGTACACGATTTGTCTGGATTCTCTTTAAAACAGCCTACGCTTTGCTTTTTCTTTTCTATTAGCGGGCCTGGCGGCGGGTGGCTTTCCCTTCCTCTTTCTTCCAACTATCTTCCGGGCAACCTACCAACCATTTGCGGGAATGCGGCGTCAGTTTTGGCCTTGATTGTACGGTACATACCACGAACTACATTTCCGACCATACCTGTTCCAGTAGGGCTGAAGCGAATGCTTCTCCTTCCGGAAGCTAATGCGACGTGGGTGCTGTCGATCTGGACTGATCGAGATGCTCCTCCTTTCTCAGGCCGGACTTGTTCAACATCATTGCGTCCGGCCCATACGCGCGTCTTTCAGCTCTTCTTCAGACCGCTGCGATGCGGAGTAGGCGGCGCAGTGGGCACCGTCGCAGCGCAGACATGCAGCTGTGGGGTGGTTTTGGCTTCCGGACATATACGCGAGAGGCTGGACCGGGCTGGGTGGGAAAGGAGAAACGAAAAAATTAAGCGAGGCTTTTCCAATAGCGGTGGCCGATTCCTAAGGGCGACCGGAATTGGAATGGGGTGCGTGCCATTCGTTCAGAAAGCACGGCTTTTTAGCGCACCTCCACGCGTGATGCTGCAGAGGCATTTTCGTGAGAGCTGAGGCGACTTCCGAACTTCAGATTTCGTGCTATCATGTCATCAGATATCATTCACTGTTGAGCTCCGAGAAAGTGGTCTGTTGTTTTCACTCAACGCTTGCGCCGCAAGTGGCGCGGAACGCTAAGCAACCGTCTCCACGCAACCCTATTGCACCTGGGAAGGGCAGTAGGTGCCTCTCCCGTTTATTTCACGCCAGGCACCAATAGTTGCCAGCGCACCGACCTGCATTCCTTTCTATGCCTGGACCCCACGTGAGTATCCGGCCGACCTCCCGGCAAAATTGCTATTTCCCGAGAGGACGCCAAGGGGATAAAAAAAGATCCCATATGGCACCGTTGTCTTGGCTGCTTTATCGTTAGGCCTCGAGAAAGTATCGCGGCGAGATCGTCAGGACCTCATGTATAGCTTACCCGGGCCGCGGGTTTAAGAACATGAACCCTTTCCCTCACTCAGGCAAAGATTGACAGTGATGTTTCAACCCCCCCTGCAGCGACGTGGGCCGGATTCTGACTTGGGATCATCCTTTCCGCGCTTCTGGCTCGATCGTACCCGTCGCACTGTTTCATGACCAAGCGCCGGGTAGTGAGAAACGCACGGATGAGCACCAAGTTAGCTCCAAACACCCATCCCTGCATCTCTACACTTTTACGACACCCTCAAAGGCGTCCCTTGTGCGAGCAAACGCATGACACAGAAAATGGCGGCCAACGCAGCGCACCTGCGGCCTTCAGGCAAGAAAGGGAAAGATCAAGGGTCCAGAAGGATTGCGGAAAAATGCCTAGCAGGATATTTTTGGCAACGGAAGAAAAGGGTGCATTTCAACAAAGGATGAGATACGGGGGCGTAAAGAGCCTGCCTCCGAGCGCTTGCTGTATTTGGCGGGCAAGCCGGAGTGAAGAGTAACTGAGGCTTAATACGAGCAGCTATTGCTGCGGATGACGATTCAAAGCGTATCTGTGATCTGCTTGGCTTCTTCAGGGCATGGGAAGATTTGCTTTTCGGCAGATCTGCGCGGCTTGGTGCCACCAAGGGCGAGATAAGCAAAGGGTGGGGGCCGATCACTATAAACAAGAACCGCGTGCCCCGCCATTTCCATGGAGCTCTGGGTTCCTGGCGTCTGTCCCATGGCTAACAGCACAGCCGATTAACAGATTCTGCCCCTTCGCAACCTGTCTTGAAGAATACAACAGATGCCTTGATCTACACATGAGTTTTAAGACCGTATGTGGACTTGTGACAACATTCTGGGGAGTATGCATGTAGCTTAATGTGACCGTCCCAATCTGTTTATTGGCGCGTCCGATGTTATTGATGTCAAGATACGTTATTTTATTCACGTTTCGTCCTTTCAATCAACTCTTGATGCCTGAGGCCTTCGACAGCAATCCACCACCCTGCGTCATTATCCCTGCCATGCAGCTAACCTTCCAGAAGCCATCAGCCGCTTGACGGGCAGCGCCGATGAGCCAAGCCGAGAAGGGCAACGTGCCGACGGCCGCGTCCCACCGATCTGCCAGTTCCGCCCGCCATGTCGGCCAACCAGCGGCGGCAGCCCTCCCCACCGCCTTCTTGGCGGGCGGAAAAGTCGCCATGCTTTTTCTCCTGCTCCGAGAGCTAGAACGTGCCGAAGCGGGGCCCAAGAGGCGAGAAGTGTGCATGCGGTGCGGAGCCGGGTGTGCGGTACCTGGTGAAAAAGTAGCTGTCGCCGCGCCGCACGCCCAACTCTTTCACGCGACATCTCGCCCTCTTCCCCTCGCGGAGCACCGCCAAATAACGAGCGAGCGACTTCTGGAGTTTTGCGCTCGCTGCCCGTTCTAAAGCTCCCACCCCTCTGCTTTTGCATCCCACCCGTTTTGCTGTCGGGTTTTCCTCGCCCACAGACACCCCACGCTGCTGCCGATCGACGCGCGTGAGCTCTGGTAGCCCTCAGCCTCGGCGGAGAAGAGATACGATACTGTACGACGTGTTTAGATCATGGCGTCCACCGAAATCACCGCGAGCACCACGGATGCCGCCCGTCCCAGCTCGAGCAAAGACCAGCACTATGACAACGGCGCGACCACCACCACCACGGCCGACGACATCAAGCCGGCGCTGGTCGAGACGACGACACCGGTCGCAGGTAGCAATGGTGCCGAGGAGCACGAAGGCGAGAAGCCGCGCCGGCGACGCTGGCTGAACATCCAGACGACCTACTTCAAGACGCGGTACTTCTGGTACGCGCTGGTGCTGGGCCAGATCCTGGCCCTCTGCATCACCTCGACCAACACCTTCTCGACGCTGCTCTCGATGAAGGGCACCTCGATCCCGGCCTTCCAGACCTTCTTCAACTACGTCCTGCTCAACATCGTCTACACGCCCTACACCGTGTACAAGTACGGCTGGCGCGGCTACTTCTCCATGGTCCTGAAAGACGGCTGGCGCTACTTCATCCTCGCCTTCCTCGACGTCGAAGGCAACTACTTCGTCGTGCTGGGCTACCGCTACGCCACCATCCTGTCTCTGCAGCTCATCAACTTCTTCGCCATCGTCGTCGTCGTCGCCCTCTCGCTCATCTTCCTGGGCGTGCGCTACCACATCACCCAGTACCTCGGCATCCTCATCTGCGTCGGCGGCATGGGCATCCTCCTGGCCTCCGACACCATCACCGGCTCCAACAACACGGGGCCCGCAGCCGATCAGCTCAAGGGCGACCTCTTCGCCCTCCTCGGCGCCGCCCTCTACGGCGTCTGCAACACCTTCGAGGAGTTCCTCGTCTCCAAGCGGCCCGTCTACGAGGTCCTCGGCCAGCTCGGCTTCTGGGCCATGTTCGTCAACGGCGTCCAGGCCGCCATCTTCGACCGCCCCAGCTTCCGCTCCGCCACCTGGGACTCGGCCGTCGGCGGTTACATGACCGGCTACACCCTCATCCTCTTCCTCTTCTACAGCCTCGCCCCGCTGCTGTTCCGCCTCGCCAGCGCCGCCTTCTTCAACATCTCCCTGCTGACCGGTAACTTCTGGGGTGTCATCATCGGCATCCAGGTCTTCCACTACACCGTTCACTGGATGTATCCAATTGCTTTTGTGCTGATCATCTTGGGTCTGTTCGTCTACTTCCTTTCTGAGAGCGTCCTTGGAGAAGCTAAGAAGCCCTGGCTGGGCGAGAGTCAAGAAGAAGGTGTTGCTGGCGTCGGCACGGCTAAGAGGATGCAAGAAAACCCAGACGCCATTGTCTGATCATACCTACGTAATATGGGAACAGGATGAAGCAAAGGGAAATTTCATTTCTATTTTCGACCTTCTACCTCTCCTGCCATTTGAGATACATCGCTATTGTCCTATCTGGAAAGACGGAGAATGATGTTGAGAAAGCAACAGCAGGAAACAAGTAATCTTCTCGTAATTGTGGGAAACCATCCCGCCCATTGAAGCCATGATCAAAGAAGCCTGTGTGATTACTCTTGTCCGTGCGAACTTGTGCATGTTGAAATTTCGCGTTTGGGTAGTGAAGACATGTCGTCCAGGCGTCGATGGTCAAGAAGTCAATTCACTGAACGCCCAAGTGGACACCGGTGTTGGTCTCACAGGGGTCAGTGCCGAAGTAGATGTTGCAGTGCTCCCAGTCAATGTCGTTCTGGAGCTCTACCTTGAAACGGCCAGCATCGACGATGTTGGTGAAACGGAACTCGATCACGCGAAGCTGGACACCGCATTAGTAATTACTCAGACATCATTTGAACAGCAGACACTTACACCCTTGGGGTTGGCGCCGTTGACAATGCGTTCCAGCTTGCGCTTCTTCGCCGAAGCAAGCTTGACAAGAGCAGTTTCGCCCCAATCCTCATCAGCACCGACAGCGCGAACACAACGAGTGTGACCGGCGTCGTAGAAGCCACGAAGCGTCTCATTGACCGAAACCGCCTCACCCAACTCAACCCAGATGGTGCGGTTGCCATCAGGATGCTCGATGCCGTTCGCGGTATCACTGTAGTACTTCTCGCAGTCCTGACCGCGCATGAAGAGAATCCACGCGTAGGTATTGCCAGGCGTGTACTCAATCTTCTCGATACGTCCACCCCAGACAAAGGCCTGGATACTCGCAACAGTGGACGAAATGGGGAGGTTGTACAACTTGACCAAACGCTTCTGAGCTCCTGTGATAGGGTTAACAATAATCAAAGGCATTTTATTGGGTATCACTTACCACCAAAAGGCCTCGCCTCTTGAGAAGGCCATTCTTCGAACTTGAACTTGTTCTCCAGGCTCTGGTTGCTGTTCGCCTTCCGATGCGTTGAAACTGGCTCAGTGGACATGATGTTCTTGACCTTGCCATTCTCCACGATGTTGGGCTTCGACTGCACTACATCACCCTGGGAAACACCGCCATTGCCAGTCTTGTCATGCTTGGTCTTGTCACCATTGTGTTGAGGTGAAGCTTGTTCCTGAGACGAACCGTCGGGCTCACTTGAGGAATCCGTGCTGGACTGGTCATCGGGCGGCGTTGGCTTGTCGTCTTTGAAAGCAGGAGCAGTCTGTTGTTCGATATTGCCCGGCAGCTTAAAGGCCTCGATCTCATCGAGCGACTTCAGCGTCTTCTCCTCGACTTCCTTCCGCAAAGTGGAGGCGCGCTCAATGATCTGCTCACTGGCTGTCTGAAGCTCATCGCATTCCCTCGTATCTGCCTCGAGCTTGGCGGTGATTGAGACTTCAGCATCCTGCAAATCCTGGAATTCGAGCTGGACACGCTTCAAGGTCTCTTGAACCTCGTCTATCTCGCTCTTTTTGGCATTCATGTCGTTCGATATTTGCTGTTGGCGCATAGTAGACTCCTCAATGCTCTTCTGGAGTTCCAGTTGCATGGCTTGGATCTTGCTCAAGCCGTCTTCCTCGACCTGATCGATGCGCTCGTAGAGAGCGGCACGACGGGCAGCCTCTTCGGCCTCTTCCTTTTCGCGCTTGATCCGCTCGGCCTCCTCTCTTTCACGCTGGAGGCGTTCAGCCTCTTCTTTCTCACGTTGAAGGCGCTCGGCCTCTTCTTTCTCCCGTTGACGGCGCTCAGCCTCCTCCTTCTCACGTTGGAGACGCTCGGCTTCTTCTTTCTCACGCCGGAGGCGTTCGGCTTCTTCCTTTTCGCGCTGGAGGCGCTCCTCTTCTTCCTTCTGGCGCTTGATCCGCTCCTGCTCTTCTTTCTCAAGCTTGACACGCTCAGCCTTCTTGCGGGCATGTTCATCCTCGGCCGCCTTTTGGGAAGCAATTAGCTCGAGGCGACGAGCCTCATCGCGCTGCTCGGTCATGGGATCGCGACGCGAACGAAGCTTGGATAAACGGGCATCAATTTCAGCCTGGCGAGCGATGCTTTCGGCAGTGCGCTTGTTGAGACCGCCCTTGGATAATCCGTCGTTCTGAACGCTAGGAGCGTACTTGCTCCATCCAAGGCCACTGGCCTCATTTGGGATTCCTGGAGCCATTGTGGCACCAATGGAGCTTGCTCGAAGAGTTTGTGCTAAGGCGTACACGGGAAGCTCGTGGTGATCTTTGTTTCGGGAACTTTTCGATGGAGGAGCTTCGTGATGGAGGGCCTGTGTCTCAGAGCCGTTGATGGATGCCGAGGTAGAGGTTGAAGGACGTTCTTTGGCAGAAGTCTTTTGCAGATCGGGTTGAGGATCTGCATTTACGCTTAGCTGTTACCTTTACATAAAGAGCAGCTCAAAGTCTGAGAGAATCTATGGTGTCTTACTCAAGCGTGGAAGGGGTGGGTTTTGGCGCACAGGGCCGTCGAGAGAGGTAGATGCTTTGAGTGAGCTTTCCCGCGCACCCTCAGTGGAGCACACCGACTGGGAGGGATGAAAAACTTTGGGCGTCGAGAAGTTGGTCTTCGTCTGCAGTGGCGGGAAGCTGAGAGACCCGAAGGCTGTGTGGCCTGGCGCAGCACTGTTCAGCGAAGCCGACAAAGGCTTGCGGGGTGCGCCCCCGGCGTCGAGGCTGAAGTTGATGCGGTGCAGGAACGCTGGGAGATTTTCACCTTGATGCGGGTCAGCCACAGTTGTGCTTTGGTGCTTTGGCATGCTCATGATGGACGGTGGTGTCGAAGCGCCGCTCACAAGCAGGACAAGAGTTGTAGATGACGCGTGTGGATGGACAGGACGAGACTTACGATAAAGCGCGGTGACGGTCTTCACTGAAACGTGTTGGTAGAGGAGGAAAGGGCGATGGCGGCGACGGCGAAGAAGGCGGGTTATCTACTCGGTTTGCCTGCTGCATTGGGAAGGCATGGGGACGGCGAGGCAGAAACAGCAGGCGCGACCAGGACGTATTTCTCCCGCAAAAGGACTGCGAGAAAGCAGCGAACAGAAACAGCAGGCACTGCCATCGCCGTACTTCCATGTGCTGAATCTGCTGGCGACTGTAAACACTCTGGCAAAGCGATCACTGTAATCAAGAGAGCCACCACAAAAAGCAACCGACAACCAAGCGCAGAAGGCAATCATGCAATTCTCGCCATTTCTAACACTTCGCGGTTGAGTCTCCAATGACTTTCCCTGCGGAAAATGGGCGTTCTTTACACAGTGGGAAGCCAATCGGGTTCTCTCCATCTTGACCAATTCTGCAGGCGTCGTGTGACTCAGCTTATTCGTTGATGCAGACCAATGCTACGCGGACACCCACAGCTGACGACAAGATAAGCTACCTCTCTCTCGAAGAAGTCACAGGACCGACTTTCGTTCGTGGTCGAAGTACGCGTTAGAATGTGTCTGTCCGGTTCGAATATCTGTAATTACGTCTAGGCATTTCCTTTAGTTAAGCGCGTGGTAAGAGCGCAATGCACCTTGCTAAACATGATTGGTGAGATTTTTCAATCCCGCCGTGTAGCAAGCGTATTCACATGCTGCGCAGTTGACGGCATGTTTGGTCCCCAATGAGGACCGTGTGTTGTGCTTCTCACCCTATCGCTTGTGTCAGAAAATCAGGGAACACGGAAAGGCCCCTGCCTGGACGCATCGACAGGATCCGCACCGCAAGTGATCATGAGTGGCTCCAGGGTCACTAAGCATTCTCCTGGCCGGCTTGTTGTCTTTATCGATAGCCGCTACTCCATGCAGCAGCACGTCGAAGTATGCGTATTCGTAAAGCGAAAGACGCCCTGGTCGGAAGTCAAAATAAGCTGCGGTTGATGCAAAAGAGCAGCCTCCTGGAAAAACGAATACGACTCAGAGCAGGTGAGAGGTCATGCTGTTCCCCTTTCACAGACCCACGCGCTAATACGGACTTTTCCTGTACTGCTGAAGTCGGACATGCTTGCGGTGAGCGGCCCTACCCACGGTGCGCCCAAGCGCGGTCTGAGAGGTGGCGCGAGGCATCTGAGCTCCGCCCCGACACGGCCACCCTCAGAGCGGCGCCGGTTGCAGATGACCACAGCCCAGCTCGTTGCGGCGTAGCTCGTCGCGGCACGGCGGTTGGCAAGGACGGAGTCGGTGACACGGCGGCGTAGGTGAAGTTGGCTGCGGGGGCGGTTTGGAGGCACGGCCATTTTCGTGCTCGGCTCCCCGTGGTGCAGCATCTCCATTCCACCGCGCTCCCCTACGGAGGAATCAGCTGCAGCGCTCGGTCCTCGGCTGGGCCAGCTGAGGCCCTTGAAACCCGTCCCAAGGCTCGATCGGTCACGGCAAGCGGCCGTCGCAATCTTAACGCCCTAGATCCGTTTGAGACGACCCCCTGCCATTACTGGTCACGGCGACTCGCGGGCTGCACAATTTCGCGCACAGCTCGACATTCCAGCCAATGCGGTGCATGGCTGCGCTCACAAGGGGCTGCGCGCTGGGCGCTGCTCCAATCTCCGCACGCCTGGTTGGGACGCTTACCGGACGCGCAACGCTGCGCACTGCCACCATCATCTGCGCATCACCCTCCGCCCTCCGCCGCCTTGCGCGGCCGTGTCGCTCTCTCGCCAAGTTTACCTAGGCCCCCAGCCCGCCGGTCTCTCCTTCTTATTGCTGTCGTCCTCCGCCTTCTTTTGTCTTTCGCTTTTTACTGCCGCGGCAAATCCTCCTGCATATAACCGCTGCCGCGCGGATGCTTCAGCGCCAAGCATACCATGCCCTTCAACCTCTCTCTGTCTCGCGCCCGCGCGCCGCGCTACGCGCCCCTTCGCCCGTCTTCCTCGCACTCTGAAGACTCGGAGCGCTCCTTCCCCGAAGCCTACTGCGACTCGCCCAAATCCGAGGACATCGCCGACATTGCGGAAAGGACATCACGATGGGTGCCTCTCCAATACATGCCCGCCATCGGGGGCAGCCACTTCGACGATGTCTACCGCTACAGGAACATGGCGTCGCTCCGCAGGCCGCGCCGGACGATTATGCGGTGCATCCTCTGGTCATTTGTTCTGTTTCCGTATCTTGTGTGTCTCCTTGTTGTCACCACGATGGTCTTCACGCCCTCGTATACGCGTGCACCGGCGCACTACGATGATCTCCGAGAACGAGCCACCCAATCCTTGGCCCCCGGCCGCGGCAACATCAACAATGAGAAGGTGTTCATAGCGTCTAGCATCTATGATGACGAGGGACTTTTGGTCGGTGGGGCGTGGGGCAAGGCTGTGTTGGATTTGGTGGACCTGCTCGGCCCGGACAACGTCTATTTGAGTATCTACGAGAATGATCCCGCGCCGGCAGCCAACGCCGCCCTCGAGCAGTTCAGGGAGAGGGTGACCTGTAAGTAACGGGCATGAATTGGCGAAGGCGAAGCTAATTTTGTCAGGCAACTCCTCGATTGTTTCAGAGCACCTTTCCTTGGACGAGGTGCGCCGAGTAACCGTGCCGAATGGCGAGAAGAGGATCAAGCGGATTGCATACCTTGCCGAAGTTCGAAACAGGGCCCTGCGCCCGCTGGAGACCGCCGAGGTCACCTTTGACAAGGTGCTCTTCCTCAACGACGTGTTTTTCGACCCCGTGGATGCCGCGCAGCTGCTCTTCTCCACCAACATGGGCGAAAATGGCCGCACCGATTATCGCGCTGCCTGCGCCGTCGATTTCATCAACCCCTTTAAATTCTACGACACGTTCGCGTCCCGAGACTTGGAGGGCAACAGCATGGGGATCCCGTTCTTCCCGTGGTTCCCCAGCGCCGGACACGATGCTACCAGGAACGATGTCATCGGCCAGAAAGACGCGGTGCGTGTTCGCAGCTGCTGGGGCGGTATGATTAGCTACGAAGCCAAGTGGTTCCAGTCTACCAAGGCGCTCGCTTCGACCGATCCTTCCGAGGGCACGGCCTGGGGTGTAGCCACAGCCGCCGGACACGAGGACCCACAGATCCCCGCAAACAGCTCCGCCATCCGCTTCCGCTTTGAGGATCGCACATACTGGGATGCTTCGGAATGCTGCCTTGTGAATGCGGACATCCAGAAGCCGCGGCAGCCTGGAGACACGTACTCTCCCAGCGGCATTTACATGAACCCGTACATCCGCACAGCTTACGACGAGCGCACCCTTTCGTGGCTGTGGCTGACTCGCCGCCCGGAGCGTCTCTACTCGCCGATCCACAACATCCTAAACTGGTTCGTTGGCTTGCCTGGCGTCAACCCGCGCCGCTTGATGGAGCCCGGCCAGCAAATTACGGAGAAGGTGTGGGAGTACAACTCGCCGTACGAAGAGGGCAAGGACATGACGGGCCAGTGGAAAGAGGTGGAAACGATTGCTCCTCCGGGATTCTTCTGCGGAAGCCGGAAGCTGCTCGTTCTCGGAGAGAAGGAGGACGAGCCGAAGTGGATGAACCTTCCTACGCCCTTGGACATGATTGTTTGATTCATTTCTACACTTTGATTCTTTTTTATCGATTTCACTCTCGCTTGGCGTTTGACCGGCCAGACGGAATGGCTCGGGTTGCATAGCGGAGGCGTTCTTCACGGGAAAACTTGGAACAACAACGAAGCACCGGATGCGGCTGCTATAGACTATTGGGAAACTAGAAGGAATGCGTATCAAAGATACCAGGGCTCGCATGGCTTGATGAGGCGGCCCACGACCAACAAGAACAATGCTTTGGTTGGATTATTAACAGCTTGTAATACGTCAAGACTACCCAGAATTCCATTCTTTCTTCATGCCATGCAGGAACCGCAAGAATTGTGAAACGCTTTTAGCTTCGACAGTGCCACACATGTGCACCGCCACCGTCATGGAATTCAGCTTGCCAGCAGTCACGTGGATCGTCCCAACGCGCGTCGGAGGCGGCGGTGCAACGCAAGACGTCAGCGCGAAGCAGCTGCACGAGGCGATGGCGAAACTCAATGTGTCCCGGCAACTCCACAGGGTTCAAGCGGTGGAAAGAGGCTTACACTGGCAGGACCCTGCAGCTTCCGTTTCCCAGCCGCGCCGGGACACCTGTTGGGACGGGCTTAGCTTTCCGGAAACGCGGCGCTCGTATCATCGCGTCGTGCTCACATCATGATACCAACGACTTTCACGTGCCAATTCCCCTCCAGCTCCGTTCCTTTTCTTCTCCCTTCCCTCTCTGGCCTTGGGGTAGTCTGATCCGCCGCGCTGGTCTGTCTTTGCCGCTGTTATGGAGAGATAACGATGGATTCGCCTAATTTTTCCGCGCACCCTTCCCTCATCCTCGCAGCCGGGCTGCTGGTGGCGTACCTGGCTTACGGCGCTGTCTATCGTCTCTATCTGAGCCCAATTGCTCACTTCCCCGGCCCGCGGCTCGCAGCGTTGACGTTTTGGTACGAGTTCTACTACGATGTAGTGCGCTCTGGGCGGTACACATGGCGAATCGCCGAGATGCATGCGCAATATGGTAAACAGCAATTCTAGATCTGGCACTGCTTTGGCTGAAACAGCTACGCCAGGACCCGTGGTGCGCATCAACCCGTACGAACTCCACGTGAACGTCCCGGGCTTCTACGACACGCTGTACGCGTCGGCGGCCAGCGGCCGGCGCACCGAGAAATGGACGTGGTCGGCCAAGATGTTTGGCACCACGCAAGCCGCTGTGGGCACGGCCTCGCACGAGCTGCATCGCGTACGCCGTGCTGCCTTGAACCCGTTCTTTTCCCGGCGAAGCGTCGTCCGTCTTGAGCCCGTCATCCAGCTGCACATCGACAAGCTAAGAGCCCGGCTCGAGCGTTCCGCTGACTCCGGGGAGCCGGTGAATTTGACTGACGCCTTCACGGCATTGAGCGCTGATGTCATTGGTGATTTTGCGTTTGGAAAGCGCTACGGCTTCTTGGATGCGGAGGACTTCAATCCAGGATGGCATAAGCTGATGCTCGTAAGTTCTGCCGACAATTGGGAGGAATTGCATGCTTACACTCTGCCACTTATCAGGATCTCAGTCGAGGCACACATTTGATGAAGCAGTTCGGATGGCTCTACACCGTCCTGACCTGCATCCCGCAAAAGCTCGTCTCCATCATTCACCCCCTCACCAGAGAACTCTTCAACGTGCAAAACAGCATCACCGCCCAAATCGAAGAGATCAAAGCCAGCAACAACAAGCCCCTGGACACCCGTCCAACCATCCTCTACGACCTTGTCGTCAATCCAAACAACCACCTGCCCCCTTCCGAGCTCACCACCCCGCGCCTCACCGAAGAAGCCTTCACCCTGCTCGGCGCCGGCACCGTCACGACCGCCCACACCCTCGCCACCACCCTCTACCACCTCCTCGCCAACCCCTCCAAACTCACCCGCGCGCGAGCCGAACTCGCTCCCCTCTTCTACCACTCCAACTCCAACTCCCCAACATGGACTGACCTCGAGCACCTCCCCTACCTCTCGGCCGTCCTGACCGAGGGCCTCCGCCTCAGCTACGGCGTCAGCCACCGCCTGCCGCGCATCTCGCCCGACGCCGCCCTGCGCGTGCCCGACGCGCCCGAGCCGGTGGCCATCATCCCGCCCGCCACGCCCGTCAGCATGACCCAGATGTTCCTGCACGACGACGCGCGCATCTTCCCCGAGCCGGCGGCTTTCAAGCCTGAGCGGTGGCTCTTGGAGGAGGTGGAGGGAGAGACCGGGAACGAGGGGGCCAGGGCGGAGCAGCTGGCGCGCATGCGGCGCTTCTTGGTTCCGTTCAGTAAGGGGACGAGGCAGTGCGTTGGCATGAACTTGGCGTACGCTGAGATGTATTTGGCTTTGGCGGCGCTGTTGAGGCCCGGGTTGGAGATGGAGCTGTGGAAGACATCTGTGGAGGATGTGCGGGTGGCGCATGATTGGTTCAATCCGGCGCCGAGAGTGGGGAGTAAGGGCGTGAGGGTTCTGGTGAGGAGAGGCAAGTGAGAGAGAAGAGATGAGTGTTTATGGGGTTTATTGTTGTGTTGATGGCGGAAAGTGTCGGATGTGATATAGATCAGGTATGTATCATGGCATAAGAAAAGTTGTAGATTGAATAAACGTCTATTGATTTCAATTGTAGATTAAGATACGCTTCCCCTTAACATAGGCCCTGGAAGACTTGAGCCCTTTGTGCTCCATGGAAGGTGATGCACTCTTCCTCCGTAGGCAGCTGAAGCGAATATCCTGATGTAGCTGTGAGACCTAATTAGCGCAAATATATCTAGACGTGAGATTTAATTACCTAAATAATCGAGGATTCAAACGTGAGGTTCTTGTCGAAAAGTAAACCGGCCATATTATCAAAGAGTGCATACGAGGTCAGACTGGCAGCCGACACACATCATACACACTTAAACTAACCTTAGTCTTGACGCAATTGCACCACCCAGAACCACCCCGTTTGATAGTATTTTCGAGATGATTCACATCTGGACGTTCAAGGTTGCACATCTGCTTCCACGTTGAAGTATGTGCATGAGCCCTGAAGACCTTGCACCATTATCTATCTGATGATGGGCTAGATTTCCGAGTGAAAAAGCTTCGGAGATGTCGAATTTATTTATCATCTGCAACGCTCTGCGAATACAACTTCTGTTCATTAAGATGCGTCGGCTCAGGCTTTTGGCCAATCCACATCCTTTGACATGCAGCCAGCCAGGTGTTCAATTACCACACCTGCTACAGTGGGAGAATGATTGTAACATATTCAAAATGACATTCATGAATCTAGTGCAACCATCAGTAAGTCCGAGGACTTTCCAATCACATATCGGTGAAACTCACGAAGTTAGCTGCATACTAGGTAAATCTAAAGCCAAGGCCATTCTTTACTAAGACTCTTAGATCGGAATTTAAGCCTGACATTTTTGACGAAACATCTGGGGCAAATATGGCCTTTGGCTTGATCCTCGGTGAAGTGATTCGTGTTTCTGTGTAGGCTGGGGGTTTGTATTCTGCCTTCCGCAGACACATGAAAGAAGTATTCGCAGCATTGCATAGTATTAGGATCTTTGCATGACAACACCCAGCCGAATTTACCGCATCGCAGGATCGCATATCTGAATGTATCGCAGCAGCAGTTCGTGCATACTGTAGCACCACACTGCTCGCAGAACGTCCTAGTGCGGCCAAGACACGGGTTGCGAAGGTGAATCTTGAGCTCTCCAACTTCTTCTTTGAGGGGAACGCGATGTGCCCCTACAAAATCACCCTCGCATATGGTGTACTTCTTGAGGCTGGCGAAAATCTCCGGCCGTGAACCCACAACGTGATCGTAGTTCTCCTTGGACGTGCAAGCAATAGCACGGAGCTCTCGCGTAGTGAGGTATTTAGCGATACTATATCGTATAGGGTAATGGTTGACCAGATCTGAGAGTTGAAGCACCATCGAAATAAGCAAGACAGGGCAAGCGAAAGGTTCTTATGGTGTTGGAGAGTCGTAGTTGGTGCTTGAAGGGAGGGTGATAAATGATGATCTTCATTCACGTAGAGTTTCCTTGGTGCTAAGTTGAGTACTATGAGCTCCTACTATTTGCTTTGTATGGTTTTTTTTGTAGGGCGGGTGAATGGTACCATGGGCGGGAGTATGCAACGTGCCCACACATGGCAGGGTGGCTGGGACCGGACTACACTAGGTGTTCGTAGCGTAACAGGGATATATATTTTAGAGCAATATGAGTTGAGCCTCAAACAAGTGAGGTTTGCCTTCTTCGTTCTTCGCATAATCTGGACTAGTTTTTGTGGTCGCTTTTCCTGCCTGTTTATGGATCGGTCCTTGTGAATGACACTTCATAGGTGTGCACTACGGCGTGTGAAGGTGGCTATACTAAAAGATTGAGACTGCGGAGACATGCATGCTTGAGAATTTACCGATTTTCAACAAGGTTCAGACCTTGAGACATCTCCGGCCGAGTTAGCTGGTGGATTATTCCCCACCACTACCTGAAACCCCATGAGACCCACAACGTCCTCTCCTTCGCTCAAACCTAATCGTCTAAGTGTCTAGTAGTATGTATTGGGTATTACTGCAGTAGCAACACTAAAAGAAAAGCTACTCTGCCAATCAGTCCGCCGCTCCGCTCTCGCCCTGTCTACTTTTCAGTTCCCAATGGCCAAGGCATGGATTATAGCCAAGCGTTTCTTTTCTAGCTCAGAAATGGCTCATGTCTGTATGTGGGAATAGAATCCTTTGTTGGTTTTGTTGCGTCGCTGCCCTTGGATTTCGAGTCAAGGTCTAATAAAAACGGCTTCCATCTCTCCACGATCACTTGAGGGTCAGGGGGCTCAGTCAGCCGAGCCGGCGTCTTTGAAAAGCGTGTTTGCTAGTACTAGCTATAAAAATCTTCTGAGAAGCTGCAGCATGCAGCCAACTGGCGTTTACAGCGTCAACCTACCCGATAAGAATCGAAGTGATTCCGAAAGGGTAGCCACCAAGATTATTGTGACTAGTTTCTGAGTTGCTTCTTGTCTCTTAATCCAGCTCTTATTCAAGTCACGGCTGGTAACAAAAGAATTGGACTCCTCTGAAACTTTCGCGCTGAAAAATATATCGCGTGGTTGACCCAAACTCACATCTTCGTGGGGCACTGAGGGAGGCCCACTCTGGTCTGTGCCCTAGGCGGGTCATCAGTGGGGGCGTCCTCATCTCTCATCTGCTGCACGGAGCAGCGCTGGCGATTATCTATGGGCCCGGACGCAGCGCAGGAGGCGGGGGTTGGTCAGGGAGCATACGGGAGCGGACGAAATAGAGTCGGAGGCCAAGGTGGATGGAGGGGAGCGGAGGCGTGAGCGGCGCCGTCTGATTGCCTGCGACCCCTCGCACGTCATGGCGCGGCGGCGGGGGGACGTGCATTGCATTGGCCCCAGTTCTTTTCTTTCGGCGGAAAACCCACCAAAACCTTCGCATCCCCACGCTCCGCATTCTTCTCCCTGTCGCCCGCGGCATGGAAGATTTCTGCACACAGACTTACTCGCCATACTCCTCCGAGACCCCCATCCTCTGCTACCAGTCGCCATGACTATCCAACACACCAACGGATCCTCCAAGTACCGTACGCTTCTCCGGAACAGTCATTCCATGTCGGTCGAGAGAGCATTGCGACAGGAGGGCACCACGGCTGCTCTGAGCTTCGGGAAACATTGCGGACTCCCGCTATGCCATCACCGGCGCACGCTTGCATGCGAATGGTCCTCAGCTTCCGCGTAAAGAGCCTCCGGTTGTTCCTCTTGTCGCGATGACTCAATCGACCGTCCCTCCCAGACGCCGTTACTAACCCATTGGCCTCACAGAACGAGTGACTGAGCAGCCGGAAAACCCTTTCGCTAAATTCATCCCCGATCAACAAATTGCCATTGTCCCGTCCTTCACGCTCGAGTCCGGCGTCGAGCTCCGCAATGTTCCCGTCGCCTACAAAACCTACGGCTCGCTCTCGCCCGCCGCCGACAATGCCATGGTCATCTGCCATGCCCTTACCGGCAGCGCCGATGTTGGTGACTGGTGGGGGCCGCTGCTAGGCGGCCCGGGCAAGGCTTTCGATATCTCGCGCTTCTTCGTCGTGTGCCTGAACAGCCTGGGCAGTCCCTACGGCAGCGCCAGCCCTGTCACGAACAAGGACGGCGATCCGGAGCAGGGTCTCTACGGGCCTGAGTTCCCGCTGACCACGGTCCGCGACGATGTGAACCTCTTCAAGCTGATACTGGATGACCTGGGAGTGCGCCAGATCGCCGCCGTCATTGGCGGCTCCATGGGCGGCATGCTGGTGCTGGAATTTGCCTACTTTGGTAAGGACTACGTGCGCTGCATCATTCCAATTGCAACCTCTGCGCGCTACAGCGCGTGGGGCATCAGCTGGGGCGAGGCCCAGCGGCAGAGTATCTATAGCGATCCCAAGTACGACGACGGCTACTACGCCTTCGAGGACCCGCCATCGACCGGCCTGGCCGCCGCGCGCATGTCTGCCCTCCTCACCTACCGCAGCCGCGACTCGTTTGAATCCCGATTTGGCCGCAACACGCCCGACCCCTCGCGCCCGCAGAACATCAACCGCAAGCCGCACCCCTCAGCCTTCATGAACGAGCACTGGGCCATCCACAATGAGGGCCACAAGAACGCCCGCTCCCCGCGCAGCTCGCGCCCTGGCAGTGCCGTCGACCTGACGGCCGCCGCCGCCAATGCCACCCTCCCGGCCGCTGCGAAAACCGACGTCGAGATCAGCAGGATCACCTCGCCCGCCCCTCCGACCAACCTCACTGGTCCAATTCGCAACAAGGCCAAGCGCACGCCTACCTACTTCAGCGCGCAATCCTATCTGCGGTACCAGGGCGAAAAGTTCATCAAGCGTTTCGACGCAAACTGCTACATCGCCATCACGCGCAAGCTCGACACTCACGATGTCTCGCGCAACCGCATCGAGGAAAACGTCACCGAAAACCTCGAGTCCAGCACCGGCTCCATCTCCGCGACCTCGCTCCGCTCCGCGCTCTCGCAGATTGCTCAGCCCACGCTCATCCTCGGCATCCAGTCCGACGGCCTCTTCACCTTCGCCGAGCAGGAGGAGCTCGCCGCCGCCATCCCCAACGCCATACTCAAGACCATCGACTCGCCCGAGGGCCACGACGCCTTCCTGCTCGAGTTCGAGCAGGTCAACGGTCACCTGCTGGCCTTCCTGAACGAGCATCTGCGCGATATCATGGAGCGCAGCCCCTCCAAGGACGTCGGCATCCAAGACGGCGACGGTTTGGGCGTCACTAAGAGCAGCACCTTCGGAGAGGCAGAGGTGGAGGACATCACGGCCTGGTGAGCAGACGAATTCTTCTATCCGACTCATGTGACTTCCTCGGACCTGTTTTTATTGACGGAACTGGGTGGGGAAGGCATGGTAACGATATTGTCGTTAGTGTCAGGAGTAGGCTGTAAGGTCTGGGGTTGTGATAAGACGTTGTCTAGAATAGATGGAAGGTTTTTTTGTCTTATATTCTTGTCAGAAGGGCTTAGTTGTTCCAACACGGCATAGAAAGGAAAGAAGTAGCAAAGATATTCAACTATCTGAACAATATCTCATTCTAGTTGTTCAAATCCTTCTCAACTGTGATCGCTCGAAAATGCTGGTGCTGTGATTAGGAAAAAGAGTTTACCATACCCATTCATTCTTTCATGCAGATATGCTATGCTCTCGGAGAAAACAAACCTGGGAAACAAAACGTTTAATACTAAAAATGGGGGTGTTTTAATATATCAAAACGCAGAAAAGGTTCCATCCCGTCCCATCTCATCATCCATCAATCCATCAATCGACCGACCGTCCAGTATGCACACAGTAACACACATCCCGCTGATTCCCCCACCTACGCCATCTGATTGCCCACAGACGAGAGGAATATTCTTCCAATGTCATCCATCCCTTCCGTCTGCAGGCAACAGATCACCCTCCTTCAACCCACTGCTACCACTTTACTCAACCCTCTCTTCCAATTAGAATGTCGTCGTCGCCAGCCTGCTCGCCGCATTTCTCGCGTCCACCCTGTCATCGTCCTCATCCGCGGTCAACACACCCTTCATGGCGGTACCGGGCTTAGCAACGCTGGTCGCCCGCTTGCGGTGCAAGATTTCACCGTCGTCCTCCTCCTCGTCGTCCTCTTCGGGCAAGGGCGGGTTGTTGAAGGAGCCAGCCCCGCTGATGCTGCGGCCAAGGCCGTCAGGGCGGCGGGGGACGCCGCTCCAAGCATCACCCTTGGGGCCCTGGGAGGACGCGAGGCTCGAGCGGCGGATATGGGGGTGGTGGGTCTCGCGGCCGAGGCGGGAGAGGCCGCCAGAGGCGTCGATGGCGCGGATGTCCGGGCGGACCTGCTCGAGCGTGGCGAGCGTACGCCGCTCCGCCTCGATCTGGCGCAACACGTAGTCGCGGATGGCAGTCCGCATGTCGGCCGAGGTGCGCGCGAACCACTTGCGCCGCTCCTGCACTAGGTTGGCCGTCACCCGTGCGCACTTGGTGCCCAGGTACTGCTCGTGACTGCGCGCCTCATCAAGTGCCGAGATGGCCTCGTCGACCTTGTCGCGGCGCACGGACGAGCTGGCCTTCAGGCGGTCGGCGGCCGAGAGCTTCGAGCGAGTGGTTTGTTGAGCTTGCAGGAGCTCGCGCAGAAGGATGTGCCTGTTTGTAAGGGTCTCCTTCACAATGAAGGCGTCGTCCGAGTGGAACTTGAGCGGGTCTCCAATCGTGGTAGCTTCGGCAGTTCCTTGGGCGGCGTGGTAGTCTCCGACGGCTTGAATCACTTTCCCCATCCGGCGATATGCGTGCGAGAGGCCAGGGTGAGTTTCCTGGACGTGCATTTGTGCAAGCTTGACTCCCAGCTCGCCCTCGGCCAGACCAAGAGCTTCTTAAAGTTAGCGTCGACTACTCCAAACCACTTGGCTGGTACGTACCTCTCCGATGCTTGACCACTTTGTCAACCTTCTGACCCGACTCCATGGTGTGGAGGTAGAACAGCTTGACGATAGGTCTGGCCTCGGCCAATTCCGGCGTGTCATCGGGCGGTGGTGCGAACTGCTTGATGTATTTGCGTCGCACACCGGTGGCCGGCTGCTTGCGCCTAACGACCGGGCTGTAACCGAAATCACTTTCGACGAAGAAGACCATCTCTTCATCGCGCATGAGAACTTCGTTGCTGCACACGACGTTGAGCCACCTTTGTATCGAGGCCTTGACGCGCGCCTCGTCCTCATCGGTGCCGACGCCAGCAGAAGTAATTGCCGGGGGAACAGCGGGCACGAAGGTTTCTGGGTTGGCCGAGATCAAGTGCTCCTGCAACTTGACGAATTCGGAGTGGAGGCGCCTGACATCGCGGAATTGAGTGGTGCGGAACTTGGGCAAGTTTGTCTGTACGGAATCATGTCACTAGATTTGTCGCCGGCGGCAGCAGGAAGAAGTCTTACGTAGACGTCGAATCGCAGGATTGGGTCCTTCCGGCCGGTCCGCTCCAGGCCCGTCACCTTCGCGTGCAGTTTGTACTGCGGGACATTCTGGCGCTGGCGCTGGCTTCCGTGGTAGCGTTGGGGCTCGTGGCGGGGCTGCTGCTGGCCATGAGGCTGGTCGGGCGATTGGGCATACTGCTGCGACTGGTGGTCGGGCTGGTGTTGGCGCTGAGGAGACTGCGGGTAGTCATGGCCCTCCGGGGGTTGGAAGCCCTCGTGGGCGAGGGTGGTCGGGCCGCCCTGGCTGGGCTCGTCGGCAAAAGGCTGCTCGGTTGCGGCGGCATGGGCATCGTGGTAGGGCGACTGCGGCGGGAGGGGCTCTGAGGGCACATCATTCTCGCCGAAGCCGGTGCGGTGGGCCTGGGGCGACGAAGCCCAGGGCGAGTCTGACTCGGCGACCGAATAGTCCATGGGGCCGCTGGGAGATTGGGGCGGGTGCGGGTGCGGAGGGTGGGATGGATGTGCGGAGGAGTCGCAATGCTGGAGGTGCTGGAGCTGTGTCTTGGCTGACAGGCCGCAACATCGGCCCTCGCCCATCCCTGCCTAAACCGGCTTAACCTCGTCAAACGTCTTCATCCACATCTCGCTGCATTCCAACAACATCCACCCGCTGCAGTGTCGGCCATTGTCGCTGGGATGATCTTGAATCACGCATGGCGAGCCAGCCTTCGCGTCCGTAATGTAGCTTGCGCGCGAGCCTTTCACGTCTCGGTGTCGCGCCATGCCGCCCAGCCGGGCACCGCCGCCTTGGAGAATGCTCTCCAGCGGACGAGGAATATTGGCATCATAGCCCACATTGATGCGGTACGCCTGTCAATGGCTCTTGTCTTTGCCTTTTTATTGATTGTGAATAGGGTAAAACAACCACTACTGAGCGCATGCTCTACTACAGTGGTTTTACCCGGCGATTGGGAGGTAGGGTATTTCCTTTTTCCCTATAATCATCCGACATTCCCTTTCGTTTGTTTATGCTTCTTTCCAATATTCTTCATCCTTTTGTGTCCATTTGGCGCCAACCTGCTTACTCTGCATCAAGATGTCGACGAGGGTTCGACTGTCACCGATTTCCTACCAGCTGAAAGAGCACGCGGAATCACGATCCAGTCTGCTGCCATATCATTCCACTGGCCACCGCTGAGCGCCAATCCGAATCAAGCTGCGCCTTCATCCCCCGCCGGTGGCAAAGTAACGCTGCCAAGATCAACCTCGTCGCACAACATCAACCTCATCGACACTCCCGGTCACGCGGACTTCACCTTCGAGGTCCTCCGATCCCTTCGTATCCTTGACGGTGCAGTCTGCATCCTCGACGGAGTTGCTGGTGTCGAAGCCCAAACAGAGCAGGTTTGGAAGCAGGCCAACCAATATCAGATCCCCCGCATCATCTTTGTCAACAAGCTCGACCGCGATGGAGCGGCTTTTGAACGGACTATCAAAGAGATTGGCGTCAGGCTGCACGGATGGCCCGCCGTATGCCAGATCCCTTGGTGGAAAGATGGGACTGGGAAGCTGGTCGGTGTCGGTGATGCGGTGCATCTGAGAGGCATGCTCTGGGAGGAAGGCGGCGACGGCAAGACCGTCAAGTTGCACTCATTGAAGGAAATGGAGAATGTCAACCCCTCGCTGGCGGCCGAGTTAAAGAAGGCACGAATTGCGCTGGTAGAGCTTCTGAGCGAGCATGACGATGAGATGGTCGAAAAGTTCCTTGAATATGACGAGGATCATCTTGCCATACCGAGCTTGGACATCACTGAATCTCTCAGAAGATGTACTCTTCAGAGCCCGCAACGGGTGATCCCCATATTCGCCGGTGCGAGCTTCCGCAACATTGGAGTCCAGCCACTTCTCGATGCTGTCGTTGACCTCCTTCCGTCGCCTGAGGAGCGTCCTGATGCTGGAGTCAAGGTTGGATCTACCAGTGGAGGCTTAAACGACCTTCTCAGTGGAAAGCTTGCTGTTGCTGCCCAGAAGGGTACACAGCAAAGTAACAAAAAGAACGCTGCAAAGGCGAAGACGCAAGACACATTACAGCTGTCCAAGCTGCAGGCGTGTGCACTAGCCTTCAAGGTCGTCAACGACAGTAAACGGGGCGTCCTGGTCTATGTCCGCGTCTACTCGGGCACACTCACGCGGAACACGCTTCTCTTCAACACAAATCTTAGCCTCACTGAAAAGGTACCAAGATTGCTGAAGATGTACGCCAACGATGCCGTCGAGGTCGACGAAATCCCCGCCGGCCAGATCGGTGTGATACCAGGCCTCAAGCACGCCCGCACTGGCGACACGCTCATCGTATACACTGGTGCGAATCCCAAACACGGCCCTCCCGCACCCATCAACTCTCTCCAGCTCAGGCCCATCGCCGTTCCTCCGCCCGTCTTCTTCACGAGCGTCGAGCCGGATAGCCTCTCCGAAGAAAAGCATCTCTCGGACACGCTCTCCGTCCTTCTCCGTGAAGACCCCAGCCTGTCCGTCACACTCGACCCGGAGAGCGGGCAGACGCACCTGGCTGGCATGGGTGAGTTGCACTTGGAGATTGCGTGCGACAGGCTCCTCAACGACTTCAAGGCCAAAGCCTCGACCGGCTCAATCGAGATCGGCTACCGCGAAGCCGTCGTCACCAGCCCCAGCCCCAGCACTGAGTTCTTCTCACGCGAGGTCGGCGGCAAGCTCGCGCGGGCCGGCTGCACCGCCAGCGTCTCTCCTCTCGCCTCCTCCGAAGCCGCCGTCGAAGACACGGAGGATGACCCGCACACCACCATCCTCCCGCTCGACTCTCACAACCGCCTCGTCATCCACCACCCCACCATCGACACCGCCGGCCGATCAGTCGAGCCGGACACGCCCGGCCTCCCCGACACGCTCCCGTTCACCACCCTCATCACCGCGCTGACGACGGGCGCCTCGGCCGCGCTGGCCCGGGGCCCGACGCACCGCTTCCCGCTGCACAGCACGGCCGTGACCATCACGCTCGACCCGGCCACGCACATCACGCCCGAGACGACGCCCGCCGCGCTGTCCGGCGCCGCGCGGCAGGCCGTGGCGGCGGCCCTGCGCTCCGCCGCGACCAGCAGCGGCGCCGACGGCAACGCGCTGATGGAGCCCGTCATGCGCGTCGCCATCGCCGTCCCGGACCGCGACCTCGGCGCCGTCGTGCACGACATCAGCAGCGCGCGCGGCGGGCAGGTCGTGTCCCTCGACGAGGAAGACTCACCTACCTCGTTCGAGACGTCGTCGTCGTCGGCCTTCACGGCCCCGGACAGCAGCACGTCGTCTCGTGCCGATGAGGAAGACTTGCCGTTCATCGACCCGCGACAGATCTACGCGCCGCCAGACCCCTTCGGCAGTAGCAGCGGTGGTGGTTCGAGCGGGGAGGTGCTGGGCGGCAGCCACGAACGCCAGCGGCAGATCACGGCGCGCGTGCCGCTGAAGGAAATGGTGGGCTACCTGCGGCACCTGCGCAGCCTGACGAAAGGCCGCGGCACCTTCGTCATGAGCGTTGATCGATTCGAACGTGTGTCCGGGCCGAGGTTGAGGGCGGTGCTGACCGAGCTGAGGGGAGGCGGGTATTAGATTCTGTCCAACACTTTGAAGTTGGAAAGAAACTCCGTATGCTGAGGAGTTTGTGTAAAATTAAAGAAATATCATGGTGATTGGGAGAAATGGGTGAAGAGGGAGAAGTATTATATTGTGAAAGAGACGGAGGTGAGAAAATTCAAAAATTTTTCTTTTATTCGATATTGTATTTCTAGAGATATCTTCTTGTTTGACAACCATGCTTGTACGTACGGTAGATGTACGGCTCTGTTCCACTCCTCATGTAGTCAGTCAATCCTTCTGAAATGTTGAATCAACTTAATCCACTAATCTAGTCCATCTTTTCCCATAAAATGTAAACAGAGACGCTCAATATAGCCAAGGTTACACATGAATCGTAGCCGAATTGCCGCGGCGATCATGGTATACGGTCTCATCTAACTTGAGCTGACAGACCAACGCTTTGATTGGGCGGGTTTGAAATCGATCTCGGACGGAATTAGTCCGACATGAGGTCAATGTTCCCGCGCTAAACGTGTTTCTACAATGTCTTGGCTGATGTCACTGTCACGAGCATTCCGCGCTCAGCTCCCGGCAGACAAGAATGATGGCACAGGCTGCTGTGTGATTTGTGGTGGAAGGCAAGAACTTTTTTCATTTTGTCATAATCGCGTACTTTCATCAAAAGGCTGTGTCTCCACTGGGGGAACAAATACCAAGGCCGTCATCGAGAGGAAAAGCAGAAGGAAAAAAAGTGCTAGTTTTACAGACATAGAAGAGAATCAAGTAGTGAGAAGAGACCCGAATCAAGTTCTTCTTGAATAGGAGAGAAAGACAAAAGGGCGAAAAGGGACTTTGCAAGATTATATTATTCAATATTTCTGTCATCGTGTTGTTGCTTTTCGCCATATCCCGGCCTGCGGGCATGCAAAAGTCGAAATCCTTTACCCATCAATCGTAAGGAAGAAGGTTCAAAGAAAGACGACTTTCATGCCTGTCGTGCCTCGCTCGAACTCCCTCGGAATCAAGAAAACAGAATCGTAAAGAACTTTTCCCATTCCTTAAAAGACCTCGTGCAAAAGAGACGTGATCGATACATAAGAGGGAAAAGTGTAAAAGACGCCACTAGTCGCGGCAGTCTTTTGCCTCCCAGCGGGTTGCCTAGGTGGAGGCGGCAGCGGGGGTGGCTTCGGCAGAACCCTCGGCGGTCGAAGGAGTGGCCTCCTCGGTGGCGGGGGCGCCCTCGATGGGAGCATCGGGAGCCTCGTCCTCCTTGCCAGGGCTGTCGATGGCGACCTTGACGGCGATCTCGCGGCCCTCAATTTCCTTGCCGTTCATCTCGGTGCAAGCCTTCTGCTGCAGCTCCTCCGAAGCGAGAGTGACGAAACCGAAACCACGGCCCTTGCGGGGCTCGTTGCGGGCCTGGAGCTTCTTGACCATGAAGCGGGGGATGGGACGGAGAGCGATCTTGGCGGACTGGGGCTGGTAGTCCTTGAAGATCTCGAGAAGCTGCAAACAGTTAGTACTCGACCTCAAGATACAACATCGATCGGGTTTCTGACCTTCTCCTCCCGCAGGTCGTACGGCAGGTTGGCGACCATGACCTTGGTCTTGGAGGGAACGCCATCCTCGGGCGGACCGCGCTGCTTGCGCTCCCTCTGGACGTGGGTCTTTCCGGTCTTCGACGGGTTGACGGTGATTGTGCCCTCAGCACCCTTCTCAGCGGTGAGCGCTTCGTTTGTCGTTTCGGTCAGGGGAATAACTTGGCCAGGTACATTCGTAGGGGCGCTCGCGGCCGGGTCAGCAGCGGCCGGAGTCTCAGTAGCTCCATCCTCCTTGGAAGGCGCCGCTTCGTCAGACTGTGGGAAGATTTAGATTAGCTGATGGCTCCCACGGGCAAAGGTTGCACTTACGCGTCCACCACGGGCAGCACGACCGCCACGGCCACGGCCGCGGCCGCGGCCACGAGTGGAAGTGCGGCGACGGTTGTTGCCGTTGCCATTGGCGCCCTCACCACCGCTGGCGGCGCCCTCACCGTGAGCCTCGGGCTTGCGAGCGAGCTGGATGGAGACCTTGCGGTCGAGGATGGCCTTGCCGTTGAGCTCGGTAATGGCGCGCTCGGCCTCAGAGGGCGTGGAGAGATCGACGAAGGCGTAGCCGACGGGGCGGGTGGTGCGGGGGTTGGTCGGGATGGAGGTGGACTCGCTGCACGTGGCGTTAGCTTGCGGGGCGGCGTCGTCGAAAAGGCCACCTACACCAAGTAGTCCTTGAAGAACTCCTTCAACTCTCCCTCGGTGGTCGCGTATGCGAGGTTCCCAATGTAGAGTCGCCGACCCTCAGCGGCGCTGGCGATGACAGCCTCGTTCTCGGAGGCGTTGATGGGCTTGTCGCCGCCAGCACCGACGCTGGCGCCCTCGGCAGTGCCGGTGGGCTCGTTGAGGGTGGTGTTGGCCATCTGGGCGGTGGCGCTATCGACTTCAGGAGCGGACATGTTGGCTGGACGGTATGGAGGATGACACGAGCGCGGGTGTGAAGACCGTGTGGGTTGCGAAAGCTGGGGGTGTCCTGGTCGAGGCTCTGGAGCGGGAGGAGAGGTTGTCGATGACCGCCTGGAGTGGTGGGAAAATTGACGAGGGAGGTTGGAGTGGGAAGCTAAGTGCCCGAAAGCTGGAGATTGAGCTTTGTCAAGAGGGAGATCTGGCTTGTTTGGTGTTTGACGGGGTGCGAAAGGGAGGTGGTGCTGGCGTTGCTATGTCGAAATTTGTAGGCCCTCCGCCGCAGGTGCGCCCGGACAAGGCGCTAGCCGCATCGGGCGACCGTGACCGGCATCCCTGCCGCCCACCACACCCCAGTTGCCAGCGTCATCGCCCCAGCGAAGTGCGGTGAGTGCAAGAGCGAGCGCCAACAGTGCGCCCGGCTGCGCGTGCGTGCTGGGGCCTGCGGCCGCCAGCGGAAGCCGTCCGCTGCCCGCCGTCCATGCGCGCGCGACTGCCCCTCCAGATGCGCCCACCCGCCGCTGCCAACGACTGGCGGAGCGGGCTGGGCGGAAGCAGGTACCAACCGCCCTGCAGGCAGCAGGACGGCGCCAAAGGCAGCAGGCGCTGCTGTGCGCGCTCTCACCACGCGCCTACACAGCGCCATTGACCCACCAATGCACAGCAGCACTGGCTTGAGGTCTCGCCCAACCGCATCCCTTGTGCGCGCCATCAGGGGCGGCAGTCTGCCAGCCGCGCCCCTTTGCCGCTGGCCTCCCGTTGCTACTGGCTGCTTGCTTACCGCCTCGGGCGGCCGCCGACAGTGCTGGCACGCTTGCTGGCACATTCCGATCGCGGGCGGAAATGGAGCGAATGCCGCGGCAGAACATTGGCAGGCCCAGCAGGCGCCTGCTCACCACCGCCGGCCCTTCGCGCAGCTCGTCGACGGCTGCTGGCGGCGACGGCGGAGCAGCAGGCGTTGCCGGCGCCTCAGGCACGGGCCCTGTGTTCCACTCCGCCTGCTCCACAAAAGCTGCCGGAGATCTGCTCCGTCGCAATCTTCGCCGACGCCCACGCCACCGTTGGCGACGCAATTTTGAATTCTGGAACTCTTGGGGAGTCTAGCCTATATGCGTGCCACGGGCCTCGCGCCGTTTTCCTTTGCCGCCGCGGCTAGCAATGCCGCGTAGACGATCGCCAAAAGTCAGCTTGCTTTTTGCCATTGACGCTCGGGAAAGCTTCCGCGGAGGATTCGGTGCAGTGCACCAAGGTTTGAATGCTGCAGCGATCATTGATGTCAGAGAGGATCCCTCCCCATTTCTAAGGCTGAAATGCCTGTGCCTGCAGATCAGCCTAAGTGGCAAAAACTTCCACATCCGACATGGTTTCCGAGCCGCCCGTGATCTAGAGACCGTTGGCAGCCAAATCGGGTACTTTCCATTGCGCCGTTCGCTGCTCTCTGGCTGAGGTCTGAGCGTCTGTATCTGATCAATCACATCCGCTGGCTGCTATCGCGTTGTCCGCCGTTTGGCAGTCGCACAGTGTCCCACAATGATCTTCACAGCTTCTAAAAAAAAAAATAGCCTTTGCGTATTTGTGCCCTCCGCTAATTCTACGGCTAAAAATGAACATGTAACAGCCTTCCCAGGATGAATTAAAGGTAAGAACGAGTGCAACCGACCAGGAATTACGCTCAGGATGGCTTTACATAGTGTGGAGGCGCAGTGGTTGGCGAGAGCAAAATTGTGCCCCGCCGGAGTCCGACCTCGCACTGATTTGCCCCGCCGCCAACCCAAAAGCGCAGGCTCCAGGCCGATCTTTGCGCCTGATGTCGCCCGCAACACCAAAAAAGAACAGTGACATCTCTACCAGCTCCATCTCGCCGCCATGGCCCACTCCGCCCTTGTGACATATGGCTCTGAGACCGGAAATGCAGAGGAGCTTGCTGTCCAGCTGAGCCAGCTCACTCGCCGGCTGCACATTTGGACCACGATCAAGCCACTGAACGCTCTCGCCCCACAACACCTAAAAAACGCCTCAGTCGTTCTAATAGTCATATCAACAACCGGCCAAGGGGATTTGCCTAGAAATGCTCAACTTTTCTTTCGAAAACTACGAAGCAAGAAGCTAGCAGCAAACTGCCTGGAAAACTGTATCTTCACGTCCTTCGGACTGGGCGACAGCTCGTATCCCCAGTACGTCCCCTTGCAATTGAAAGACTGCAATCGTAGTGCTCATCTCCTCTATCAGATTTAATTGGGCTCACCGGAAACTGGGCAACCGCATAGAACAGCTCGGCGCTCAACGTCTCATTGAAGCCGGCGAAGCAGACGAGCAGCACCCGGAAGGGTAAGTCATCTGCTCCTGAACTGTTCAGCTTTTATTTCGCTAATCGCAGCTGCCCGAAGTGTTGATGCTACATTTCTACCATGGGTAGATAAGCTCCGAGAAAAACTGCTGGAAACCTGCCCACTTTCATCGGATGTAAAGCCGCTTGCCGACGATACGTTCCTTAAACCGAGGTGGTTTCTGAAAATCCATGAGAATGATGAAGAAAAGCAACCCCAAAAGCCAATCCAGACTCTTGAGAATTTCTCGAATCTCGATTGCACGCACGTTAGCACGGAACCAGACCACGAGCCCGCTGAAGTCGTATCAAACACGCGCGTAACACCTGAGGACCACTGGCAGGATGTCCGACGAATTGACATAAGGTTTCCGCGCCAAATACCGCGGGCAGATGCAAAGGGCAACGTCATAGAAAAACCCCGGGCGTTTTACAGTCCTGGCGACATACTTGAGCTCTACCCAAAGAATTTCCCCTCGGATGTCCAACATTTCATTGACTTGCAGGGTTACGGATCGATAGCACATGCACCTCTGGATGTTCAATATGACTGGGAACAGTTCGACAGTAACCCCCCGCGCGAACATCCTTTGGGCCGTGCTCCCTTTCACAACACCCTCTTCGGCATTCTCACCAACCACCTGGACATAATGGCTGTACCCCGCCGTTCATTCTTCGCTCTGATTGCCCATTTTGCATCTGATCCGGACCAAAAAGAGCGTCTATTGGAATTTGCAAGGCCAAACGACCCCGAGCTTATCGACGACTATTTTGACTACGCCACTCGCCCACGCCGCAGCATCCTCGAGGTATTGCAGGAGTTCACCAGTGTCAAGATCCCTTACCAGTATCTCCTCGGCATACTCCCTCCCTTGAAACCCCGCCAATTCAGCATCGCCAGTGCCGACTTGACAAAACTAGATCCAGAATCTACCGATTGCACTGTCACTCTCCTTGTCGCAATTGTCAAGTACCGCACTGTCATCAAGCGCACCAGGTGGGGCGTCTGCTCGCATTACCTCAGCGAGCTCAAGCCAGCGCAGAGACTTCGCGTCCAACTCATCGAAGGCGCAATGCGTCTCTCCGACGAGGATCTGCAGGCACCTTCCATCCTCATCGGGCCGGGAACTGGTGTTGCGCCTCTCCGCTCCATCATTCAAGGCAAGGAGCTCCTCCGCCAGGGTGACACTGGCAGTGCTGCGCCCAACTTGGGCGACACCATCCTCTTCTTCGGCAACCGTAACGCCGCGGCGGACTTCTTCTTCGCAGACGAAATGCGCGAACGCACGGAGAAGCAGAAGATGCAGCTCGCCACAGCTTTCTCGCGAGATCAGCGAGAGAAGATATACATCCAGGACCGCGTTCGCGAGCATGGCAAGGAAATCTGGAACTTGCTCCAGAAGAGTGCGAGGATCTACTTGTGCGGGAGCTCAGGCAAGATGCCGGAGGCGGTGAGGAGAGCGCTGGAGGATGTCATCAAGCACGAAGGAGGGATGAGTGAGACTGAGGCAGAGGAGACGTTGAGAGGAATGGTCAAAGCGGGAAGATTTAGACAGGAGACCTGGTAGAGGCTTTAGCATCGCGATTGTGCAAGTGAAAAGTGTGCGAAATATCATGGGAAGTGAGCTGGAGACTGGATATCAAATGGAATTCTAACTTGCAGGGACGGATGGGAATTTAACGTAGTATGCTGTGGAAATCGAAGTGAGATAGGTTGAGAATTGACTTAAGAGATGCGCGTACATCAGGTGCACGAGGGAAGAGCGGGTGAAGGCAATTGCTTTCGTGGTTGCAAATTTTAGTAGAAGTGTTGTGAGCACCGGTAGTTAGCGCCGCCGGTCGGGTGCTGTAGTACACCCATCACCCCAAGCAGAACAACGCCGTTCATCTAACAACATCCATGACCCGTCACCCTACATCTACTTGATTCTTTAGCTGCGGCGCGCCGGCACCGAGCGTATTTGACCAAACATGGAGCTCACGAGCACGTCGCCAGAGAGCGCCATGACCGCCAAAGAGTCTGACAACATCCTCCTCCGTACCTCGTCGTCGATGTCGGACAGCAATGAAAGCAGCAAGGATAGTCAAGGTATTGAGAGTGCTGTCGCAAACCTGCAGCTAGAAGATACGGACAGACCGCTCACGCGAGCGCGTCCGACAACATCATGCGTAACTCCACCATCAGCGCCCATATTACGTTGCTAAACTTCATGAAATCAACGTAGATATCCTCACCAAGTCAAAGGCCGCTACTCCCACCTTCATGGGCCTCCCTACGGAACTGCGCCAGCGCATCCTCTACCTAGTCCTCAGCACGCTTGCGCCCATGAGCCCAGACAATGGCTCCTACGTCGCCCAACTTGAATCCTCCCGCAGCACTCGCATCAGGCAGATCCGCCACTTCACCCCGACCGCACGCGAAGATTCCAGCATCGAACGTCTCCTGCAGGCCAGACCACGCCGCCGATTCTTCACCCGGAACGAGGTGGCGTCGTACCTGCACATGCAGAACCTCTACCTGATCAACCGCACCGTGCGCTTCGAGATGCGCTTCGTCGAGCAGGCCTGGCTGGAGCAGTACAAGCCGCGGGGCGCGGCGCCGCTGTCGTTGGGCGCCTTCGCGGCGTGGGCGGCCGCGCCGACGCCAGTCAACGGCATCCTCACCCTCTCGCTCTTCGACAGGAACTTCATCGCGCACCCGCCGCCCGAGTGGGAGCCCGTCGTGCGCAGCATCGCCGCGGACCGCTGGGCGTATGGCGACGTCGGCACCCACTGGCGCAGCAACGAGTACTTGCGCGCGTGGCGCGAGGTCATCAAGATGCTTCCGCAGCTGGAGGGCGGCGACAGGGAGGCGACGGTGGCGCGGAGGTACGGCATCGAGGCGGTTGAGGTGGTCGGCGTGATGCGCTGCGTGCTGACGCCGAGGAACTACCTCATGGAGGGAATGGGTCTGGTGCACAATACGGAAATTGCCTGGCTGGAGATCATGCTGATGATGCGGTGGGGCTTGAAGCAGGGGAGGGTGAGGGTGATGACTTGATGCACTATTCGGACAACGGGACGACGCGCCGCTATCCCCCAGCAGTCAGAGAGGAAAGTGGATGAAGGGGGTTGGATGATACACAGCGGAGCTCCGTGGGAGGGTATGATGATATTCGGCGGGGTTTTTATCTGGGTAACGGAAGTGGAACGAAGAAGTGGTTCCAGCCGTAGCCGTGTTGGCTGCTTAAACGACGCACTGCCAATCTAGCTGGCTCCTCCTTTTCTGCGTATGTGGATCACCTTAACAATAAATCAATGGTCTGAGAAATGATGTTCGTTTAAGGTCTGTGTTCATCATCCGGTTATTGTCTTTCGCTGTAAGGAAGATATCCATTCCGCGTTGATGATTCTGTAAGTCCTGCGCGAATTCCAGATACTCGTAGGGCACTGCTTGGGAGGATGCGCTTTGCTCCACCCCCTGCCCCTGGGTTTCGTGAAGGCGTTTTATGTAGCTTAATAAGGAGGTCGTCGGTCGATTAGGCGGCACTTTGGGGTGTCTGAGGAGCATGAATTCAGGTTCGCTCAAAGTATTGAATGCGCGATTGTGGGCGAATCTTTGGGTGGCGAAAAACATATTTTTAGCTGAAATGGCGGTGATGGGGTGCTTTAAATCTCGAGAAGCTAAATCATGTTCTGTCGACTGGAGCGATTGGATTGGAATTGTCCAGGTTGAGCTCTTGAAGTCAGACATGCCGTGAAAGTACTGAGAAAAAGAAAGAGAAATTAAGAAGGAGTAGCAAGAAATCTCGAGGAGTGTAGCCCAATTAGAACCCCTTACGAAGAAAGACTCCATTAGAATCACTAAAAGGATCTGTAGTCAAGGGTCAATGTGTCCCAACAAAGAACTCAAAGCTGACTGCAAATTGATCTGGTATCACTAAAACAAAACAACAGGAGGAACCAACAATATCCCAGACACAGCACACCCTGCCGTTACTCACCCTCTTTTGATCAAATCAGAGCTTACTCTCCCTTGGCCTTCCCTCCTCCAAGTCCTCAACGACCCCTCTCGCAGGTAGCGCACCGCTCATTAGATACTTCTCCCTGCCTCCCTCGTTGCCTGCCGCGTCCGTTCCACCCTCACCCTCACCACCAAACAAAACTCTCTCCCTCCCACCTCGCGTACTCCACCACGCCACAGCGACCAGACTCCTCTCGGGGTCCATCTCCCCACTCACCAAGACTTCCCAGAAACGTTTCCTCACTACGCTCTTCAACTCCTCACCCTCCACCTTGTTCGCCAATTCCGCGCACAGTGGAAGCCACTCCTCAAGCAGCGACACAGGCAGGATGGGCAACGCGTCGAGCAGCGTAAGTACGAGGACGGCCTGCTCGCTCAACGGCGACTCGCCCTCGGGCACTTCCTCGGCATTGTTCGGGGCTGGTGGTGTGATAGAGGCCGTGGGGAGCGGTGTCGATGGCGCGGAAAGGGCGCGGTGGTGGACAAGCTCGCAGAGGATGGCGGGGAGGTCGGGCTGGGAGGAGGACAGCGGAGAGGGCGGTGCCGTGACACGCAGAAGGGTTTTGAATGCGAGGCGGAATTGACGAGGGGAGAGGTTTGTGGGAAATGCGGCGAAGAGGGATGATACGTAGAATGGTAGGTGTTTGGCAGCGACTTGGCTCGCGGACGAAGGTGCGGAGAGGACGGAGAGCATCACGCTGTGGGCGGCTTCGAAGAGTGGAAGAAGATGGCGTGATCCTCCGGTGCTGAGATATGGCGTTGCTGCAGAGACGAGCAGGTCCTCGTTTGTTTGAGGAGAGAGGACTAGAGAGAAGTGCTCTGCAGTATTGAGAAAGAAAAGATCGTGACAACGGTCTAGAGGGTTGTTTGGAATGCTTCCAAGAGTAGCCGGTCGAATGGCTTTGAGGAACGCATCTGCTTGGAGAGGGTATTGCGCAAGAATGTCCATGGCAGACAGATACACAAATGTGTGCTGGGAGAAGGCATGGGCACCAATGCGAGAGGTTATGAAATAAAGGTTGCGCAAAATATGAAGCGCATGTGTCACAATGACCGGAGCAACTGAGAGAAGTCAGTATGGAGTGCAGGGCTTCTGAAGAATGGTTTACTCACCGCTGTCCGCAGCCAGCGCACTATCTCCAAGCATCCGTCCCAAAGTGCCCCTCAATATTATTACGGTAGCAAAGAGGGCGTTTTTGAGGATCCTCCAAAGTAGGGGTGCTGTAGTCCGGATGGTCTCCAGATGTAGGTGCTGTGATTCTTCAGAGAGATCAATAGTAGAGAGCTTGTTCTGGCGCCACTGAAGAGTGAGCGCTCGAGCGAATCCGGCGAGGTCGTCCATCATTGTTTGGATTAGCCAAGGATCCCGAACATTTTCGACTGTATGCGAGACGAGTCTAGAGTAGGGCCCCATGGATGCCATCAACGGACGGGTTGTGATGCGCTGTATCTGATGGAATGAAGACGACTGGGCCGACCAGTTCAGCTTTTGGCCTGCTTCTTCCACGACGTCAGGGTCCACGGTGCCGAGGAAGTAAGCGGACTGGAAGCCTTCATTGCTGAAGAAAGCAGCTCCAATAAGGACTGGTAGCAAGTGCTAACAGCCCGTTAGCTTGGGTCAGCAGCGGAATACAAGGGCTCAACAACTTACGTCGTAGTCAACTTGGGCCCTCTCGGCCTCTGACAAGACAGGAAAGATGCGATTGAGTACCAGCGCAATACAGTGGGCCCCAAGCTCATCGCCGTCCCTGACGTCTATGAGAGCCAGATTGGTTGCTTGCACCAGTGCACCCTGGAGCTTTGCTTCCAAGCCAGACGGCAACCGACAGTCCTCTTCGGCGCCGGATCCTAGCAGCAGTCCTCCTAAAACCAACAGATGCTTCCACCGCGGAGACCGCTCATCGGCGCCTCTGACGACCGCTGTAGCCCATTCTTCTATTGGCATGCCACCGCCGATTGGCATCTGTCCCGGCAGTGGCGGCTTGGCCGTGCCTTCTCTCACGTCGCGTTCATGCTGGAGGACGGCGAGACAAGCGGAGTGGAAGAGGCCCATTACGCGCTGGCAGGTGCGCAGGCCGTCGGGGCGTTCCCATATTGCTGGAGCGGATAGAAGCTGCGAGACGAGAAGCTGGATGTTCAGCGGGTTCGTGAGGGTGGTGAGGAGCGACGCGGCAGTTCCGAGCAATCTGAGCTGTGTTAGCTTCATCTAGGAAGTGGTGGGTTCGGGTATTACCTGGGCGTATCTTGCTGGTCGGTCCATGTCTGGAGAGACCGCAAAAGGGTCTCGAGCAATCGGTCAGCCGGCATAGTGGAGAGCGACGATGGTTCGTGGAGCAGCTGCGGCGAGCTTGCGGAGGATGTGACGGCGCGCACGAGCCGAGGCATCAGCACTCGCCGGGTAGGGCGCAGGGGCCAGCGGCAATAGGGCCGAGCCGACAACGCTCCCGACGTCAGTCCTTGGCTCCAGACATTCAACTGCGCCATGTGAGGCGCACAGCGGGCTCAACATGAGGTGAGTCCGATGTTGCTGCTTCCCCAAGCCCAGCACTAACACCTGGCCGCCAGCTTCGTCTATCGCATGACCAACGCCGCCCCGAGCGATTATGAGACGCCCCCCTTCCCATCGCTCTATTGGCCATTCCCCGTTCGCGGCCACCAGGCTTACTACCTCTATGATCCTGGCGATGTGTGGCGCTTCACCTTGCTGTGGACTCTGATCTTCTACGGTGCTGTCCATGTTGCCACCTCAGGCTATGCCATTGCTGTCCAGTGGCGCAATTGGAAAGTCATCTGGATCATTCCCGTTATTTTCTGTGTGATAGGCGGTATTGAAGCCGTCATAGCTGGCAGTATTGTTGGAGGGCTGTTAGTATGCTTCGTCTGCCATGAAAATCGCGGAACTGACTTTCTCTATAGACTAGGTGGCGTGTACAGCGCCGGCTACTACAACATGTCGACGTGGATTCCTTTCGTCTGGGGTCTGATTAATACCTTGGTCCTCATCCTCTCCTCGTTTGCCATTCAAGGCGCCCTTTGATAGGCCGAATCTTCATCTTACTTAAGGTTGCTACCAGTGGAGTGCCCAGCAGGTGTTTCTCGGGAAATGCTTAGAGTCTTGTGCGTGCAGCCACACCGTCTCATTCAAAGTATCCCGTGGCTGACCGTGTCTATAGAATGTGATAGAATGGGGTTCATTTTGGGTTCTCCGCCGCGAGAAAGCCTCCGGGCTAAACATTCTAAGTAGCGAGTCACTGCACTTACACAGAGGACTTGGGAATACAGGCTGCATTCAGAAAGGTTCTTTGAGTTCCGTCCTTCGCTTTTGCGGGTTCATGTGTTGCCAGGCGCTCGCCTTGGAGCTCTGCGCTGGTTCTCCGTCATTGCTAGTATAACACCCGCCTGCCCGTCCCCGCAACCTCACCTTCACTGTTCGGCAAATCCTCGCTTCGCGCTAGCCAAACATGCATAACCTGCGGTCCCTCTCGTTCGCTCTCCCTCTACTCCTCTTCACCTCGTCATGTTCCTCTAAACTAGTCGCTACCGGCAAAAACTACATCTGGTTCCACGCGCCACCCAACCTCAACGTCGCACTACTGCCCGCCGTCCTTCCCAAGCCATGGCGGACAAACCACCTGGTCTTCGTCACAGGCTCCTCCGTGGACGCCGCAAATCGTCTGACACGGCCGACACCTCAGACTCCGCCTCCGACGGTTCTCGCAACAAGAAAGATCAAAGCAACAGCACTGACAGCCGTTCTCCCCCGCAGCCCGTTGCCCGTCCTGCCTCTCGTTCTCCAAGTGCCCGTATGCCCAGGAAGCTGCAGAAGAAAAGATCGAGCATCGACAGCTACACCTCTTCAACCACACCATCGCCTTCTGGTGAAAGTAGCAATGACAACAAGGGCGAAGTCGTTGAGTCTGCTCAATCCCGTGCTAATGCTCGTCGTCAGGAGCGCCGCCAGCTGGAACCTATTGGCCTTGGACCTACCACCACGACTAAGTCGCGCAACGAGAAAGAGTCGGCCACAACCTACCCTGCTTTGCCACATGACGCGTTGTCCAGCGAGAATAACACGGTCGTAGCTGCGAATGGACACCAGAGGAAGGATCTCTCCATGTCACCGCTCACCAAGGATGCCTACGAGGAGCGCAGCGATGACCTTTCCCTTATGGAGGTCTCGCCATTGTCCAGTAACAGTGAATTCACTTTGTCTGACACTAGGAAGGAGAACAGCAGCGAGCGTCGCAAGTCGATTGGCTCGGCTCTTGACAATGAGGAAGATAGTAAGTACAACGCTCTTTTCGTCAGGAATGCATTCCAAACACGGTGGGATAAAGATAACCACCGTTCCAGCATCTGTCTTCCCCCATTTACCTTGCTTCACCGTCCGGCTTCCAAACTCCATTGTGGATATATCTCTCACGGAAGACGTAGCAATCCACCTTCCCGAGTACAATGATCCTAACCCTCGCATTGGTGATCTCACCTACCGTAGCATCGCTAGGGCTCAGGCAAAGCTCCGTACACCTTCTCCGGTCTCGCCCCACCGCGACAACGGGAACAGGATTAGGGACAGCCCGGTGTCCCCGCTCGAGGACTCCCCCAAAGCCTCTTTCAAGAACCAGGAGGCCCCTCTCCTTCCACATGAGCGCATGGAGCCGCCGAACGAGACAGCTACCTCTACTAGCGAAAGCCGCTTGGCCATAGCCAACGAGAAGTCCGGCTCTACCGGCTCCACCCCCCACTCTGACGTACCGCGCGTCTCCAAGCTCAAGAAGAAGCCCTCGACGAAGAGCAAGATCCCCACCCTGAAGCTGAACACCACGAACCTCACAGACGCCACCGGCAACGGCGGCGGCGGTAAGAACAAGATCGTCCGGGGTGATGAGGATGGCGACGACGCCGATTTCCACCACAACGCCGTCGCGGCCGAGAACGCACTCCTCGAGACACTGCGCCGCATCACGTCTCGTAAGCAGCCACAGACCGACACCGAAATCCGTGCCGCCACCGAGGAGGTCCTGCGCACCGCTGCCTCCGTGCTCGACCTGGGCCCGCGATCGCCCGTTCTGGCTCAAAATTCGCTTCCGCTGCCGCCTGCGCCGGAAGCCCCGGAGCTCCTCCACCCCGGCGCCGGCGACATCACCACGCCGATCTCGATGCCGCCCATTCCGCGTAGTCAGGGCAACGATGACAACCATGGCCATGGCGGCGGTCGCAGCGCCAGCAGCGGCGGCGGTAGCGGCGGCGGCGGCACGGTGCAGAGCCTCTTGGAGGACGCCGCCGACGGGGAGGAAACCGACGACGACGACGAGCTGCTGCTGCAGAAGAAGAACCAGAGGTACAAGCAGCAGCAAGCGCCGGTCGGCAGCGAGCGCGTCAGGCACCCGGCCAAGGTGACGTACGAACGCCCGATCCTCCTGGCCGCCGGCGTGGCGCAGCGGGGCATCCACCGCTGGAAGTGCTGCCGCTGCCAGTGCTATACCCACTACGAGAACCACGTCTGCAGCAAGCTCGACTGCTTGCACGCCCGCTGCGAGAGCCACTGCGAGGCCTTTGAGGTTTGAGCTGCTATGCGCGCGGCGTGTGATTTAAGGGATGGATAGAAAGGGTTTCGGTTAGCGAGGGGGTACGACTTTACGAGCTTTACGATGACGGATGACTAGACATGCATGATAATACGGGCAAAAGGGTTGATGACTGATATGGGCATGTGTTCAGAATCAGGATATGGCTGCGGGTAAGGAAGTTGTGTTGGATTCTGGGGAACATTGCAGGCAGGGCGAACTCCAGTATCTTGACTACGCCTTTTCATTTAGGCGATTTTCACACTGGAGATAAGGTCCATAGAAAGTGCTCTGTTCCAGTCTCTTGTTGCGTGCCAGTATCGGTGGTGATCAAATTAAAACAAAATCTGCTGGTCTGGCTAGAGGATGGAATGCCGTATGAAAGTAGTTAGCCGTGGAATGAAAGGGATAATTGATCCAGCCGGTGCTATTATCCTCTTGTGATTTAGCCTTGTTCCATTACCTATGCAACCATTCTTGGTGTCCGTTTGCGAGAGATTGGCAAAAGAATTCATTGCTTCTTTAGAGGCGCGTCAAGGTTGCATAGCCTCTCGCTTCTTATATTTTATGCTTATTTTGCCAAGTCAACTTCTCGTCAGCGATCTCGCAGTGCACTGAGGAGAGGAGAGGGGGTTTCTTTGGTCGAGTTTTTGGAATTGTCCTTGTTGTGTCGTAGTTTACATACATGGAAGCTCCTAGCGTTTGAAAACAAGGGACGATGCAACCGGTTTCGTACAAGTGATAGACGCCAAGTGACATTCATTAAGGACCCAGGTTCGTGCCAACTTCATGAGCAACGTTCATGGGGGGTGTATTAGTGAAGGGAGAAAGAATAGACAAACATATACAATGAAGGGGTTTTAACGTCTCCTACGACGCCTCAACTCCCACTCGGTTGCGTCATCGTCGGCGAAGTCATCAAGGAATTCCACCTCCAGTTCTTCTTCTTCGCTTTCCTCGTCAAGCGTAACCATCTGGACAGAGGGTTGAGTAGTGACTGTATCCTCAGGCGCCAAGCTCGTCTCTTCATCTTCCTCCATGAGGCCGATATCGCCCAGCAAGTAGTGTCCGAGGTAGTAGATAGAACCCAAAACTTCCTTGCCCGTTGGTACGATGTTCTGCTTGGGAAGGAGGAAACCGTAGCTACCTGTGTCACGTAGCTTAATCTGATACGAGTACTTGATACCGAGCTGGTGGTAGAAATAGTCGAGGGCACTGCCACCACCTGTCTCCATGCGCGGAAGGTATGTCTTGTGATCTTTGTTCTTGCCCGTGTATGCAACATTGCCCTCGCATGCAGATGTCGCCTTATACGAGTGGCCGCCCTTAGAGACACGGATGGCTTTAGCAAGACCAAGGGCAACTTCCTCCAGATCTTCAAGAGTAGGCGGCTGGTCGGCGCACGAGTACGAGTATGGGTACAGAATCTGTTCTGAATAGGAGTGGAGATCGAGAAATGCCACGAACTGGACATTGTTCTGATCCGTTTCATTCTTGGCCCAATCCGCGAAACGTTTGGCCTCAACTCCCTCAAATGGCTCGTCTCCAGCATAGCTCTCTGAGCAGGGATTGTTCCTGGTAAACTCGCCATCCCAATGGAAGTCATAGGAGCGGTCAAGGTCGATGCCTTGGCAGAAACGGAGGGAGGTCATCTGCCTGTTCTTGCGCCACAGTCGGTCCGTCTCCCACGTGTAGACATAACCATCCGGGTTCAAGGTCGGAACGAAAACCCAGTCGAAAGCTTCCAACAGGGCAGTGGTTGTAGCCGACTTGCCGTAAGATGTGATCATCGAGTATGCAAGGTAGTTTACGGTGCTCACGCTGATCCATTCGCGAGCATGGGAGCCGCCGGTGACGAGAATCGTCTTGCGCGGCCCGCTGTCCTGGTCCCTGTTGGTGGGATGGACGCCTACCTTGAGCGCAGGAATGTCGCGGCCTTCGTAGGAGATGCCAATGTTGATAAGCCTCGCGTGTGTTGTGAAGAGAGATTCCATGAGGCGCAGCCACGGCATAATGACGGAGAGCGGCTGGTAGTCGCGGAAAAAGAGATTGGTCTGCGCATTCTGCGAAGAGCGTAACGAGTGCGAAAACGGCTCACGGGACGGTATGGAATCAGGGTTCGTCGCGGGATACGAGTCGAAGATGGCCTGGGCGAGGTCGTGGTCGCGCATCAGCGGCGCATGGGCATCTTGGAGCGAGGCAGGCAACAGCCCAAGCAGCGAAGGCACCTACGAAAAGATAAATCAGACGTCGGGGCTCCAGAAGACGGCATTGCAGCGCTCACCACGTCCTTTGCTACCCGGATGTCGACCCAGTTCTCATTGAACTCCCACACGTCGAGGAACAGCGTGTTCGCGGCGTCGGCGAGCTTGCGGGCCTCGTACTCGGTGCTCACGTTGAAGCGCAGCACCATGTCGTCGCCATAGCGAGCCAGCAGCTTGCCCGGCGGCGCCACCCGGCCGCCTCTGGCATTGGCGTCGAGCGCGGCAGCGCCGTGGGCGGACGGGGTGTTGGGCGGGCCCCAAAGCGCCGTCAAAACGCGATCGGAGAGCTTACGCCATGAAGGTCGGGAGTCGGGCTGGTTGAGCGGCGAGGTGCAACACTGATCGAAACGGGAGGGCCCGGCAGCGGTAAGCGCAGGTGCGCACAGAAATAGCAGGGCGGCTTGCTCGAAGACGTGGACGCGCATGGCGGGCTCCGGATGGTGCGGACTGCGGGTGCGAGCGCGTGCTTGAGCTGCAGCTCGACTGTACGTAAGAATGTCGTTGATCCACCGCGGGCGTAGGCGGGCCGGCTAGCTGCGAGCTGCGGCAGTCAGGCAGTCGCCCAAGTGGAGCCTGCTTCAGACTCAGGCTTGGCGTGCCGGGTCATTGGAAGCGCGGCATGCGTCGCTGGGGGCCAGCCACAGCAACCTTGGCCGCGCCCGTACAGGCGTCGCAAACCAGCCGCGAGTTTGCTGGAGCGCCCAACACTTGCGCCGTCGCCCTCGCTGCGCTCAGCGACTCCGACTCCGTAACCAGCTCCTTAGGGACCGCCAAAACGCCCAACACCAACGCGCCCGCCCCGAGCTCGTCGTCCGTTATTGCCGTGGCGGTGCCGGCCCGGTCCCATCTTCTGGCCCCTGGAGCGCAGGCCGCGTAGCATCCGTTGCATCACCGGTTCAGCGCTCTGCCAGCCCTACGGGGCCCACCGGCCAAAGCATCGCAATCCCACGCGGTCCCCTGGTTTCCTGCCTGCGATCCCCACGGCCCCTACTCGTCCCAGCACCACCACCCACCGTCCCCAATGCCAAACGAACCGTCGCCAATGCCGACTTGACCGCCCGCGCCCACGCCCGCCCAACCCAGAGCCATGCCGCTGCGAGGCTTACGCCCGGGGAGGAGCGAAAAGGACCTCAAGCGCCGCAGCACCCTCGACCCTTCCAGCATATTCAAGCGTGAGCAGGCGTCGCGCGCCCAGTCCGCCGTCGACCTCGCCCCCAACCGCGGCATCCAGTCAAGCGATGGCACGCGCCCGTCCCACTTCGATCCGCGGGTTTCCTGGGCTGGCGAGCCGCCGCCCTCGCCGCCCATCCAAGAACACAACGCGCAGACGCGCCGCTTCAGTATGTTGAGGTTTCGTCACGCCTCAGACCCGCAGCTGTCCCAGAAGGCGAAAGAACACGCCCTGATGGCCGCCGCCCGCGACGCTCCTCCGGTGCCCGCCATGCCCGCAGGTAATTTTGGAGCGCCAGGGCATCCGCGCACACGTGAGGCTCACCAAGCTAACTCGCGCCCCTTCGCAGCTCCCGCAATCATTACGACCGCACCGACCATGGAGCCTCCTCCAAACCCGCCGCCCAAGAAGAAGACGAAATTCCCCACCTTCAGGCGCCGCCTATCCTTCGAGCCCAACATCGATTCGTCTCCGCGGAAGTCGTCGGAACATAAGCGCAGCGCCGAGCACGCGCGTCCAAGTTTGGGAGGATTGATGGAGGCACGGCCAAGCCAGGAGGATCCCGCGCGCCTCTCCGTATCGCGAGCCCGTGAAGCGACTCCCGAGAACGGGCATTCGAATGCCGGATCGCAGACTGCGCTGGGAGGGAGACTGTCAGACTCGTCACGGTCCGACGCGAGCTCGAACGACCACGTCCAGCTTGCGACAAACAAGCGGCCTTTGCTAACGTCGCATTCCACCATCTTCAGATTGCCCAGGAGAAACAAGGAGTCGAACCGCAAATCCCTATTTCCTTTGCCCGTTAGGATACCCGCCCCTCCAGAGTTCCCAGACACAGCTCCCGCTACCCCGCGCGCGTCTACCAGCGGCGTCAGCGTCAATTCCCCCCATCATTCCCCCGACGGAACCTATAGTCCTCCTTTGACCGCCGTACATCGATCAAACACCGATGGAAGCAGTCACCCCTCACAACCTTCATCACACTCCGCGCTTTCGTCCGCTGTCAACGGTGCATCCCACGCAGAACCCAACCTTTTGAGAAATGACTCGACAAACTCAGCGCGTTCGGCGCGATCCTCGCATTCTTTAGCGCCTCCAGCGAAAGTTGGACTCCGAAATCGCTCTTCTACCATGGGCTCAGTTGGGGGTAAGTCCGACGATGACCCACCTCCCACTCCGCCCCAGGGGCAAGATGGACGGCTTTCGACGTCGACAACTGGGAGAGCAAGCTTCAGCAATCTGTTCCATCTTGGAAACCGCTTTAGACAGAATACGGAATCCAATTCACCACGCCGTGGCTCACCAGGTGTTATAGCGTCAGGACGAGGATCGCATTCGACGTCGTTGAACATTAGCCGAGAAACTTTGGTGGTACCTACAAGAGAGGAAGGCGAAACCCCTGGAAGATACCTCGAACGCCTAGAAGAGAACATCGATCGAAGCCTGATAGCAAGCATCGTTGCCAAGCATGGGGATGAGTTCTCGTTGGCGGTTCTGCGAAGTTACATGCGAAGATTCATGTTTTTCGGGGATCCTATCGATATGGCTTTGAGGAAACTGCTGATGGAAGTGGAACTGCCAAAGGAAACTCAACAGATTGATCGAGTCCTTCAGGGATTCGCCGATCGCTACCATGAGTGCAACCCTGGCATATTTGTCTCGCCTGGTAAGGTTGCTTTCATTATCTTTTTACTCTTTCATTTTGTACGCCTCGAAAGATGCAACGAAGCCACTAATGCCCTGCAGAGGAAGCCTATTTCATCTCCTTCTCCATTGTGCTCTTGAACTCGGACTTCTTCAACCCCAACAACAAGCGGAAAATGCAGAAGCCTGACTACATCAAGAACTGCAACGGCGGCAACGCTTCCGAAGTAAACGAAGATGTCCTGGCTACAATTTACGACAACATCGTTTACACACAATTCATTCACATCGACGATGAGGTCGATCTGCGGAGTCTGGCAAATAGACGGAGCAAAAAGACCAAGATCATCAAGAACGCTGTTCAAGATCCGGTGAAGAAAGCACAGAAGGAACCGGTTGATCCGTATACGATCATTTTCGAAAATAAGCTGGACATTCTCCGACCGCCGATCAAGGACGTAATGCAATTCGAGGATCCTTACAGCTACAAGGGAACGGCACAATGCATAGACCTGAAGGCTCTGCACAGAACTTTTGCAAAATACGGCGTTATTCAGATCGTCTCCGCTCGTTCTCGTCCGGAAGCTTTCATGTCTCCTTCGACAATAGAAAACCCGGATGGTGCCCAGGCTGGTGTAGTTGAGATGCCTGTGACCAAAGTTGGCATCTTGTGGCGAAAAGACACGAAGAAGAAGGCAGCAAGATCACCGTGGCAGGAATGGGGAGCGGTTCTCACACGCTCCAGCTTGTCTTTCTTCAAGAACGCTAGTTGGGCTAAAGGCTTGATTCATCAACACGACTCGCACGAAAAGGCTGGTGGTGCTGGAAATCCCGTGGTGTTTAGGCCACCCGTTGAAGAGTTCAAGCCTGACTACGCAATCCCCATGGACCAATGTGTCGCAGCCTTGGACTCGAGCTACAGGAAGCACAAGTACGCCTTCGTCATCTTCGCCAAAGGCGGAGCGGAGGAAGTGTTTTTGGCTGATGACGAGGTGGATATGAATGACTGGCTGGCGAAGTTGAACTATACTGCGGCATTCGAGACAGCTGGAATAAGGCCACGCGGCCTGATCGGTGGAAGCTACGACGGCCAGCGAAATCGGGCCATAAGACGTCTGGAGTCTTCGCAGTCCACCAAGTCTATCCAGGGTCCTACAGGGCAGGTCACGGTCTCGAGCGGAAAGATCGACAATCAGCTTGCTCAGCAAATCGCAAAAGCTCGAAGGGAAAACGTCCAGCGGAAGGTTGAGGAAGCTGACGATCGGCTGGGTGCTGCGGTGAAGCAACTGGATAGCCGCCTGAGGGATGCCCGTCACTTGCAGGTTATGGCCCCTATTCAACCGAGGACCAGAGAACATGTCATGCACGCAGCAGGCCGCATGGCAGCGAAGTTGAAGTGGATCCGCATCGAAATCGTCCGCATGAAGGCCCATCGAGACATTCTCATCATGGACATGGACGAGGAGAAGAAGAATGCCGAGGAAGCGAAGTCAAGGGTAAAGGAGATTGATCCGATCCCGCCCGTTCCGGCCCTTCCCTCTGCCGCCTCGTCTCCTTCTACAGTGCAGGGCCCTAAGTCTTCACGACTTAGTGGACTCGTCCGTCTGGGATCTAAAGCTAGCGGCTCAACGACTCGACCTCGTTCACCAAGATCACCCTCTATGAGTGGCAGGCCTGACACCGCTGGCTCTGATGCTAATGAAAATGAAGTCTTTGCAACTCCTCCAGAGACAACTCAACCAAGCCCTGGCTCGCCACCTGCAGGCTGGGAGATTCCTCCCATGGAGTTTGGACCTTCTAACAGAGACTCTTGGGCCGAGTCTACGACTTCCAGCCGTCCAGGACTTGATCATCGGCCGTCAGTGTCTACTGTCGGCGACATGACAGAGTCCGTTGATGAATCAGATGCTGGCTCGCGGCACCGCCGCCCAAGCATTTCTGACGCGGAGCACAATCCGACTGAGATGAATCTGGACGGCCGCCCTTCGACTCCTTCAGGCGAGAATGCTGAGCGACCTGCTCCTGGCAGCCCCGAGTCACGCAGCAAGGTTCGCCGCAGTCTTCACCGCACCCTTCGCGACACGCATAGTGGTAGCGGACACCGACGGAGCGGCAAGGGCAAGGAATCTGGCTCTAGCATCAAGTCCGACGACCTCAGTGGACCCTCGAGCCCAGAGGTTCTTCCGCGTACTCACCAAAGCTTCACTGTTCATGGAAAGAAGGCTTCTGTTGTCACGTTCGGTGCAGAGTGGCAGAACCTGTCGGCAGAGGAGCGCTTGAGGCTGCGTAAGTCGACAAATGACGAGGGCAGCAAGCTGAGCGCTTCGGCGGCTGGTGACGACGATGCCACAATCCGAGGCAGAGGTCGTGCTGCTTCGACGACCTCGGAAAGTTCTCGTACCATCAGGAACCTGACCTCGGGTCCTGGTCCTACTCTGGAGGAGGGGGAGATAGAGGAGGGTCTGGGATTGAAGCCTCTGCCGAAAGACGTGCAATGGAACAACGGTCGCCTGAGCGAGGAAATGGCCGACTCGGGTCTTGCTTCTGAACCCGAGGACCTCTCGCCCACGACGACACGGGACAGTGCGACCAAGGCTGACAAAGAATCAGCTGGTGATGATGAGGAAGCCCACGCAGGCGGTCTGCACAAGAATGTTCAGCCGCAGGCCGTGGAGGCTTGATCTTCTCTTTTCCCTTTTTTTCTCAATGAGGAGTCTGCCGCAATGACGTGTTCGGTTCTTCTTCTACATAGATACCCAGAAACAAAGCAACCTGTACTGCTACGGTAATTCAGGGGCCGTATTATTTTTACCCTTCAAATCGGCCCGCTGTCTCAACTAAGACAAAATTCTCGACATTCACTCAACATCTCCTTGTTTACCATCTACTCTTCCTGTTGTTCAGCGGGCCTTGTTGTGTTTCAAACGAGTACCCCATCTTCCAATCGGATCGTCTTCGCCCGGTTTTTCCCTTTTTTTTTCCTTGGTCTTTTTCAGAGCTTCTTCAGTTTGTCTGAGGTGCCTCAACTGCATCAAACATGGTTGGCGTGCGGGGGATACGGTGGCGCTCAGCACAAATCATCTTTGTAATGGCGATTTATACCTCATCCAAAAGTTTCCTCTTCTCTTCTTTCATGAACGTTACCATACTCCCCGGTACTTGCGCAAGCTTCGAAGGTGTTGGCATCGGAATCGGTTTAATCAACAGGGAAGGTGATTCCCACTTTGTCCTCATCTTCCTTCCTCATCTTCATCATTCGCATTTTAATCACAGCGGCAGAGCGTTTGGGGCTGGGGTGTTACCTTTTTGATCTTTTTCCTTGACTTTTTTGTTTCCTGACACTCACCTACCTTCTCTGTAACGTGGGCCAGTCCGCTCTGGCCCAACGATTACATGGCTCGTTTCCCTGCTCTCGTTCTACTCCTACGGATGAAGGACGAGAAACTAGCAGCGGCAAGGCTTGAAACGGCAAGCGAGCATGCACCGAATCCATATCTCTGGACCTCTCTTCTACACCGTCATCTTTTTCGAGCTTCCTCGTTGGTTACGGTATCGGTTGATTATTTCCTATGTTGATTGGCAATGATGGGCATGTTGGTACCTTTGCTTTTTCCTAGTTCTTTTTATTTCCTTGTGTCTTTGCTTGTTTACGTTTCTTTTCTTTTCCTCGTTCCGAAGACGCAGTCAGGGAAGACGAAAGATATATACCTTTGCACCTTTTTCCGGGGCCTTGGTGTTGATCGTTGTTTTTGGCAAGGGGCGGTGGCATGGTGGCATGGCGATGGGGTCCTACAGACATAGGTTGTGGTGGTGGTAAGCGGCCATGGACATTTGTGGAGTAGGCAGACACCCATCCTCACCCAAATTAGGTGAAGGGATAGAATATCAACCGGACGCTTGTCACGCTGGGGCGTCTTTCCCGCATTGATCCTCGCAGTAGTGCAGACAGAGAGGCTGAGACGAATCGGGAGTGGAAGAGAAGCACTGACGAGGCTTGCAATCTTATATACGCGCTCAAAAAACGCCTTACTTGACCCCCGACCGGCATGCTCTTCGGCACTTCTCGGTAACTGGGTTCTCCATGTGCGAGCGAGGAGAGAAGGTACGGACGTATGGGCGGATGAGCTGGCAGGTGGGAGGGCACGCATGCAAAGCACACGACCAGCTACGAACCACTTTAGCTCAGCCACCACCACGGGGCGGCCATTTTTCGAGTCATCTTCGGGTCGGCTATCTAATCTTTTTTTGGCGCACGCAGAATCTCCGCCTTTTTCTCCGTGAGCTGGAGCTTACGAGTTTCCAATCTCCGGTATATTATCGTCGAGGCTGTTCCCGCTATGTACACATCCCGGAGCAAGTCGGGATGGGGGAACGCGGGTGCGGGTTTTGTTTCCCCGGACTTTCTCTTGCTTCTTCTGTCATTCTTTCCTGTCCGCGATTTTTGTTCATGCGGGGAGGATCCGGGGCCGAAGGAAATGCACGTGCGTTCGCGGCTTTGGTTAGCGGCTAGCTACTGCATTAGGGAGAGAGAGAGCGTTTTTTGACGTTGTTGGTCACACACGCGGCGCGCGCGTCCATCTGATCTCAAGATGCCCCCCAAACGTCATCTTCACATGTCAGTGTCAGAACAGGAGGAAAGCGCGGGCTGATGCAGGTGCGACGCATGGCTTTTTGTCCTGCTGCAGGCTTGCGGAAGGCTAACGCGCGGACAAAATTCCGTAGCAGAGAAAGCCAAACAACGGTAGGCTTCATGTCAGAGGCGAACTGGGGGAGAACAAAGAATCATTCGTGGGTGCGAGGACCGTTGTGTGACGGATGATGGATCGGAGCGACGGAAGACTGTCGACTCGGCAAGGCGGGCGGTTGGGCCAGCTCTTGCGCTGCCGAACGTTTGGTTTTCTGCCAACCCGCCATCTCTCTTTCCCTACTTCCGCTCGTCCAGCATTGCTCTTCCCACCGCCCGCCACACAAGGGCCAGTCGGCCGTGCCCCGCAGTCTGTCAATCAATGCCTCAGGCACAGGCGCTGACGGAGGCCAAGGGTTGGCAGCTGCCGAGGTGACGACTTGCGCGCTGCTGCTTGCTGCTGGCGCTGCGGCTGCATTGGCCACGGCTACCTGACAGCTGACGCGCCGAAAGGCACGAGAAGCCAGATGATTCCCGGGGTAGCAGGGGGGGCATGCGGTAAGGTTCGTTGCGTGCGTGCGGCAGGCTAATCCTTGGGCTCGGTTTCGTTCGGTCCAGCCCGCTACTGCGTCATGGGCCGAGGCTCTGTGGAGGGGCAAGGGAGCACGCTGTGGCGGCGCTGCGCTGCTGCCCATGGGATTGGAGCTCGGTCTAAAGGTTAGGGCAGGGGTCATGAGGGTTGCTGCCGCTGCTGAACTTTAGAATGCGCTTGACGGGCCCTTTCTTTTTTTTTACTTGAGCTTGCTGTCGTCTGCTTCTCTCTCCCGGCTTGTGACTCCTCTTCACTTTCTGCCTCCAACCTTTTATCATTGGTGTATATACCCTCTTGCGTTGTTGCTTGTGATTCACCTTTTGCTTGAACGCGCGAACCACCCCGCTATACCCGAGGAAGAACGAACGCCTGGCGCCCGAGCGGAATTAGGAGGAAGGAGAAAAGACTCATACTTTATCCTCGCGAGTCCCTGAGTGCTTCTTTAATTGCGCCTTTGCGACCCTTTTCGAGCTCAAACAGCTCCGCGCGAATCCACCTCTATCTACGAGAGGAAACAGACAAACCGCAACAATGTCCGCAAAAACTGTGGGAGGACCGGGCAACAAGAAGCCCGCGTCCGCCGCGACGAATCTTATTGGTATGCCGGAGCGTCGCGAAGCTTTTGTTCATGACCAGAAAGTGCTGACTGCCATCTTCAGCCGGTGGAGGAGCTGGTATGATGGAGGCGCTTGCCTGCCATCCTCTCGGTATGTCTACATTGGAAAAGATGCTCCGATGGTCGAACTTGGGGATTGACGGGACCGGCAGACACAATCAAAGTCCGCATGCAACTCTCGAGAAGAGCAAGAGCACCCGGGGTATGTCAAGATTCTTGTGTTCTTTCGGGTTTCGCTGCGCAAATCAGCCCTCAATGCCTTTCTTTCACATGTGAGAGGAGGCTGCTCCGAGAACTGGTCTCCGACAAACCACCGACCACACCTTCGCACCAAGAGCGTATATCCTCGTAAACAAAGGATACTTCTGAGTAGGGGATGTGGTCGGAGGGTGTCGGTGCCTGCTCTCGCGAGCATTGCTCTCTTGAGCTATAAGACTTCAGTGAACTGGATGCTAACCCGGATGCCGTACTCTAGGCAAAACCGCGCGGTTTCCTCACGACCGGCGCTGAGATCGTGAAGCGCGAAACACCTCTCGGTCTGTACAAGGGCTTGGGTGCTGTCTTGACGGGTATCGTGCCCAAGATGGCTATCCGCTTCACGAGTTACGAATGGTACAAGCAACTCCTCGCAAAGAGCGACGGTACCGTGTCGGGCCAGGCAACATTCTTGGGTCAGTAATCCCGCCTCTCTGCGCAAAGCAACTTCCAGAACTGACTCTCTCTTTTCCACACAGCCGGTCTCGCGGCAGGCGTGACGGAAGCAGTGGCGGTGGTGACGCCGATGGAAGTTGTCAAGATCCGGCTGCAGGCGCAGCACCACAGCATGGCGGACCCGCTCGACGTGCCCAAGTACCGCAACGCCGCGCACGCCCTCTACACGGTCGTCAAGGAAGAAGGCGCGGCGGCGCTGTACCGCGGCGTGTCGCTGACGGCGCTGCGCCAGGGCTCCAACCAGGCCGTCAACTTCACCGCCTACACGGAGCTGCGCGCCGGCCTGCAAAAGTGGCAGGGCCAGACGGACCTGCCCGGCTGGCAGACGGCCTCGATCGGCCTCATCTCCGGTGCCATGGGGCCCCTCAGCAACGCCCCCATCGACACCATCAAGACTCGCCTGCAGAAGACGCCCGCCGAGCCCGGCGACACGGCTATGGGCAGGATAATGAAGATTGCCAAGTGAGTTCCCCCTCCCCCCTCCCTCTTTTTCTCCTCAGTGGGCGATTGCTGATCCTTTTTTCCTTCAAAACAGGGACATGTGGAAGCAGGAAGGCACGCGCAGTTTCTACAAGGGTATCACCCCGCGTATCATGCGTGTTGCTCCCGGCCAAGCCGTCACTTTCACCGTTTACGAATACCTCAAGGGCGTCCTGGAGAGGGGTCGCGAGATGATGCCCGGCGGGCGCTATGAAGAGTAAGATATATTGCCAACAGAACCCAAAATTTCTCTATGCTCTTGTTTGGGAAGAGGAAAAGAGGAGATGCCCCTTTTTGGGGGCTCTCTCTCCTCTGAGAAAAACAAACTTTGTCGGGCGGAATTGTTGACGTAACTTTTCTTTTTCTCTTTTCTTATAGGGCTACTCCGCAGAAGATATGATGATGTTTTGGGAACGAGCAATCCGCTCCCGGTCCTGGGACGGTGCGAGGATGATGGAGATGCTGGGGCGTAGTTGTCGTGTGCTTGGACTGTTTCGACTTGGATATTCTTCCTGTTGCAGTCACGGCGTTCTCAAGGGTTCTTCCTTATTTGTATGGTCACGCATGTCTGAGTCAGCCCTCGCGGGCATCCGTTAGAGAACGGTCTCTTTTCTTTTCGCGTTTTCGTTTCGCCTGTATACGGCATCTGTCAAGGAGGACGCTGCCTTGTTATCCATCATCATCATGAGTAAATACAAGCATATTCCCTAACGCATCCAATTCAGCATGCTGTTTTGTCAAACATTGATACATCCGTACCGCGAAGATATTCGAGTCATCTAATATCTACAAGTGACAGCCCTGCTGTCAGGTATCCCGTGCAAAATGCCAATTATATCGTGCCTATGAAATCCGCCGTATCCGCACCTCTCCATTTACCACCTTTGTGGCAGACTTACTTCTCTCTAGCGCCTGCCGGGCCTCTTGGGCTTGGAGAAACCGGTCTTCTTCTCCTCCTTAGGCGCAAACTCCTCGTCGATGGTAGTAGCACCGATCTCGTCCGGGTTGCTGAATTCGAGCTACACATTGGGAAACCCCGTCAGCTGACTGGCCTTTCCCGAGTACCACCAAGCAGGTAAACAAAACATGGAACTTACCCTCTTGTGGATCTCGAGGCTGGCTTCCTTCTCGGCCAGATGAATGGCAAAACCGCGCGACGCGGCGTACACCATGCGTTCCTTGACCTTGGAGGTGGGCGGGCAAGTGTAGATGAAGAGGATGGGGCGCGAGCCGTCGGGGGCGGTGTCGTGGCGGTAGAAAGAATAGCGAGGGGCGTCAGGAGCGATGGAGCTGCCTAGCTCCGCAGCGGAAACGGTCGTGGTCGAGACAAGGCGGAAAGTCTCGTTAGGCACATCGATGTCCTGTTTGCGTGATTTCGCCGGCACATCAGCACTCAACCCCTCCTACTAGCACCGCTAGTGCAGATGTAGAGCCAAAAACAACATACCAGCTGCACCAAATTGGCCCCGTCGTTCTCGGGCAAGCTCTTCAGCGCCTCGACGATGCCGTCCTGCACCTGCATGCTCAGGTGGCCGCTGGTCTGCACGCGGCGGGCGCCGGTGCCGCCGCTCTCGAGGGCCTCGGCCTCCTTGATGTCGACGAGGTTCTGCTCCTCCTCGGTCAGCGGCACGGCGCCGGCGACGTGCGCCTCGTGCCGCTTCCAGCCCTCGGCCGACAGCTCCTCGGCCGTCGTCGCGAAGAAGGTCTCGGCGAACTTCTCGCCGCCCAACTGCCGCACCAGCGCCAGCCGCGTCGACGCCGTCAGCGTCTTCTGCCGCACCGGCGCCGCGTCCGGCACGTACGTCACGGCCACGAAGCGCGCCGACTCATCGCCCGAAGACTGCCGGACGAGGATGTAGAGGGCTTCGTTGGGCGTCAGGTGCGGCGCGAGCTGCGAGAGGTCCGAGTAGAAGTCGGATTGCGCGGCGACGGACTCGCGCGGGATGATGGTTTCGCCCGAGACGCTGGCGATGAGGAAGCGGGAGGAGGGGTCGGTCGTGAGCTTCTCGAAGGCGGTGTGCAGCTCGGCGGAGGCTGTTTTTTGTCGTAACGGCGGACGTGGTCAGCGGAGGGGTCAGCAGGGACAGCGGTGGTGGTGAGGGGCACCTGTGATGCCGGACTGCATGGTGGGCGGGATGGATGCGCAGTCGGAATTGTTGGCGGTCCGGGGGGTCGGGCGATGTGGGCGGTTGCTTGGGGGAATTGGGCGTTGTTTATGTGGAAGGTAGCTCCTGATGAGCGGGGGGCGGTGATGTCGTCGGTGAGGGGCAGCACTGACGCGAGCGAGCTGCTCCTCCGCCGCAGCCACAGCAACCCATGTCTTCGGCTTGAACGACGCGCACCGCCTGTTTCTCTTCGTTTGTGCAGTCTAAGCTTACTACACTCCTGCCAGCTTGAATGAGAATCCGAGAGTGTAAATGTAAGATTTATTCGATAAGGCCGTCGCCGACCTGTAAAGGTACCGAGATAAACGGCAACTACTTTCTAAATCTCCATGCATAACTTCATGCCCGCCCAGCGAGCTGTCGTAAAACCATAGGTATTCCCTTGCGCAGTCAAATTCCCCAGCCCGTCAAAATGCAATTTTCCGTCCCGTCGACTCCCCAAGATTTCACGGCGGATGCCCGGCAGAGTCGATCCCTGTCATGGGAAGCTGTACCTGGCCATCTTCCGCGCGTCCTTTGCTTCGTGATTTGGCAGGGGGATGAGCCGTGCCGCGTGCGCCAGCGCCATGTCCTCATCCTCCTCTTTGGGGGTGCCGGTTGGCGAGGGAGAGGACGGGTCTTCCTTGATGGACGGAGGAGAGCAAGTTGAGCATGTGCCGCACGACAGGCTGCACTCCCGGTCTCCGCTATTGGTGGCGCAGGCACAGGAAAGCGACTGCCTGCGCACCCGTGCGCCGCAGGCGTGTTTGATGTCGTTGAAGCACATTGCTGCTCGTCGTGGGCTGTTAGATTGAGCTGTGGTATGGCGTCGTCAACACTCACTGCTATCAAAGAAGATGGGGCTGGGGCTCAAAGAGGAGGGCGATTGCCGGAAGCGGTTACTTGATGCACAACACTCGGTCTTGACTCGGGATCCCTGCAGAGGAGGAAGAGCGAGGAGAGGAGCGTGGGGTAGGTAGGGCTGTCGGCAAAGATAAGTTTTTCGCAGGGAGATTGCAGGTTAGGCGCGTCCTTCCTGCTACATTCCTGTCGAGGTTCTAGACTGGGCGGTTTGTGAGATGGCAAACATTATTCCTCGATCGCTAAGTCCCTGGCAGCGGTGGTCCCGAGTCTCGTTGCTTCGGGGCCAAGGCTGAAACGGCTCGAGAGTGGCCCAAGGGGAGCCGGCGGAATGTACGCGCTGTGCCACCCACTCCAAACACCCAGGTGCACAGTACACGCGGCGGGGTTGCGAAAGCATCGGCTAGGCAGCCACGTTGCATGTGAATTGATATGTCTTGTCGGATCACAGAAAGCTTGCCACACGACGTCGCTGAATGCGGATCTTGTCCGGCTGCGTCTGTTGGGACGATATCCTGCCCAGATTTCCATGGCTTCTGGTTCATGGCGTGAGCGAAGTCGATGGTGGACCAGGTAGCACAAGGCCAGGAACACTTCAACGGAAGGAATAGATGACGTCAGCAAAGAGGGGCTATTTTTGGCGTTGCAACAGTGGACAAGAAGAATGAAAATACCGTGGGTGAGCCACAGCAGACGCTGCTAGAGAAGAGCTGCGCTTGTCACACTCCGGGGCTCTAGAAGAAATGCAAACACAGGACTCGGACAATGCAGCTGTCACCATATTTCGTGGTCAGCAAGACAATCGGATTGTGGCATCGGCATTCCGCGCGTGACCATTGTCCTTTGTGTGCTGGTAAGCGTCTGTGGTGCCCGAGCGGGGGTGAGCTCGGGCGATGGAGAGAGCATGTCGTGGGTTGAGGTTGGCGAGGAGCACTGTGGGGGGGTTCGTGCACGAGTCATCATTGGGCAAAGCGGAGCCGGGAGCCTGACAAATGACAGCCCTCTCTATTCCCCCCTCCACTTCTGAGCCTACTCTCCAACAAGGCCATAGTGCTTGTTATGGCCTTCTGTTACTTATCACGCCACTTTTTGACGCCTGATTCTTCTTCGCCGTTCCTGTACCTTGGCTGAAGCGCCTCAACTGAACCATGGCACAACGCACCCTTTTCCCTGGCGTTGCTGTTGTCACTGGAGCAGGCGGGACAGGTGAATACCTGCCTTTCAACGTAGAGCCAGACATGGACTGCTAACGCAAAGTCCCCGGTAGGTATCGGAAATGCGACTGCTCTCGCCTTTGTCGAGGCCGGTTGCACAAGCCTCGCCATCACCGACCTTAACCCTGACTCGCTTCGCGAGACCGCCATTCAGGTTGTCGAGAAGAACCCCTTTGTGAATCTGTTTGAAGAAGCAGGCGACATCTCCGACGAAAAGTTCGTCGACTCTTTCATCGCCAACGTGGCCGAGCATTTTGACCGCATCGATTACTGCGTCAACTCTGCTGGCATCTTGGGCAAAAACGAAAACTCGACTGAGATGTCGATTGAAGATTTCGACAAGATCAACAACGTCAACTATCGCGGATGCTGGCTTACGTCCAGGGCCCAGCTGAAAGTCATGCTGAACCAAGAGCCACTACCTAGCCACGATGGATCGCGAGCGCCGCAAAGGGGCAGCATTGTGAACATTGCCAGCCAACTCGGCGTAGTTGCACGGCCCAAAGCTCGTAAGACTCTTATTAGTAGAGGTGGTAAAGTGCGATGCTGACATCCGTCAGCGGCATACTGTGCGTCAAAGGCTGCCGTCATTGCCATGACCCGCTCCGATGCCATCGATTACTCCGAACACGGCATCCGCGTGAACTGCATCTGCCCGGGAGTCATAGAGACGCCCATGACTACAAGTACTCCCGAGGTTACCGAAAGGCTGAAGCCGGCCATCGATATCGCCCCGATGAAGCGAATGGGAAAGCCCTCCGAAGTCGCTGATGCTGCGCTTTTCCTTTGCTCTACAAAGGCAAGCTTTGTTCAAGGGCATGCCATGGTTGTTGACGGAGGGTACGAATCATTCTTTACTGATCATGAACGCCGCCCTAGCTAATGCACCCGCAGATATGTCATCAACTAATGAAAGCATGAGGGATATCACAAGCCGGTAGAAGTAGACGAATTGTTGATATAGTCGTAAAGTAGGTTCATGATTTGCGGTTTTCTTAACCGTAGGAAACTTTTTTGTACAGCCAACCACTCCGATAACCCTGTCCATTCTAGGTTATGACCCCAACAATAAATAAAGCTCTAAATCGTGGACACCAACATCAAGGCTCCAAGACGATGCAAAGCGGGAATCTTTCAGTACTGCGCCATTCAAACGACCCAAAATCCATCCCAGAGTATGCGGCAAAAACAATAAAACACCACATCCCTCTTTAAAAGTGCGGCGCGTTGAGGAACAGACCCATGAGCACACCGCCGATGGTGCCGGCGACGGGGATGGTCATGATCCAGGAGAAGACGAGCAGGCCAACACGCTGGAAGTTGACAGCCTTGAGGGTGCCGTTGCAGAGACCGACGCCGACAGTGGCACCGGTGATGCACATGGACGTCGACACGGGCAGCGAGTACTGCGAGAAGACGAGGACGGTGATGGCGGCGCCCATTTCCATGGAGCAACCTGATGATGATTGTTAGTTTGACTGACAGATGACAGCATGAGTGGAGGAAACATACCTCTGCTGGGGGAGTGGTAAGTGATCTTGTTACCCATGACCTTCATGATGTTGTAACCGTAGGTGATGAGGCCGAGGGAAATGGTGGCCGAGAGAACTGCAAGCTGCCAGACCGGCACAGGGGCCTTCGCCGCAGCAGCATCACCAGTCTTCCAGGCCGAGTAGATGACGGCCCAAGGGCCAACAGAGTTACCGATATCGTTGGCGCCGTGGGCGAACGAGGCGGTGCATGCGGTGAGAACCTGCACGAACGAGTACGTGTGCTCAACCTCGTTGGGGTACTTTTCAGCGTGGGCGTAGACGCGCTGCATGCGGTTGCCCTCGGGCGTGCCCTCAACACCCGTCTGCGACGCGTGAATGTCGTAGTGCAGACCATAGAGGGCACCACACACAATCATGGCAGGAATGCGCTTCGCCATGATCTTCATGTTGTGCCACTCGTAAATCTGGCCAGGGCCCATGGGGTTCTCGTGCAGCGTGCGCATTGCCCAACCGATGGGGCCCCCCTTCTTGCGCAGCTTTGCGTGCAGTCGCTCATCGCCCTGCGCTTGCAACTCCTTGTACGTCGGCTGCCGAGTCTCGGTCGCGACGAGCCGCTTCTCGTTCACCTCGCCGGCCGGAGCAGTCATGATGGCCTCATCGCCACTGTCGGAGCCTGCCTTGGAGCTTGAGGCGTGGGTCGAGGGCTCATCATCCTCGTCGTGCTGGACAACAGCGTAGTTGGGGACCTTGGCCTGGTCGGCGTCGGCGGGGGCAGGGCGCTTGAACAGCAGAGGACCCAGGACGAACATGTACCACTTAACAGTGTAGTCCTTCTTGATGATCTTGGCGTGCAGGAAGGGAACGAAGAAGATGGCCGCCATTAGGGCGACGCCGCAGCCTGTGCCCATGGTTACGGCGGCCACGTACCAGCCAGGCTTCTTGTTCAGCTTGAGGTTGGGCGAGCCCTTGTAGACGATGGACAGCGTGCAGACGGTGCCGGCGACGAGGAACCAGAAGGGCGACGAGTAAACGGCCCACTTCATGGGGTTCTTGCGCATGTGGACGACGACCTTGATCAGCATGAAGATGCTCGCGCCGAAGCCAGCGGCAATAGCGGGTGCCATGCCCAGACCAGCGAAGATGGCACCAAGACCCTTGCCATTGTTCCATCCCCATTGCACTCCAGAAGCGCCGACGGTGGCGACACCAACACCAGCGACGGCGGAAATGAGCGAGTAGGTCGACGAGACGTGAGCCGAATGTTTTGTGCACCACATGACCCATGAGGATGCGGCGGCGAGGGCGCAGGTGAAGGCGAGCATCTGCACGCCGGCGTCACCCCGGAAGGCGTCGTTGGGAATGATGCCGTTCTTGATGGTGTCGGCAGTGCGGGCGCCCACGGTGATGGCGCCTAGCATCTCGAAGACGGTACCGAATATCATTGCTTGTCTGTACGAGATGGATCTCGACGAGACACTGGTAGCCCAGGCATTGGCAACATCGTCTATCACTTCAATCAGAATGATGAGTGGGAGGAGATCAGAGCGAGATACTTACTGGCACCGTTGTTGTAGGCATCGAGCATGGCAAACAAAGTGCCGATGACGAAGACGTAGGTGTATTGCTCGAGCACCATCTTGACTAAGACCTAGGTGGGTTCGGAGGGGGTAGGGAGCGGGCTGCTGAGGAACTCGGGAAAGACTGCAGGATACAGGTCTTATGTACGATAATGCTTCGACCGCCACGTGCATACAGGTTTGTAGCACGTTTCCATCTTTCCGACTCGATTCGACGAGCTTCAAGTCTGATATTTCGCGCGTAGGCGTGCCACTAGTGAGAAAAAAAGCAAGTCGCACCGAGCAGAGCAGGCGAGGAGATTCCCGGCTTGGAGGGTGCGCTTGTGGCTTTCTTGGAGAACCTAAACCGGGCTCGAGATCCGCTCACTGGAGTACATCTTGGAGTGCCGTTGGCGGAAGTGGCTCTCGGCGGAGGCTAGTCTTGGCGGACAAGGCGCTTGGCGGCTGAGGCTTGCGGCGGAGGGAGCGCTTGGCGGAGGTTGGCTGCACGCTTGAGCCTCCCAATGAGCGTTCTCATAGTCTACACGTGGGTGCCGCACAGCAGTAAGGCATCAAGGCATCTTCCCCACGTGGGCGAAAGTAGAGGAGCTTACTCGTGCGGAGGGAGTCGTATTCCGGGAATCCATGAGCATTGCGTTCCGAGTCGCCAATCCTGGTGGCGAACGCTTGCGTGTATGCCTGACGACTAGTGGGTTACATGTCCCAGGTTGAGGAATCGAGTATGCTGTCGCGTGAGTCCTGCAGGGCTGCAGGAAGGATGCAGTCTTCAGCACTCTTGTCGATGGCCATGGCATCTCTGGGAGTGTTGCTTCGCCGGCTTGACCAGCTTGACCGTCGCACAAGGTGTCGAGAATCTTCCCGTTGGGTCGACCTGCAGAGCAAAGTGCCGTGGTCGGGGATGCCGAAGCTGAGCCGGCTCGGTAGTTGTTTTGGGCGTGTGGCAGGTTGTCGCTTCCGTTTGGGGGTGTTTTGTATCGTCCGCTGTGTCAGCCCAGCATCGATCCGGGGCCGACCGAGCCCAAACGTCTCTTCTTTCCGCTAGCTCTATCATGGCAGCCGACTTTGGTCGCAGAATCGCTGGGCACGATCGTTTTTCCGCCGAGGTATTTTGATGTGGCCGCCTTCGACCGCTCGGATAGGTCTCTCACCGGCCACGACAACTAGCCAACGCCATTGTGCCATGGCCTGAGTCAATCGTCTCAATGCGCCCCGCCGAGGAAAAGGCGGGCGAACAACGGGCGTCCCCTTTCCGTTCCAAGCCGAGCACGAGTCTCAGAATCCCCAGAAAGAGCAAGGACTACCGTGGTAGAGATGAAGGACCAGGTCGATTACTCGCTTTACCTCGTCACCGATAACACCCCGGCCATCCTACGCGGCCGCGACCTCGTGTCCGTCGTCAGGGCTGCCGTTGAGGGCGGTACGTCTATCACCCTGCTTTGAGCGAGGCGCACGCCTGATGAGACTCGTGTGCAGGTGTGACCATCGTTCAACTGCGGGACAAAACCAGCGACACGGCCAGCCTGGTCGAGACTGCGAAGAAGCTGCACCAGGTCACCAAAGAATACAACGTCCCCCTTCTGATCAACGATCGTGTTGATGTCGCCCTTGCCGCCGGCGTCGAAGGCGTCCACATCGGCCAAGATGATATGGGTCAGTCTTCCTTCTCTTCGACCGACACTTTTGCTGATGCCTCGAGCTGCCAGACCTCGCCACCGCTCGCCAGCTGCTGGGTGAAAATGCAATCATCGGAGTGACGGCATCCTCAGTCGAGGAGGCCATCAGAGCCGCGAAGGGAGGTGCTGACTACCTGGGTCTGGGAACCATCTTCGCTACTCCAACGTGACTAGCCCTCCAAGCTATGCAATTGCCTGCGGCTGATAAGCAAACAGGAAGGAAAACACCAAATCCATCATCGGCACTGCTGGCCTGCGCGACATTCTCCTCGCCCTTTGCGAGCAGGAGGACATCGCCGACATCAAGACCGTCTGCATCGGCGGCATCAATGCTGCCAATTGCCAGCGTGTCATCTACCAGTCCATCGCAAAGTTCAAGGCTATCGACGGTATCGCCGTTGTTAGCGCCATTATCGGTGCTGAAGACCCCAAGGACACGGCCGAGAATCTCCGCGAGCTGGTGAGGACACCGCCGCCTTTCGATATTCAGCAGCGTCCGCTGTACCACGGCTCTCATGAAGAGATTCAGGAGCGCGTGCCACCGGTCGTGGAAGCGCTTGCGAAGATGAACCCTCTGTGCCACAACATGACGAACCTCGTGGTGCAGAACTTCGCTGCCAATGTTGCGTTGTGCATGTGAGTGCTCCAATCCAGCCTTCCAGCCGTTTGTTCTAGTCAGGAGTAAGAGCTGACAGAGACAAAACAGCGGTGCCTCCCCTATCATGTCCAACAACGGCCTTGAAGCAAAAGACCTCGCAAGCCTGGGTGGTGCTCTCGTCATTAATATGGGCACGGTCACACCTGAGGGCCTGCAAAACTACAACCATGCACTGCGCGCCTACAATGACGTAGGAGGGCCCGTCGTCTTCGACCCTGTCGGCGCGGGCGCCACCGAGCAGCGCCGCAATGCCGTCAAGTCGCTCCTCGCCGGCGGCTATTTCGACGTCATCAAGGGCAATGAGAACGAAATCACCACCGTCTTCGCCGCTAACAACCCGCGCGGGAAAGACATCCTGCCGCAGCAGCGCGGCGTGGACAGCGCGCCGAGCACGAGCAGCGTCGAGGAGAAGGCCAAGCTGGTCGACGAGCTGGCGCGCCGCGAGAAGAATATCGTCGTCATGACAGGTGCCGTGGACGTGCTGTCGGACGGCGGCACCACCTTCGCCATCCGCAACGGCCACGAGTACCTTGGCGCAATCACCGGCTCCGGCTGCACGCTCGGCACCACCATCGCCGCTTTCCTCGCCGCCGCCAAGGGCGAGAAGCTCGTCGCTGTGCTGGGGGCCGTGCTGATGTACGAGATCGCGGCCGAGCGCGCCGCGGCGAGGGAGGACGTGAAGGGCCCTGGCACGTTCGTGCCGGCGTTTTTGGACGAGTTGTACCGCATTAAGAAGGAGACGAGTGAGGGTGATTATCAGTGGTTGGAGGCGGCGAAGGTTGAAACAATCAACGTGGAGGATATTGACTGAGTGGCAACATACTAAAGTTTTGCCAGGAAACCAACAAGGGGCAAAGAATTGGAAGAAAGTTTGCAAGCAGCTGTATCTCGCAAACCCAGTACCATCTACTTCTAAGTATCTACTTACTGAAACACTCTTTGCACATCATATCGACATGGAATGTGGCTCTAGAAGCCCAGTGTACACTGCCCCAATTCTTCTGATTTCAAGACACCACTAACGCACCCGAGCCTCACACCGCCCAATAGCGCGCGATAGACTCTTTCAAATCCACCCTCCCTTCTGACCACGGTAATCCTCCCTCTTCATCCACACCCTGTCAGACGACAGCCCCAACCGCCCCACCAGCATCGCCTTTAAGTAAGCCACCATCCGCTCCGGAGCCGGCCTGCCCTCAGCCACACGAATCAGCGGAGGGTTGCCGACAACAGGGTCGGTTGTGCCAGGGATATGATCCACCTGGTCTTCTCTCGCCATCCGCAGCATGTTGGCGACGTCGACGCCGCGGATGCCGAGCCGTTGGGCCAGCGCAGGCGAGAAATTGCGCAGGACGGTGACCCAGGCGCGGGTGTAGGCGGTGGCGCCGGTCCTGGGAGCGGTGCCGTTCCAGCTGGGTTTGGTGGCCGTGTCGTCCTCGTCGAAGAGGATGGGGAGGATGTGCGTGACGAGCCAGCGGTAGGCGGGCGGCGGGTCGCGGATGAAAGGCTCGTCGAAGAGGAGCAGGGTGATGTGGATGTTGCGGCGGGGCGCTAAAGGCAAGACGTCGGAGTTGGCGTTGGTTTTCTCGACTTTGGTCGTTCCCTCGGAGTCCTTCTCCTCCTCCTCCTCCTCCTCCTCCTCCTCCTCCTCCTGCTGCTGCTGCTCCTTCTTCTCCGCTTCCTCCTTCTTTTGCTGGGCAGAAAACGATGCAGCAGCCTCGTCCACCCAGGCCGCGAAATCGCCCAGGTTCAGCGCGAAGCGCCTCGTGAACCAGATCGACTCGACGCGCAGGAGATCCTGCTGGAACGTGCTGCAGACGATGCTCAGGCCGCGGATCTGGGCGTAGGCGCGTTGCTCAGCCGTGCTGAGGTGGGTGGAAGCGTAGTTAGCGCGGTGGTGGGTGGGCGTCTCAGGCAGCGCAGACAGGGCGCGGGTGTGGCAGAGGCGAAGGGGACAGAGGCTGGTGCAGAGGACCATGAAGATGTTCTGTCGGAGCTCTGGGGGAAGGGAGAGTAGGCGGCTTGTTGTGGTGGCGATGACGGTCTTGTTCTTCGAGTTGGTAGGAGTTGGGGCGCTGCGGTTCTGGGAGTGTTTGCGGTTGTCTATGAGAGAGGTTTGATCAGTAGAGTCACTAAATGGGTGTCGGCGTTGGATCTACTACGTTTGATAATGCTTCGAAGTAATTGGAGATGCAAGAGAAAGCTTACCGTTATCCTTAGAAGCAGCATCCAGTCTTAAGTCCTCGCGGTGGCCGACACTTGCCTTGCCAATAACGGTGTGGCCAGTTTTTGGGCTCATTTTGGGATTTGGTGGAGGTTTTGAGATAATCGCAGTGGCCGGCGCCGGGATTTTGCTTCAGTAGACAAAATTCGAAGCGGATGCTTGTCAAAGAATACCTCACGGGTGACTCAGTTTGCGATGGGATGGAGACGGACAGTGAAAGGAAGAAGCAGACGGGATATATATACGTACTGGACTGTGTTCGGTCGCGGCATAGCGCGAAGTGAATGTCCTGTGTTATGCGGCGCGGTGGGAGTAACACTTTTGATCATGGCTTGTGATTGAAAGGCTCTCATGGAATAGTGATTGTATTCAGATCATCTCCTAAGCTTTTAAAGACCTGGCTGTTGTTTGCTTGTTAGCTGCTGCAAGTTTGCCTGCTTATTCGCAGCTTAACTGCAGCATATAGGCATAGAGCTGAGTGTAGGCACGGCTACTTCAACGAAGATAGCTGTTCAGCGCACCGGGTCGAGACTGAGTCCAAGTGCTAATTTCACTTGCAAGTACAGTCGTGTCACTTGAAACTCTGCATGTGGGTATCCATAAGCAAAATATTGATCAAATTCAAACTATCTAATGCCCTCAGGTGCTCTCTTTTGTTCACATGGACGAACCAGAAACGCTACCGGGCTCTGACGATCCCGGGCGCCGGTTGTCTGCAATTTTGGCTTAGCTGTCATCATAGGGCGGGCCTCTAAGCGGAAAGGCAAAGAGAACCTTAGTTTAGGCTGAAGAGGAAGAAAAGGAAGAGGGCAAAGGAAGAAGAAGCCGTCTTAAGTACCCAAGCCCGCACGGACCTGGACCCTGAACATGGCCGTCACCTGCGCAGCCAGGCGGCTGTTCGTCTTAGGAAGACACCACCTTCCGTACCTAGAAGCCACGGTTGCGTAGGGTAGCATCTGGGAAAGCGCGCGGCCTTCGCAGCGGTGACACTGCACGTGAAGACTTCTATTTCTTTCTCGTACCTCTCCTGCCTAATCAGGATCATTACCATCATCATCCACTGGTTATGATCATCAGCCTTTCATTTACAGGCTACGAAGCAGCATCTTTTCCAAGTCGATGAGCGTCGCCGCGTCGGCCCCAGGAAAGCTTTCCTTATCAATGCGGTTTGTAACTCAAAACAGAAACCAAAACAGTCCGAGTGCCGCTTCCCAAAAGGCAGTACCGGTCATTGTCCGGAAAATTGGGTGACAACACCGTTGAGCTACTTTGCTGAGGATCGATGGGAGTCAAATTAAAAAGGCTTCTAGATCACTCTGCTTTGAGTAACAAGTGACGTAAACTGGTGCTCCTAAGCACGTGTTGCGCACAGCTCTATAGCATCATTTCGGTGCGTGTGGCTTCTGACACGTCCGGAAACACTATCCAGAGTAATAATATATCACGAGGAATGTGCCGCCAAAAGTTTCCATGTGGTTGGCAACTGTGTGAATGGCAAGCTGCACTTTAAAGAACACCTCCGCAGCTAGCACCTCTTACGAACCATCGAGTTTGAATTTAATACTTCAAACGCTTTACCAGAAAGGATAACCTACTCTCTGGAGTTCAACATCGCGCAACTAATTGTTTCCAGTTCTTTGCATTTTATGGCATTGTCCCATCCCTTTCATACTCCAGACTCGGAAATAGTAGCTCAGAAGCATTCACGTAGGATGAAGACGAACTCTCTGCCCATCGATGTTGGTCTCCATCATCTCTTTACAACACTGAAAATCAGCACTTCACAGCCAAATCTATGTAGTTTCCACATCATCAAGTCAAACAGCGCAAGCTAATACCAATAAACGAGGTTAAACACAGCCTTAAAGTATCTTGGGGGGAGAAAGAAAGTGGCTCGTAGTTTCACTTTCATCCGGAACAAACAAAAAGACAGCTTTGATACTCAAAATGCTGAGAAGAAGCGCAGAGTACTTGCTTTTAACCCTATCTGAGTGATGACGTAATGCGATTCACATGCCCGTCCGCCTGTACCTGGGTGACAGGGCCGTAGCAATCATGTGTAAAAGTAAATTATCTGTCCCAGGTAGAAAAGTGTCCTTGTCATTCAGCAAAGCCCGGTTTTGTAGAATTTGCTGGCGCAAGACACGATCACTTAGCCATAACGCTAGGCATAATACAAGTAGCAAAACAAAATAACATCTCACACGCATCCATTCAAGAAACAATGCAATAATCAGCTTCGTTGAGTAACGTGTATGTAGTACACGAAGTGCGTACAAACAGTAAATAAAAAATTTGGGAATTTAGTACTGGAGACTCCTGGCAGAGGGGGTAAAAAGGTTTGATGGTGGAAAAACCCAAAGTCTAATGCATACAACCCCCCCATTTGAACTCGCGCTGAATCAATCCAATTCATATGAATTCATTTCGCTCAGTTCTTTTCCCCCATCACAACTTCAATGGCTTACTCGAATCCGCTTCCCCACTTGACCGCTCTTTCAATTCTCCACTAGGGTAATCGATTTAGTTGACGCCGGTAACCCTCTTGGCGGGCTCGGAAGAGATGGTGCTCTCGGCGTAGTAGAAGTTCTCCTCGGGGACACGGCCGCGGACAAAGGCAGGCTCAGAACCGCGGACGTAGATGTCCTCGTAGAGGATCTGGGCGGTAGCGTCCGGAGGAGCCATCTTCTCGGCCTCGGCAACCTCAGCGTCGACGTTGCTGCGGGCCTCCTTGTCGATGGCCTTGAGCTCCTCCTCGCTGGTGACGCCCCAGTCGAGCAGCTTCTGCTTGATGCCGGCAATGGGGTCGTTGGTGCTGCGCATGCGCTGGATCTCCTCACGGGTCTGTCAAGGAAGTTAGCTCAACAGTGATTCCCAGCTGGCCTATAGCTAGTCTGGCTGGAGAACATACGCGGTAGGTGGTGCCAGGGTCGGACATGGAGTGACCACCGTATCTGTAGGTAACGAACTCGAAGACAAGAGGACCCTTGCCGGCAGCGGCCCACTCCTTACCGAAGGCAGTGGCGGCCTTGACGGCGAGGACGTCCATACCGTTGATCTTGAGACCGGGGATGTACTGGCCACGCTTGTAGTAGTCGGTCAAGGCGGACGAACGGGAAGCGGCAGTACCCATGCCGTACTTGTTGTCTGTCGTTCCTGTTAGACAGTGGCCAATGCTAACGTGCAGCTGTTGGAATCTTACTCTCGCAGGCGAAGATGACAGGGAGGTTCCACAGCTTAGCCATGTTGAACGCCTCGAAGACCTGGCCCTGGTTGGAAGCACCATCACCGTACAGCGAGAGGGTGACGGCCTTGTTGCCAAGGTAGTGGTCGGCGAAGGCAATACCAGCACCGACAGGAACCTGGGCGCCGACGATACCGTTACCACCATAGAAGTTGGGGGCGAACATGTGCATGGAGCCACCCTTTCCGTAGGCGATACCCTCTCTCCGGCCCAGCAGCTCGCCGATGATGGACTTGACGGAGCCACCGCGCATCATGGCGAAACCGTGGCAACGGTAGGCGGTAATGATCGAGTCGTTGCGGTCAATGGCATGCTCAATACCGACGGCGACGGCCTCCTGACCGGTGGAAAGATGGCAGAAACCACGGATCTTCTTCTCCTTGTACAGACGGTCGGCGGCCATCTCCATGCGGCTGCGGAAAAGACGGAAAGTCAGCGGTGGGGGTCCTCATTCACGCAGCCCAACATTTCCGGTAGAGCCTTGCGCGCAGGCAATTGCGAGGGGAGCATACCGGACAGCGACCATGTCGTAGTACATCTGCTTCAGCTCCTTCTTGGTCGTCTGCAGGGTGTAGGAGGGCGGGTCGAGCTCGTAGGTCTCGAAGGCCTCGTCGGAGAGGCGGACCTCGAAGGGCTTGTCATCCTCCTGTTATTTGCGTCAGCACCAATTGGCAGCATGCGAGGCAATTGCACTAACAGAGGGGACGGCCTCGCGGTCAGCGTGCGACGAAGCTGCGTCGGTGGTGACGGTGCGGCGCGCGGCGAGCGGAGCTGCGTAGAAGCGGCGCAGCGGGGCGGCGGCGGCCTTTGTCCTCAGAGCTCGCGAGAACATGGCTTCGACTGCGGAGAAAGGAGCGGAGGAAGAAGGGAAGGGGGCGGTGGATGGGGTGGGCGAGATGGAAGAGAGGCGGTTTGGCCGGCCGAGATAGACAAATCTTCCGCACAGTCGTGTTGGGGCCGCCCGGCGGGTTGGGAATCCGACGGCCAACATCGGCTTGCGCCAATGCGACTCCGACGCGCGCCGCCCGCGCCTCACCTCCACGACCCGCTCCACATTTCAATCAATAAGCCATTGTCGCAACATTCACGCTCGATCTCTATCGTCCTCCAGGACTGCTGAGGGTAACTTTCTTTCGAAGCTTGTGCAATGCGGGCCGCATACTCTATCGCCGGAGCTGAGGTCTGCTGTGTTCAGCTCCGATCGACCCGCTTACACTCCGACGCTCAGCGATTCGTGCTGACAAGAATTTCAACAGCCACACATCAACGCCGTCTTCGGAAGCTTAATTGCTAGAAATCATGCACACCCGCTCTCACCCTGTATAGTTCACTGATATCTCCGGTAGAATGCCTTGGGTGTTTTCCAAGGAATCAACCAAATTGAACCTTCAGACATCCGCCCTCTTGACGCCCCACCCTTTGCAAGCCAAATTTTATACCCTGACGCCCGCCTTGATGTACCATTAAAGATTCTTCCACCACCTTTATGCTCCTGTGTAGTAGGCTTTCTACTTGGTATATGGATTTACGCGTCAACCTTTGCCTTCTTGGCTCCCGTCTCTGCTTCTTCTTCTTCGTCATCCTCGTCATCTTCAATAACCATCTTTCTCTTGGCCGGGATTTTCTTCCCAGATCCCTCTCCTGTCGTAATTGGCCTCTTCTCAGCCCTCTCAATGATTCTTTCATAGGATGCCTCCAGCCCTGGAAGAGCCGCCTCGATCTTCTCTACCCGCTCGCTTTCGTCGATCTGCATGAGCTGGTCCCTGTTGTGGTTGTATAGTCTCTCCTTGGTCAGGTGCCTCCAGAAATAGTACCGACGATCGTTGGCATCGGCTGCTTTATGCTTCCGCGTGATGCGCGCAAGCTTGCGGTTGGTCGCGGGAATCTGACTGAGCGTGTGCATCTCGACAAGACGGTGGAACTGCCTGGGCACAATCTTGGCTGCGTGGCGGATCTTCGTAAGCTCGTCTTGCGGCAGCAGGAGGGCAGACGGCGACTCTGCGTCTGGAGCCAAAGCCTCGGCAGGAATACTGTCCGCGATGGTCATGTTCGCGAACGTCGGGTTCTGGCGGAGGCGTGCAAGGTCGCACCAATCACGCATGTCATCGAACGCCTCGTTCGGTTCCTCCACCGTAACCTCGAAGACGTTCCTGTCGTTGAGGAACATGGACATCATCGTGTTGTAGAGATGGCTGCCGTGGCCCTGGCCCTGGAAAGGCGGAATGATGATGAACTGCGAAATGCGCTCGCGCGAGGGTGCATCAAGCGGGCTGTAGTTGCCAAGGAAGACACCCGTCACAGGATCCTTCTCGGCCGCATGCGCAGCAGGCGTGTCGTGAGTGAGAGCGAGTATCTCTTTCGTGGGAAAGACCCAGAGGCGGTAAGAGGTTGCGAAACCGACGAATGTATAGGGCGAGGAAGTCTCGTCCTCCTCGAGAGGCGTGACCTCATAGAGTAAGAAGACCTTCCAGCGCTCCATTGTCCAGTCCTCGTCGTTCAGGTCCTGCAGAGTCCCACCCTCAATAAACAACGGGACCAGAACCTGCACATTTCGTAAGATCTGCTTGAGAGCGGGATCGGTCAAGCTGCCCGACCAGATTTCGAAGTTCCTGCCATACTGCGTGTACTTCTTGATGAGCTTGCCCGGGGGTGTCCACTTGCTGTCCGAGCTATCCGCGGAGCCGTTCTCGGCCGAGTTGTCGCCATTGAGGACCTCTGCGAAATCTGATCAGCGGTATATTTGGGTGAGAAGGCAAGAAGCTTGCGCACCTGGAAGAATGAAATCCTTCAGTATATCCTTTAGATCCATAGCCTGGATCTTTCCAATGCCCTTGAACTTCTCTCCATACTGAATGTCAAACGACGGCTTGAGGTCGTGCGCGCGGAAGCGGAGGTTGAGTTCGACGTCCTTGTAGCCAAAGATCTTCTCGTCCTCTCCGAAGATGGGGTATGTGAATGCCGGATTGAAGGGCTCTTCAAAGACGTCTTGGCCAGAGCCGGCGCGAACAAGATTCAGGTTGAAAGCTTCGCTGGAGTCAACGAGCCCTGTCGCGACAATTAGCAGTGATGCGCGCGCAGCTGAGTCGCGCGCAAACTTACATTCCAGCATTTCCTCTGCGATTTGTTCGGCCATGTTGCCTGCGGCGGCGTGCAAGGGGTGGACAAGTTGGAGAAAATGCGACGCGCGAGGGGGAAGGTCGCGGCGCGGGCGGAAGCTGTGGATGGAAGGGCAGGCTTTGGAGTCGCGCGCTGCTGCGCCTGCACGCCGGGCGTCATTTCACGCGTCTTCGGCTCAGCGCGACTCAACGGAGGCCCGAGCTCCCGCGGCAAGCCAGGGTCCATGTGCCAGCCCTACGGTTCGGCGCGCAGGCCACGCCAGCTCGTCGCACGCCGTCATCGCCAGTTTCGCCCTGCCGACTCCCGCTCTTCGTCAGCTGCAGCACGCCATGGTGTAGATCGCCTACCCTCTCGCTACTTGTTCGCCATCCGTCGCGATCCCCTACCCCTCGCTCCCACATTTCGCGCGTGCTTCACGCGCTCCCGCCGCCGGCATGTGGAACGGACTCTTCATGCTGCTCGGCCTGAGCATGATTATGGCCATTTCGTGTGTATCCTCCCTCTGTTTTTTGGCGGCCCAATGAGGCTTACGCATTCACAGCTCCTTTCTCGCCGGTTCACTACCTCTATCTTTTTCCATGTCTCAACGCCACTTACGCTTGATGTCTGCTATGGGCACTGGCGTGTTAGTTGGCACTTCGCTGATCGTCATCATCCCCGAGGGCATCGAGACTTTGTACACTGCCAGCGAAGCAGCCGAACACACACAAAACGAGCGTCGAGTATACTTGGACGACCTTGGTATACCAACGTCATTGCACGCTCGCTCTCCGTCGCGCAATCTCGAAGTCATTGACCGCTGGAAGGCGGACCTCGAGCGTGCGAAGGGCAATGCCGAAGCAATTGCAGGCCTGAACGATGACCCGGCAGGTTTCTCTCGAGCTGCACAGGTCCCCGACCCAATCGAAGACGACGGCGACGACCCTGTGCAGGTCGGTCGACCTGAGGGGTCGGAGCACCACAGGGAGAAGCATGAACACAGGGAGCCGCACGCCTGGGTCGGCTTATCCCTGATCTTCGGCTTCATCCTCATGTACTTGATTGATGCCCTACCCAACATCATGGCCGCCGCACCCACAAAGCCTCTTCATATATCTCTGTCGAACCTCTCCAGCGGCCTTCACCACTCGCCTTCCCACTCGCCGAACCTCTACCCAGCCGACGCCGCTGCTCCTGGCGTTCAATCCAGCCCCCCAGCCACAACCATCGGTCTTGTAATCCATGCTGCCGCCGACGGCATAGCACTGGGCGCCTCGTCCAGCACCTCCAGCACGAAACTTGGCCTTATCATCTTTCTCGCAATCATGCTTCATAAAGCACCTGCCGCTTTTGGTCTGACGTCCGTGCTGCTCAAGCAGGGCCTCAGCAAACGCACAGCCCGCGCACATCTCATCGTTTTCAGCCTCGCCGCGCCCGCTGGTGCGATGGTAACCTGGGTTATCGTCAATCTCCTCGGGCGAGAAACCCTAGGCGGAGAAGAGGGCATGCAGTTTGCAACAGGATGCGTGCTGCTCTTCTCTGGCGGAACTTTCCTGTGAGTGAAATCAATGTACCTTTGCTCCCTCATTTGAATATCGATTACTGATATGGCATCTACAGCTACGTCGCCATGCACTCTATGCAAGAAACATCGTCCTCCCATCCTCACAGCAGCGGCTCACTCCATTCTCGCGCTGGATCGACGAACAGCTCTATCCTTAATGGCTATGGCGACAGCGGTCTGCTGGATGGATACGCTGGTGGCCATGCGAAGAAGGGTCAGAGTGGGACGGAGATCGCGATTATGGTGGCTGGTATGCTGGTTCCGCTGCTGACGCAGGTGGGACATGGAGCTCATGGGCATTGATGGGGTTAGGATTTAAAATCGATGAATCTGGAAGGAGGAGAAAAGCAAGAAAATGGCATGTGTAGCTGTCATGCCACGTGGCGTTCTTGGACTTGGGGGGTTTGAGGATATAGTGTTGGGGTTGTATTATGAACTTATCGTTTTCATTTGGGCCCAGCCGCAGGAGGGCGCGGCTGGTGATAGACATTAGGATAGTTCCAATCACAGGTTTAATTTTAATAGGGGAACTGGATTGACTTATAGAGGGGTATAGCTGCCGAAGGCTAGTGTAAATTTGTTTTCTCATGTCATGGGCGGTTGAAGCTATCGTCCGGATGTGAGTGTACGATTGTTAATTTTACATTTACACCCGGACGATAGCTTCAAGTGCCCATGTGTTGTTTTTTTAGCTCTAAATATTGCTGTTGCTATATACTTGGGAATACGAAGCACGTTGCTTTCTGTGCACGTGCTCTCCCCTGCCTGCCTTGCTGCACTCCCATTCTTCGTCGCCAGGGCTACTCGACCTAGACCGTCGTTCCTCTGTATTGGACCACCCGAAATACAATAAGGACTGGGCTGGTATTTTTCTCTTGCAAGAAGGACACCATCTCGGCTTTTTCTAATGTTCGTGCAGCAGCAATACCCCGTGGAAGAGAGAAAGTAACGACGGTGCATTCCCCGTTATCAATTGATTGGATTACAACGTAGATTTCCTCTCCTGTAGTTGGAACAATCCTGGGTGGAAGAGGAGTCCTACCTTGAACAGTGATTAGGTGAGGGAGCTTTAGAAATCCTCTACAAATGTACTGTGCCTTGCCATCTGCTATCCCCTTTGTGGGACCTAGAGCCTCCTATACGGAGGATGACCAGTTGTTGACCAACCCGTCGAAGTGACTGATTACGACGGAAGGGGGCAGGGGGCAGCCTTCACCGAAGCCTAATACTCATCACATTTTGGTTGCTTTGTATAAAGGGGATACGATAGTATCAACTCGACTTAGGTCGAATGCCACTATCAACCTACCCATGGGTATCTACCGAATGCATTCTTTTCTCCCTGTTCCTTCAACTCCTGCCTCTTAGTGGCATTTCTTCCCTCTGCTTTCTTGATAGCAGCGCCTAAGCCTTCTCAAACAAACAGAACTCAAACTCCACCTCGTCATCCGCCTCCCCCTCCTTCCCCTTCACCACCTCCTTCACCCTTCCCTCAGGCACATCCTCGCCCACAAACTCACTCAACCCGCCCTCGCCGCCATTCGCCCTCCTCACCCACCCGCTCCCACCCTTCCCCTCCGGCCCCACCACGTCAACCGGGAACACGGTATCGCAGTCGTACTCCCGCCACACGCGCGTCAGCAACACATACCGCGCCTCTTCCAGCCGCAGCGCCGCCTCGTACAGCTGCGCGCCGCCGATGACGAACACCCTCCCCAGCACGCCCCTCTTCTGCAGCAAGCCCAGCTTCTCCAGCGCCTCCGGCAGCGAGGACGCGGCGATGGGTGTGGTGGCCGGGTCGTCGTCGTCTGCTTGTTCTTCTCCTGCTGCTGCTGTCGTGGAAGAAGCGGTCGGAGCAGGAGGAGGTATGCCCGGAATCTTCGCCGGGGTCCGCGACACGACGACGTTGACGCGGTCCTTCAGCGGGCGGAAGCGGGGCGGGATCGACTCCCAGGTCTTGCGGCCCATGATGACGGCGTTCCGAGTAGTAGTAGCAGCGAGCGGGCTGGCGGAAGTGGCGGCAGTGCCCGAGACCACGCGCTTCGTGACGCGCGCAAAGTAGCCCATTTCCTTCTTGAGCTGCGGCCAGGGCAGGGTGCCGTTCTTGCCGATGCCGAGCGAGGGCGTGGCGGCGACGATGAGGGTGAGCGGGATCTTGCTGCTGCTGTGCGCCGCCATGGTTGTTGCTTCGCTGGTCATTGCTGACTGTCAGTTGCTCCAATTGCGGTCGTTTGGTTGGTGCAGGGGGGGAGGTAGAAAAATGTGCGGGGCGTGTGGAAGGGAAGACGCGCCGCGGCTGGCGAACGCGTTTTCTCGCGCGCGGGGTGCTGCAGTAAATGGTGGCCGGATCGCGGTAGCACGCTTGCGTGTTTGAAGACCAAGTTCACGGCTGCTCAAAAAGCCTCCCATTGTGATGCTGTCGCGCGCGAGCATTGGGTATATCCTATCCCTGAACGCCAAAAGGAATCGCTGCCCTGCTGGATTATCCCCTGCCCAGAGTCCCCAGTTGTCTACCAGCTCCCCCACTGCATTTTATTCGCACCCTGTTACAGTGTCTCCTTCGCCAGTCCTTCGATCGCTGCGATTATTGCCTTGACATCCTGCTCCATGCGCTCGACATTCTGCTTGTCGTTCGCGTCGAGCGTGTGGAGATTGCCGAAGAGCCAGAGCTCCTGCATCTGCCGCGTGAGGGTGAGGATATCTTCGGTGGCGCGGATCTAGCAACACCAGGAAAAATCAGTCTTCCGATTCTATGCGTAGTGAAGACGAGGTACTGGGCTCGGTGCTTCGAATTGGAGTCGCGAGAACTTGGGGAGATGTGGGCGAGGGGGTCGTTTTACCAACGCCGCTGTTTCCACCCCCATCTGCCACTTCTTGTTCGCGGTAGTGTTGTAGTCTTTGCTGTCAGGCTACTCATGGCAGAGCTTAACGTAAGCGCTGGTCGCTGCGTGGATGGAAGAGAGGCATGCTCATACCGAAGCCAAGGCGACAATGTTCTCGAACCGTTTGACGAGCGCTGCAGCAAGCTTCTGGGAGCGCTCTGCGCTTTGTAAGCAGGCTGTGCAGTCAACTAAAGAGAGTTAATCGTACCTTGCAAGGCCGCCGAATTGCGTTGAGAGACCTCCATTGTGTTGGATGTATGGTGGTGTTGCAGAAGTACTGGTGGAAAGCTCAGAGAGTCGTCAATGCGGCTGGAAGCTTATCGCCGCAAGCTGCTATCGATAGCACATCTTAAAATAGACCTCTGATCTCCAGACGTCATACATCAACCGTTGGACACGAGCACGAGCATATTCATTTGAGATGAAGTTGCATTGCCTAAAACTAGGAGAGCAAATCCAATACTTTGAGCAGGTGAAGGAGCGGAGTTGTAGCAGAGCAAAATCATAAAAGCAAACAAGCCGAACAAGCATCTGACAGGTAACCAGGAAAACGCTTTACTCAAGCGTTGTCCGAAGCCATTGCTATGCCTGCCTCCATCAAAAAGCCGTGATTAGAGAAAATTACTCGTCGTCAGACTCCTCCTCGCTCTCATCGCTCTCAGCGTTCTCGAGCCACTCGAGGAACTGGGTAGCCGACTTGCGGACCTTCTTGCTGGTAGCCAGGTCAACGTACTTCTTGCTAGCCTTGCTGCCCCAACCCTTGAGGACCTCCTCGGAGACAAGGTCGTTCTGGTAGACATTCATGAGAATGGCAGACACCTGGGGGATGAGGTTGGGCTTGTCGTTGCCAACGAAGCGCTCGATACCGCCCAGGAAAGCCTTCTCGTGCTTCTCCGAAGTAATCATCTTCTTCAGCATGGGAGCACGGTTGTCGATCTGCTTGACCATGTTGTCGTCGAAGATGGTCTGGGCGAGGACGGTGAGCGTCCTGTGCTTGGTCTCGATACCGAACTCCTTAGCCTTGAGGTAGATCTCAACGTCCTCCACCTTGCTGACGCCGCCCTTGGTCTTGACCGTCTCCTGAATCCAGGTGCCAAGCTGGTCATACGCGTTGGGACCATCAGCACCCTCATCGCCATCTTCAACGACAAGAGCACGCTTGAGGTCGTCCGGGAGGTCCTTGGCACGGGCCTTGACAGCCTCCTCGGAGGTGTCGACGGACCACTCGACCTCCTTGGGCTCGACCACCTCAATGTCCTTGGCCTCGGCGTTGATGCGGCGAGTGAGCTCATCGTCGCTGCCGGCCTCAAGCTCCAGGTCTCCATTCTCGTCGCCGTGATCGGAACCGCTGTCGCCGTTGCTGCCGCTGCCGCCGTTCTGCTCCTCTTCGCCGTTGGCCTTCTTAGCACGGCGCTCGGCCTTCTTGGTGGCCTTGTCCTTCTTGCCCTTCTTGGGCTGGTTCTTCAGGATGAAGGAGCTGAGCTTGAGGCGGAGGTCAACGTCGGTGCGCTGACCGCAAGCCTTGCAGTCGAGGAGGATGCGACCGTCCTTGATGTTGACATCGGTCTCGGGGTTCTTGCACTTCTTGCAGAGAACGAACTTGGAAATGAAGCCGTCGAGGTAGTCCTGGAGCTTGGCAGCTTCGTGGGCGCCGTTGATGATCCAGCGGTCGTCGGCAGGGTTGTTGTTGGTCTGAGCGCCGAGCTCGAAGCCAAAGTACTTGATGACATCTGCGGAAGGGATCAGCGGGTGGTCATGCAGGAGGTAGGAGCATGCAGGACTTACACGAAGGGGGACGGGCGAGCTGCTGGGCGACATTGCTCAGGTTGACGATGACGGTCTTGATGCCGTTGCCCTTGCCCTCGATCTTGGACTGCAGGCGCTCCATCTTGTAGCGGTAGAAGGGATCGGTGACATCCCGGCGGACGTTGATGTTGGCCATTTTTGCGGTTGGTGGTGGGGTGGCGGCTTAGCGCGAGAGGCGGTTATGGAGAAGAGTGGTGCGAGGATGCGAGAAGCTCGTGGAGTTGAATAGCGACATGCAGCAGGTGCAGGTCTCAGGCGGGTGATGGTCTGAGTAGCGGGCTAGCCGTTGGTGCAATGGTAGTTGCTACTAGGCTTTCGTATGTCACGGAATTTTTGCAGCTTCGGCGGCGGTTCCTGTCTGAAAGCGTTGTCACGGGGCGAATACATATACAGCCGCGGTGATCGGGTTTTTGACTGCAGTGTGCTTTGTGCGGGTCCTGGGTCTGGGGCGGGTTGGGCGGAGCAGCGGGCGGCTTGACTCCGTGTGCGCGGTGGTGGGCCGGCGGCGGTGTTTGCGGGTTGCGGTGCGCGGTTGCAAGCCGTAGGCTGTGAAAGGTGATGGGTGGTGAGTCGTGGCGAGAGGAAGGGCGCGGTGGTTAAGTAGGGCGAGAGAATTTGAGCCCTCTTATTAAGCAGCCGACTGAGGCCGAGCAGACGGCAGCCACGCCGCGCCGCCGCCTCGCCCTCTGCATCGCATGCACGTCACCACTTCTGGCGCCTGCCGCCCGCTGTCCCGCCCTGCCGCCTAGCCAATTGCGCTCTCCCTGGCGCTTGTCTTTGCCAGCGTTGCGGCTGCCGCGCCCGCTTGTCTCCAACACCCGCCGCCGCACGCAGCGGCCACCCAGCTCCGGCTCATCACCGTCCGCTTCAGCCGGGCGTGTCTGACTGCTGCGCGTTGGGGCTCGGCATGCTCACACTTGCTTGACCGCAACTCTGCTGCCTGGCACTGCCGCTCCCTAGCTTCGTCCGCCTGCACCGAGCCCGCGCCATTGACCGACCCCGATCTGCCCCTTCCCCAGCGACGATCGCTCATGATTTGGGCCAAATGCCAGACCCCGTGCATCACGACGAGCTGGCTAATGCAACCAGCTCGTAATGCTCACCTGGCCACATAGGAGTCAATCCGCATGCCGGGACACGATATCGATATCAAGAATTTCGAGCATTAGCTCTCCCCGCTCATTGGAGACAGCACCAATTGCATTTCTTGCCATGCTTGCCCGAGTGCTTTCTTTTTTCTTTCTAGGTCACCAGGCGTTTTCGCTGCGTGGAAGGAGTATCTGGATGCGGAACGACAAAGAGAAACTCCCCGCAAGTCAACGCCATCTTTTACCGGTAGCAGCCATCGATTGGTTGAAACGAAGCAGTTTGTACCTGAACAAGCATTTTTGCAAGACTAGTGCCGTTACATAGCTTAAACATATCTTACGCAGGTTTGCTGTTGTCCAAACGCGTTCTGATCAAAGAACACGCCCCACGGCTGGCGGAATAAAGGTGATGGCTTGCCCAGGATTTTGCTTGCCAAGGTATCGCTGTGTACCTTCGATATCCAGCTCGCGCAGTATCTTCACGTGGCTACACAATCGCCTACCGGCTTATGAAAACATGCCATCGACCACGGCAGATATTGTCAACCAGTGGGCAGCAGAACAGCTTGCGGCATATGAAGAAGCATGCTCGCAGCCTGACCTGACGTTTAGAGAATTGATCAAAGTCCTCAAGAACGTCTTGGCTGGCATCACAAGCACTGTTGAAGGCGCCAATCGGATAGAGTCCCTGGTAATGAGTCCCCCGGAAGAGTTCTTCAACAAGTACGCAAGCGCAATCTATCGGATCGTTCACGCAGGCGCAGCCTTTGACGACGACGTTGTTTTGCAGCGCCTTGCGGCATTGACCGCCGCCCTTGCAGACTTGCCCAATGCAAAGAACACCACGAACAAGACGCTCACCTGGGCAGATGAAGAGCTGGGCATCGAGGGCAAAGCAGCGCCAGGCAGGGCGATAGTCCACGACCGTCAGCGTCTGTGGTCTGACCTGCCTACCTTCAGCGATGAGATGCGTCAACTTTGGAACGGTGAGATGAGTAAACCCGCAATGAAAACGAAAGCTCACAAGCAGCCACAGGCCCGGCATCTAAGGCGCAGCGCGAAGAAGAAAGACTCTCCGAGGACGCGGTCCGCCAGCAATGGTCCAACTGCAACGCATTCGCCGCCCATCTGACTAAGCTCTCGCAACACCGTGATGATGCTCTCGACTATCGTCTGTATGCTATATGGACGCTCAAGCGAGCTCTTGAGGACCGCGGTCAACCGCTCGAGCCGCGAATCCATATCCCAGGGGCAGCTCAGTGGATACGTCTCCTTGGTGAAGACTTGGGGACTGAGGAAAGAAAGTTTTCTGGCCACCAGAAGAAGACAGTAGGCGGAGGTTCTCTTTATGATGCAGAAAAACATGGATACGGTTTCTCACCGGAAAGATGGGCGCTATGGAGGACTAGGTTTGAAAGCTTTGCACAGGACGGGACGTTGGATGAGGAGACGCGGCGGATCGCTAGGGATGCGGCAAATGAAATGGCGTAAGTGGTCGCAGCTATACGGGTGTAAGGAAATCTTCGCGGGGCGTAAATTGCCTGCTCCTTCTTCGGGATAACCTCAAAAGCGAGACGCATTCACGGGAACAATCCTCCGTCCTCCGGAAATGACACATTGAGTAACACCACACTGAATGATCACTTGCAAATTAAAGATCCTGGGGACATACTATCAGAGTATTAGAACTTGGAGCAGCCTACGAGCAAGTATCATACCTTTAGTGCCGAAGGACGGAGAATCTCCCAGCACATGACAACAGTTTTCGAAGTATGCACACACTGTCCTTCGGTATCTGCAGTTGATGCCTATGTTCTTCTGCGAGGATGTTGTTCCTTGGGATTTGCGTACATTGTCAAACAGTCTCCAAATGATTTACCAATACCCTTCAAAGCACCATCCAGCTGAAACACACCTTGTCAATGAAACAGCTCTATGCACGACACACAATGACCTGTTACGCAGCTCCCGGTAGAAAGACAGATTGTTTACTTATGCCAGCACAAAGCACACGTCACGTCGGGACTCGACACTTCTAGATACTCAAACAGGAAAAATTAGCATTTCCACACAAACGCCGTTCCAAATTCGAACACCACCAATCGCTCTAAACAAAGAAAGCCCACTCACGTTATTAGTAGCGTCACACATAAACCTCAAACGCAAGCTCACAGAAGACGTGTTCACGCACTCAAACCCAAAGTATGGACTGCAGCTCTGACTCCTCATCCTCCCCTACGACCAGCTCATGCCTATCCACGTTCACCATTCGCCTCCGTTCTCTCTTCGGGCTTCCTACTACCAAGCAGCCCGACCTTGAGAGCGGCCGATGTACAATAATAAGTTACTGCTCGCATTCAACGCCGGGCATCGGGGTCCGAGAGGGCAGGGCAGGCGTGCAGAATGACTGGGCAGCGGCGCCTGCGCGGACGGACGTTGCTCCGCCGGAGCGTGATCCGCTGCTGCCTGTGTGGTGGAGGCGAAGGCCAGGAGACCGCGTTCCGAGGCGTGTGGGGGACAGGGTGGAGTAGAGTGTGAGGGAAGGAGAGGGCTCATGCGGGAAGGATGCGAAGTGATGGGGGCTTTTGGCCGGATGTCGTGGAAGAGCTGAACTCGTAGGCATGTATGAGTGGCTATGCGATAGCACGACTCAAGTGGTTGGGGTCGGCCCGCGCTGTGGGCAAAAATGGTGCGTTGCGTCCGAGCCAGTGGGCAAAGGATGCGACTGTGCCGCAACAGCTGTTCTGCTCCTGTTGGCCCCCATCGAATATGCGATTGCTCGCATTTCATGTAGGCCTTAGGGCAAAGAGAATGTAAAATAGGAAATATCGCTGAGATGTGCTTTATCTGTACATCGAAAAATAATGCATCAACTCATATAAAGATACGTTACGGTGGATTTTTACTCTACCAGAAGGAGTATATCGGGCTTTGAATAATGTGGCTTCAAAATCCTAAGAATTCCCGGAGCTTGTGTAATTGAGCCAAGGCATTAATTTCTTCTGTTACCAATACCCTGATTGAAAATCTTTGTCTTCAGTTCACTAAACATTCTCACGTTGGTACATGTGACTTGCTTCAGGAGCAATGGGGCCAAATTCCGGAATTGCACGGGTTGCCTTGAGCGCTGGGGGCGGTATCGCTTAACAATAAGTGCGGCACAGCGGACGAACATAGTATTGCAATAACTTTCGTGTGGGAATAATGACGTGGTTCGTGGATGCTCGGAAATGGAAACAACGTTGGTGGGTTGGAATTCAAGCAAGTGGCTTTGGCGCGGTACGGGGATTCCCACACGTAGGATTGTGGAAGGGCCGGACCGAGACATTCAGCATCCTTCGAGGCCTAATGTATGAGTTTATGGATGAAGGTCAGCTGCTTATGGGGGCTCGAATCGTACCCAGCCCGGAGGGTCCTTTCTGAACCACCCCTCTCGGACTGTGTAGGATGAGTGATATCAGCATGTGTTGCACTGAGCTTCACGACTCAAGCAGAGTTCTGCCTAGAGACTGGGACCGAGTACGGTAGTGTCGAAGCAGTACCGAGAGAGGTCCGCGAAGATATAAGTAGCCACGATGAGGACACTTTTCTGTTCCATCACCAAAGAACAAGGTCCGCTGAGCCAACAAAGGTCCCAAATTGCACGCAATGGCTATCAACGAGGAGATTGCCAATGGTGGCGAGCTGCCAAGGTTTGTGGCGGTTGGTGAAGCTTTCTTGGTAAGGCAGTGCTGATGAGGAATAGGAGATACGTACGTATTCCAGACATGTTCGCGTCAATCATGTCGTTTGCGCCGCGGATCAACCCACATTACCACAAGGTCAAACCCGAAGCTGAGAAGTGGGCGGTCAGCGTCCTCGGTTTGGATGAAGAAGAGGCAATCCGGGTGTCGAAAGCGGACTTTACGTACCTGGCTGCCATGTGGGTTCCAGATGGCGACGAAGAGGGGCTGCGTGTGGTCACGGACTGGTTGCATTGGGTCTTCTACTTTGACGACCAGTTCGACGAAGGCGACCTGAAGGACGATCCCGAAGCAGCCAAGGCAGAGGTGTTGGCTACCCTTGCAACGATGGACGAGGGTCATCCAGTGGTCTCGGCGAGCGAGAACGCGCTGAGATACGTGTTCCAGTACTCTTGGTTCTGTTTTCAAAAGAGGGCATCGCCAGGCCTCCAGAAGCGATACAAGGAGTCGATGAAAGACTACTGCGACGGGTTGTTGAGACAAGTCGACGTCATATCCGAGTCGATGACGATAGGCGTTGAGGAGTTCATGGACTTTCGAAGAAGCTCCATTGCCGTGTACCCTTCTCTTGAATTGATGGAGTAAGTACAGCTGTCATCCCACTTTTCGGTTTCAGCTAGCTGATTGAATTCATTTTAGGTATGCACAGGGCATCGAGCTACCACTGCACGTATTCAAGAACAGAGCTGTGACTGATCTGCGGCGCATCTCGTCGGACATTTCATGCTTGTATGAAGACTCGCATGATACAAGTGTGAAGATGGGCTCACAGTCAACTAGGCAAAACGACGTTCTCTCGTACCGGAAGGATTTGGCACTGGGAGTCGAACACAACATCATCCATGTGTACCGGAAGCAAGGTCTCTCAGAGCAGCAGGCTGTCGATGCTGTCGAAGAAATGTTCAGTGGCTTGTACAAGGGCTGGTACCTCGCACTTTCCGAGCTGCCTTCTTGGGGCGAGCAGATAGATCGGGAGATGCTCAAGTACATCGACGGCTGTCGTCACCTTGCCATCGGCAACATCTATTGGAGGTAAGTATCACTGCAGACACGCGTAGATGAGTTTGCTGACGAACGGTTCCAGTTTCATGACGGGCCGTTATCTTGGAAGTGAAGGGGAGACTGTACGAAAGACTCGCATGATGGCGCTCCCGTGAGCGGAGGAAGTTTTGATGGGAATTGAGTTTGTGATGAAGGTGGAGGTGGAGATTGGCGCGCACGAGCCTTCAGGGTTCAGCCTTGCTTGCCGACGTCATCAGATAGCTTCAAGCCCTCGGCGGGGCATTGCACCATGACACTGTGATACCCTCCACAATTCGTCGCGCATGCTTTCACGACTCAGATTGACAGGCCGACACCTTATCTCGTTCCGCGCCCCTACCGCCCGAACCATGACGTCGTTTGTTCTCCCGAACTCGTCACCCGAGTGCACCGTCAACCTCACCAACGACATCACCAAAGACCAACTACTCTCATTCACCGCATTCAAGAATTGGATATCGACGCTACAGCACTCGCTGGCCCAGCAGCAGAACAAGGACCACGTCTTCTATGACGCGCCCTACAAGCTCCGCAAGATCGACGTCCAGGCATGCGACTGGTTCAGCAAGACGAAGCTGGGCTTCGTGAAGCTCAAGGCCGAAGTCACCAACGACAATGGCGAATACCTGCCCGGTTCAATTTTCCTCCGCGGCGGCAGCGTGGGCATGCTGGTAAGTCTGCGACGACAAGCCACCACCAATGGCTTCCCCCCGCGCCGCTAACCCGCTCGCTAGCTCATCCTCCAACCTGACGACGTCCCCGAGCACACCGAGCAAGAAAAGTACGTGATATTGACCGTGCAACCCCGCATACCTGCCGCCTCGCTCTCGCTGGTCGAGCTCCCGGCCGGCATGCTCGACGACAGCGGCACCTTCGCCGGCGGCGCCGCTAAGGAAATCGAGGAGGAGACGGGCATGAAGGTTCCCGAGAGCGATCTTATCGACCTTACTGCCCTTGCCTTGCCGAAGACGGAGGATACGACAGGCGAGACGCTGAGGCAGGCCATGTACCCCAGCGCCGGCGGATGCGACGAGTTCATCCCGTTGTTCCTGCATCAACGGAGAGTCAAGAGGGACACATTGAACGAGTGGCAAGGAAAATTGACGGGCCTCAGGGAACATGGCGAGAAGATTACCTTGAAACTAGTAAAGCTGGAAGATCTCTGGAAAGAGGGTGGCCGGGATTCCAAGGCTTTGGCTGCTTGGGCTTTCTATGAAGGCCTGAGGAAGGAGGGGAAGATTAACGTTTGAGGGATTAACAGCAGATCTCTCATCAAGAGGCACAATGCGATGGTTGAGATGGCTGCGGTCAGTGGTGATGAAAAAGAGGAGGGCCATGAAAATCAAAAGGAGGAGAAATAATGTCCCATGATTCTGTTCCAAGGCAGCTCCACGGGTTGGTGGCATAAATTGGCACTGGTTTGGATTCGACCTGTGATGCCGCAGCCGTCACATGCGCAATAGGCGTGCAATGAGAGAATAGATTATCAGTTGCCTTGGTAGCTTCACATCTCTTGATCCAATCGAAAGCCATCATGCTGATTAAAACGCTCAGCAGGGAGGCCAAGGGTCAGTTTTCCGAAAATATCAATGCACGAATAAGCAATACATGCCACATGAGCGTCTCATACATTTGTATCCTGATGCAGCCTTTATTGTGCATATATAAGCGTATTCCTTCTTTGGATTCATGGAATCACCAATCATATTAACCTACTACAACAATACTAATATGCGGGAGCTGTGGGACTTATTTGTACACTATGACATCTTGGTGTCAATTGTGAGGAATCTCACAACCCGGGATTTCTTCCATATGGCTTCCACAGATCCACACAGCCGTAGATTTCTCATCACAGATCGAGATGATGATTTTTTACGCAATATCAAAAGCCATACCCGCTGCGAGGGTATAGGCTGTCGCAAACGACACGGTACTTGGGGCTTTGACGTATTGACTGGCGAGGCGAGTGCCCAAGAACCGGCTAATGGACAACCATTCCCGCTGCTGGGCTGTACTGACTCATTTGGTTTTTGCGCTCATTGTGGCTGCAAGACATGCGAGGTGAGTCTGCTGAAGATACTGCATTCAAGCAGAGTCGGGCTAACCGGACACAGAACTGCCGAGTGTCGCTCGGCGACATCCTAAGAGAGCACCAAGGATACCCTCGAGATATGAGGGATATGAGGCCCTTTGGCGTGTGGAAGTGCAATGATTGCTACCCGCCGATAGATAGAGCGAACACTTGCAGGTGTACACCAGCACGTCGCTGGGTGACGCCTTACACGTGCCGCCGTTGTTTCGACAAAGATCTCAGAAAGACGGCGAAGACGAGGCAGCGCGAACACATGGAGCGAGATAGCCGCATAGGGCTTGCTCTCGAGGATCCCTTCTACTTGTTCCTCATACGGTCAGTTTCTGCAAATGTGGGAAGTCCATGGAATCCAGGAGCCACTGTGAGTGCTTCCCCCGTTTCTCCAAGCGTTGAATTGTGCAGATGCTGACTGTAGTACAGTTTGCAGACTGTGGTTGCTGCAGCCGTGAGTTTGCCATGGCCTGCATGCACTACGTTTGTCCCTTCTGTGACGGTATCCTTGAGAATGTGGCCGAGTACTGGAATCTGCAGGAATACTATCCTTACGCCCCATGAGCGTTTCCACTTATAGGACTATTGGAATACAAAGAAATTAAAAGAATAGTAGAGGATTTCGCTGCTAAATTTAGTTAGAACTACTAAGCTAGCTCTATAGGAACCGTTTTCGTGGTGATCTGGCATCTAATGATAACCTCAAAGTTCTCTGGTTCAGAAAAGACCCTGTTCCGCATCCACACGTGAAAAATCTGCTCTACAGTGATCTCAGCGACTGAAAGCTATATAAACCCCATGTCAGCTGGTGAATTTCTACCTCGATAATATTTTTCCGTACGGTGTCTTCGCAAAATGCCAGAATTCCATGACCTTTTGGGTCAATACCCCATTCTTCGAAGCCTGGCTTCCAGCCTCAAGCCCAAAGAGCTCATCGCTATTGCTTGTGTATCCAAAACTAACCAGGCTTACATCCTCGGCTCCTGGGAAGTCTTAAAACCGATCATGCGCTGCGGGGGTGATGAAAAACTGTTGTGTGAAGAAAGGGACACGTTGTTTGGGCCAACGTGGCAGGACAAGCTCAACTGGCTGGATGAAGACAAGCCATGCGAGATGTGCGGCTATTATACTTGCATGGTGAGCAAAAGGCTTCTTTTATTCTATCTTGCTCCTTAGACTGATGAGCCTCAGATATGCCGTGTGTATCCTGAAGATGTTGGAGTCTTCTGCTGTGTGGAGTGCACGTCCGCTCGTAAGGATCACAGCACCAACCCTTTGATATGTCATCAATGTCTATATGATGACGAGTATGTTTGGCTGGATCTCTTTTTTCTTTATACGGAAGGTTTCCGCGTAAGTCTTGTCTGTTAAAGTTCTGTTAACCGTTCTCAACTAACTTCGTATGAATTTATTCAGAAAAAGCAATGTGGATTGTGCAGAGCCAGTCTTCCTCCTCCTTGCTTCAAGGGTCTCTCGAAATATTGTTCGGCCTGAATGACAAAGTTCGAAGTATCTGTGCAGCCAATGCGGACTAAGGACTAGTAAGAGCTAAAAGACAAGGGCTTTGGATAAGAAGCTTGTTTGATTGAACAATGATACCTCGTTATAAGCCAGCACGCTTTGACTTCGGTTACAGTGACTAATCTGTGCAGTCGCTGTTTGCGGCCGCTTGTGGCTACGTGTTTTCTCCGAAACTTCATCACTGGGAATAAGATCCTGCTTACATGGATATTTGAATAAAATAATCGCAATGCGTTTGTGTAGCTTCCAAACTTACATTTACGCCTGGATATGTGCTTGGACTGCTCATGATAGAGGGATGCAGCATTCGTCTGGGAGACTAGTCAGCTGACTTAAAAGACTATCAAGGCTGTAAACATCTTACAGGAAGGAAATGACTTGTGAGAAGCCAGGCCGAAGAAATGTTCAAAATTAAAAGCCTGCATCCGCGTCCAGACACACCTTCACCCCATGAACCAACTATCCACCCACGCCAAAGCGCAACCTCACCTCACAACTTCGCCTTCCCACTCTTCTTCTTCTCAAAATACCCCTCCAACAATCCAACCACCTTCTTCGCACTCCCAAACGAATTCTGATAACCCGCACCCGCATGCCCATACTCATGACAACACGGCACCGCCGCACCACCATCGACCCTCACCTCCTCAACCTCCACCCTCGGCCCACCCACCCTGCCCGGCCTGAACCCCACATTGACGCTCAACACCTCGAACCTGCCCTCCGCATCCAACAACTCCGGCGCGAACCCCTTGCACCGCTCCAAGATATCCCGCGTCGTCTCGACGTCGGGCAGCTCGCGCCAGTCGCCAACCTGCTTGGTGCCGCCGAGCACGGTCGTACCGCTCGTAGCGCGAGGAATAACGTAGCTGAGGCCGTCGGGCCGCCAGCACGTCGTCAATGCCGCAGGCAATCCGCGCACCAGCACCGTCTGTCCGCGGATGGGGTGGACATCGGCGTCCGGCACGAGGTCCTTGGCGAGGATGCCGCTGGCGTTGACGAAGGCGTCGACGGGAGTGCCGACGCCGTACGCCGGGAGCAGGTTGCGGGCGGTGCTGAGCGCGCCGGATAGGCCGTTGGTGGTGGGCAGGGCGGCCTCGATGAGGGTGGCGCCGAGGGCGCGCGCACGAGTGAGTAGGAAGGGGAGGTAGACGCCCGTGTCGATGGTGACGGCGTCGTAGGTGGCGCCGGCGTGCACGCCGGGCGGCAGCTCCGAGGCGGGCAGTTCGCGGAAGTTGCGCATGTAGGGCGCCCACCACGCGCTGCGGGGGCCTGAGGCGATTTCGACGTCTGGCGCGGTCCTGCAGGTCACGAGGTGGTTAGATGTGACGTCTTGCGAGGAGTGGAGTGGTGCTCGGCTTACCAGTAGAAGATGCTGTGGAATTTCTGATGGTGGGCGTGGTGTCAGCGAAGCCCGTATAGACCGTAGGAATGCGGGAAGTTTACCTCCAGACCGGATTTAGTTGCGAAGGATGCTTGGCTCTTTTCCTTCTCGACCATGTCGAGCCAGATGTTGTAGCTTTCTATGTCCCATTGTTGAATCTCCTTGTCTTCCGCTGTTGCGTGAGTTCTCCATTGCGCCCCAGCCCTGGCTATGTCAGTATAGTTCAAGTGACGAATCCAGAATGATAAAGGTAAATACCACGGTGAAGTATAATCTTTTGCCTTATCGCCGGGAACATGCTTTGCAATGATGGTGACAGCAGCGCCAGCTTCAAGCAGTGTAATTGCCGTCTGCAGACCTATGACGCCAGCCCTATTCTTGTCAGCTTTTATATTAAGAACCATAGAGACAAGTTCCTACCCGATGACGACGATATGCTTTCCCTTGAGCTGTGAAGACATGATTGACGATCGACGATTCGCGCTCCAAATTCCGGCGGATGTCCGTCTCCTATATACCATCAACATCCCATTACATGAGTCATTCAGCACTTCGCTCACCCGAACCTCGACTGATGCTATACCTCCTACCCGATAGTGTGTTGCGGAGTTGTACTGTGTAAAAGCGGAGTAAACAGAACTGACCAGTCGTCGTCGAGCAATTGTCGGCTGCTGATGACGGGATTCCGATTTGCGGAGCGCCGCGCCCCGACCCGGCGATGTCGGCCTCGGCTTGCAGCCGATCGCGCCGTCGGCCCAATCAGGACCATCCCAGCCCGCAGGGATTATTTTGGGAGGGTTGCTATCCACGATTAGCTCTAGGCAGCCATCAGCGAAAGGCTGTGCATCGGTGAGGCATTAAACCCTTCGGTGAAACCAATAATCTGACACCTACGCGAAGTTTGAAGTGTGGGTTAAACGAAGGAGGCTGTGAGGCATGCAGTCATCTTCGTAGCAGAAATGTTTCATCAGCTTGTGCTTCATTCTTCTTGATCAAGCTAGTCTTGGGGCAAACTTACATATTCATATCGCATCTAAGTGAAAACAAAGAGTGTTCCATCATATTAAAAAGCAGTGTCCGACTGAAGTCGAGGTATATTGTGCAATAAACTCTTGATGATGCAACATCCCTACGCCCGTCGTACCAATATCAACCACAGCCTCATGTAATGTAACCAACTCATACCCACTTTCCCGGTGCTCTGCGGCACGGAAAAACAGTACAGTCACACATAATGAACGCCTTTACGCACAACCAGATTGACCCAACCCTGGATTGAAAGTTTTTGAAAGGAATCATAGGAGAAGCATAAGAGTCTTTAATCACCGCAATGCCGGTTGAATTGCTTGAATCAAACGTTAAGTACGAAGAGAAAGTATGCAAAAAAAGAAAATCAAAAGCCACACCATGGTGGTACATTTAAAGACGGGGGAGCGACGAAGAGAGCAACATGTAATCCGTGTGTGAACAAAAGCATTTGTGGGTTTGAGTCATCATGACAGTCACGACTAACGCCTCGAACTTGCCATTTCGCCGTACCGGCCACGTTCGCGCGTCGTATCGTATGCCTGCAGCACTCTGGCCTGCGACTCGTCTGTTTGAGAGAAGGCGTACCCGCGTTGCTTGCGCATACGCTGCACTTGCCGCACCTTGCGGATAGCCTTTTGGAACTGCTCCATCCTACGCGTAAATGTCAGCACACAGCCGCAACCTGGATTGTGGCGTTGCTACTAACCTGGGTCGGTAATCCTGAATGTTGTACTTTTGAATTTCCTGGATGTGATGGTACGCTTGCGGATAGTACATGCGCTTTGCACTAAATCGGGTGTTAGCGACACTCCTTATCTAACCAGGGTATTGAAACTTACTATTTCCAAGCAAAGTCTCTCAGCAGACAGAGCGCCGGCAGGACCAAGCCCATGAGCCAGAATATCGGACTGGGGAATAATCGGGGTATCGTGCCTTCAAACTCCTCCGAAATACCCGTCATTGGCGCCACGTACGCGTACAACGGCAGGAAGATCATCCAGAGGATCATCGAGCCCGGAATGGCAACTACCGTGTACTTCGTCCAAATGTTCGTGATCAACGCCGCCTTGCCAAGAACTGTCGCCAGCGCAGCCGTGTACAGAGCAGGACCCCATACCCAATGACCAGCAATCTTGCCGTCACCCTGCGGGAGGTCCCACAGGAAGATGGCTTGTGAGACAAAGTATAAGATCAGAGAATGATAGAAACCGTTGGCGACCCAGCCCCAGAATGAGTGCATCTTGAAGAAGACGCCCTTCTGGCTGAGCTGGTAGAGTTGTGGGTAGCGGTCGAGCAGTCGTGCGCTGACGAACTGGTCGAAGATACCGAGGACGAAGGGGGGCATTACAGTAAAGAAGACGTTATAGAAGGAGAGCGTCCATGATTCGTAAATGACCTGGCCAGAGAAAGCATTTTGAAAAGAATACCAGAACTGTGTCATGAAGAGGGCGATATTCTTGTAAAAGGAGTAGAGAATAACCTTGCTCACTCGCTGGTAGCTCCAGGCACCATGAACGAGTAGTAGTTTGCGCAGGAAACGGAATTGACCAATGGCAACATCGGCACTTCGCGCGGCTTGGAGACCTTCCATACCGCTGATACCGACGCCGACGTGAGCAGCCTGGATCATAGAAACGTCGTTTGCGCCATCTCCAATGGCCAGCAGGATGGCCTTCAGGTGGCGCTTGACGAGCTTCACAACAAGCGCTTTCTGAAGAGGCGACACACGGCTGCACACTACGTTAGCTAGAGTTCATCTGTGGGGATAAACTTCGACCTACCAGCAAATGACGGCCTTGCACATGACGGCCAAATCCAGGAACAGCTTCTCCATGTCTCTTTCCAGGGCATACGTCAGAGACTTGCCGTCGATGACCAGAGCAAGCGTCTCCAATTCCGCTTGGCTGTCTGCTTGCGCTTTGATAGCGTTGAGTTTCTTCGAGAGATTGTCCCTCGTGCCTTCCGCATTCTCCTCATTGACGATCAGCAGTGTCATATCCTCACTGATGAGTTTACAACTCATGCCGATGTTGATGGCTGTTTCCTGCCGATCACCAGTAAGGACCCAGATCTTGATGCCCGCGGTTTGCAGAGTGTGGATCGTGTCTGGCACTCCATCTTGTAGCTTGTCCTCGATAGCCGTCGCTCCAAGGAGGATAAAGTCGTGCTCGATGAGCTCCGCGGCTTTGTCCAGCTCATCCGCACGGTTACCACCAACCGTTGTCGCAGCAGTGTCGTAAATCACCCTCCACTCCTGGTACTCTTGCTCGGGGACTTCGCGCATAGCCAGGCAAAGGGTACGGAGACCTTCAGCAGCATATTCCTCAAGATGCTGAAGAGTGGGTTCAACGATTGGGTTGTGTTCCTTGGCAAGCCTCTCAAGAATGACGGTATCGGCACCCTTGGTATAGCAAACGATCTTTCCCTCCGGAGTCCTGAAGAGCGTCGACATTCTCTTACGCGTCGAGTTGAACTCGCAGACACACAGAAGCTCATATTCCTTCTCCACGCCGTCAACTGTGATGATGACGGATCTGGGCTTTCTGGCAACGAATCTGTAATCCAGCATAACAGCGCCCTCAACGAGAGCACCCTCGTCAGGCGAAGCAGCCTGATATTTGATCTTTCCCGTCGTCTCGTTCACCTCAGGGATGACAGTATGACACGTGGAGAGTAGTGTAAGGAAATTGTCGATGATCTCGCGCGATTGGTGGTGTGCCCGATTCTCCTTCAACCTCTTGAAGTCATGAATGCCAACCTCTACGCCATCCTGAGTCGTTGCTCTCCTGTCTTCTGGGACTTCATCTGCATATTGGATGCCTGCAATAGAGCACTGACGGAACTCCATCATGTTGCAAGTGAGCGTTCCCGTCTTGTCCGAGAAAATGTACTCGATCTGTCCCAATTCTTCAACAAGCGACGATGTTCTGCAGTTCGCTGGAGTCCCGGTGATGTCGTGGTAGATGTCCAGATCTGAATCGATGAGGAACGCTTGGTAGTACTTGACGATTTCAATCGTAACGAAAAGCGAGATAGGGACCAAGTTGGAGTACAGAACCCAGTACGTCAGCAGATCCAGGAAGAATTGTCCAACAAGCGCAGTCTCCTCAAGACCTAGGTAAGCAAGATGTTCCTTGTCCTTTGCCCGAATGATGACATCTCCGATGGAGCTGACAATGCTGAGTGTGATGAGGATGGCGCCAAGCATCAGAATTTGGTAGTTGACCAGTCGTTCGACGTTCGTCTTCTTGATAGGCGTGGCAGTGGCGTTCCGCATAAGCTTAGTCTCGTGACCGGTGAATACGACGATGCCATGAATCCAAGGGGTGTTCCGGAGGGTGGCGCCACGAAGGAGAAGCTGGTCTGGACCAAGAGGAAGTTCCTTTTCGCCTCCGCCTGCCTGCATAGTCAGGGTGGCCTCGTAGGTATACAAACTGCTGTTCGGCTGTTCGGATCGCACTCTGCCGCCTAATTTGCCCAATTCGCTTGGGCTGACAAGATCAGCGGTCTCTGGAATGGCCTGCTTGATCTTCAAGTTTGTCTCTCCGTCAAGGTTGGCGGTCTCAATGTAGCATAGACCTTCGGGTTCAGAACTGGCCAGAAGTACCAAATCTGCGGGGAAAGGTTCCTCTGATTCCACACGCACGATGTCTCCAATGGCAACATTGATCCATTTTGTCTCCTGGAAACTCGATCCTTTCAGAATCCGCGTCTTGGAGTTATTCAACGAGCTATCCTGGGTTTTACGGCGGAAGTCTTCGATCTGTTCCTTGACCGCAGAGACAAGCAAGACAATGACGAGCGGAACAATGGTGGTCCATCGATTCGTAGGCGAGATATTGGGGATTTGCTGCAGGACAGCGGTGAACAAGAAGAAAAGGTTGGCGTATTTCGAGAATTGTTCGTAAAGGAACTTCGGGAGGAAGGTGGCTACGTTGTACTTGGCGGTCGACACGTGATTGTCGACGTATTTGTTTGCGGCATTGGCAGGGGGGTTGTTGAGGTGGATGATACGCGGGCCCAGAGTTGAGGGGTCCGGTTTTGAGCTCCCGAAGCCGAACTTGAAACCGGATTGCTTCCTCTTGTGAGCGGCCGGTTGCGACTTGCTAGCGGCGCTGGCCTGAGCATTGCGTGCGCCAGCCTCAGTGAGCGGGACGTCCATTTCAGAGTACTCCGGCTCCATTCCCAGCATGTTCTTCGCGCGACCCACCAGCCCGCCGCCCAGACTCATTATGCTATTGCGGTTGCGCGCATGTTCGCGTGTGGCGCCCGGCGGCTCATCGACACGATCGTCGTACAGGCCTCCGGCTGCGTAGGAGCCTTGCATGGAACTGCCCTCGTCGTCGATGTCGGTATAGCGTTGGTAGTTCTGCAGGTCGGAGGACTGGGAGTAAATGCGCTTGGAGCCTGTCGACATGTAGGGCGACTGCAGCGATTCGCGCATGCCGGGCTGGCTGGTGGCTATGTGGGGTGGGCGGTTGCCGCCGTCGCCGGCGCCGCCGACGAAGTCATCGTAGGACACGGAGGGGCGCGACTGTGGCTGATCGGAGTCGTTGATGTCGTACCTATGCAGCAGGTGGTCGTCGGTGGTCGGCGGGCGCTGGCCGGAGGAGTAGGTGGGCGCGCCATCGTTCAGGTCGAGGAGAAGGTTCTCTTCACCATGGGGGGCGTTGGCCGGACCTCCAGGAGGCCTGCCTGCCATTCCGGGCGTGAAGGAAGCTGTGGGTAAGCCTGGAGCTGGGAGAGGTGTCGCGCGGCGGGATCGAAGCTTGCGGGGAGCTAAAGACGGCGCATCCCAACAGTGCCGTTGCTGTGAAGCGCAAAGTCTATTTCCTCACGCAGGGCGGGTTGCTGAGGGGGCTGGATCGCAGGGCGAGTGTTCTTTCCACAGCGTGCACAGCCTCCGACTTGGCAAACGTTGCGCGGACGCGGGCTAGCGGTCTCTCGTGTGTCGTGTTGGCGGCGCAGGGCTGCAGAGGGCGGTTATGGAGAAGCTGCGGCGCGGAACTTGGGCGAGTCGAGCGATATGTGGACCGGCGGCTCTCCGGGCGGTTGAGCAGAAGGCGGCAGGGCGGTCGTCGTACCCTGGAGTCGTGCGTGCTTGAGACCCTGAGTGCATCCGCCGTGACGCGCCGCGCCAACTCGATCGGGAGATTGAGCGCTGGGCGCCGCGACAGGAGTCCTACAAAAATATGTATCCGCGCGTCCGCTGCGGCCACCATCCCACCAGTGCTCGCCTTCTGATGGCTATGTCCCAGACAGAGCCGCGACGGCGCTCGGACGGCAATCGCGACCGCGGTCGCGGCTGTGCGCGCGGCTAGTGCAACGTCGCAATGCCAAACTCCACAGCAAGACTCGTATATTACAGAAGCTACAGCACCAGTATGGAACCCTCACCGCGCCGTCAGCATGTCCTGCACCGCGCTCCAGTAGCGCGGCGTCACGACCGGCTCGATCTCCTCCTTTGCCAGCCACTTGAAATCGGCCAGCCCGTATTGGTTCTCCGCCAGGTTCGCCTGACCCGCCATAATACGAGCCTTCATGAAGAACACCTTCTCGCCCAGCTCCACCACGCCCTTGTCCGCGTTCGTGATGGTCTTTGGAAAGTCGAACTGGTAGTGTCCCACAGGGTGGTTGCCGACCACCCAGGTGTTCATATTGATGCCACCGCTCTGAACCAAGACGCGCTCCGCGGCCTGCAACCATGTTAGTACGCACGATTGGTCCGGGCTCCAGCAAGCTTACCCTGTGGAGGCTCTCGCGACCGATCAGACGGTCTTGCGGGAATTGCCATCGCCCGCTGCCGTCCTTGACGAGCAGGTACAGCGTCCTCTGCAGCATTCTGTTCAAACTCTTCTGATCGCCCTTCTGGTCCGCCTCGGTCACTCTCGACAGTGGCCGCTCGGCGGGCTCCGCCTTCTTACCGCCTACATCTGCATCCTCTTTGCCGGTAGACTCGGAATCTCTTAGAAGAGCCTCTCTTTGGTGGTCAGGCTCGCTCTCCTGAGCCCCCACGAGCAGTTCATCGTTCCAAGCGTCTTTCCCGTGGCCGCGGTAGACGCCAATGTCGCGGGCAGCCGTCAGACGTTGCTTCTGCTTGCGCTTCCATTCGGCTTCGGCAGGGCTGCCCTTCTTGTAGTAGAAGTATCTGGTGAATGAGTGGGCTTGGCGCTCATTGAGGCGGCGTTGATAAAGGAAGAATGCTTTCTCGAATGGGTGAAGGTCGCGGGTGATGACGGGCGGTCTCGAGAGAACGACTCCGGCGCGGACCTGGTATGCCTGCTGCGGACCTGCAGCTTGAGACACGGGCGGGACCGGGGATGGGTTGGCGGGCGATTCCTGCACGGCGGCGGCAGCGCTGGCGAAGTGCCTCCGGGAGATGGTCTCGCGGCACGAGATGCAGATGGAGTCCTTGGCTGGGGGGATGGCGGGATCAGCAAGGCGAAGCCAATTGCGCGGGTGGTGGACATACCGGACTTGGAGGCCAATTGCCTCACACTCCTTTGGCCAGCGTTCATATCACCGAGCGGCCGCGACGACTGACGTTGCGATGGGCGGGAGCTGGTGCCATGTCCAAAAAGTTCGGCGGAGAGGCAGCGCGTCCGAGCGGCCCTGCACGTGACGTTGGCTTGGCGGGCGCAACAAAACTCGTTCGATGCGCTGTCCTTCTCTCTCCACGGCATCATTCCTTATCACCAGTGACGTCTCCTCTCCATGAAACATTGGTCATTATCACGGTGCCCAGACGGAGCTGAGCGGTCTTTTCGCTAGCGGTACCTTCGTAATCTCACCAAGGCGTACTGTTAGATAGTAACTGCTCACAAGCCTGCGCGCGCGCGTTTCGGTCTGACGGCTTGGGGCGCGAAGCGCGCAGCAGAGAAAAGCAGCACGGCGCTGAGGAGACAGTTCCGGCAGCCCGGCTTTCTCTGCGCCGTCGACGACGATCTGATCTGTAGACCCTGGGCGGCGTGCAGCACGAAGGCAGTCGATAGCCGGATTGCGCAAGCCGAGGGCACGCGTCAGCCAACAACAGCGAGCGGCACGAGTTCGCCTCATGTGCAGCACACGAGTCACAAGCACCGCTTCGCTTGCAGACCAGCAGCCGGCCACTCCAAGCCGTGGCTGCCTGCAGGGACAACGAGCCGCCAAGCTATTTTTGGCGTGTCTGAGCGCATGCCAGATGCACATCAACTGCGCCTTGAAAATTATGCCCGCCCCGTCACGAGTGGTGCCGTGGCATACCTTCCATAAGATCAATGCTCCTTCCGCTCTTCTCCTCATCCTGCTCCTCGACCTGAGTGCGGCACCATGAACCTGATCTCACGCTTCTTGAACCCACACCAAGAGAGCTACAGCCGCGCTCTGGGCGCCAACATCTTTGAGCCGCGGCCGTCGGATGCTCCACGCAGCAGCCTGGAGGAATTCCTGGCCGAAGCGGCCGAGTGTGTGAACAGCGCTGCCGGCTTTGTGCCAGAGCCGAAATTCGCAAGAATGGTGGAGGCGCCTTCTTCCCCACTTATCACGCCCCTGGCCACCACCCTTTCCCTCCCGCCGACGCCTGAGTCGATGGCGTCGCGCCCAGCCTCGTCCACCTCCAAGCCCGGCTTTGTCAAGCAGCATGCTCTGCCGAATATAGGCACCTGGAAGAGCACTACCCACTGTGCCCTCTCCACCGACAGCACTCCGTCCTCGCCAGAGTAAGGGGCTTGTTGCGTCAACCCATGTTGCGAATTCGCTGACAGATTGCAGCAAGAGTCTTGGCAGTCGATCGGAGCGCAAACGTCATTCTGATTGCCAGGATGACAAGGAGCTCCTCTCCGACTACTACGAGAACCTTGCCAACCTGCATGACAAGGAAGAGAGCATAAACAATCTCGACGTCGACATGAGGGGCATGCAAGTTATGCAGAAAACCCGAGCTTTGCTGGGCCAGCAACCGCTGTCCATTGATCTTCAACTGTGGGACCACCACCGCCAATCACTCGATGATCAACTGGGCAGCCTCCAGCGTCGAAACGAGATCCTTCGATCACAGTGCATCAAGCGGGGTCTTCTCCTGCTCCCGAATCCTTCCGCCTTCAAGAGAAGCGCTTCTGTATCAACAGGCCAAGACAGTGGCAGAGTCCTGCCCGAGCCTGGTGTGCTCCTCACAAACAGGCATCGATCCACCACCCTGCCTGCTGCTGTTGTAGAGCAAGCCGTGTCCAACCATCGTTCCGACAGGAAAAGGATCCCTCGCCCAGCAAAAGCTATCCTCGAATATCATTACACCTTGACTCCGCATCCGTCTGACGCCGAGCTAGAAACCCTTGCTCTGAAGACGGCATTGCCATTGAGGAAAGTCAAGACCTGGTTCATCACCAAACGGGGCATCTGCCAGGAGAGCAATGCTTCAACCTGAGGAGTGTTTTGTCCTGAGCAATTAAATCAAGTGCGGTGCTGGCAAACCACCTGACCTCTCGTATGCGAACGCACCGAATTAGACGACTCATCACGAACCTACCGGACTTTTGCCAATCGACTCAACTGATCAAGGCTCTTACGGGCGATTCTTCGTCCAATCGTCGACAGCATAGCTTATCCGCAGCAGACAGAAGTCATGTTCCCAGCACCATCCTTCCTCAAATATGCGGCCCCATACGGTCGAGCTTGGGGTCTTCATTCAAGCCACCGCTCAACGATTTGGATGCCAAAAGCCTTATATGGATTCGGCCCGCTGGGTCTCAACGTAGCCATTAATTCCGCCATGGCCGGCAGAAACGCACCGATGTTCAAGCCAAGGACTTCGTTCCAAGTTATGAAGCAAACGGTACCTACTTCTGCGCGTCAAGGGCAGGCTTTGGGTTCATCTTCAGGGGCCGGAATGCTTTATTCCCCGTCGTAGAGACCTACTTGCAGAAGTGGAATATCCGCGGCATGATCATTTTGGGTCAGAACCATCAGATGATGGATGACAGGACTGGCTTCTCTCTGATTTGAGTGCAACCGGCTCGGTATTTTACCTGCAAAGGTTATAATCTGGTCTGAATATCCAAATACCGGCCCCGGAAAATCCACACGAAGCAACTACATTGCCTTCAAAAGGCGAGAATCAGCACAGTATTAGTAACGACTCTGAGGATCTTTTCCTCCCTCGGTCATCTCCAGATGTACGGCTCCCGCGATGTGCACTTCGGCATACATTGGAAAGAAACTGCGATCTATATCATCAACATTCGTAATTAGTAAGGATATGAGTAGAGGACTCTCTCCGCTGTCGAGGGTTTTCTTTGGTACTCGAAGAATGGGTATGACATTGTGATTGGCGATTGTGGCATGGTCCAGAAAGCTGCGCGCTTGGTGGAAACAGATCACTTGCTGAGTCTGCCAAGGTACTGTGTAGGAATTCTATTGATCATTTCGGGTTCTCGTCAGAGAGTTTCCCAGAGAGCAATATGCCACCCACTTCGGTATGAACACATGCTTCTCAACCACCAAAGCCCTCACAGCGGATTACCAAAATTCCCGCTCCTTCCAAACGTACCCCATCAAAAATGTTGCTCATTTACTGCGAACTAAAAATTGCTGCACCACATGAACCAGCCAAAGTTGTCTACTAGGTGTTGCACTGCTCATTACGCCACATCCGCCCCGTCCCGACCTCCACTTCGTCCAACTCCACCCGCGTGGGCACTTTTTTACCCGTCACTTCTGCACATGAACAAGTGGCGGGACAACTACCAGAGACCTCCGTCATCAGCCCAAGATTCCGTGAAGCTCATACTCTCATGTGTAATAGCACTCGAACCCCACCGGATTACCGCTCTGCGCCATCCTACAACTCAAAGGTTATGTTTGAGCCTGTGGCCGCCACAGATTACGCCTACACGATACCTATACCCACGGGCTATGTGTAATGTGAAACTGCGCTGTCTGCTACTCACAAATTCCACAGTAGTTCATCGTAGAGAGCGCCAGAAATGGAAGCTTCTTAACAACCTTAGTAACTACACTGTCATTCATTGCACGGGCCACTGTCTTCTGAAACATGCTCCTTACATTACATGCAGCTTGCTTTTTATGGAAAGTCACCCAGGGAGTTTAAGAGAGTGCGAGAGATCCTCCTCCAGAAGGGAAACTACGCCTTTGTAGACTGCTTCTCGAAAACATTCGTTCTCCAGACTGAGTGAAGGGGTGTCAAAATTGCACCGGATGCATCTAGTCACTGCAATCCCGTAAGTTATGCCGCCTTCGTCGCTAACATCGCTCAGCAATCGGTCTGCAACAAAGTAGTCAGAAACCCTGGTCTGGTGCCCACCAATCAGGCCTTGCACCTTCTCTCGCAATCGCTCAAAAGGCTCATTAAAGCACAGCTCAATGAGAAGTATGCCCAAGTGGAACAAAGGTCCGTTGCGGATGAACCCATCAAAGCTCGTGCCCTGTGGCTGCACTTCGCCTTCGGAAGTTACTCTTCGGGCAATGAATGGCTTTTCGTACGGGTCCGCATCCGTAATATCGAGGAATCTGATATCCTCACCTCCCCAAGCGTCACTGAGCCACGGAGTGCTGTAAAGCTGAAGCAAGTTGAATGCTAAAGCCACTGCAACGCGCAACCGCTTCAGGCGTGAGAACCTCGGCCTGCTTCCGCTTGTTGGCTCACGAAGGATTTGATGAAGCGAGCTGAGGGCCTGCGCGTTGGAGCGGAAAGTAGGCGATGCTGGTGCGAAAACTTCAAGTCTCTCGGAGGTCTCCTGGCTCTTGAGGAATCCGACGCAAGCCCCCAAGCCCCATTTTTGGCCTCTCCGAAGCTCATCGCATAGATTGGCGATGAGACTTGCCTGATGTAGCGATTGTGGTATTGAGCAGCCGATGTTGTGCTGGCGTGGGAATCGAACGCCTTTGTTTCCCGGGCCCAGAGGAATGGGTTTAGCTGCTTCGCTCATCCGCACTTGTGTCACTTCCAGATCCCATGGATGCCGTTGCTCATTTGGTCCGCTTTTGCAGCTGTAGGAGAAGGCAAGATGAAACGTTGGCATGTCTGCCTGCTCGCAATAGCCGTGTCTTGAAATAGAATTGGCCTCCAGAAGTAGGTTGACGCCGTGTAATGCACGGCAGTTACAACAGAATCCAGAGCAGAGCATGACAAATACGCTGCTGGCGCATCGCTGAATGGTGGAAAAGTCCGGGGTTTTCTTCACCTTTGATGCTCGTGAAGCCTCAAGTCGTAAATTTTGGCCGAGCATTGTCATCAGAACGAGATTGTCCTGTCTGATCTTGGTGACGTAGTTCTCGTATTCTGAATGTTTGATGCTGAGCTTCAGTCTCTTGTAGACCTTCTCGAGTTTGCTTCCCGCGTTGATGTTAATCTACATGAAATCAGTATTCTCCGCACCGTTTTGATGCACAAAAATCTCACCTTGCCTTGATCATCGACCTTGAGTAGCTCTTTGAGCTTTACAATACTCTCCTGCATACTCCTCACACGGGCTTCGAATTCAGGATATGATCTTGAGAGCCTGGCTTTGAGACTTCCCTCAAGCTCTGGCGTTTTCCAAGCGTCACCGTAGGGGTTCTCGAGGAGAATTTCTTTCTGAACATCATCCACGACACCATTGAGCAGTTCTTCGCACATATTCAAGTAAATTGTCTGCTCGCTCGAGAGCTGGTTGTGCAGTGTTTGCAAGGGTAGCTTGTACTTGAAGTAGCGATTACCTGCGGAAACACCTTCTAAAAGCATCTTGATCCCGGTAACCATGATTGGAATGCCGCCCAGAACTAGTCCTGCGGCTTCGGCCATCGTGCCAGGAGGAAGCCAACGGGATGGAGGAATGTAATTCGGTTGAAGTATGAAGATTCTAAGAAGGAGACTCACGAGGCTGAACCATCTTTTCAGCTTTGATTTCTCGGTTAATCTGGATGATATTCCAAATATAGGCTGACCAATTATAGTTCTCCGCCCGTGTAACACGAGAGCGGGGTTTGAAACCTCACAGCTTCAGCCTCACGCTCCAGCTTACGATGTCAGATTTCAAAAGCTGCGCCCTTGTAGCCTGGAAATTTTTCAAGAGATTTCAATTTTCCATTCACTTGGATACTTTCTGCGTCCTAAAAGGTCGCTTATACGGATGAGAAATGACCCAGGAGACCTCCATGTCTCGGGATGATCCAATCTCGACTCTTGTCGCAAGGTGTTTCCGGTCTTTCGCCGAGCTAGATGCTCACATCTCCAGTGGGTCTCAGTCTTCCTCGAAACAAATGGATGAGGATGGATTTCTGGATGAACTAGGACGACTCAGGGTATGGGCGGCAAACATTGGTGCCCATCGTACTGGAAGAATATCTCTGGACTTCCGTTTGAGAGACGCGCCGCATATCCGAACCAGGATCCAAGGGTTGTTAAATGACCTCGAAGAAAATATACGACGTAGTAAGTACAGATTGAACCGCGGTAAGTCCGAAACTGACTACGATTTTAGCTAGCGACATTATCTCCGGGGCATCCCTCCCGTGGGACAAGCTCGAGCTTGATTCTGACTCCAATACTGAATCTTCCGAAAGCGAACTCGGCGATGAAGAGTTTGGCGGAACTGAGAAAGAACAGCTCAAGAACAGTATCCATGAGACCATAACGCTCCTTTCGCGTCTCTCTATGGCCGTTCGTAACCCTGCTATGCACGATCGACATATCAACTCGTCTCAAATTGTTGCCATCGTTTCGACGTATGACGTAAAGCATGTTTCCGAAAAGTTCCCACGTGCGCCATCAGATCTTGCGAATAACCTTGGGAAAGCAATATCTAGAAGACGGCAATATCTCAGATCCCGGAAAGAGCGACATGAGGAGCTGGCACAGGGATTGGATGGAAAACCCAAAGCGCCGTCTGAGAGCATGACCGCTACATCGTTGCCAGAGGCAATCAAGTCGATGAGCCAAGAAGATTTTGAGAAAGAGCCATACTCAGATTCAGAAGAATCTCACACGTCCTTTGCGGGGTCGAATGTCGATGATGGACAAATGCGAAAGATACCGCCTTTTCCTCGGGAAGGCACCGGTGGTACCCCATTTGAGTGTCCCATATGCTTCATGATGATATCTATTCACGATCGAGAGTCTTGGAAGTAAGTATCAGAGATCCGTCCATCACGTAGCAATTTTGCACCATATTTATGAATGTTTAGACGACATGTCTTTCGAGACATCCATCCGTACGTCTGCACCTTTCCGGATTGCACCACGCCACAACGTCTCTTCTCAAGGCGTCGCGAATGGTTCCTCCACGAACTTGAGATGCACCGGTGTCGTTGGCAGTGCGCGCATGGCTGTTGGGGTGACTTCAAGACTGCATCCCAATTCGAAGACCATGTAAGAGCAACACATCCGGAATCTGCCTCGCCTGAGGATTTGGCGAAGCTTAGTAGTGCAAGTTCAAGGCCAGTGAGCCAGCGGAGCTTAGTCAGTTGCAGTATGTGTGGCGAAAATGATATATCTCTTCAGAAACTCAAACGCCACCTCGGACATCATCAGGAAGACCTGGCACTTTTCGCCATTCCATTCGCAGGTTATGAGCCTGAGGAAAATGCAACAGGAGAGACATGCTCTTTTGAGGTAAATGAGAGTATCAAGGGCGAAGATTCGGTCTCTTCGTCTGTGCTGTCTCTCGAAGACGACAGACCGGAAACAATCGTAAAATTCCAAGCCAAGGAGGCAGGATTGCGCGTCATCCGTGATGAAGAAGACGGTGTTGACCGCTGTCCGCGCTGTTCGTGGGAGCTCGAGGATAGAGAGTGTGCACAGTGTGGCCTCCTGTTCGATGACAATGGCATAGTGACCGGCGAGAACAGCTTCGGCGGCTTCAGCAACATGGACGAGAAATCGAAACATGATATGTCCGGCAACAATCCGTTCAAGCTACTTCAAGCTATCAAGCCAGCTGCATCCGCAGCCAAGTCACCTGCGCGAGCTTCTCCCAACAAGGCTGACGATGCAAAGGCCAATTTCGCTAGGAAGAGCAAGGGTTTCAGTGCCAATGATGACTATCAGAACCTTCGAGATGGAGGGTATGAAGATGAGGAATATGAAGGAGAGGAATCCGGGTCTGACGTACAGCCTGTTTCTTCAACTCTAGGGGCGGGTTCCATGACTTCAACAAACCCTCAGGCTTCCACAAACATGGAGAGTACCATCTTTACACCAACCACCGGCGAACTCGGTCCCTTCGACATTGGCTCGACGACGGGGAATGACGGGAACAAACAGAGGTCAAGAACCAATGCAAAAGGAAATTACGGCAGCTCCGATACAAAACCGCCGCCCCGCGCTAGAAGCTCAAGTTCGCCCGCTCCCCCAACAAACCATGACCCTCTGATAGAACCACCAGAGCGGCCACGTGCTCCAGCGCCTCCAGACTTTCCGGATGCACTTTCCTCTGACGAACCTTTTCGTCGGCGGTCTCGAAGGCCTCCACCAATCGTCAGGCAGCCTTCCACCAGTTCCAGCTATCGGCCTACTGCTGCTGCCTCGCGTCCACCAAATAATAGACCTCAAAATCCTAACCAGAGAGCTGCTCAAAGCGCAAGCGACCGCGAGTTTGCTGAAAAACTATCTGCGTCTCTAAATAATCTTCGTGTTAATGCTGGGAACTCCCAACAAGAGACAGTAGACGAACTCCAAGCTCGCATCGAACGTGAGCGGGCTACGGGACGTGAGCAGTTACGCCGCGAGCGACAAGCAGACGAGTTCTGGGCGCAGTACCACCGAGACCGACAGGAACGCCGCGAGGAGGGCCGTAAAATGAACGAGCAAAGTCGCCCAGCCGACGACTGGGAGGCCCGCCTTGAGGAAGGACGTCGCCGCCTCGAGCAGGAATACCGCAACCGCCAGCAAGAAACGCGCCACGACCCTTCAGTCGATGCTGCTACCCTAGCTGATTGTTCTTTTCTTCGTTACCGTACTCCTCGCGTTCGTTTAGACTCCTCATCTTCCTATAGAACGTCTGGCTCGACGTCTTCCTATAGGACGTCTGGCTCGACATCTTCCTACAGAACGTCTAGCTCGACAACAAGCGCTAGTATTACGACTGATAATAGTTACGAGGCGGTTGAACGTAATCGCTTACTGTCTTTTGAGCGAGAACAGATGTCCCGACAGTACCAAGGAGCTGATGCTATACTTACTTCTCAGATTGCTGACGCGGAGGCCGACATTCTGCGTGCTGAGGCTCGTATAGCCGCGCGCCGCGATCGAGAGCAGCGTGAGCGTATGCTTGAAGGCAATTACGGTGCCTTTGCGTACGACGGCGTTAACTCATACGCTCCGCAGCCCAATGACTTCTACAACCCCCATCTCGGCATAGGGAGCCTAAGACTTGAAAATAGACGCTTGCCACCTATGGAGGGGGAACAGAGAGTTATTCGCGAAGCGCGAGGTGGTGGTGATCGGAGACCCAGAAGAAGGTCTTCCGTTTCCTACCACCAATACCCAGCTTACCGTTGGGAGGAGCAGAAATCCAGTAAATCGCCACCTCCTACGCGTCGTCCGCAGGAGCCGGATAATGATCAGGAAAAGAAGTGGGTTTCAGATTGATCTCCTAGAAAGAGTATGTGGCAGATACTTTTTGTTTGACATAGCTTAAAGAACGTCTCGCAACTCAAGTCTCATGAGGAATACTCCAGCATGACACGGGACCGCGTGTGTATTTCATTTTCCAAGTCGGATAATGCTTCAGTGAGGCCTTGCGAGCGCACACACCGGGTGGTAATGAGCATTAGAGAAGTGAAACGGTTAGAGATCAAATGATGTGTACAGCAACAAGTGTTTGGTAATCAGCGGCCAGGACTTATTGAGTCACGTGAAATGATGCCATTCGGGTAGGCCAGTCGCAGCGCGGAGGCGATTACAAAGGCGGCCGAACACCGGAGCATGGCGTCAGTGCTGGGGCGGGCGGACATTTTGTGCGCGCATCTGACGATATCTGCGAGGCTGCCGTCTTCTTCTTCTTTGCGTATTTTTTGCAATGTCGATCGCGAGAAAAGTCGTCGGACGCACGGGAGTCAGCCAGCAGCTGCTCCGCTTCGCCCAATCACGGCCCGCGCAATCCGGCGCATCGCGTCACGCATGGCAAGCTTCACGAAACCTTCACAACCAGCCGCGCCGCAACGTCCAAGCCGCCCACGCCGTGAAACCTGATGTCGAGATCGCTGACTCCACGAATCCTGCGCTCGCCTTTCCATGCCTTGACGCCCTCGAAAATCGCTCCGCAACCCTGCAGAAACGCTCCCTGCTGGGTCCCGAGCCCTCGTACACCACCGGCAACCATGAGAACTTCGTCTGCAAGGAGCCCATGCTGCTCGACTGGGGCGGAATCTTGCCCGAGTTCAACATAGCTTACGAGACCTGGGGAAATCTCAATGCCGACAAGAGCAATGCTGTTCTGTTGCACACCGGCCTGTCAGCATCCAGTCATGCTCACAGCACCGAGGCCAACCCTCAGCCAGGCTGGTGGGAGAAGTTCATAGGCCCCGGGAAGCCTCTGGATACTGACAAGTACTTTGTCATATGTACCAACGTCATTGGCGGCTGCTACGGTTCGACTGGCCCCTCTTCGATCGACCCGGCAAACGGCCAGCGCTACGCAACGAGGTTCCCCATCCTGACAATGGAAGACATGGAGCGCGCTCAGTTCAGGCTGCTTGACCACCTCGGAATCGACAAGCTATACGCCAGCGTCGGTTCCAGTATGGGTGGTATGTTGAGTCTGGCTGCCGGCGTGCTCTTCCCCGAACGCGTGGGCCGAATTGTTTCTATCAGCGGCTGTGCTCGTAGCCACCCTTACAGCATTGCCATGCGACACACTCAGAGACAAGGTACGTCGTCCAAGGTATTTTCTGCCCAGCTCGTGCTGACCAACTTCAGTGCTCATGATGGACCCGAACTGGAACCGCGGTTTCTATTACGACGCTATCCCGCCTCACTCCGGCATGAAGCTCGCCCGCGAGATTGCTACAGTCACATACCGCAGTGGACCTGAGTGGGAGCAACGCTTTGGAAGGAGAAGGGCTGACGCCTCCAAGCCGCCTGCGCTCTGTGCTGATTTCCTAATCGAAACCTATCTGGATCACGCCGGAGAAAAGTGGTGCCTGCAGTACGACGCCAACAGTATGCTCTACGTGTCCAAGGCAATGGATCTGTTCGATCTGGGATTAGAACACCGTGTTCGCATCAACGCGTTGAGGGCTCAGAATGAAGGCAAGCTCGCAGCATTCGCCGCCGGAAACAAGGTTCAAGCCGCGGCAACTGCCGATTCTTGCAACTTAACCCTCCCAGAGAAGCCCTATGAGGAACAGGAGCAGTCCAATGGTGCCCCGGCATCTCAGGCCTCCAATGCTTCCCAGGCAACTGGCCCGCAGGAACCCCCCGCAGATCTGGTAGCTGGCCTGAAGCCCTTGGCGAACATACCCACCTTGGTTCTTGGTGTGGCAAGCGATATTCTCTTCCCCGCCTGGCAACAAAGAGAAATCGCCGAGACTCTGCGCCGCACCGGCAATAGAAATGTCACGCATGTCGAACTGGGAGAAGAAAAGAGTATGTTCGGTCACGACACATTCCTTCTGGATCTGGAACACGTTGGAGGGGCGGTGAAAGATTTCTTGGGTTGAGCGGCAAATGCTTTGGTGCTATTGCCTTGACGGACGGAGGAACGGTGGTTGCCTTACGTTTTGAATGAGCGTGCATGGGTGGAGTTTTTGGCTGGGGTTCTCAGGGTTTGGAATGGTCAGAGGGATGGCTGGCCTGCGCATGCTTGCCAGTTGTCACTTCAGTATAAAAAAGGATCTCGGTTCTCTCTTCTTCAATCTAACCTGCTTCTTCCACATCCTGCTCGTTGCTTCCACATGGACCACGATCTTTCTCGTTGCTGGCTGAACCCCTCGCCTTCAGTAGCCGTCAAGCATATGCAACCTCGGCCACGCAGTCAAGCCAACCCGGTGACGCAAAGCCACCGTTATGGCTCTAAAGATACTGGAAGAGGGGGAACGGCGCTAATTTCGTATGATGCCGTTCGCAAAGCCGGCCCTCCGACCGACCGCTATCTCCTTCAGAACCAAGAGAAATCTTCGTTGACCAAGACTTTTCAACAGCAGAATTCGTTCCCGTCGATATGCTAACGCGTCATAGAAAATTCCTCCAGCGTGTTGCACAAGAATCATGGCGGAATGTGCATCAGGCCCCTAGAATTCGGGCCATGACCCGCGGCGCTGGACCCTTTCGCATTCCTCTGCTGCCTACGCCACGCCTAGTCTGCTTGGTGGGTCGCGGACTACTGTTCTCACTAGATTGACAGTCATCAAGCGTCCCGACCCGCACCCCAACTCGACGAGCAAAGGATATCTCGGCATCCATCCGCGGACCCCGCTATTTTTACTCCTTTGCACCTCTCATCATGATCCGAGCAAAGATATGACTCAAAAACAGCGACAGGAAGATGGCTTATCACCTTTCTAGATATGCTCATGCTACAAAGGGCTGGCTCCCCGAGTATCGAGGTCAAGCACGACGTATCTTTCGTAACCCTGAACCAGAAACTTTTGGTCACACCCGGCCTTTCTCCATGGCCTCGTCACCATCGGTCGATCTCAGCTGCCGCCTAGAGATTCAAGCTGTGACTCTGAAGCTCAAACCACACTTCCGTTTCCAACCGTATGAGCTAGCGCTCATTCTCATAGACCTCGGGACTCGCATCGCCAAGATACGGGAATGCTCCGCAGACAAAAATGGTGTCGTGATGACGAATCACAGGTAAGTCTAAGATCATACGAGGCTCAGGACTAACTTCCTTTGCTTTTTAGATCCAGCAGCGACGGTACGTTTCGATCCGCCAATATGCAACTCAGTTTCTCCGTTAATACCCACGGATATATCACCCTCCTGCGTCAACGTGTGTTTCAGATCGTGGTAGTTACTACCTTCCGGCCCACCATTTGCCTGTTCACAAGTCTTCTCTTAGTCATACTTATGAGCAGAGAGTTGCCTCTACCGGTTTAGTGTTTAACCTCGCTTCTCCAATACCCCGATGCTATCCAAGAAAGGGATGAAGATTTTTGTCTGGCCAAGCACACCATCGCATTGAGCTTCACACAGACCTCGCTTGGCCGAGACAGATGCTACCTCTAGTCGTTGGCGACGAGCTGGGAATGCCCCCTGGAGAGCCATGACGACCTACGAACGTAACCCTACGCTTCAATCGGGTCCCTCAATCGCGGCTACGAACCAATAGATTTTTCAAAATTTACCTTGCTGTACCTCAAGCGATCGACGGAAGAATGGATCAAAGCTATCTGACGCGAGACTGGAATTCGTTAAGAGATATTACCAGGACCGGTTTCAAAGGGCAACCGTAGCTCGGATTACGATTGCCGTGACCCATGGTGGAATCATCACGGGTAGGCATCAGCCGATTTAATGCGGAGGTGTGTCGAAACCTAAAAGCTGCTGCCCTCCTGAACACGAAGTCTCTAATTTCAAGACCCCAGGAGCGCATATCCTCACTCTTATTTCTACCAGACAGTACACAAAAGTCCAGTCACTGTGGCACCAATCCCAGAAGCTCCGCATCATTCCAAGCGCAGCAGTGGCCCGAGCGTCATGGGGTTGATCGTGCAGGACTTCAACTTGCAGGAGTACATGAGTATGGCGTTCTACTGCATTGTGGGCAGTGGCATCATCTTCCACTGGATACATGTCTGGCTCGGCAAACCAGATTCACGGATCAAAGCACTCGAATCCCGAATGCGGCGGATCGAAGAGGGTGGGGCCTACAGTGAAGTAAATCCACACCTGCACCAGCTATACAACGTCGTCTGCTGCGCTTTGTTGCGATACGGCGTTGCTCATTCAGCATCACAGCAAAAGGAATTAGCCGGCAACGGATATCCTACCGTGGATCCGCTTGGGAGGCGAGATTCGGGCTACTCTCCACGCCTCTCGGAGTCTGGAAGCCTTTTTGCCAACGTCAACGATGGGCCCAACTCGCTTTTCCACGAACCATCACCTTCGCAACATCAGTGCATTGATTCGTGCTACAACAACACGTTCTACAACGAAAGCATTGCGCCACACGAGGCCGCAATGTCATCGTCGGTACGCGATACCTCTGGCTGCTTCAACACTACATACTACTCCTCTGAGCCACCTCAAATACCAGATACCCCTTATCGGCATCATAGGTGACTAAACGGCGGCGCTGATAACTCAAAGAAGCAGCCCACCTCGATAGCCGCGATGGAAGACACCTCAGTCTGCACCACTTTCCGTGAAGCCACCACTCCGATGGTTTCGCACAGCCCGTCTCCGCCACTCAAGAGATACTACCGTCCGCATTTTCCCTGGCCACCTCTGCCGCCAGCATATCACCATTCAGCAGGCTATTGGGGTGCATTCGGTGCGCCTCACGCCGATTGACCGACATACGGCGCTATTCGAACATCGCCAATTACACCTAAGCAGCTTTGCATGGGAAGCTTCCGCCAACGTTCTTCTATGAAACGGACCCTTTTTCTTTTTCTTCCCTATTCTGGTTACTTACAGAGCTATGTCCGTTGGAAGTGCAATCCGATTTTATCACCTGCACATCAAATTGCCGATCCTAGGTTTTTCTCCGGCGGGAGCCTTTTGGTCCCGGATCTTACACCAGCCACCATCAGCATGAACCACACTTGCAAGACGCTAGATGGTCCTTGTCATGCAAGGGATGTCGACGGGGTCAGCCCAACCTCCAATAATGCTTATGCGCCGTGGGTCGACCGGGAATTTTGTCCCAGCGTTTCTCGGTTTCAGCTCGTCCATTTGCGCTCCCGTTTCTTTTCGCGTTCCATGGACACCACATCCCCGATCAAAATTTTCACGTATGAATGAGGCGTTACACTCCAATTTGATTCATGAGGCATGGCCTGGCCTGGCCTTGCTTTTCACTGGCAACTGGTTACTGCCAATGTCTCCCGCCACCGCCAGACGCCATCAGCCCTCACTTCGCAGCCATTCTCCGAAACAGACCCTGACATTTCTTCTTTGGTCTAGCAGTATCTACCAACAAATACATCCTTCTGGTGCTCCTCAGACCTTCTAATTTTAGAGAAAAACTTTTCAACATGCAGCACCAACCAACACTGTCCCTTCATGCACGAAGCGATCCGTCTGATCGGATTCAATTTGTCATCCAACCGTTCCTTCTTACTAGTTTCCAAGATCATCGCTGCTCAATGTCTTACTGCCCCAACCAATGGAGACGCTGGATGTCCTTATGCAGTTTTTCTTCTTCCACCAAAGATGTGACCAAGATGTCACCTTCATACTGCTTTGTATTCCAATACCTACCAAAGCCTTTGTTTTTCTGTTTCATCTCGAATCACACATTTATTTTTTTGAGACAAATGAATCTTTTTTTTTTAAGATGAGAAATATTAACATTAGAGGGGGCTTTTCGTTTAGTCTACCCATGATCTCCCTTTATGTACTTAAAACATGATGTCCATTAATCATTTCCTTGTTGCATCCTCGATGTTCTTTTGCACATCAACGACGTGGTCGACTCATGGCGACGTGTGACGTGTTTGACACGGTTCACACGGAACGGTCAACTGATCGACCATCACCCCCCTCATTCATCAACGTTGCAGCCACTCTAAGCGTAGAAGGAACGTTAAATGCTCATAAGACCACCCAAGAAGCGCCCAGCATCCTACGCCATGAAACCCCAAAAGAAATGCCCAAGACGAACGTGCATTGCCGTGTCACCTCTTCACAGCTTTTAATACGCAGTAGCTATGCTCTGTCTCTCTCGCTCACACATGCTTGAGCTGATCGTCATTCCGGACGATCCCGCTTAGAGGCCCCCCGTCGGCGTCGCGCCGGCCGGAGGGAAGACGCCGGCCGGAGTCATCGGGGTAGCGGCGGCGGGGGTGGCGTACTGGCCGGCGACAGACAGGATGCCGTCGGCGCCGCAGGTGAAGATCTCCGGGTCGTAGCAGCTCGGGCCGCAGGCGGCCAGCGGCTCGCCGTTCTGCAGCGGGCACAGGATGTTGGTGTACGTCTGGCCGCCGTAGCCGACGCTGCTGTCGTAGCAGTGGAAGGCGCGCGGGTCGTAGGCGTGCGGGCCGCAGACGGGGAGGCTGTTGTAGCCGCCGCCGATGAAGCCGGGGCCGCTGCCGCTGCCGGGAGTGGCGACTGGCGTGTTGACCGGAGTGTTGAGGGGGTAGTAGATCGGGGTGCTGGCCGGAGTGTAGACGGGAGTGCCGGCAGGTGGGGTGTTGGGAGCCTGTGCGATGGGAGAGGCGAAGGCGGCGGTGGTGAAGAGGGCGGCGACAGTGAGGAATTGCATCATGTTGGTTTTATTGGTCCTTTTCGGTTGGTTTGAGATGAGGTTTAGATGAGGGTTTGATATCAGAAACGACTGGTTTGGGTTCTGATAGTGATTATGGTGATGAAGATGAAGGCGAAGCTGAGTGAATGCTGGCCGGTTGAGAGGCCAGTCTTCAGCTGCCTATATACCAGCCCCTTCGTAGCCTGAGGTCAGAAAAGCAGCATTGTGCGGGACCCAAGAGCATTGCCCCCAAATTCGTCGTCATCAACCACACAGCAGGTGCGCCGTCGGCCGAAGGCTGCTGGGTCCAGAACCTGTCATGTAGGCTTATTGGTCGACCAGCCGTGCAGAGTTTCCTATTCCTGCAAGGCGAACAGAGGTAGCCAGGGCGCTTTCCCAAAGTTTCTTGACAGCCCTCGCTAGGTCCCTGCGATCCCCAGTTTTCGTGGTTCTGGCGTGGCTAACAGCTGTCCGGATCGCCTTACCGATAGTCCGCTACGCCCAATCAGGATCGCGCAGCTTCCTTGTTCGCCGCTGAGGCTGTGGGTGCTGGGCGGGCGGCCTTGTCTGCATGCAAATGCAGGGAACGCAGGACGAGCGTGCCTGACATGTGGAGGGCAGGCAGCGATGACGTCGATGGCCACCGGGCGACGCCTCTTCACGTGGCGAGCAGGCGCATCGTTGACGCGTCCACCAGCTCGGTGCGAGGTGTGCGCAGCGGGAGTCGTTCGGAAGAGTGGGTCGGCGGGCGCGGAGGGGGGCTGATCGGCCAGTCGCGTCGCTATATTTAGGACCCCACCGTTGCTGGCTCCCCGACCCGACCGGTGGCTGTGCTGTGTGGCATATTTCGCGTCCTGCGCTCCGCGGCCTGCGGCCGTCGCACACTGCAGGTGCGGCTATGCGTGTGCTCGCGCCATGGGGGCGGCTCTCGGCTGCGGCGTCTTCTCACAGCCTGGTCTGCAGCTGCAATAGGGGAGCAGGCAAGGCTGTGAGGCTCTTTAAGGCTGAAAAGGTTGCGGCGCGCCTAGCCTCCGATCTCTAACATGCCTGTCCGGGCCTAGCGCTGCATTGCCGCCCCCAGCCTTCAGCTACACTTTAATAATTTTTTTCCCTCTTGACCGGTGGCGTGCCCTTTCGAGCGCTCTGCGGCTCTCTTTGCATTGCTCTCGACACAGCCTGCGAGGCCGAGCAGCATCGTGACCTCGTCGGCCCGTTCTCGCAGCACGTGTCGTATCTGGACAGCACCGGTGCTCACAAACGAAAGCTAAATTTGTCGAAAATGCGTCATCACGGTGATTGCTGCGGGGTAGTTCGAGATACTTGGGTACCTTCGCGCGGGCACGTTTCCAAGCACGCACCCGTTTGCTGGGTGCCGCAACTGCTGTCTTTGGGGGTCTGGCCGGCTGCGGATGTCAGTGCTGCTGGGCCGCGTACCTCCGCCGATCGAGATTGCTCGGCTGCAGCTGTGAGATGAGATTTGTTGGAGGAGAGTTTGAGGTCTGACGGCCCCTCCAGCACATTCCCGTCTGAGGGTACGGCTGACGAGGGCCAACGTGTGGAGGTGCCAACAAACGCCGCCCGTGACCGGTACGCGCCTGACGAGACGGGGCGGCGCACGAGGGCCACACAACCCGAGGCCGCGTGAAGACTGAGGGCGGCGGTGAGCGGTGCGACTCTGCTGGCGGGAGGCTGCCTAGAGCTGAGCGATCGGTGAGGCCGCCGCGAGCATTCAGCAGAAGCGGCGGGCGGCGCTGATGCCGACGGCGGCGAGGCCGCGAGCGCTGGCATCGGGACTGGAGGACGTCTGGACTGGTGGGCCATCACGTGGCGCGGTGCGCGGTGGACGTCCAATGGCTGCAGGCGCGGGCAATCTCATCGCGGCCCCTTGCAAGCGCTGCAGAACATCGCAGGGCGCCCGCTTGCGCATCCCTGCGCGGTACGACGATTACAACACACCCAGCAGCCAACGCGTCGCAGCCCAGCTTCACGACGAGCCCCGGCGCACAAGCACGACGGCGCTGATCCGGCCGGCTCGCTGGCCACGAGCTTGCTTGTCACGCCCGCTGCCACGTAGCTGCGCACTCCTCCTCTCGTCAGACAAACTCTTGCAGCAGAGAGCAGCAGCAGCACGCACGCACGCACGCCCGCGAGCAGCCTCCGGACGCCCTGGATCGCCCGCGCGCGCCGCATCCGCATCGACCTGGCCCGCGTCCCGATGCGCAGCTCTGCCGCTCCAGGCCATAGCGCCGCCGCCGCGCTTAGTGCTCAGCTCGAAAGCGTCCGTCCCGCCTGAGAGGCGCATGCGACGCCGAGTATTTATATCATTTCCGCCCAGGCCTCCCCAAGCTCGCCTGTCTCAGCCAGCGCGCCCTGTCCCCCAGCTAGCAGCGGCACCCGGTAAGCTTATACACACCCTTTCCCCAGCCCAGACGGCCTGTCAGCACTAGGGAAGCGCGCGCGCGCATTGACACGTTCTGCCAGGGCATTCCCTACGAAACACCCCATATAGGCCGACTGCGATCCTGATCCACTCGCAATTGCCCATCTGACCCGCGCCCTACGCCCACGCTATACGCCCGCGCGCCTCGCCCTTCCCGCCGCCGCTCCGGATCGAATCGCGCGTCAGCTTATCCCGCCCACGGCGAATGAGGGCTTATCTGACGTCCCACAAGCTTCCTCTTCCAAGGCGCGCTTCTGCGAACGGCAAGGCGGGGTCGGAAAGCAAATAAACACCTGCGAAAGCCCGGCGAGACGAGCCGGCGAGGATCTGCGGTACACCTCTGAATTCCCCGGGCTCACCAGAGGCAATGCCGCCCGACAGCTCCTCGTTTACCGCGCTGAACGTCTCGAGCTCTGCCGTGCCGGAATGGATGGGCTCCTTCTCGCTGTCGGCGCCCCCAAACACCGACCTCTGGCGCAAGCCGCCCAGCAGTGATACCTCGACCGCCCCCATTCTCTACACCGCTCTGCGCAACCCCTTCGTGGCCGCCGAGGTCACCGTGTCCGCCGACTGGGAGCTCGAGTGGGATCAGGCCGGCTTAGTGATATTCGCAGGCGCGCCCCCGGGCCGTATTGGCGGTTCACCAGCAGCAACAACCGCGCCCGCCGCCCAGCCACAGCCGCCCGCTCAGCCCCAGCAGCAAGACGCCCCTCCGCCCGCCTACACGCCGCCCGCGCCAGCCTCGAAATGGGTCAAGGTCGGCCTGGAATTCAGCAACAATGAGTGCCATGCCACCTCGGTGTGCGCCACTTCCGACGGCGCCGACTGGGCCCTCACCTCCCTGCCCTCGCACCGCGGCCGCCGGTCGGACCTGCGCGTGAAGATGGAGCGCATCGGATACGCCTTGTGGGTGTGGTACGAGGACGACGTCAGCGGGTGGAAGAAACTACGCGAAGTGACGTGGTTTTTCTGGGGCGTCGAGGACAAGGCTGTGCGCGTGGGTGTGTATGCGTCCCGACCCGCCAACCTTGGTGCAACGCATTACGAGCGCCGACACGGTGGTCCGCGTGTGACGCAGCGGAATTTGCTCGTGGAGTTTGAAGGTCTGGAGATTTTCTAACGATCGTCGCCGCCAACACCGTCTCCACCGCCTCTATACGAATAATTCCTTTCTCCCGCGGCTCTGGTCACCTGTAACACCAATCCGCCCTGCTTGCCCGTCTGTACAAAGGGTCCGGAACCATCGGCAGTGCCGCAAAAATTTCCCGTAAAAATTTCTTTGCCTTTATTCACTTTCTACTCCTTCCGATTTTTCCTGGTTTATTGCATTAGCAGATATCCCGAAGAGCGATTGACATCCGTCTTTTTCAATCTGGAGTCATCTCTGTTTTTCAAATATTTCGCTTCGCAAAAAGGAAAGTTGTATTCCCCTGGGGTTGTGCTCGATGCATTCTGAAGGCACTGCATCATCAGGCACAACATGGCGCATAGGCCGCTTATTGGACTTCTTGAATTTTTTTTTTGGGGTTCATTTCGTTTGGCAGTAAAATTCTCCAAGTTGCGGTTTTTGGAAATCCGCGGCATAAAGATTGCAGGTCTCGGGTTGTTAATATGACGCAAAATGTAATTTCGGGTTGTCTTTCTCCTTTTGGGATCATCATCAGCGCCGCCATATACCTGTTAGGGCGTATGATATCAGGCGGCGACTTATAATTTGGTGAATACCGGGCCATTCGGAACTTTGTTCAATGTATATTTATCATGAGCTGGTTGCGCTAGCGGCAGCTACTTACTTTTCGCTATTCAAACAACTTTTTATGCATTTTGTGCTACTTCACTTGGTGTACCGTTGTAGGCTGATCATATAAAGGCCATTCTGGTGGCGCATGTCAAAAGTCTGACAGAGAGGGGATGAAAAATTGCTTGAAGACGGTATGAGGGTAAGAGGTTAGAGAATCTCCAGATAGCTTGAGGGTGCATGTGATCCTAAGAGACTCACAACCTCTTAATGGACACTGGATTCAGCAAGAGCTGTTTCCAAAATCCAAGATCTTGTGGTAGTTCCTCAAATCGCGATATCTGTTGAGGCGCTCTACGCATACAGTTACCTCTCAGGTGCACTACCCTTGACCTCCTGCCTCGTGATAGCACCAAGTAGCAAACGATGGTCTTCTGGTACTCTTCACCACGCTGTTTCTTATAAGCTCTTCAATATAGCCTCTCGTCAAACGCCACTCGTGCGTCCTGCGAGTTGGACACTTGCTCACTGGCAATTTTCACTACAAGAGTCCAACAAAAAGGCTCCAGCCCTCTCCAAACTTTCGCCGGCTCACCAGTACAGACAGCCATGTTCAGACAAATACTTCTCAGTATCTTGACCACGTCCATCACCCCACTCGGCGCCGAGCACTTCAACCACCCGCAGCCTCTTCGTCAAGACGACACATCTCCCGCCGCGACGACGAGCGCAATCGCGGGACCATGGTCACCCTGCTTGCGCCAAAACCCAGGCTGCCAGGAAATCTACTACCTCATCCAGCGCTGCTGGGACACGGGCGTGCCGGGAGGGCAAGCGCCAATACCAGGGCTTGCTGGAGAGCAGGCTGTCAGCGGTTTCGACCCGAACGACCGCGACATCAGTGAAGCTTTCCGCACCTGCTTCTGTGGAGACCAGCGAACGACCGAGGATGAGGCGTGGACGCGGTGCGCGTTCTGCGTGATCAACGCCGGGATGAGGAGGTACTATGCCAATAGGGAGAACACGGATATTGTGCTGTTCTGCAGCACGCCTGGTGAGTTGGCTCCATTTCTTCCCTCACACTTATTTCCGCACATACCGTCACCTTCAAGGTGGGACAAATGAGGTATGTGCATATTGTAATGAACTGAACTGACAAGGGAGTTGGGCAGATCCGAACCTCTATCTGTGGCTATCCGCCTTCCTCAACTTCAGCCTCATCACCGCGCCTGACGCCTGGTCGTCCGCTCCATCGCCCCTCCTGACTGGCCCCATCACGGCTATTACCGCCGATGCGGTCAAATCTCGCTACAAGCCCGACCCAAGCGCCAACATGCTGCCTAGCGACATCATCATCCTAACTACTGCCACAGTTAGCTCGCTACCGCTGCGAACATCTACGTCTAGCTCAGCATCAACGTCTAGTTCAACATCAACGCCTAGCACAACATCGAAGTCCGGCTCAATATCGAAGTCTAGCTCAGCATCGAAGTCTGACTCAACATCGAAGTCTGACTCAATATCAAAGTCTAGCTCAACATTGACGATTGGCTCCAGCTCGACCACGTCTTCTGGCGGTGATAACGATGGAGGCGGTGAAGGTGGTGGGCAAGGGCTAGGAGGCGCTCTGGGCAGCGGCGTGCTTACCATCCTGTCCTACACTTACGAGGACACGAGCATGTACGTCGTTGGACCGGCTAGCGAGGTTGGCTCTCTGCTCCCGGCTTCTGCTACTGCGGCTGCTTCTACATCTGGGAAATTTGCTACGACCACTACCTTGCCTATGGCGGTGACGACGGTGGGTCAGGGTTACGATGGTGGTGGTGGAAGTGTTACGACGGGGAAGTTCGTGCAGGGAGGACGGACGGTGCTGATAGTGGGACCGGCGACGGGGACCGGATCAGCAATTAAGTCTTCGGGCGCGGGGGCGGCGGTGGACCGAGCGGGACTGAGTAAATTTTGGGGTTTTGCTCTTGCGGTAGGAGTCATTTCAGGGGTTGCATTCTTGGGCTGAGCGGTGTTCTAAGTGGACGAGGGGTTGAATGGCATTGAAGTTTATTATTTTCCGATGCTCAATCCTACTACTGACGACGGGACGTTCTTGTGTCACTCATGAGTTTACATTAACGTTCGGTTAATTTTTGGCTACCAATAGAAAGAGCTACAAACAAGTCCTTTAACGTGGGCTGCGAAGCCTGGGCTCTTCTGTAAAATGAAATGCTTCCATAAACGAGGCCGTTAATTGTGATTGTGTAACTGTTATGTACCATCTAACCATTCGACAGCGATGCTCTTCGAAACAAACAATTTCCCTGTCCTTGCTAGCGATTGAGAAGGACCATAATCTTACAGCTCAAAGATACCTCGTATCCTTGGTCGACTGAAGCAAATGCAACACTGAACCTACCCGAATCGAGTCTCGGAACAACCCCCGACTATTTACCTCCTTTTCTTGGTCCAGGCCTTCACGAAGTCCGACTTTTCTCTCACTCCCAAGCCCACCCGCTTCACTCTGCCCAAACGAGCCAAATCCTCGCCCACATGGTCAAGCACCTTCTTCTCCTCTAGACTGAGCTCAGCGTACTCTGAGATACCCTCACCAAGTGGAGTGCCTTCGAAGGCATTCGCCGAGATGCGGCTGTTTGGTTGGGGCGAATGATCGCGGCCGGTGGTGGAGGCCGGAATCTCGAGCTTGAAGCCGGCAGAATTGAACACGGCCTCGGCGATCCGGACTCGAATGCAATGAGTAGGCTTAGAGCATAGATTCCACAAGAACTTGAAGTATGTTCCAGGAACGGGAGTAGCCACATCAGCCGGAGTGTAGCGCAGACTGACGGGGAAAATCTTGGTCTTTGCCGGGACAGTCAGAAGACTGGGGCTGAAGGGCAGAATACCACGGCCATTGGTGGTTGTGCACTCGGGGAAGACGACGATTGAGGCGTCTGGGTTCTGTGCAATGAGCTTTGCGATGGGTACAAGCGTCGCGTTTTGTGGCGGAGCGTCAGCGGGCGGCGAAAGGGCATGTAGAATGGCCCTAAAGCAAGTAACACGCTGGACGAGTCGCGTGGAAGGGTAAGAGATTGTGAAGATGGGATCGAAAATGGCGGCAAGGTAGAGAGCGTCCAGAGGTGAGGTAAACGAGGAGGCGATTATCGTGCCTCCGTGGGGTAGGCGCTTCTTATCTTGCTTCGCCAAAGAGCTGCGGTGGCACACAATTAGCAGCGCGGCAACACGGCTGATTGGTCCACATACCCTCTCTTGACACCGTCAATCTGTAGGTCTATCCACCAAACGCCGGGAATGCCCAGCATAAGCCATAGCGCAGCTTTCCGCACCAACGAGCCAACAGGGAGCCAGCTAAGTAGCAAGAAGTACACGGCGGCGGCGGTGAAGAGCAGTGGTACACGGCATGCGAACAGGAACAGGTAGAGTGGTAGCGCGAGCTTGGAGGACTCGGTGGAGACGGGAAAGAATGGGGCAACTCCGGTGCCTGCAGCAAATGTCAGATAAAATCCATGGCGTGAGCTGAAGGAGAGCACACCTCTGTCGCGGTACTGCGAATATTTCTCCATGGCGGGCTTGGGCTTGGAGGAGAGGCCGGGAGTGCGACGTGGTATACAGAGATAAGACTGCGAGAGAGCTTCACGCAGCTCCGTTCGGTGCCCGAAGCACGCTGAGCGGCGTTGACAGCACGCGAGGTGAGAGGACGTGGCCGGCGGCAGTGACGTTCATGTGAAAGCAAGCCCCGGACCAGCTCAAACAGCTCGAGCTGAGTAAGCGGCCTTTTGCTCCGGTAGGGCTTGGCATCGCGTTGGCGGGCAAGAGCGATGGCCCGTGCTGATTGTTTACAGTTTACCTTCTGCAGCCGCCAAGCAACGCAAGAAGCAGCACCTCAACGCCGGCGAAGCTCCACTCCACCCGCCCGCGCAAACCCACTGCCAACACCTCGTTGCCCCGCTACCCCCTGCGATGAGGAGCTTATAGCTCTCGCTGTTTGTCCGCGCTTCTGTTATTCCTTCTCTCCGCCACACCCGTCTCGTCGCCATGGACTCGCACGAGAATCTGGTATGCCGCATGATGCGCTCGCATTCCAGCTCAATTGAAACTAACACATGCATTCGCAGAAGCCCACCGGCATCAAGCCGCCGAGCAAGCTGCCCGCGCTGTCCACCATCGGGCGCGGCTTGTCAGAACTGTCCGCCGCCGACAACAACTCACGCGCCATGCCATCGTCGGTCGTTCCCACTAAACACAAAGTCTCTGGCCGTATGTTATTGCTACAATGGACCATGTCCTTTCAGGTACTGACCTGAGCCTCAGTTCCAGAGCCAGCGCAAAAGCTGCCTCGGAAGGCGACGCTGGAGAGGACCGCAGACCCCAAATCCAAGGTTCCTGCTGCGCCGGGCTCAAGGACCATTGGCGCCCCCAAAGCGACGACAGCGGCAGGTGTCCGCAATGGTACTTACTCATCTTCTGTCTCAGCAGCTTCTACGCGCCAGACTCGCGCCAACTCCAACTCCTCTTTCGCCAACAGCTACAGCCACGGCCCTCGCACGACTCGACCGCAGACATCCATGGCGCATTCGCGGAGCCAGTCCCATCAGACCCCCGCCACTCGGCCGCGCACTGCCATGGACAACGACGACAGTGATCCGCCATCGCTCAGCAAGCGCAAGGGTACGATTCCCATTTCTATTACAACCTGCGTCCCGGCAGAGGAGCTTAAGCTTGGAAAGTTGCGCGGGAGCCCAAGCAAGCAGTGCGAGGATGTCTCGTACCGCAGGCGCTCTCGCGCCACTCAAGCTACTCGGCACTCTGCCGTGGATTCTCCCTCTCAGCCTGAGCAGCAATTTCAATTTCAGTCTTATGTTCAGCCCCACAAGCAAACCAGACGCCGCAGGTCTGCCCGGGATGTGTCGCTTTCAACACGATTCCAGTCCTTGACCATCTCAGACGGAATCAAAGGATGCATCCCGGAAGACAAGGAGCCGCCTGCTACCCCTTCTCTGATACCCCGTCCTGTACTGGCGCAGCTGATGCCGGCACCACCGCCGCCACCCCCTTTCACCCCTACAAGCCACCGCTATCGTGCCACATCTCCTTCTAAAGAGCCAGTTACACCTTTTTTGAGTAAAGATTCTAACATGCGCGCGCCTTTTACAGCATGGGATACGAAGGGTCGCCTTGAAGATATGGAGGCCCTTTACACAGAGCTCAAGCAGCAAATGGAGAGCACGTCGACCGAGCGCGAGAACATGAAGGAAAATGTTGAGAGCTACAAGGCAAAGAGTATGTCAGCTATGCTCGCCAGTATCAGCTACTCCCTACACGAGCTTGTCATCACACGCTACATTACGCAACAGAAGTCCTTGAAGTTAACTATTACTCTTGCTACTGCAGTCCACGAACTCGACGCGATGCGAGTGCAACTGTCGACGAAAGTCGACTCCTACCGATCGGAACTAGAGGACACAAGGCTGAAACTAACCCAATCTGAAGTCGCCCTGGACGCAGCGAAGAAGACCCATGCGTTCGAATTGAAGGACCTGCAGAGACAGAGTGAGCATGAGTTGAAAGATTTGCAATTTCAACACGAGAGGGAAACAATGAGGCTCAAGCAGGATGCCGAACGGAAATCGGACGAGTTACAGAGGAAGCTGGACGCTCAAACCAGCGACCTGAAGAGGGAGTACGAGCAGAAGCACGCAGAGATGAAAAAGGAGCTGGAGACAGAGCTCGAGAAGGAGCGGCAGCTCCGCATCAGAGAGATCTCGGACATGAAGACGGAGACCGAGCTTCATCGCCAGAATGCGGGAGTCGACCTGGAGCGGAAGGAACGCGAAATGAAAGAGCTCAAGCGCGAGAACGAGCAATTGCAGGCTGATCTCGAACGGAAGACCACTCTCGAGAAGAACCTGCGCGACAAGCTTTCCGAGGCTTCTGCCAACATCATGTCCCTGGAGAGCTCCAACAGCGCTATGAAAGCCAAAATCAACTTCCTCGAATCCGACAGTCAAGCCCAGTCTTCGGCTTTCGGCGAACTCCAGAAGCAGATGCAAGAAGCGATCGATGCAGCTGAAGAGGCAAAGGCTAAGCTTCGTGCCGAGGAGACGCTTCGCCGCAAGCTCCACAACCAGGTGCAGGAGCTCAAGGGCAACATTCGTGTCTTCTGCCGTGTGCGTCCGCCGTCGGAGACTGAAGTCCCCCAAGCTGCGGAGATCGCCTACCCGGATGCAGGAAAAGACAGCAAGGAAGTCGTCATTCAGGGTCCGCAGCAAAAGAGTGCGATGGGTACCGTCACCCAGTCCACCAGTCCCTTTACTTTCGACCGCGTTTTCGGCCCTGGTTCTCAGAACGCCGAAGTCTTTGACGAGATTTCGCAGCTGGTGCAGTCTGCGCTCGACGGGTACAATGTCTGTATCTTCTGTTACGGACAAACTGGCTCGGGTAAGACCTACACCATGTCTTCAGTCGATGGCATGATTCCTCGCGCTGTCAGGCAGATCTATGAGACCGCACAGGGTCTAGAGGAGAAGGGCTGGAGATACAAGATGGAAGGCCAATTCGTCGAAGTCTACAATGAAAACTTGAACGATCTGCTTGGTAGGGCGGAGGAGCTCGACAAGAAGAAGCTGGAAATCAGGCATGATCCGGTCAAGAAGCAGACAATGATCACCGACGTCACCACCGTCGCTCTTGACAGTCCCGAGAGAGTGCAAGAGATGCTCGCGAGCGCCTCGCGCAACCGCAGTGTCGCCGCTACTATGGCCAACAGCCGTTCGTCTCGTTCTCACTCCGTCTTCATTCTCAAGCTTAAGGGCGAGAACTCAATCACTGGCGAACGCAGCGAAGGCACGCTGAACCTCGTCGATCTTGCTGGTAGTGAGCGTCTGAGCCACTCTGGCGCTACAGGCGACCGTCTCAAGGAGACGCAGAACATCAACCGCAGCTTGAGTTGCCTTGGTGATGTCATTGGCGCACTCGGCTCTGGCAAGGAGGGAGCTCATGTGCCGTACAGAAACAGCAAGGTGAGTTCCCTTATACATGGGAACCTCAGCGACAATGCTAACCACCCTTATAGTTGACTTACCTGCTGCAATACTCCCTCGGCGGAAACTCTAAGACACTCATGTTCGTCATGATCAGCCCGCTGCAGCCTCACTTGCACGAGACTCTCACGAGTTTGAAGTTTGCAACCAAGGTATGTATCTCAAGTCAACCAATTTTGGAAGGATCCAGCGAGCCATATACTAACTCAGGTTTCGCAGGTACACAACACGCACATCGGCACCGCTAAGAGGCAGGCCAAGGTCAAGGACTAAGCAACCACCTCCTTCACTCCTATCCGGGCCTCTCTTGTGGTTTATGAACCGACCTTCGTGCCTGATGCTCGTGATGACTTCGAGCTTAGGGTCACTGTATAGAAAGGGTCAGGAGAAGGATTTGTTTTATTCTCTGTTTTCTTGCTTTATATCACATGAGTTGAGCCAAGCCCGGTTTCACCCTTGGCTGAAACGGTGCCGGGGCTTTTTCTTCAGAGACGACAGGGGGGCTCTTGGGCGTTTTTGGGTTTTTGACTTTGGTGGCCATGCTTTCCTCATCGTAGGACGAGCTTTGTCCCCCCGATTTAGTATGTCAAAGATTTTGCTTCGCTTCTGGTTCATAGAAGAGAACGTTCTTTGACCGGGGGTTTGCCTTGAGGCTACGGGTGTTTCCTTTTGGCTCCGAAGGGGTGTTCCTAGGTTATGATGGTTGGTTGGCAGTGATGAGCTGCTGCTGGATATTTTCTTTTGGATGGACAAGAGTAATGTTGTTCTTTAGCTTTTGTCTACGTACATCTCTTGATCTGGACCTGGAAGCCCGAATGCCTCGTGTTCAACAGAAAGCCATTTCGATTATGCAAGTCACACTGTGCGATGCGTGTGATACGTGATACGTGGACGCCTCAGCGGAGAGCTTGGGTGCGAGAAGGGGAGAACGGCTTGCCTATACGCTTAAGAGCCTCTGAACTGCGTGGATCATGAAGATGAAGGTAGGAGAGGGAGCTTCAAAGCCCGAAGGGCTCTCTAATGATCAAGTTTCATTACACTTCGGTTATCCCTCCTGCAGAACACGAGTCTGATATGCCCGGAATCATTGTATGCCATTGTATGAGACGACAATGAATGACCATTCTTGTTGCGTACTATTATTGGCTCATTATGCTGCTGTGAATTATGAGGTGTCGATGCTGGGGACGGAGAAAAAAAGGGCGGAGAGGGGGCGGGGGAGCAAGTGGGAGGTTTTTCTCGCGTTTACTATTCCGCTGGAGAGGTCGTCAAGACCACCAAATAATGAAGATTTGGCGAACTTGAGGGCGAGTCTAATCTATCAAGCACGGTATTTCAACTGGAGCCATGTAGCGATGTGAGCGAAGTAAAGCCTCCGCGGTGAGAATTTTGTGGAGTTCATTTGAACGGCTTGACGTGACTTATTGCGTCAAGAACCATACCACTGTTGACTGCATATACCCATGTGCATATGTATCAACCACGTGTTGGCGGCTGGGGCGATCTGTGGCCCCGACTTGCATCAATATGATGTGATATTCACCTTCCAAGTATATTCATGCACCGCCACAGGTTTCCAGCTACTGGGAAAATACAATATTACTATGTGGCTCGGTTGAGTAATAGATATGCCTTAGTGTATGAAGGGCCAGGCGACTCATACTTGATGACCGGAACCGGTCCCGGAGAACTCGTGTAATACGTAGATGCGCATGCTCCATCGAGCTCGAGCAAGGGTAAGAAGCCATATGCGAGGCAAGATTGCATTTCAAAGCCAAATTCTACAAAGGCTTCTTCTGAAGCACAGAAATCTAGAACAGTCTTAGGCACCTGATGTGATTAATTATTGGACACACATTTTCTGACGGACTCTGAGCTGGCACCTTGCGACTGGTCAAACACTTGACTGTGACGACCAGCGCATCAACTAAAGGTGCATACGCAAGATTTTCTGTGCATAGCAACTGGATGCATGCATGTGGAATCAATCCGCCTTGTGAAAGCCTCGCAGGCAGTGCAGTCAAATGTGATAAAATTTTCGGGTCTCATGAACATATAAGCTCATAGGGTGATTGAAATTGACATTGATACCTCAAGACTACTCTTCGTTCGAGCCTACCTACGGGGACCTAAGGAATGTTACATTGCTGAACATTTCATTCTTCCATCCACGATGTCGAATGCTAGTCCCTCGGTTCTCCCGCTGTTCAACTCAACAAAGTCCGGAGAGCAATTGCCTCAAGCAGCTACTGCCATGACTGCTCAAGCAATGGAAGAACACGTTTGGGAAGATGAGTCTCCTCCAGCGGGTTATCCAAGACTGGCAGAAAGAATGAGCCGAATCCCAGAAATTGCGATTTTTAGACGCTTCGGCAGCCTCAACGCGCAGAATTTGCTCTATCTGCAGGCAGAACTAGTCAGCATGGAGAAGCGGCTACGGAAGCTTCAAGGACAAGACTCGAGAAGCGGCATTGGCAACAGGAAAAAATACGCAAGAAACTGGTACTTCCTCAGCCAGTCAAGGAAGGATGGAAATGAGAAACAGTGGAAGCTCGTAAGGCAAATCCGAAAGACGTTGAAAGAGTACAGTGAGGGGACCCTGATGACTTCTTTAACCGATAAATGTGTGGATTACGCTGATGAAAGGTTTAGATTCTGCGGTGTTGCAGCAAGCGAAGATCCTGCGTATGCGTCCACCGGGGGCTTATGACATGAAATACATCCAGAAATATCTCGAAACATACGAGATGGGGCCCCTTGCTCTCACTGGCCGAGACTCAGATATCTGGGGCTCCACAGAGAATCCGGAAAGCCATGCAGATGACCTCATCGCTTTACTCCCCAGGCACGAAGAAGATTTCTTTTCGAGGTTCGTGACTGAGAAAGCAAGTTCCAAGATGTTGAAGGTCCGCTCTTTTCTAAAGTACCAGGGATCAGGAAAGGGACGTGGACCGGAGAGTTTCGAAGATGATACTATGCTCCGATGGACCCGCCACGGGACTAGTATCTTGGCTTCGGTGCTGCCGATCTTATCAATCATCATCCTGTACTATGTGCATTCGTTGGAGGTTCGGCTCGGAATCATCGCCACGTTCAATATTGTCCTATCTCTATGTCTTACCGTATTTACAACTGCCAAAAGGACTGAAATCTTTGCGGTTGTCGCAGGCTTCTCTGCTGTGCAGGTGGTTTTTGTACAGGTTGGGACCCCAGGTAATATATGAACAAGGAAGAAAACTATGCAAGAATGGATGTAAATTTATACTCTTGGGTTCAAGACTCCTGGGGGTCGGTCCAAGAAAATTGAGACTTTAGTGAAGAGTTTCAAACCACTGGGATCCTCTTCTTTTGTGGAACAAAAGGGTATATGGGAAATAAAAGAAACTGAAAATGCTTTCATAGCTGAGACAATAGCTTTACTGGGCCAAGTAAATACTTGAGGAGGAGAAAGGTAATTCCCAGGCTCGCTGGGCCGTCCCCAGCGTGATTTGCTTCAAGCAGTCTTCCCTTAGTTTCCAAAAGTCAAACAAAGTCAGGCTAGAGAATCCGTGGGATTATCTGGGCAAGACTAAAAGAGACTAGGAGGGAGAGACAATGTTTTCGGTTCCACCGAGTGCCGGAAAAGGGTAGGATTGAGGATTGCGAGAATAATAGGCTGAACGGTCCGTGGTGGGTCGAGTCTTGCTCCGGCACTTGAAAGGCGAGAACGTCGATAAAGCCTCTGGGCCGATGCGGCCTGTTTCAACAACGCACCAGAAGATCTCAGCTTCTTCTCCCGAAGCGCTTCTTCCTCTTCTTTGCCTTTGGTACTGCTGTTCCTCTTCTGTCGCTCGAAGCCTCCGCATAGCCTTGCTCGATCTCCTCTGCTATTTTTGACTCCATCTGTCTCTGGCGAGCCATGTGTCTATCCGATTCTTCAAAGAGGTCAGCACAGTTCTGGTTATACCGCAACGAAGAATAAAATTCATACCTTCGGCCATTTCCGGATGAAGTTCACGACGACCGCCCTGGCGTAGAAAGCGACGAGCAGTCTGTCTATCCAAGCCTTCCTCCTGGAATGTCTTGAGACTGATGAGTGCTTCAAAGTCACAGCGCGCCGCTTGAGGTCTCACGATGAGAAAGTCCGCCTTGATGAACCTGGGCTGAGCGAAGATTTTTTTGTGGAGACAAGGTTTGTCTAAAACTTGAAACCGTAGGGTGATCCGGCCGCAGACCTGGATTTCTCTCCCACCGATGCTGGAGATCAGGGGGAGGGGTGGATCACGCTGGGTGTCGCCGCTACAGGACGGGGCTCTGTCACAATCCCGGACAAGGTGCTCGTCGATGAAATTCCAGTCGGCTCGGGTATCGAAAGTTGCTACATGCACCCTCGTACGATTCTCGTTCCCATCTTTCTGGGGGATAACGATGTTGATGTCTCTTTGGAAATCATCCTGAAACTGTGATTGTTTAGTCTTTATTGTCATAAAAAGTGGATATAGGAATTTCTCACTCGAGGCGGACGTTTTTGAGGCCTTCTGGAGAGGCAGACACACGAACTCTTCAGGTTTGCCAGGGCAGGCGATATAAGGCCCCGAATCGAGGAGTCCACCTTGGATCTCCTCCGAAGTGGCCGGTCTGCAACGTTCCCTGCGTTTTCGTGTGACTGCATTCTTGAGGTGGGGCTCTGCGCATGATTGCTGGAAGAACGGTTGTGTGCGGCACGAAAATGCATCCTGGCTGCGAAAGAGGGATAGTCGCGTGAATGGCTTGTGTCAGCCCGGCCCGCTTGCCCGTGGCGGGCCAGATATGCAGGCAAGACAGATTAAAACTCTGGAGAAGCCTGGAGAAATTATAGCAGCTCGTGAAGAACTCAAGGGTTTGGACGGAATGACAGGTGAGGCTCATTGACAACGGTGGACGTGAGGGACCACACCATGCATGTAACGTGGCATCACAACAATTGAGTGCAGGTATAATGCAATAACATTGGTCTGTACTGGTCAGCAGGCCTTTGCACTTAACAGGGAGCTTGTTTTTTATGTACCTTTGAATGGAGAAATATAGCCAGAGGGCGTGGTTGGGAATCTGATGTTGGTATACTCCGTCAAGAAGAATTTTTGCTCAAATGTTGACTATACTGTTCTAAATGTGCATACTCAGGCTCGCAGCTCCATAGAACTGAAGAAACAACCAGTAAACAAAGACCGATGCAGTCGTATGTTTCTCAGCCTGACCGATGGCTGGTTTTGTTGCTGTCTTGCATGTGAGAGAATTGTGATACAACGACCCGA